AATCTGTGATTTGTAGGTATGCAGATATCGTATGGTAGAGGACGAGTTCAGCAATCCTTCTGTTACCGAAATTCAGAAGTGTCTAACGGACGAGGATTACAGGTGAGAATGTCTCTATGGAGTCGGCATTATAAGACGCTGTGATTGAATATCGCAAAACTGCTATTTATTTTGTTGACCTGAGCTAAGCGAAACTTCTAGTTCATCTTAGGCTTATACAGCAGCAAAATAGATTCTGGTTTTAGTCAATCTTTTCTAGGGCAGGTGGAAGCCAGTTGTTATCTCTTATGCTAATATTTTTTTGGGTATGAACTCTTATGCTAATATTGTTTACTGTCGCAGTGGTGCAATGGGATTTTATATTCTTCTTAGAGCGGTGGACAGATTTACTGCCAACTACAACAAGTTTCCTGGCCAGTTTGATGGGTAAGAAACTCATTATGGGAATAAGCTATTTCTGAACAATTTGGTCCTTGTTTGGCTTTTAATATGCATTCTATTTTGGTAGAGGAATGGATGAGGACATTTCTCGGTTAAAAACTACTGCCTTGAGTCTTCTTACCGACTTGGGGTGTAACGGCTCAGTACTGCCCGATGACTTTATCAATGAGATGTGTCGCTTTGGTGCCTCTGAGCTTCATGTGGTTGCTGCCTTTATTGGAGGAATCGCATCTCAAGAAGTCATCAAGGTTCATACTTCCCTTCTTATTGCTCTGAACTTAATTGTTGAAAATCAATAGCCTTAAGAGAAGATGATTGATCTTCTTGTTTTGTGTGCCTCTCTCTCGGTTTTGCAGCTTGTCACAAAACAGTTTGTTCCGATGTTGGGGACTTACATCTTCAATGGCATTGATCACAAGTCTCAGTTATTGGCATTGTAGAAGATCTTTCCTTACACATTGGCTTGAAACAGAGACATGACCTTTATCATATCTCTATATTCTTCACTGAGTTAAAAAAGGAGAATCTTTTCGCGGGTGTATTGAAAAACAAACTGTTCAACGGCGATTCAGCCGGCACAGAGATCCTGTTTTGCTTTGTCTCCTTACGGTTCCAAAATTTGAAGGGTTTTTCATTTGTGTTGACATCGGCAAGATTGACTTAAGCTAGTTTTGTAAAATGGGCCTGAGTAAGCCCACTTTCCACATGATTTTTGTCCGCAAGGGGTTTATTTATCCTGGTTTCATTCATACATTACAATTTACAAACAACACCAATTACATCAAAAAGTTTGTCAAGAAAATGGGGTCCAGGCGTAGGATCAATCAGAATGGAATATTAAAACTGTCTAAAAAAAGTTATTGGGCATCAAGGAATCAATTACTTCAATTTGTTATTTCAAAAGGAAGTAATAAGAACCACAAATAAAAATTGGGCCAATAGTGACAACTAGAAGTGGATGTGGGGTTATGGAAAATGCATGAATAATAGTGGCCATAGAAGCTATATGGGTTTCACTTGTTACTTCTACAATGGCATAATTTCGTTTTAAAATGCATAGACATAAACACATGAGAGATAAAATAGTCTTATAAAAACTTTCAATGTGGGGATGCAGTCGACATTCGCGTCTGTCATTTCCATCTACATCTGCGTTTGAATTATGTGAATGGCATTTGACTAAAGATTTTTTTTTTTAATGATGTATGTGCGGTTCAAAACGAATCTTTTTTAATATCTTTCTTAAGAATCATCATCACCCCTTGAGTATAGAATATAACATAGTCTAAAATAGAAATTATATATTATTTGCTAAAGCATTAGACTATGACACTATTGATGTGAACATTTGAAACAATCAAAATCCATTTCGAAAGCAAACAAAATCGTATTTCTATGGTATATTTTGGTTCTCTAAAAGCCTAACAAAACTAATGCGTCTTCAGCAATTTAATTCATCTTTACAGTTGAATCTTCAATCAAAGACCATACTTTGCTCATATATGTTAAAAGCACCTACATACTAAATGAAAAAAGGGAAAAATGTTAAGATCTTATACTTTTAAATTATATCCTCAAAGCTTTAGTTACGTGACAAAATTTTAAAAATAAATTAAAATGAACATAGAAGTTTCTTTAATCATGTTTCTATCATGAGATTTGACTAAACACTTTTTTTCTTGGGAAGATTCTAATGTCAATGTAAAAAATGATTCGGCCTATCATTTTAACCCAACCGGTTGCTTCTTTTATTTTGGTATTTCCTTGAAGCAGTCTGGCATATATAATAAAATGTAGATTTGATAAGAAAAAAATTGATTATAAAAATGGTTAAGAAAAGAAAAAAACAATAAGGTGGCTTCTGAAAAAGGAGTAGCAACAAGAAACAGATGGATGGATGATGGAAATGGGATTGTCAGCTTTAAAGGGGTTTGCTTGAAGAAGAGAGCGACCAAACTTGGACATTGAATTAGGTAAAGTGACAGTCTCCTCTTTCAAGCAAAGCACCTAACCTCTACCATGCACCCTCCTCTCTCACCAATTCATTGATTGCCCAATCTACCAAATCAAACCGAACATAACCGACCTTCTAAATCCGTAAACCAACTTAAGTGGTCGGTTTACAGATTAGTACTGCAATTTATTGGTTCAGTAATTTGCTTCTGTTGTATATGTCCTTAGCCGATCGGGCCAGTTCACCAAAGCAGCTCGATTTATGCTTCCTTCTTGTACGTAGCTCCTAAACCGGTCGATGGGAAGATTTTGGTTAGTGATTGAATTAAAAGTTACATTTCACTATTTCAGTTAAACGAAACCGTACCTTTCATTATGATTCTACTGAACTTTCATTGTCGGTTGCGAACGGTGTATACTTAAATGACACTCTCATTTCGCTGTATTTTTCTTTTTTTTACTTCAAATCATTTCGCTGAACTATTATTCGTCATAAATATATACGTATAATATAATGCACATGTATTAAAGTGTGCGTCTACTTCACTTTTATTGTTCTGTAAAATTCGCTCTCTTTTGACTTCCTCTTTGAGACACAAATAATAATTATGTCTATTGACTTGCTAATAATAGAGACGTCACATTTGTTAGCAAGATATGTAACTCTAGTAGCTTGTTATACTTTCATCATTCGTAATCAAATCAGCATAATCCATGTTACAGACCAAACAACATCAAAACCAATTTGTTTTGCCAATAAATGTTAAAATAACGCGCGTGGATAACATTGATCCTTTCAATTTATCAAAGCCGTCGTCTGTTTGTTATTCAAATAAAATAGCACCGACTTCTTGAATGATCACATGCCATGAGGCTTGAGCACAACCATCGATGGAATATTAATTACGTGAAGGAAACAGAAACCTATAATTCTATTAGTATATTTCTAACAGTTGAGTTAAGAATTAACAAAAAAAGGGGGTCTTAACATTAACGTACCAAATTTAAAATGTTCCCAATATTTAATAAATAGTACCACAGACTGAAACTTTCAGTTACGATATACAAGTGTGTTCCCTAGGAGTTAAAGATGTTTTTATAAATGTTTGTGGTTAAAGATGTTTGTAAACCACTAAACCAGTCCTTTTGAGCTGAATTTCATAAGCATTTGAAGAAGTGACATTGGGAACTGAAAAAGCTACAGTGACATTAACTGATAAACCCAATTTTGCTTAACTGCTGTAACTTGGTTAACATAACAAACTGATGTAGTAACTTTGTATGGAATACATAATTTGGTCAATATATATATATGTAGCGTTAGAGAATATTTGCAACATAAACCCACTCATCTCTAGTAAATCAAACATATCTAAAATTTAGATCAAGTTTACGAGGAAACCATGCAAGCAATCATTGAATTGCTTACTACTCCTGATGAGTTATGGTTGAAAGAATCAAAAATAGATTAACAGTGATATAATGTTTTGTCCAAAAATTAAAATAAATTATCCCTAATCAGGAAGTAGACCGAGGGACAGACAGATCGATCGTCAAGGCATGTGGTATCACTTTGGACATAAGTTCCACAAACTCATGGTTTTGTGAAATGTTCATGATGACACGTGGTAGAAGCTCGTGAAGTGGGGGGCCCATAACTCGTTTTTAGGGAGAACATGTGATGCAAAACGGAAAGCATCACATGATGATGGATGATAGACAGTCGCTGAATCTCTGATGAACTGAAAAGACCCAGCGAAATGGTAATAACTGTCTTAATATTTTTCTTTTACCTCTCTTTATTTTTATTTTTATTTCTTTGAACTTATCTCTTTATACTACTCCCTCAAATTGTAAGTACTTAAATGTTTAGATAGAAAAATAGTTACACAAAAATATGTTGTGTTTTCTATGCCAAATCTGATCTTTACATCAATCAATCTCTCAATGTACGTTAATCTTTTTACAAAGCTTAGTGTTGTTTTAACAAGATTTCTAAAAATTAAGATATGAGTGAAATACAGAATCATTGATATTGTCATACGACAATTTTTTTGTAATTTGATATACAAAAAATCATAGAGAAAACTAGAATCACGGTCGAACTTTTTATTTATCCTTTGAAACTTATCTTTCGTTTAAAATTCATTGAATTATCAATTCTATTTACCAACCAATTGGCCAGCCCTAAGCTAAAGTCAAAGTCAACCAATGCTCAAATCGCTACACATGCTTTACGTGACATACCTATTAGCTTTTTATCTTGTGATTTTTTTATTATGTCAACAAGTATTTATCTAATCTGTTAATTAGGAACTTGTGTAGGAACCAAAGTGATAAAATCAAAAAATTCTGAACTCATTAGTTTTGAGTTAAAAGTTTTTGATAATTATATTAGCGTTTGACGAGAGCAGACCCCCCCCCCAAAATAAAAAACGAGGTGGGGTATTACGGTCACTACAGTAATTGATTCGAGATACGAATTAGTAATTCAATGGGAAACGAAAATAAATAAATATATTTGTTTACAGGGACAATTTGGTAAATTCGGAAAACTCTCGGCATGTTTATTAAATTGGAAGTGGACGGTTAAGAAGTCGTTCCGATTTCGTCTCACTTCTCTTTAACGTCATTTCTCTTCCAAAACTTTCCCTGCGAAAATCACAGAGAGCAACACTGAGGTGGAGACGAGAGAGCTTCTTTGATCTTCTCGCGAGTTGTGAAAAACACAAGACTCTGGTTTCGGAAAAAGCTCTGGAGATTTAGGTTCTCTTCTAGTTGTTGGGTCTATTTCTGGGTTTCGAGCTGATTTACAGTGTTTGGCTCCGAAAAAATGGAGCTCATCGGCTTGAGATAGACTAGGGATAGTTCTGGGGATCTTTATTTTTCTTTCTATTAGGAGGAAAATGTCGACGAAGATCAAAGGAGAGCATTCTTCTAGAAGCTTCGCATCGCGGAAATGGACATTATTACTCTGCTTAGGGAGCTTCTGCGTCGGAATGTTCTTCACCGATCGGTACTTTTTCGAAATTTTACGAAATTCTTCACTGATCTCACTTTCTCTCGTCTTCTTCTCGCTTCTCTGATTATATGTTTCTTTCGTGGGGATTTCTTCAATTTTCCTCAGTGGCTCTAATCTGAGATCCTGAGTTTTTTTTTTTCTTTTTCTATATATTCCCAGCAAAATTGCTCTCTCGTTGAACTTTCGGTTTCTAATTTGTAATTTAATATAAGAAGGTTCCAGTCGATTCTTCACATTACTACTTTCGTTTGCAGTTTACCAAATTTTAATGACACATACTAATTCCTGATGTAAACTTTTTTCAGCAAAAATTACTCTTTTTGTTTAATCAACATAATTATTCTTTTGATAGACACAAACAAATGCTAAATTTAATCATTTCAGTATTTTTCACATGAGTTTGCTGTTGTTGCAGGATGTGGAGTATTCCTGAATCTAAAAGCATGTCTCGTCCATCCGTAACCGAAGCTGAAAGATTGAAGCTGATTTCTGAAGGCTGCGATCCAAAATCTGTGAGTTTGATCACGAAACTTGTCAGAAATACTCTGAGCTTGTGTTTTATGTTCTGATTAGTTTCCTCTTTAGCTTTACCAGAAAGAAGTAAAACGAGATCCCCAGGATTTGTTTGGAGAAGTATCCAATACACACAATGCTATACAGTAAGGTTTAGTCTGTTGTTGCTGTGATTCCAAAGTACAAAACTTTTCTGATGTTTAATACGTTTTGTGTTGGTTTACCTGCAGGACACTGGATAAGACCATTTCAAGCTTAGAGATGGAGTTAGCTGCTGCGAGGTCAGTGCAGGAATCTTTGCTAAACGGTGCTCCTGTATCAGATGATATGGGGAATAAGCAACCGCAGGGAAAGAGACGGTATCTGATGGTCGTAGGGATCAACACAGCTTTTAGTAGCCGAAAGAGAAGAGATTCTGTTCGAGCAACGTGGATGCCTCAAGGTTTTAGTTTACCACTTGCTTGTTTCAACCTCTTCCTGACTCTTGAACAACATGTTTATCTTGATAAAATATGCTTCTTGATGCTTGTTTCTGTTGGAAATGTTGATATTAGGTGAAAAGAGGAGGAAACTTGAAGAAGAGAAGGGGATTATTATCCGGTTTGTCATTGGTCACAGGTGAGAATCCAATTTCCTTTAGTTGAGCATAGTTTCTGATGTGAGTTCCATTTTGCTTCTCTGCAATTTGATGATGAGTGTCACTGGTTCTGTAGTGCTACGGCCGGGGGAATTCTAGATCGAGCCATAGAAGCTGAGGACAGGAAGCATGGAGATTTCTTGAGACTGGTATACTTCTGATTTCAGTTCTCTGTAATTGGAAGTGTAAGGCCTAGTTTTTGTTTCTCATTGCTCTGTTATTTTGACAGGACCATGTTGAAGGGTACCTAGAGTTGTCAGGCAAGACCAAAACTTACTTTTCTACGGCGTTTTCAATGTGGGATGCAGATTTCTATGTCAAAGTAGATGACGATGTTCATGTAAATATAGGTAAGCTCTAATTGTGGAAACCACTACTATATGAGTCTAACGAGTTTAATTTTCATTTGAATCCATCGTTCTGGTAACAATAAAGGGTTAAATGGTTTATTGAAATATCTGCAGCAACTCTTGGGGAAACTCTAATTAGACACCGGAAAAAGCCACGGGTCTATATCGGTTGCATGAAATCTGGTCCTGTCCTCTCTCAAAAGTAATTAAAGCAGTTTTTTCCTTGAAACCTTTTTTTATATATTCCGAGTCTTCCTTTTGTTAAGTGATGTTGGTTTTTATGGAGCAGAGGGGTGAGATACCATGAGCCAGAGTACTGGAAATTTGGTGAGAATGGGAACAAATACTTCCGTCATGCTACTGGACAGATATATGCCATTTCAAGAGACTTGGCTTCTTATATCTCAATCAATCAGTAAGATGAAGATGAGATTACATTGTATCTCTTCTGTTATCTCGTGTGCTCTCTTCTCGTTCTCATACATGTTAAAATGTTTCAGGCATGTTCTTCACAAGTATGCGAATGAAGATGTTTCCTTAGGAGCTTGGTTTATTGGGATCGATGTTAAACACATTGATGATAGAAGATTATGCTGCGGCACTCCTCCTGGTAAGCCTTAAGCTCTTTCGATTTGATACCCCTTTAAGATGCTTCAAGAAGTGATATAACTCTTAATCAAATGTATACCTTTTTGAGAACTTAGATAAAAAAGCCAACAACTTTGGTGTTCTCCACCTAACTAATAATATATGTTTGAAAGCAAAAAGGCTTAAAGTGAAGAAACCCTTTCTAAAAGAGATACTCGTCCCTATCAGAATCTCTCTACTGATACAAAGTCTTACCAAGAAGAACCATAATGTTTCAAAGTTGACAAAAACATCAAATCTTACTTCTTGTTTCAAACTTATCATTGTTACCTAAAAGATACTGCAAATGTACGCAAAAGATCTTGAAAGCTTTAGTTTTGGTATGGCAGATTGTGAATGGAAAGCGCAAGCTGGAAACATCTGTGTAGCGTCATTCGACTGGACCTGCAGCGGAATCTGCAGATCAGTAGATCGCATCAAAGAGGTTCATCGACGTTGCGGTGAAGGCGAAAACGCTCTTTGGAGTGCCACCTTTTGACAAATATAAACAGATGAATGATAAGACAAAACGGTTTTGTTCAGCTTCCAAAAGACAGCCCAAAGATCAGTCTTAAGGATACAATTCTTCTTTATGCTTACCAAGAGATATCCACTTTTGTAATCATAGGTACTTAGGAAAGGCAGTACGCAAGAATCGCGATTGCGTTTGGGATGCGTTGCAATTGTGGCGCCGAACGCCCCCTGCTGATTTGTTCTTTTTGGATAGCTTGTAAATGAAGCAACTTTTGTGGATTTGTTACATCAATACAAAACTATGCCCTGATTCTTTTGCCTATAAAAACTATTGAATTGATAGTTTTTTTTGGGTCAAAGAATGTAGATAGATTTTTTATAAACCGAATCTAAATGATCTAATGTGTATGCTTTTTGGACATCGGGTAGCTTATAAACCTGTCTGAGAGAGTTGCAATGTCTCTCCAAAATTAAATTGGAAAATACAAACTTTGGGAAAGCAGAAAAATATGTGCATAAATATTGGATACTTCTTTTTGTCACAGACACACTCTGTCTCTATCCTACGAAGGTAGGGTTTTTATCGTCCCTGAGCCCAGCATCGTCTTCTAGTGAGAAAATTAAGAAATTGGTTTCAGCCGGAGATGCCGAAGAAAGTAAATTGGACGAGTATTGGGACCGTTTTGTTAAGGCATGGTGTTCCATTTGCAGAATCTCAAGTAGTCTCGTCTTCGTTCACTGCCTTCATTAGAGGTATGATTCGCTTGGACCTTCTCGATTCCTCTTCATTTATGTCTATTCTTCGTCTGTGGCCACCAAAGTTTTGTTTTTTGCTGTTGTTCTTGGTGTCTGAATCTGAGTGTGAAGTGGTTGTACTTCATAATCGAAGTTTCCAGGACCAGAACCTTGAGTTATGTATTAGGGAAATCACTTGTCATCTTGGTTTCGAGAGACGAATTGTTTAGTTGTGCTTAAGCTTAAACTGGTTAATTAAAAAGTAAACAATTTGGAGGCGAATGGGGGACTAAAGAAACAAATTGTTAAGCGAAGATTTTTTGTTTTCTTGGAAACAAACATATATCGATCGGTTGGAGTTATTTTTTTTAATTTATTTCTCTATTGGATATGCCCACTGTTTTCGAAATTGTATTCCTGCACCATTTCCATTGCCAGGCTTTGCATCGAGTTTGCATTGAAATCGTAATATTTGTCTGTTCCTTTGTATTGTCTGTTAAGTTATTGGTTCATTCGCATTGATGGGATTGTACACTGCCAAGTACTATACAGATGGTTCATTTGCATTGATGGTCAAATGACATTTGACCAAGTAAGAGATTGTTACATTTTTTCGGTTTGTTACTTACCTTTGGTATTAATGGTCTCTTATCCATGGATTAGCATGATTATATGATAGATTCTCGTGCTCGACACATGTAGAGATATTTATAGTGAATTCACTTATTTTCTTAAAGAAGCATAGGCTGAGACATGAGAGCCCAATATGAAATGGAAGTTTAGTGCGTGGCGCATGTCACTTGCTATTTAACCCACCACAAATTAGATAGGAACAGTTCTTCTTTCCCTTTGAAATTTTCTAATAAATCACTTACTGTCCGTTTAAAGAAAAATAAGATAAGATTTAAACCAGCTTAAGAAATATTAATTCTTATCAGTTTAATTTGGGGAATTACAAGGCGATTTTTGTTTAACAGGTGTGAGAATCTCATACACGTATTCTACATGAAGATGAGGATACAAGTATCCATCAGTAAGAATAAAAGGGGACCAAAAGGTTTGGGAAGTTAATAGAGTGTAAAAAAGGCTATGGCGGAAACAACGAGCTGGATCCCAATATGGTTCCCTTTGATGGTGTTGGGTTGCTTTAGTCTCAAATGGTTGGTTAAGAAAGTAAACGTGTGGCTCTATGAGTCCTGCCTTGGGGAGAACAGGCGCTATCTCCCACCGGGAGATTTGGGTTGGCCTTTCATTGGCAACATGACGTCTTTTCTCAGAGCTTTCAAGACCTCTGACCCTGACTCCTTTGCCCGCACCTTAATCCGAAGGTAATCCGTAATGTATCTATATATCTTCTTGTATCCATGTTATTACATAGCTTTGTTTTGATTTCAAGACTTGGTTTTTTCATCAATAGTCACTCGTCTATGTCCATGTTATGCCTTTGGTTTTGATCTCAAAGCTTGTATTTTTTCACCACCAGAACTCACTCCTAGTCTCAATGTTACAGATTCATTGTAGTAGATCCATGTTATCCCTTTGGTTTTGGTTTAGAAACTTAGAATGATGTGCAGGTATGGACCTAGAGGTGTGTATAAAGTACACATGTTTGGGAACCCAAGTATATTGGTAACAACAGCAGATACTTGCCGGCGTGTGCTGACGGATGATGATGCTTTCCGGCCAGGTTGGCCAACTTCTACAATGGAGCTTATTGGAAGGAAGTCATTCATCGGCATCTCCTCTGAAGAACACAAGCGGCTCAGGCGTTTGACTGCTGCTCCTGTCAATGGCCATGAAGCTCTCTCTCTCTACATACCTTACATTGAAGAAAACGTCGTCGCCGCCTTAGAGAAGTGGACCAAAATGGGAGAATTCGAGTTCTTGACTCATCTGCGTAAGCTGACCTTTAGAATCATCATGTACATCTTCCTCAGCACTGAGAGTGAGAATGTCATGGACGCGTTGGAGCAAGAATATACCGCTCTTAACTATGGAGTTCGAGCTATGGCGGTTAACATTCCTGGTTTTGCTTATCATAGAGCACTCAAGGTATAAAGTTTAACTATGTACCATTCTGTTAACTCTTGTCAATTTTCGATCTTCTTGAAGATTGTTTGAGGATCATTAATTTTTTCTATTTTACAGGCGAGGAAAAAACTCGTGGCTGCCTTTCAGGCCATAGTGACTGAGCGAAGGAATCAAAGGAAGCAGAACAATTCATCCAATAAGAAAGATATGTTGGACAATCTTCTTGATGTTAAAGATGAAAACGGAAAAACTTTAGATGACGAGGAGATTATTGATGTTCTTCTCATGTATCTTAATGCCGGTCATGAATCCTCTGGCCACACCATCATGTGGGCTACCATTTTCCTTCAGGAACACCCTGAGTTCCTACAAAGGGCAAAGGTAAATGGAGACGAATATATGCTTCATTTCCTTATCGGTTTATATGTTATTTCTCTTCTTCCGTAGTAAGCCATGTTAGTTCGTGTTTTGCATATGACGGTACTTCAGGCCGAACAAGAGATGATCTTGGAAAACAGGCCTAAGGGACAAAAGGGTCTGACACTAAAAGAAACCCGACAAATGGAGTTCCTGTCGCAGGTAAGAATTTGGTGTCTAAGATGGTTCTGCCGCAACAGATTATTTTTGTTTTTTTGCTGATAGAAAAGAGGTCTTTCTTCACTAGGTTGTTGATGAGACACTTCGAGTCATAACATTCTCACTCACCGCTTTTCGGGAGGCAAAGACTGACGTCGAAGTGAATGGTTAGTATATATAATGTAAATACATGACTTCCCTATATGAGATGCAACTCAACTTTTTTTGCATGACTCGGTTAATCTTGCAGGCTATTTGATCCCAAAAGGTTGGAAGGTTTTGACGTGGTTTAGGGATGTCCACATGGACCCTAAAGTCTACCCGGATCCGAGAAAATTTGATCCATCTAGATGGGATGTAAGTTATATTTGCATTTTTCGATCCAAAGAAGTTGGATTCAGAGAAGATAAAAACTAACACTTTGGTGGTTGTGTTCTTCAGAAGGGTTTCGTACCAAAAGCTGGCGCGTTCCTTCCTTTTGGTGCTGGAAGCCATTTATGCCCAGGAAATGATCTCGCTAAGCTCGAGATCTCAATTTTTCTTCATCATTTCCTCCTCAAGTATCGGTAAAGCTTGCAAAATCTGAATCTTTGAAAATCACTGAGTGAAAATATCCACTGAGATTCGTATTCGCAGGGTGAAACGGAGCAAGACCGAGTGTCCAGTGATGTACTTGCCTCATACCAGACCAACTGATAATTGCTTGGCAAGAATCAGTTATCAGTGAAACATGATTCTCATCTTCTCCGTAAAATAAGATGCTGTTTGCAGTGCCGTTAACTTTTGTTCACCAGTTAAGAGTTCGTTAACTCATTAGTTATATGGTCCTGAGAGTTAACTCTTGTGTTTCTTCCGTTTGAAACTTTATTGACTGCTTACTCTGTTCCATGAAACAGAGCCTTTATTCTCTTCATTTGGTATTATTTGACTATTTAATGTCAAAAGTTAAAAACTTATTTATCTTAAGGTGCCTTTGAAAGCAATTACTTGATTTCTAAATTAAAGTTATATCATGGCATTCACACTAAAGCATGCTTTTCTTAGCAAATATTATACTCACATTCCATAGGGTTTAAATCTTGATAACGGCACCATTAAGGTATTATTAGTACACACCTATAAATTATAATCTTTGATTAATAAAAAACAAACTTTAGAACGAAAATACATGTAGCTGCCAAAAATGTAAATAGAAAAATGATTTAAAGGAGAAAAAGCCACACACACCACACCCTGACAATACTGTGTCCACTACTGCTTTCATACAAAGACACGGAGACAAAATAAACAGCTTGGAGTCCTTTGGATGGACCATTTCATAATATTATCAAGACTTTGGTTTTTTTTTTTTTTTTAATGTTTTCTTTTCTCCTTAAAGAAACAGCATTGAGAAGAAGCTTTACAGATTAGAGGATCCAATGTCGAGATTCTCGCAACGGGGCCCTTTAATTGTTCAATCTCAGCTCCTTGTTTCCTTCATTTGATTCCTTCTCTGGCTCTGTGATTGTATCAATCAATCCTTGATTGTTGTTTCACTTGTCTTGTATCCTCTGTTCTGAAAACCCAAAAAGTAAAAAAAAGGCTGAAACTTTTTTCCTGAAGAAATGGCGACTAGAGGTAGCAGATCGGAGAAAGTTAAGAGGATTTTTCAGCAATTCGACGGGAATCGCGATGGTGGGCTTAACCGGGAAGAGATGGCGGCTCTGGTCGTAGCTGTAAACCCTAGAGTGAAATTCAGTGACGAACAGATCAACGCGATTCTCGACGAGGTTTTCCGAACCTACGCCGAATTCATCGACCCAAACAAGGGCTTGACCTACGACGGTCTCCTCCGTACCTATGACGACGGCGCCGGAGATGTCGACAGGGATTTCGACGCATTAGGGCTCGAGCTAAACGCCGACGAGACAACGAAAGGCTCGGAGGCTTCTTCCTCTTCGATTACCGATGAGAGAGCTGTCGAGGCGCAGAAGAAGCAGAGAACAGCGGCTTGGGCGGTTTCTCCGAATCACGGGATCGTATTTGACGAGACGTGGAAACTAGTCGACGATCTGGAGATTCTGGTGAAGAGGTTGAAATCGAAACAGGAGAAAGATGGGAAACTGAAGGCAGATAATAGTAACAACAACAACAACAACGTTGATGCGTTTTCCGACGCCGGGTGGTCTCGGGAGTTGGGTCCGTCGGCGGAAATCTCAGAGAAGAGAATCTATTGGGAAGAATCGAGCCACGATTACACAGTGTTTGTGAAGGAATTGGGAGTGTTGAGAAGCAAAGCAGATGGAGCTAGGTCGAGAGAAGAGGCTTTCGATGGACATATGGCGATTGGTAGGGTTTTGTACGAGCACCAGCTGTTCAAAGAAGCTCTCGTTAGCTTCAAGAGAGCTTGCGAGTTGCAGCCGACGGATGTGAGACCTCATTTCAAAGCTGGGAACTGTCTCTACGTTTTGGGGAAATGCAAAGAATCGAAAGATGAGTTTTTGTTGGCGTTGGAAGCGGCGGAGTCAGGAGGGAACCAATGGGCTTATCTGCTTCCTCAGATTTACGTCAATCTCGGTATCGCTCTCGAAGGAGAAGGTATGGTTTTGAGTGCTTGTGAGTACTATAGGGAAGCTGCGATTCTGTGTCCTACGCATTATAGAGCCTTGAAGCTTCTAGGTAGTGCCCTCTTCGGTGTAGGAGAGTATAGAGCAGCGGTTAAGGCCTTAGAGGAAGCTATATACTTGAAACCGGATTACGCTGATGCTCACTGTGATCTAGCTTCTTCGTTGCACTCGATGGGTGAAGACGAGAGAGCCATCGAGGTTTTCCAGAGAGCGATAGATTTGAAGCCTGGCCATGTCGACGCTCTGTATAATCTCGGCGGGCTTTACATGGACTTAGGTAGATTTCAGAGAGCTTCGGAGATGTACACTAGGGTTTTAGCGGTATGGCCTAACCATTGGCGCGCGCAGCTCAACAAGGCGGTCTCTTTGTTAGGTGCTGGAGAGACTGAGGAAGCTAAGCGAGCGCTTAAGGAAGCTCTGAAACTGACGAACCGGGTCGAGTTGCACGACGCCATATCTCATTTGAAACATTTGCAGAAGAAAAAGGGTAAAAGCAATGGAAACGGTAACGGAGGAGAAGGTCCGTTTATCATCGTGGAGCCTTCCAAGTTCAAGACCGTGGGAGAGAGGACGACTTTGAGGCCTGATTTAGCCACGGCTCTTCAGATTAGATCCTTTCAGAGGGTCACAAGGCTCGGCAAATGCGACGTGGAGGATGTGCGAAAGGAGATGAGAGACAACGATGTCCCTGTTTCGTATTCCGGAAGCGGCGGGCCGACGAAATCGATCCGGAAACCCAACTTGGAGGAGATTCTCCGGCGTCTTCTTATCTCATTGAAACCGGAAACTTTTCAAGGAGCGATTAAGGCGATTAACGAGAGGATCCTTTCGGTTCTTGATGATTCAGGGTCGGGAAGAGTCGATATGGGTATGTTTTACGCCGTGATCGCGCCTTTGTGCGGTGGACATTCAGACAAACGGAAAAGAGTTGCTTTCGACGCGCTTCTTTGGAGACCAGTGAACGAAGGAAGCTCTCAGATTACGAAAACGGACGCAGACAAATACATCAAACTGTTGAGAGCTATTTACATTCCATCACACGGAATGAGTGAAATGCTAGAAGTTCACGGCGTAGAAGAAGCTGATTCCTCCATGACGGTGACGTTTAACCAGTTTTTAGCCATGTTCGACGACCCTGATTGGGGATTCGGAATCATGTCTACGATCCTTAAGCTGGAGACGAACGATAGGAACCGACATGGAAACCAAGTTTGCTCGGTTTGTAGGTATCCGATCATTGGGTCTCGGTTTAAGGAAGTGAAAGCCCGGTTTAGTTTGTGTAACCAGTGCTACAGTGAAGGGAAGGTCCCTCCTTCGTTTAAACAGGAGGAATACAAGTTCCGAGAGTATGCGAGTGAAGCTGAAGCCATGAAAGCTAAGTGCGTTTGTTTTTCGATGCAATCTCATAAAAAACCGATTGCCACTTGAAAGAGACAGAGAAACTAACTCATCAAGTTTTTTTTTATTCGAATCTTTTCTTCTAATCTGCAAATTGTAACTTTTTTTCTTTATTTTAACTTGTGTGCATAATTTCAGAGAAGTGTATGTTTGTTGAGAGTGCGCAATGTTGTTCTGGCAAATCAGATGAGTTTTGTTATTCGGTTTTGTGAAATTACAACTGAATCAAAAACCAAACCTTCTTTACTATTTTGTTTCGGTTTGATTTTACATTTTTTCAACAAACAAAAAGAACCAATTGTGTATTGAATCTTCCATGCCAACACCAGATAAGATTGGTCGTATTCATCACTCAAGCTTCTCCGGTTTAGGTTGCTCTGATCCTCCTCAAAATACTTGTCTTTCTATCCCCAAGAGACTACAACATTTCTTTGATGAAATCAAGGTTAAGTGTGTCCTTAACGATGAGAAATAAACCGAGGAATATCACAAGCGTGATCCCAGAGGACATAATCCCTTGCTCAACCTCCAACGGTAGCTTCTTCCCGCCTCGAACCGCTTCCAACAGAATCAAAGCCAAAGTTCCGCCGTCAAGAGCCGGTAAAGGCAACAGATTGATCACCGCAAGGTTCAGATTCAGCAATGCCGCAAACTGGTAAAGCCCGTCCGCGTTTGATCTCGCCACTTCCGCTCCAACCGCAATGATCGCTACCGGACCAGCGACTTTACTAGCGGTTTGTGAGAAGTTGAGAAATGTCTGTTTCAAACTGTCCAAAACGTTGTAAGAGAGCCCAAAGAACTCTCTACCCACGAAGCTAAAAGTCTCCGTTACATTCTTCGGTTTCACCTTTGAGAATCTCACATTCGGTGATAGCTGAGCACCGATCTTACCGGTTCCATCGAAACTCTTATCCGGTGTGATCCGGATTTCGAAATCCTCGTTCCCTCTTTCGATCCTGAGCAACACATTCTGATTCGGATTCCCCTTTACGACATCAACAACTCTGGAAACCGAATCAAAACCGGATTTGGATAGTTCAGTGCCATCAACGGCTAAGATTACATCCCCCGGAAGCAGTCCATCACGAGAAGCAGCAGAGAAAGATTTAACGTCCGGTACGAGGACTCCGGGAAAGGCTTCTTGAACCGGTAACCCAACGAATATCACTTGAGCCAAGATTATAGCGTAGGCGAAGATTACGTTAGCGACAATTCCAGCTGAAACCACAATCACTCTATCCAAAACCGGTCGGTTCTTGAGCAGGTTTTTATCGTCTACGGGGATTTCACTGTCGGGATCGTTATCAGGGAATCCGACAAATCCACCTAAAGGAAAAGCCCTAAGAGAGTATTCGACGTTGTTGGAAGTGAATCTCGCAAGAATCGGACCAAACCCTATCGCGAATTTACTCACACGGATACCTTGAAGATAAGCGGCTAAGAAGTGACCGGTTTCGTGGACGACGATGATCGCCGTGAGAACAGCGGAAGCTTCGAGAACTGATTCGAAACTTCCGAAATCGAATCCAGCGAGAGCTCGTGGTCTGTAATCGATCGGTTCACCGCCATCACATGGGTTCCTATTGTTTCTATACAAAGCTCTGTTCTTGGTGACGTAGAGGCCTTGATTCGAGAAAGCGGAGAGGTGAGACTTTGGGAGATGGGTTTTGGATTTCGGAGGAAATTTTGAAGTTGGGTTGTTGAAATTGGAGATGAAGTGAGGTATTCGATGAGAAACTGGAGAAGAAGAAATGCTTAATAGCATGATTTCGTGAGGTGATGAGAATTGAGAGTGCGGAGAAGAAGAACTAAAGTAGCCATTGAGGAGATAAATGAAAACTTGTGTGCTCTCTGTCCGTATGTGGATGGGATTGGTCACAGCTTCTCTCTCGTTCCTATTTGTTTTTTCTTAAATTGCATCATTATATATATATATATATATATATATATTATTTTTTCGACTAAAATAAATATTTTTTTGTTACGAATGAATCTTTCTTCAATTTGAGCTAAAATAAAATATATTTATTGTTCTCAAGAAAAAGAAAAACAAATTGCTCATCATTCATGAACTTACCTTTGTGGGCTCTTTGTGGATTCACTTTGTAAAATTTGAACCTCAAGCCCATAAAAAAATATGATAATTTCCCGGGACGACCACAAATTTAAACTACCCGCCATAACCCTATTTCACCCATCATTCAAACCTTCACAGAGTTTGCTTTCCTATCTTTTAATTCACGAGTCTGAATTTAGTTTTTAACATGGTAACGATCATAGTACAGTTCAATAAATTACAAACTCCAATAAAATTAAATTGATTATGATCATCGTTGATTTGATTTATCGATATATAGCCAATTATTATTTTTTTTTATTTTTTTTTGGGCAAACCTTTTATATAGCCAATTATATAAGCATTACTTGAAATATCGAGAGATCCATTACAATACGGGGAAAACAGAAAATGAAGGGTTAATTTGTTTTCCACTAAAAAAAGAGTAGAGAATCTAACTGGCGAGCACGTACACTTTAGGGTTTATTTGTGATCAAATCGAATTGTACGGAGACATCTTCTCTACTTTGCTCAAATGATTTTTGGAGTCAAGACATAGTTTACCATATATTATACATTATAATGTAATTATTGGCTTCTGGATTCACCAAAGCTCAGCTTAAATCAAAGCGTTTTACTGTTTTAACCCCAAAAAAAGCGCAACATGCTAGTGGATCATACGCCAATTATTCGTTCTTTTACGCCGACATAAGAAGAAAACAAAAATTATGGAATAGATTACCTAACTTAGCAGTGTGTCATGAACAAAAAACAACGTGGCCATTATATTTTCTTTATCTTAATACTTATGGAACATTATTGTAGTTCAGCTATTTAACAAAAACGAGTGTTTGTGGTTAGGTCGTCCTTTCAAATGCTTTCTTGTAATAGTTAAGTTTATTATTCTTTCTACTATTTTTATAAATTAATTACTTAACGGGGAGATCTAATTTGAAATCCACACTTTATTACTTTTTCCAATACTCTCCAACAAAAAGCAGACCAGGTTCAATGAATCTGTTAATTTCAACATGTCTTCTTGTTTTTTTTATGGACTGTCGCCATGATTTTTCAAACGTAAGCATGCTTAAAAAGACGAAATATTCTATATAGAGAGAGTCCTAATATATAGTACATAATTTCATATATGGAAAAAAAAACTAAATAAAAAGGTAACATTTTAGCTTTCCATCTACTTTCTTGCAATTAAAAATGAAGTTGGTGAGACCTTGTGGTTATAAATAAGAGTCGTATCACCATATAAGTATGCATATGGTTTGAGCACACACAGACAAAGAGAGAGAAATGATTCCTATGCCTTCTCCGGAGACTCATCATCACTTCATTCTCGATCGTATGTCTCTCGCTTTTATATATTTTCTGTCATAATGTAAACGATCTGATTGTTACTCTTTAACCTTTTCACAGTTTTGTATATATATATATATATATATATATATATATATATATATCTATTTAATCTACAGTCCGTAGATAAATACATGTGAATATGTGAGCTTGGCATTAATACATGTTTATTGACTGAAACATCATCAGGATCAAAGGTTGAAGAAGAAGTGAAGCATAGATCAACTAATTATATGTTGGGAAATGATTGATGAGAACGAGAAAATGATATATATTTGGCTTTACTAGCTAACAGTATTGATTCGAGTTTGATCGAAGTGATATCGCTTTTCTTTTGATTGCTTCGAAGATCACCAGTTCCCCCTCTCAAAACTTCAATCTCTTTGTTAAAGACAATTATTACATAATCCATGCTTTAATTTTTATACGATCGAAACTATTTTTTTTTTTTGCATATGAAACTGAGGTTTTATTCCCAGGTGAAATTGAGGTTATGCAGTTCAATTCTATTACTGGTATTTTCTAAAAACGATAGAAAGAAAAACATGCAAAGTAATATCGTTCTATGTATACTTCCATCTAAACAAGTTTAGATCACCTGTATGGCTGTATAGTAAATTTAAAAACTTATGAAGAATATAAGATAGCAGCAAAAGTCACATTTCTATAATTTATTGATTGTAATAATCGATTGGTATAAAGATTTATCTATGGTTATTGAAATTTGAAACTTTTATTAAATTATTATTCATTCTTTTATAATTAGGAAATCGGACCCATCGAACATCAAGCTCTCTAAAACCTACAAGGCGTCAGTAGAATTCAAACACAGATTTGTATCGGTTCGATGATTTTCACTTCCGGATAATCGGTTGAGCTTTACCATCACGCCCAAAAAAATCCTTTAATGTTTGGGGTGTAAGCATATTTGTAGTTTTGTACAATTTAATATATAACTAATTGGAAGTAAATAATTGTTGATTGGTGTGGTTTTTAGTTGGGAAATAGTAAACATTAAATATGTATAGTAAGGTTTAGGCAACGTACCACTTACAAATGCATGTGAGCCAGATTTATTTTCTCGCAATATTTTCACCGTTGACTATTGTCGGCACCGTTGACTCTCACTTTGATTTTCCCATGTCCATGTATAGGCGTCTATATTTCCATTACCTAAATGTGGGTGAAAACAAATCAATATTTTTTTATTAAAAAAAATAGAAGTATAAACTAAATTATTTAAAAGAAAAAACTAAATATTACTATTAAGTACCGCATTGAAAAAATTCCAAAAAACTAGTTCAAATTTTACTTTCTAAAATGAATTAGCATTATTAATTTTCGGATATCAGAGTCAACTGTATAGCACAAATAATTATCGGTAAAACTCAGTTTAATCATTAATGGTGATATACGGATGTGATTGTTTGAATTGTCAACGAGTTTTGGATAATAAGGAGAGTAGTTAATGAGCAAAACTAGAGATCGAAAGCTTTTGAAAGATTGAACAAGTGAAGTGTAGATCTATTTTGACTTTAAAGAAGAAATGTTTCATTAAATGTTTCCCGCGAATGGCCCAACGGCCCCAAACGCGTAGAACGTAACATGCATGGCGATCCATATTAATGGCTTCTTCATCCCACTTGCTTATTAATTTTCACAACTCTAAAGATTCATCTGGCTATTATATAAGGCAATGTTTAGTTCCAGTTACTGAGACAGTACCACACAAAAAACAAGAGAAGAGAAATTAGGATACAAGTTATTTCTCTAGAGATGGAAGTTAAGAGCGTTACTTGTTTGATTCTTTCTTTGATTTTGCTTCATTTGTCTGTGGAATCTGTTCTTGGGGATGCATCTGTGGTAGGGCCTGCGAGGTATAGGGACGATGATTGTAGGTGGGGCCGGAGGTGTGGTGGACGTGGCCGGTTTGGGCGCGGGGGTGGTGGAGGTTTTGGAGGAGGTGGAGGTAGAGGGGGTGGTGGTGGTATCGGTGGTGGTGCAGGACACGGTGGAGGTTTTGGAGCTGGAGGAGGAATTGGCGGTGGAGCTGGAGGAGGTATTGGTGGTGGAGGTGGAGCCGGTGGAGGTGGAGGAGGAGGTATAGGTGGTGGCTCCGGTCATGGTGGTGGATTTGGTGCTGGAGGAGGAGTTGGTGGCGGAGCTGGTGGAGCTGGTGGAGGAATTGGTGGTGGAGGTGGAGCTGGTGGTGGTGGAGGCGGAGGTGTCGGCGGTGGTTCAGGCCATGGTGGTGGGTTTGGAGCTGGAGGAGGAGTTGGTGGCGGAGCTGGTGGAGGAATTGGTGGTGGAGGAGGAGCTGGTGGCGGTGGAGGTGGAGGTGTTGGTGGTGGTTCTGGTCACGGTGGTGGGTTTGGAGCTGGTGGTGGTGTAGGTGGTGGGACTGGTGCAGGTGGAGGACTTGGTGGTGGTGGTGGAGCCGGTGGCGGTGGAGGGGGTGGTGTTGGTGGAGGATCCGGACACGGTGGAGGTTTTGGAGCCGGGGGAGGAGTTGGTGGTGGGGCAGGTGGAGGACTTGGTGGTGGAGGTGGAGGCGGAGGTGGAGGTGGAGGTGGAGGCGGTGGTGGATCTGGACACGGTGGTGGTTTTGGAGCTGGAGGTGGAGTAGGAGGTGGAGCAGGAGGAGGTGTAGGCGGAGGCGGTGGATTTGGTGGTGGTGGAGGAGGTGGTGTGGGCGGTGGATCTGGACACGGTAGTGGATTTGGTGCCGGAGGAGGAGTTGGAGGCGGGGGAGGTGTTGGTGGTGGTGGAGGTGCCGGAGGTGGAGGAGGACGTGGTGGAGGGTTAGAAGGAGGCCATGGGATAGGACATGGCGGAGGAGGAGGCTTTGGGATAGGAATAGGTATAGGTGTTGGGGTAGGGGGAGGCTCCGGTCAAGGTTCTGGAAGTGGAAGCGGTGGTGGCGGTGGCCGTCACCGTTAATCAAACATGTTGTTACCAATCTCACGTTTCAGTGTCCTCGACAGCACCACTACTTGTCGTTCTATTTCGCATGCTTTTGCTTAAAGAACAAAAAATGTATGATACATCATTTTTCATTTCAAGATGTGTTTCTTCTATTTTTGTGTAAGAATGTTCTCCGAAAATCCAATAAGAAAATATTGAATACGGATTGATATTAATTCTTGGCTTAAATCAAAATTTATTAAACGGAACACATATCCAGCAATTTTTCCACAATTTACTTTTCTTTGTGTAAATAACTGAATTAGCTCGTTTAATATACACAGGCCCATCTACATCAATTTTGTGGTCAGACTCTCTACCAAACCAACATAATACGGAATATAGCTTTTTACGGCTATATATAAACCTTCATTTATTTCGAAAAATTGCATAAACAAAGATTGTAAACAATTGTACTGCAGAAAATCCGACTTTGAACGTGATTAAAAAAAAAAAACAACGTGATCAACATGTCTAAATTTATAATGTGCAACAAGGTTTACCCCTGTAAACTTCCCTACAGTACATTCAACAAATCGCTCTTTTGTTGTTAAACCTTTTGGGTTCATTCATAGATGAAATCTCACCCATTGTCCTCGATTGATATATAGAAAGCTAATCCACGGCATGGTAACGTCAGGACAACTCTACAATGCTTTTGCTATATACCTATCGTCATCATGCTTCAGCCGCTTTGTTTTTTTTTTTACTAATGAAATAGCATCTCATGAACAGAAACCAAATCAAAGGCCAAATATTTTATCGCTTCAAGAGAGAAATGATCATCGTGCGGATCCTTTTTCTCGTCATGGACATTCCAATAACATTCACATCGGTAAAGCCCACTCATAAGTCATATCTAAACAAATGTCAGAACAAGTGGAGGACCATGTGACACAAAGGCTCTATTCAATGGTAGAAATTAAATATAGGGAAATTGGTTGATATAACCATATAAATACCTAAAATTTAGAAAATAACCATACCAAAATAGGTGTTATTATATTCTTCATATATACCAAAAACTCATTCGTTTAAATCAACAAATAGATTACATTACTATACTATACTGAGTTGGTATAGTATACTATTAATAGTTGTATAAATATATTATTTTATACCGTACTATACTATTATTATGAGAATTGACTCCACATTGTATGAGTATCTACTAGCTTCTCATCCTTACCAATATTATCGTCTCATGAATTCACCTTCATATAAGATATCTTCCAACGCAAATTCCACATCTATAGATACCCGAAAAGTAAATTGGTCACAGTATTTCTAATGGAGTACACTACTATACTATACTCAGTTGGTGTAGTATGTTATTAAGTAATATTTGTAATACACTACTATATTATTTTTTTTTAGCCTAATGATCGATCAATCAATACGTTTTCATTTAAAATAGAATGATCTTTTAGTCTTTTCTCTGTGGACTATAGTTACTTTCCATATTTTTTGAATAGCATAGCTATATTTTTGGATTTTTTTACTAATATGGTTAGATTGCAAATTAACCCTTAAATATAAAATGTTTTGAGTTTTTTTTTTTTTTTGTAAACCCTCAATATTTTTTGTGTGCAACCGATGAAACATTGATTAAAATTGATCAAATATATGCTGAGTTTGTTATTATGTACAAAAATCTTCTTTTGCAAATAATAATATCGTCTTTCTGTTTCATTATAAGATTGGTGATGTGTTTTTTTTTTCTGCAAATATAACGGTCTTTCTTTTTTTAAGCCATAAAAGGCTTTTATCAATATTTTATCTTGAAGACAGAAAAGAACTAACTTTTAAGATGAAGGATTGAGTTATTAAAAATTAAGAATTTCTCTCTCTGTTTATTAAAGAACAATTTTTTGAGGTTTTCATAGTTTTTAAAAAGTTGTTAAAATATTTTGTTTGCCCTTTCTTTTAGTAATATAAAATAAAGAAAAAAAAATTAAAATCAAAATAGGTAATATGTAACCAACACAGTATTGGAAAATGAAAATATATTTTTTTGAAACAGTTTTTTTTTTCTAAAAAAATATTTTTTAAGGAAACTAATTTTTAAAACAAGAAAATTTCTAGATACGCTAGCTGATCGGGCGGATAGAAAGATGACACGTGTGATATATGTTTCCCGCCGTTCTCGACAGTTGCGCACAGTCACGCCCTCGTAACTCTATATCACAATGGAAAGATAGAACGACAATTGATAAACCCTAACTCTTAATCCCTCTTTCCTCGATTTTGCGATTTTGGGTGCGATGGAGCTACGGGCCCGCAAGAACAAGAACGCGACTCTTCCCTCGGCCGAAGGTAATCTTCCCCATCCATCCTGTGTGATTTCTTTCAATTGGTCCTTGATCGCCTCGAGAAATTGCGGAAATAGTGAAGCGGTGTCTGTGTTTCGGTGCGATCTGGACTCAGTTTCTCCGATTGTTTTAGTATTAAGCGATTTCGTGGGGAAAAATTACACCTTTAAGCGCTTTCCCATGTACCCGTTCGACTTCTTTTCTAGTAAAATTGCAATTGATTTCTATTTTCTTCTTATGAAATAGTTGTGAATCTCGATGAAGAAGAAGTTGACTTTAACCCTGATGAAGAACCGTATGCTATATCTTCTTCAGATTCCGATTCAGTCGGCTCAGAATATCAAGGTGTGTTTCGTTGCCAAAGATGTATTTATCTATTTTAGCGTTTGAGATAGTATATTATTACCGTACTTCTGAAACCATGATTCTGGAATTAGTCTTTCGTTCTTGGTAAACGTGCTTATTGTCCTGAAAGGCATAGTTTCTGAGGATATTCATGATTTCACATAGGTGATGATGACGAGGAGGAGGAGGTGGATGCTGATGATGATATACCAAATCCTGTAAATCCTGTACCTGACCATGCGCCTGTGGCAATTGTAAACCCACCAAGAGCAGGCACCAAAAGGAAAAAATCAGAGAAAAAACTGCTATTGTGGAAGACCTGGGAAAAAGAGGATGAGAGATGGATTGATGAACATTTGACGGAGGATGTTGATTTGGATCAGCAGAATTCTATGATTGCTGAAACTGTTGAGCCGCCCTCAGAGCTGATTATGCCACTCTTAAGGTACCAAAAGGAGTTTTTAGCCTGGGCTTCAAAACAGGAACAATCAGTTGCAGGAGGCATTCTCGCAGATGAGATGGGGATGGGAAAAACCATACAGGCCATCTCTCTTGTTCTTTCCAGACGTGAGGCTGACAGGGCTCGATTTAAAAAGGCAGTGGGGTGCACCCTTGTGCTTTGTCCTGTTGTTGCTGTTTCTCAATGGTTAAATGAAATTAACCGGTTTACATCCCCGGGAAGCACCAAGGTCCTTATATACCATGGGGCAAAGAGAGAGAGGGATGCTAAAGAACTCAAGAAATACGACTTTGTTTTGACAACATATTCTACGGCTGAGAATGAATTTAGGAGAGGTATGATGCCGCCCAAGCAGCAGTGTGAGTATTGCAACAAGTCGTTTTATCCGAAAAAGCTTGTGGTGCATAATAAATATTTCTGTGGGCCTTTGGCTGTGAAAACGGACAAGCAATCTAAGCAGATGAAGAAGACCTCTGCAGCTACATCGTCCAAGCAAGGTAAGCAAGCCGTTGGAGGAGAGGATAGCAAGATGAAACGATCTAGGAAGAAGAGTAAAAAAACATTAGACGAAGAACATTCTGGTTCACTGGATAAAGAACAGTCTCTTTTGCACTCTATTAAGTGGAATCGGATCATATTGGACGAGGTCAGTACCAATACCCACTAATTGTTGGTGTTAACCTTTTGTTACTTATTCTTTGGCACAATTTACTTTGAAGTATAAGCATGTAAGGAAAGGTGCCTTTCATGCCTCTTGTGAGATACATACAGGAAACGGCAGCAGGAGAAGCTGTATCTGCCAAGAAGAATTTAAAATTTGTCTCTTTTGTTTTTTCAATATGCTCTGCAGTATCATATGCTTTTTTGGCCTTAATGTGGATCTGAGTTTGGTTAAGTTTAATTTCTATTTCTTCATACCAGGCTCATTACATCAAAGAAAGGCGTAGCAACACTGCAAGAGCTGTGTTTGCTTTGGAGGCTACGTACAGATGGGCTCTGAGCGGTACCCCTCTCCAGAATCGTGTTGGCGAGCTTTACTCTTTGGTTACTGAATCTTTCCCGAAGTTTATCTATAGCACTTAAAATATTACCATCAACATTACTGATGAGCCTATTTTGATTTCCCCAGATTCGCTTCCTGCAAATTTGTCCATACTCATATTACTTTTGCAAGGACTGTGACTGTAAAATTCTTGATTACACGTAAACTTTTACCACACTCAATTTCTGGCTATTTTCTAATTTCTCATAGTTATGTTTCATAGTTCATAATTATCTCTGCTGTTCGATCTCTTTTGTCTGCTGCTTGTGGCGGTGATTGCAGTGCGCATGCAAGCTGTCATAGCTGTCCTCATAATGCAGTGCGACATTTCTGTTGGTGGAACAAGGTAATCTTGAGATGCTGCTTTTTTATATTACCTAATTTTGAATGCATGATAACCATTTTGTACTGTTCTTGTCCTTCTGATTTATGGTATTTCCAATCTTGCTAGAATGTGGCCAAACCAATAGCAGCTTATGGAAACGGGGATCCGGGAAAGAGAGCCATGATATTTCTTAAACACAAAGTTCTGAAGGACATCCTCCTAAGACGTACTAAATTGGGCCGGGCAGCTGATCTTGCTCTTCCTCCTAGAATCGTACGTTGCTTTGTCTCCCATGTCTGGTGTAAACGAAGCTCGGTATAGTTGCTTCCTAGCTTGACCTCTGCATATAAATTTTACTTCTTGTAGATCACTTTGAGGCGGGATGCACTAGATATAAAAGAGGTTGATTACTATGAGTCACTATACAAAGAGAGTCAAGCGGAATTTAATACGTTAAGTACCTTCTATTCTATGGATTTTCACTGTCTTTTGCTCCTTGGTTCATGTAACAGATTTTTTAGTGTTGGCTGTGCCATGTACGTTTATGTTTGCAGGTATATTCAGGCTGGGACATTGATGAATAACTATGCACATATATTCGATCTTCTCACCCGTCTGAGACAGGTGTGGCATCAACTAACCATTCAATGCACTTGTTGGATGATATAGATTGTGAGTTTTGTGACGTATTTTTCTCTGCAATTTTCGCAGGCTGTTGATCATCCATACCTTGTAGTGCATTCCAGTTCTCGTGGTGCTAACGCTTACTTGAATGATGAGAAGAAAAATGAGCACGAATGCGGTCTCTGCCACGACCCAGCTGAGGACTACGTTGTAAGTGAATCAATTTTCTCGATTTATTGCTCTTTCATTGTATCCTGACTCTGGTTTCTCAGTAACTGTATCTTCGGGAACCAGCTGCTTTGTCCTGGAATCCGTCAGATTTCTATCGCTGGACTAACGTGTTCGATTAATATTTTCTTTGGTTCTTTCAACCTTGAAGGTGACTTCTTGTGAACATGTGTTCTGTAAAGCTTGTTTGATTGATTTCTCTACATCCCTGGGAAAATTCACCTGCCCGACATGCTCGAAACTACTGACTGTGGATTGGACTACCAAAGCTGGCACAGAGCCTCAGGCAAGCAAGGCAACACTTAAAGGATTTAGAGCCTCATGCATTTTAAATCGGATAGAGCTCGATGATTTTCAGACAAGTACAAAGATAGAGGCTTTGGTATGTGCTCTTGAATATTTACAACTTAAGTCTCTCCCCCAACTGTTAAGTCTTCTTCGGCACTTTGAGCCTTTTTCTTCCTCTCTTTAACCATTTCGTGATCATGTTTGTATGTAGAGGGAAGAAATCAGGCTGATGGTTGAAAGAGATGGGTCTGCCAAAGCAATAGTCTTCAGCCAGTTCACATCATTCTTGGACCTGATAAACTACACCCTCGGGAAGGTAATATCAAGAGCAACCCACACTATGCTCTAACAATTAGTATGAATTAGAATCAAACATGCAAACAATGACTCTTTGTGTTTACAACACAGTGTGGGGTTGGTTGCACCCAACTGGTGGGAAGCATGTCAATGGCAGCTAGAGATGTTGCTATCAATAAATTCAAAGAAGATCCAGATTGCAAGGTTTTCCTAATGAGTTTGAAAGCTGGAGGGGTTGCGCTCAACTTAACAGTCGCTTCACATGTAAGTGTGTAGTTTATCAAGTATGGAGCGGTGTACGTGTGTATTTCAAAGGTGTTCTCACATTGGTTGTATGTGGAAAAACACTGTAGGTGTTCATGATGGACCCGTGGTGGAACCCAGCGGTTGAGAGGCAAGCACAGGACAGAATACATAGAATCGGACAGTACAAGCCAATCAGGTTACACTTTAGATCTCCTTCAATCTCTAAGTTGTTGTTGGTGGGTAAGAACGGTTTTTTAGGATACATGTGTGATAATTACAGGGTTGTGAGATTCATAATAGAGAACACAGTGGAGGAAAGGATTCTGAAGCTTCAAAAGAAGAAGGAACTTGTCTTTGAAGGGTAAGTAAAAGATTGCCTACTAGTGTTGTTTTTATTCCCGAACATATACTATATAGTATACTAATGAGGTAAGTTTTGTTCATTTGCAGGACCGTTGGTGGCTCTCAGGAGGCCATAGGAAAGTTGACCGAGGCAGACATGAGGTTTCTGTTTACCTAACTCTAAATCTAATACTAGAAATACAACGTTTTTGTCTGATGATAAGATCTTGGTATGGTATGTACACCTTAAACTCGTATTGAGCATCTTGTATCCAGAGATGTGATGATGGTAATGACTCATATATGATTTGATGATACTCCCTTGCAAGAAAAGTGTTTCCGGGTGATTCTTGTGAAAGAATACTAGATTAAGGGGAAACGAATTAATAATTAGTATAAGAAAAAGGGTGTTCAATCTGTCAACTAATTAGGTTTGTGTGGAAGCAAAGTCGTAATGAATGAATCATCAAAATGGCCTAACCGAAAGCTTACCAAATTACCAGATAAATTGAAAAATGCGAATCCTGAACAAAGATTCGAAAGGAATCTTTCAGTTTGCCTAAACCTTGGAAGTGACCAACTAACCAACCAACAAACCAATTCGGCATCTTTTGTTGCCATCGTTTCTCACTTTCCCAATCCCAACAAGCACAAATCATTGCACTTCACAATTCCTTCTTTCAAATGTTTACCACAAATCTCACTCTTTTACCTAACTGCACTACCTCCGAATTGTATTCAAGAATTTTTTTTGGGGCAAATTACTCATTCAGTATCCGGCATACAATTATAATTAAGACATCAAAGCCCAATTCACAAATTGCTTTAACTCAATTTAGTTTTTACTTTTTATTATAAAAAATAAGTCGTATATAACACTGGGCTGCAAAGTTTGGATTCGGGGGATTAAAAAAAATCATGAATGAGTAAGAATGTACATAATTCTCTAAAGTATCAAATCTACTACTACATTCACTCAAATTCAAAATTTCAATTTCCCTAACCTATCTTCGAGACCAAACAATTTTTGCTACTTCAAATAATCAACAACAGTTGCTCTTGTGACAGACTAATCATTATTCCGTCGCACCGTGATCCAATCCTCACCGTCCATGTTCCATGTGGGATCCACCATTACCAGACCAATCCAGCTCAGCACTCCAATTCTGTCCTCGTGACTACATTCCAACCAGCTTGGACGGTCCTGGTCCTCCTCTTCCACTGATCTCCAGAACATTTGATCCGTCACGCTTGTCGGTGAGTTCGTGACCCAACCGGTTAACAATTCCGGTTCTGTGTTCTGTTTGGTTTTTAGGAACGGATGGTTTAACAACTGAGTCGCTGTCCATCTCTCCTTGGCATCTTTTCTCAAACACTTTCCCAAAAAATCCTTTGCTTGTTCCGTAAGCGAGGAAGGCAGTTCAGGGGACTCACCCAAATACCCGACCCGGTAAAGAAACGAAACCGGGTCGGTCGAATCAGCCCCAATCCATGGCGGAGAACCGGTAACCATCTCTATCATCGTACACCCCACCGCCCAAATATCACTCTCCTTCCCTTGTCTCTCTCCACGCGCCACCTCCGGAGCCATAAACGCTGGTGTTCCTCTAACCGGCTCGTTTATTTCCGATTCAACCCATTTCGCGCATCCGAAGTCAGCGATCTTGGCATCTCCGTTATCTCCGACCAGCACGTTGCTTGCTTTAATGTCGCAATGCACGATTCCTTTTGAATGATGAATATACTCCAAACCAAGAAGTATCTGGCGCGTGTACTTCACTACCCGAGTCTCGTCGATGAAACCGCCGTTCCTGACCGCCACGTCGGTCAGAGTTCCGTATGGTGCGTACTCCATGAGAAGATTATAAGTAGTTTCTCCTTCGTTGTAGAGCTCTTTCGTGATTTCGCATCCTCTGTATCCGATGACGTAAGGAGAATTTAGGGATGAGATGATTTTGGCTTCTCTTTGCAAAAACTCCGACAGGTGAAACTCGGCAGATTTCACGGCGATTGTTTCGCCGGAGTCATGACACGTGGCGGACGAAACGGTGGCGGATGAGCCACGGCCTATGGTTTTTCCTCTAGTCCAATTCATTTGGAGAAGACTATTCTGAACTATATATATTTTTTTTTGTTTGTTAATCTGCTTTCATTCTGTTATTTCAGAGAAGGTATATATATAAGATTTTTTGTTTTTTTCTCAAAAAAAAAATTTGGGTAATTAGATAGTGTATACTTTTGGTAACATCGAGTTTATCTACCAACGCGAAAATGCAATGGAATAAGTAATTGTTGTCTATACACGTGGAGGAGACTTAAAAGAAAAAAAAAAGTGGATTACCAAATGTGATCCAAATTTGATGAGATACTAATAACCAACAAAATGTGTAGAGAAGAGAAGTACTAGTTGAACAAGAAAAAAAAAAAAAGAGAACTACAAGTACAAAAAGAAACGTAAACGTGACCAAAGAGGAGTGACGTGGCAGTGAAAGTATCTAATGAAATGTTCTATAGGAAGTGACGTGACACTTGGTTAGGAATTGTAGAGTGCTTCTTCTTGGTCTTTGTACTTCTTTGAGTCTTAGAACGCGATGACGTGTCGAATTTCAGGTAGTCAAAAATCAAAATAACTATTTTGTTTCTGTTCCGACCGGAGAGTTCCGTATATGTCTCGAGCCACGTGTCGTCAGAGTTAGGAAACGATGAGGTGTCGACAAGTGTCCAAATCTTTCTTCCCTTTTTCCTTTGGCTTTTTTTTAGGTAAACAATACTAGCATATTCCATTTTTATTTTAGGTTCACATGAGTTCGGTAAAATACAAAAAAAGAAGCTTGATATCGATTTCATTTTCTTCATTGCATTTCGTGTAGCATATCTGTAAACTCATATATATATATGGTATTGGATTCGCGTTTTGTGATTGTATTTTGCATTCATATAAGGTTTTCGTTTTTAAAGCATACCATAAATGCCAAAACAAAATGATTTTTTATTATTTATTAAATTGAAATATTGGGTCATACATAAGCTCACAATCTCAACGGAAAAAGTGTACGGTGGTTGTAATATTCAACTCTTATATGTGTAATGTATTATGTAGGTTGGTTAACATATTAAAATTGTCAAGAGGTGGTTTTAACGACTGTCAGTTGCGATTTTGATTTTGAATGAAACTAGTCATCATTAATTAACTTACAACCGAACTTTCAGGGGCGCGACATCTGAGAAAAACTGTTAACAACATTCGAAGATTATAAAAATGTACATAGAAATATAGAATAGAACCCCATGTTATTAATAGTATCTTTTTTTCTGCAGTCCTTTTTAATCGCGTGTATATTCAGCAAATAAATTATACATTATTCGAAAGTTTTGAAGATTTCGTGTGCTAGTCCCACCGTCACGGAATGCATATAGAAATTAAAGATACAGGTAAAATTAGAAAGCATAATAATTAATAGTTTACTATAACAAATGGACATAAACTTATATGAAGAGGCGACAAGATGAGTTTACCGAAAGGAAGTGTACCGTTGGGTAAAAAGATAAGGAAAACGAATTTGGTCAGACATTTACGACTGTCTACTGCAATGCGCACATTCACAGCTCATACGCACATGCACGCTTTATTATTAACCACATGCAAAATAACTCCCACATTCACGTGTTTTTGGTATTTACGGTTCTCTTAAATAACATTTTTGCTTATATTAAAAAAAAAATCGATATAGTATAAATATGGCACACTGTTATGAAAGAAATTTTTAAAAGTTCAACATTTGTTTCAGAATCGGTGTATTAATTATGTGTATGTCCGCTTCCTTTTTCAACAAGTTTTTTGAATTCCGCAAGTTAATTAACCAAGATTTAACATTACGATCGTTTAGTCGTTACCTGTATAGTCTATTTCTATATGCATTGGCAGTTTTGTTGCTTCGAAGTACAATCTTTAGTTGTCAATACGAAAGACAAATTAAAAGAGTATGATATAAGTTACTTATATTTTCTCTCTTTTTACGGAAACTCGAACTCAATCATGTTGGAAATGATATTAGATGATTAAAGACAGCACTGTCAATCAAGTCCAGCGTATAAGTTTTTAGTAAAGTCCAAATAAAATAAAATGCAATTAGTAATTTGGCCACTGGTCAGTATAGTGCCAGTGCCAGTGGAACAAGCAGATATATATATAATATATGTAACCAAATTGTGAAAGAAAAAAAAGACATATGTGTGACTGTAATGATTTCAGAATAGAAACAATTAAGGTCAACGTAGTAATATAAGAAAATCAAATTTAACCCTATGTACATAAAAAGAAAATAAGGCTCGAACATGATTAATTAACAATTTATACGTACCAGTTAGATGAGATTATTTCTGCTTACCGAATTTAAATAGTGTTCAAGTTTGGATGAGTATAACTATTTATTCCAGTGGGTTTTCTGTCAGAATTTTCAGTTATATGACTTTACATAATTTTTTAGGGGTTATTTTTTTGTGGGTTTAAGTACGAAGAATTTACTACATTACACATCAGTCATTGAGTGCACTCAGAACCCAACGTGAAAATATTTTGAGGTAGTGATCAAAGACAATCAATTCATATGATTACAAAAATTGTCTGTAACTTTTACAAAAAGACAACAGATTATGAGATAGATTTTCTTTTTATGTTTGGCTTGGATATGTTGAAAAACAGGAGCCAAAAAAAAAAACTGAAAAGTGTCATTGAAGTTACAATTATATACTCACAAATCATACTAATTTATCTGGTCATGTTCAGCATTTACACGCAATATCAATTCTATAATTCTCATGAGTGTATATAAAAAAAGGAATTACCACCTTAATTAAGCAGTTATTCAATTTTAATCTTTCAGGCACACAAGAAATTTGAGCAGTTACAAAAAAAAGAATTTTTTTTGAGGATTAGAAACAAGGAGTTATGGAAAAGTAATTAATTTTAGAAACAAATTAATCTGTTTGAAAAAAAAAAAAAAAAAAAAACAAATTAGTCGAGATCCAATTTGCATGCTTGGTAAAGTTTTGAATTGAATCCAAATTTGCTTATGAAACCTTAACCGTACGATTAAGGAATTTAATTATCTAGCCGTTAGGAGTAAATAGAGGCCGTCGATTTTGGCACTCTTCAACGGCTTAAAGATATGAGAGAGAAAATCACACAGTTGTAGAAGATGTGTATAGATTTTGGCTCTCATAAGCATCTTTTTCTTCATCTCCGTTTTTCGAAAGACGATTTCTGTGTTCACAGTGCGATGCGATTCTCAAGAACAAGAACATCTTTGTCGTCAACGTCGCGATTTCCCTAGGATCAGCAGATTCCACTTGCAAATCCGCTCTTTACCTTCTCGTCACGGATCTATCCTGTGGTACGAAACCCTCTCTGACCCCGTTTTCGATTTCTAGGGATTTCTTCGCGAAATATTTTGTTAATCCGAAAATAGATTGTTTCTAGTGATCGATTTCATGTCCATGAATGCGTTTCTGGTTGATTAATTGGATTCGTTACTTGGATTTAGCGCATGTGATGGATCAGAGAGTGGAGCCAGATGCTTGTGTTGAGGTGAAGGAAGGTGATATTATTAGGATCAGTGGTTTAACAAGGCTACACTGGATTCCGCTAAGCCGTGCTTATGATATCGAGAATCCGTTCAAATAGAAAGCTTGAAGCAGAAGAAAATCTAGAGATTGCAAATCAGGTTGGACCTTCTCACGTGTTTGCTATGTAAGAAATCGTTGTTAATAGTTTGCTATGTCCTTGTTTTGCTTAGCTCTATACTTGTTCTGAAACTGTAATCTAGAGAAGAGTGCATTGGTTGATGACGGAGATGTACTTGTGGATGTGACGCCTCAAGGAAGTGGATCATCAGTCCCTAAGTGCATATATTACGACAAGCTACAATCCAATGAAGATTTGCAGACTTCAACGAAAGTGAGGCTTACATGGTTCTGAAATTCAAGTTTCTGCTGAGGCTGACGAATGGGATGTAAGAGGATATCAAGTTTTGCGTCTGAATGTGATGTAAAGAGAGGATGACCCTATGAGGCGAGCAAAAGGTGGTTGCTTTTTTTCTCTGTTTCCTGATTCTCGGTTTCGTAATAGATAAGCTTATGCATACACCAATCTCATTCAATCTATTTCCTTTAACTGGTTCTATCACTATGCAGGATATGAGACACTGAGACAAGTATAAAGGCAAGAGGTGGAAGAAAGTAAAGTAAATTTCTTTTCTTGGATCTATTTCCTGTACAAAAAGTAGCATCAATGTTGTTTGATTTCTTGTTATTTCACTTTGCAGCCGATTTTTTCACAGATAGAACACAAGTCCAATAAAAACTTGTCCTTGGTTTCTGATTTTGTAGGAAGATTAAAATGGTTCAACTTGTGAGAAAGTATGGACCGGCCAAATGGTCTGTTATCGCAAGGTCTTTACCAGGAAGCAATGTAGAGAAAGGTAATAACGATTTGAATAGAATGTATGGTCTCTTCACTTGTCGCTTCACTTACAGAGTTGGTTCTCTTCCAGTTAGCAAAACCTACTCCTCCATGGCTAATTTGTGGAATCGTGTTACTTCTTCATCTGGGAAATTCAATCCGGTTTTAGCCTCCACCTCTCACGAGGCTTCTCCTATCAGGTAACTATCTCCACTGTTGTTTTGAATATGAGTACAGGGTGGGTAGTGTGATTGTAGTGGGCTAATAAACAAATGAGCTTTGTATCAATTTGTCAAGCAGATTTGAAAGTCGTTCTAATTGAAATCATGGATCACTTAAGCTTGCGTATATTAATCTGTGGAAATAAAAAAAATGTTTAAATCTTTTCTTTAAGTGTTATGGACTTGAGGAATTGCACTAATTGCAATACAAAAAAAGAGTGAATGTAGTTCTCGTTTCTTTTGTTACTAGACACAAATTTTAAAATCAGCGAGATTGGGGAAGGAACTATTTTTCTGAAGTTTTTTTTTTCTCTTTAAAAGTGAGGATCAGGAGAATAAATATGCCCATGGAGTTTCTGAGATAATTGTGTGGAATCGTTTCAGACGTTCCGCCAAGAACTCCTGAAGAAATATCATCTCAAGGTAAGTATAATCCAACACCAGCCCATTCTCATATATTTTCAGATATGATCTCTTATTGATCAATTGTGTTTTTCTTACAGACTGTTGCTTACATTGGTGTGCTTTGTGTCAAGAATAAACTCAGGAAAACGAAACTTATGAATAAAGATATGTTTCTATCTCTCTTTGTTTTTTTTATTAATCTGCATTAATATATGAATTAGTTTAATATCAATTAGATTTATATTAGTTGTGAAACTAACCGGATATGGTATCCAACCATTTGAATTCATTTGGTCGTTAGAGATTACCAATGTTCAATTTGTATTCTCAATTAATACAAATCAATCGAAATATTATTAGAAAATTAGATAATAATAATAATAATTGCAACACTAAATAAAACTTGAATCTAATCTAAATAGGAAATCTGGTATTGTTTTTTGTATTGCTTCAGATTAAATAATTCTCCATAAAATAAAACTCTGGAAGCAAGAGATACCTATGAATAAAACTCAAAAAGAAAGATACGTCTTCTATTCTTTTTATTTTTATTTTTATTAATTCGCATTAAAATCTAGAGTAGTTTAAAATCGATTAGATTTACATTAGTTGTGAAACTAACCGGACATAGTATCCAGCCATTTGAATTCACTTGGTCGTTAGAGATTATCTATGTTCAATGTGTATTCACAACTAATACAGATCAATCGGAATCTTATTAGAAAAGAAAATAATAAATAATATTTGCAATATTAAATAAAACTTGAATCTAATCCAAATAGGAAATCTGGTGTTTTTTTTGTATTGTTTCAGGTTAAATCTTTCTCCACAAAATAAAACCCAAGAAGCAAGAGATACCGTAAGAAGGAAACTAAAAAAAAAGATATGTTTTCTATTCTTTTTATTTTTATTTTTATTAATTCAGATTAAAATATAGTTTAGTTTAAAATCGATTAGAATTACATTAGTTGTGAAACTAACCGGATGTGGTATCCAGCCATTTGAATTCATTTGGTTGTTAGAGATTTCCTATATTCAATTTGTATTCACAACTAATGCATATCAATCAGAATGAAATTTGAATCTAATTTGGTATTATTTTTCTGTATTGTTTCAGGTTAAAATTTCCTTCACAAAATAAAATTTATGAAGTAAGAGATAGCGTGAGAAAGAAACTAAAAAGGAAGATATGTCTTTTTATTTTTTGTATTATTATTCATTCGCATTAAAATTTAGATTAGTTTATAATTGATTAGTTTTACAATTAATCAGATATGGTATCCAACCATTTGAATTTATTTGATTGTTAGAAATTAGTTATGTTTAATTTGTATTTACAATTAATGCAAATCAATTAATTTCTTATTTGAAAAAATAATAATAATTGCAAAACTATTAGGTTTTCTTTCTTGATACAGAGATTGAAACCCACTAATAATTCACAATTAATGCAAAGTAGTAATGGGTGTAATGGGTGTATTTCTGCATTTCTTAGGTTTTCTTTCTTGATACAGAGATTGAAACCCACAAATCATCTTGTCGAAACTTTTAATAAAAAGATGAGATTGCTGAGTATCAATTTTAATGAATTTATGAAAGTTTTTTTTAACTTTAGACTATTACAGGAGATAAAGAAAAACACATTGAGCGTAAATCCACACTAATACTGGAACGTACAAATGCTATGTAAGTAGCCAAGTTGCCACTAGACTAACACCCTTGTGGCTACAAAGCATGCAAATTGGAACTTCGGAGTTAATGAAAATGAAATATATACGTCAAAACAAACAATCTTCGAGCCCCAGGAAAAACAAGAGAGGCGAGAGATAATAGAGGGTACAATGTGGTAATACTACTCTGTCTTGGAGATAGGAGGCACAGAGAGTTCGGGCTCGAGCATAAATGAAAGATCATGCATCCGTGACATCAGCTCCTCTGCGACATCACTTTTTGACTTGGGATATTTTGTTGTTGTGCCTGCAAGATCAAGTGTTTGATCTTTACCTCCAGCTTCAATCGCTCTAAAAACAAAGCAACAACAACAGAGTGGGAACATGTTATAACGAATGAAATGAAGTTTGCGTACAGAGATCAGAGAACAAGGAATATAAGAAACCTCTCTAAGGTTGAGGTTCCAGAAGGCATGGCTTTCACTTCCTCTGAGTTGGTTTGGCCTCCAATATTTTCCAAAAAGAAATCAGAATCAAGGTCTCGGTGACTGTTATTTGCCCCAAACAAGTTCATTTCCGGATTCTGTGCAGCAGATGAATCCACATGGTTGTTGAGAGGCTGCACAGGTGTTTGCAAAAGGGTTGAGGATGGGAAACTATCCCAAGTTCCAAAGAGATCATCTTCTTGACCTTTGGCTATGTCAGATATCAAGCTTGTTGTACCAGTCTTCTGCTTCTTGTCTTCGCTCTGCTCTTTAACATCGTTCTTAACATGTGCCATCCCATAGAATATATCTTCTTGGGAACTTCCAATGTTTTGAGAAAGCGGATTATTAGGAGCCTTGGAGTTAGCCGAGCTTTCGAAATCATTCCAGTCATCGTCATCATCATTATCATCCGTAGGTTTCTTCTCAGTGGCTTTCTTTGCATTGGTTTGCCACAGATCATCTCCCATCCAATCAATATCCATGGATGAACTTCCATTGCCGCCCACACCTTGTCCCTCATTCTTATTATCATGAACAGCTGGGTCATTGTTTTGAGTCGTGCCAAAAAAATCATCTTGCAACCAATCACCAGCTTTGGAAACGTAAGCAGTTGAAGAATCTGTTGATAAATCTTTGCCGGAACCAAAGAAAGAATCCATATGAGCAGCCAAATCAACCGGAGAACTTAGAAAGGGATCGCCACTAATCTTTTCCTGGGGAACAGACTGAAAGTCAGAATCCCAATCAGAAGAAGATGCAACAGCCTTGTCATGGAAAGACTTAAGGCCAGCATTTGATGATGGTGCGCCCTCAAAAAACCCAAAGTTTCCATCCTCTAAAGAAGAACTGTTCCTCTGGACATCTTTACCATCCTCTTTAGAAGCACTATCTCTCTGAGCCTCGAAAAATCCAAAACTCTCATCTTTGTTAGAAGAACTACTTCTCTCAGCATCTTTTCCCTCAAACAGACTAAGGTTCTCATCCTCTTTGAAAGTCTGCCGAGCATCTTTTTCCTCAAAGAACCCAAAGTTTCCCTGCTCTGCTAAAGAAACATTATCCTGGGCATCTCGTCCCGCAAACAAACTAAGATTCTCATGTTCTCCAGACGAAACATTCTTCTGCGCATCTTTTACCTTAAACAAACCAGCATTTTCATTCTGCTCTGATTCAACAACTCCCTGACTCTTTGCACTATCAAATAGGCTAAGACTACGTGGATCCTTAAAGTCATCCTCCACGGGTTCGGGTTTGCTCTCTGCAGGATCCACTTTGGAAAGATCTCCTCTTCGTTCATCGAGATAATCGTCAAGATGAATCCCTCCTAGATTCAGGTGGTTTTTATTCTGCACTGATTGTCCATCGTCAGGCCCAGACTTTTCCTCTATTGCAGACCATCGTACTTCCAAATCAAGAAACTTAGACACAGCAACTCCTTTTACTACGGATGCCTTTGCTCCTCTGCTTGATCCATTCGTCTCCTTCAGTGGCTCTACCATCTCCTGCAGATGAAATCGTTTCATAAAGTCTGCATCTTTTTTTTAATAGCACAGCACAAACATATACTAATTTTTAGTGCCAACAAATGTTTACAGAAAAGCAAATAATTTTTTTATTTTCTCGGCAATGCACAATCAACAGGTTGAAAAGTATTTCTCAGCAAAAATCGGAAACGGAATATTTTGTTCTTGTTGTACGAATGATATTTGATGTTTTACCGATCCGTCGAGATTAAGAGAGCTGAGAAACCATTTGTAACCAGAAGTGGAGGTGAACTTGATGGGATCAGGAGGGTTATCGCTCGTCCGCTGCTGCTTGCCGCAGAAAATGCAGATCAGAGACTCGATTCCGCGTAGAAGCTTTCCTTGGCAGTTCCGGCAACGGAGGTATGGGGCCGAAGCATCGAGTTCGGCGATTGCCTCCGGAGCTGTGGGAAGGCTGGGGATAGAGGAGTCCGAGTAATCGCCGACGGGATCGAAGGAGGAGAGCTTGGCCTCCTTTCGAAGCGAGACCTTAAGTTGGTTTATCAGATCCAATGAGATCTCTGTCGCCATTTCGTAAGGAATCTAGTGTTTGAAGCACGAAGATTCTGAGTCTCCCCCCTCTGTCAACAATGCTCTAAAAATCAAAGGATGATTGAACAAGAGACCTCCATGTGAGGCACTCCCCAAAAGCTTCTGGGATCAATTTTAACCGAAAGAGAACCAGAAAATCGTACCGAAACCGGTTTATCTAATTGATTTTTTTTGATGCTTCATTAACTAACTTTATGGCTAAATTGCACTTTGCCTATTTTAATAACTGTCGACGAAATTAGAGAGCAAAGAGTCAAAATCCTGTCAACAACAGCTAGCACCCGCTCCACTCGCCATTTTTCTACATAGAGCGAATCAGACAGGTCAAATCCCATACAATCCCAGTTCGAGATCTATTCACACTCGCCGAAAGATCGACTCTTTACGAAGACCCAGATCGACGGATCTCGTGTTGATGGCGAGTCACGCGGCGGCGTTGAAGGTCGGGCTAGCTTTGCTGGGGCTGAGCATGGTGGGTTACATACTTGGTCCGCCTCTTTACTGGCATTTCACTGAGGCTTTAGCCGCCGTCAGTCACTCCTCCGCCGTTTCCGCCTCCTCTTGTCCTCTCTGCGTATGTGATTGCTCTTCCCAGCCTCTTCTCACGATTCCTAAAGGTAATACAAGTTGCAATTTTGCTTCATCTCGGTGTAAAAGCATGCTCATTTTTGGTAGATCTGCGGGGAAAGTATGCTCTTTTTTATGCAGAGATATGATATGCTTATGAAATTAATAACTTATAGTGTGTGCATCGGAAATTTGGTATTGTAGCTGTCGGAAGTACAAATTGGTTTTTAGTTGATTTATGAAGTTTTTGGTTTCTTCTGGTGCTGGATTTTGTGGATTCCATGTTTGAGCTTGGTTGGTTCCTGAGTTTGAATGCTTTACCGATCTGGTTGATAGATTAGAGTTTGGGTTGAAACTTACTCTGTAATTGCTCATTTATATATTGACAGATTTTTCAAGTGACTCTCTTTAAATTAGTTTTCGGATGTTACCAAATCCAAAAGATTGACCCTTTTATTTACATGTTTCCTTTACTCTTGCAGGACTCAGCAATGCTTCTTTTGCCGGTGAGTTAATTGTGTAGTGCATTTTCTTGAACTGTATCAGTTTAAGACTCTTTAAAGTTCGGTAGTCGAGTCTTAGTCTTGAACATCTTGCTTGACGTGTAGACTGCGCAAAGCATGATCCAGAGGTGAACGAAGACACTGAGAAAAACTATGCTGAGCTTCTAACCGAGGAACTGAAGGTCCGTGAAGCGGAATCTTTAGAGAAACAAAAACGAGCAGACATGGGGCTATTAGAGGCCAAGAAGGTAACTTCGTCATACCAAAAGGACGCAGATAAGTGCAACTCAGGTATGGAAACATGCGAAGAAGCTCGAGAAAAAGCGGAACTAGCACTCGCCGAGCAGAAGAAGCTTACATCTAAGTGGGAAGAGCGAGCTCGTCAAAAAGGATGGAGAGACGGAACCACCAAGTCAAATGTTAAACCCAAAAGCAATGTTCAGGTTGCTTAGGGAAAAACTAGGATCATCAAAATGATCTTTGTTCCAAACCACTCGTGTAATTGTGAATTGAATTTTAACAATATAATGTCAAATACTGTTATAACTAAGCAATCACAAGTTGTATGCTTACAGTTAAAAAAAAAAAACTCATACAATAACCTAAGTTAAGAGTAGTAACTAGTATGAAGATGCAGAATATGCAGAGTTCTTGACAAACAAAACTTTTGTGCGCAAGAGATAGGCTTCACATTGACCTTTTAAACAGTCTCAACTCTCAAGTGTATCATGAAACTAGCAGAACTGGAGATGAAAAAAAGCGGCCAGGAGTATTGTGAACATCGTGACTGACGTGGCAATTCTAATTTCCACGTCATCGATTGTTGGCTCGGTTAAGGTTTAGATCGGGTTACTAAAATTCGGTTCAGGTTCAGTATTGAATGGGCCAGATTTCTTTATAGCCCCAAATCCATAAATTGGTCCAGTGTTATAATCATGGTCGGGAAACATTCGAAAATCTCAGAAAATAGTATTAGATCAGCCGCAAACTATGAAAATAAACAATTTAATTCACAATAGAACAACCACGAACAGTTCAAATTTTGACATGATGAGATGTTGAGAATTTGCATCTACAGTCTTTTTTAAACTAAACATGAGATCTATTACAAATCTAATCTACCATTAAGACCAACGTCATTTTCACTAGGAATTTTTTTAAACTCATAGGTTTTAATTTATTACTGGTAATCATGACTTTCAATTTAGTCTTTGTAGAAAAAGAAGGCAGATTTTTCCGGTCTTGTTTTCTAAAAGGTCAACAGAAAAATGTAACTTTATAAGTAACTTTGTCTCTTGTATTTCATATTCTTGATTATGATTTTCACACAAATCATGTCGCTATTCAAAGCTTCATCATTTTGCATACGAACACTTTCACCGTAAAGCTTCATTATACTCACGCGTAAGTAGCAATCTCTGATATGTTTATAGGAAAAAATGTGTTACGTTTTACATGTGAAAATTATTAAGAAAATCAACCAATACAATATTTTCGTTTAGGTTTTTACCAAATTGCCCGAAAACACAGAGAAGACCTTCCAATTTAAATATTTTTTCTGAAAAAACTCTAAACTAGATGAATAAAACACAATCCAGTTGTTTTTTTTTTTTTTTTTTGGTCATCAACAATTCAATTGTTTATGGATAAAAATTTCAAAAGTTGGAATCCTTGCAAATCCCTGGTAAATTTCTAGCATGTATTAATTTATTATAGGGATCCTTATACTAATATATGTGTGTGTGTGTGAACTCCCACATTTATTGCCACTGGATTTTATATTTCCTTTTTGAGTTGAATTTCAAATCGTTGCATCTATAATCAATACTCACTTTTAAACCGGCCAATTTTAGGTGGGAAGTGGGGTTCACCCTTCACCATTGTATTTATCATATTCTCTCGCTCCATTGCAATTTACTGACAGTTCCACAAATATTTCTCTTTTTTTCTTTCAAAAAGTATAAGTTTGTAAAATTTTGTCTTAGTAACTAACCTAGTACTAACCAAGGGGTAAATTACATCCTTGTTTAAATTTTGGTTAGAAGCAAACCCTTTAATGTTTGAAATATGGTAGAAATAGAATGCATGTGTGACAAAAAAATTGTAGTATTTTTCTCTTTTCAACCTTTGCTAGTCACGTAGTACTGTATATTTACTAGAATGTCACCTCAATCTTGTATTACTGTAGATATAAAAAATTATGTTGACAAAGAAGAAACTTTATGAGGTGGACCATATATGTCTACACCTAATCCCTAAATAAAATGCAAATATATTACACGCTCGTAGCAACACATATGGAAGTTTGTGCATCACAACTTATTATTATCTCTCATAATCAAACACACTCTCTCTCTCTCTCTCTCTCGCTCTCAATACAAAAGAAGAAACATTCTTCAAGAAAAATAAAAATAGCTCTCTCTCTTTGTTCTTATTAGAAAATAAAAAAATATGAATCGAGGTCGTCTTCTTTGTCTCATTGGTTTTCTCTTCCTCGTTGTTTTATCTAAAGCTTCAGGAACTCACGTTGAAAGAGGACACTTCTCGTCCTCCGAACCTTCTATGGAAAGCAGAGGGTTTCTCCCTACTCCATCCACCCTGCCGGGCGTCGGCGCCGGTGAAATCTTACCGGAGAAACGGAAGGTTAAGACGGGATCAAATCCTTTGCACAACAAGCGATGATGGATTAGGTCCCATAAACACACACACTCTCAGACTCTCTCTCTCTGGTCTTTCAACCACATAGATATATATCACACATATGTCTGTCTACACATTAATGTAGGATTTATCAGATTTTTTTGTTTTCTATTCTCTTCTCAATACTTAATAGCTTAGATGTTTATAACTTATAAGACGAAGCGTGAATCAATACATATTGTAAAAACAGCTTTAGTTCATCGTATTCATTTTACATTGCAGAACAATAAGATGCGAGGAACAATTGTAATGGCTTTTATTTCGCCGGATTTGGCCAAATACGTTATTAATTATTTTTATTTTAATCTCAGGTTTGTGTATTGTGTGTTCTTTGACCAAAAAAAATATACTCCGTTTTGAATTGAGACGACGCCGTTTCATTTGCTCTCATAAATAGTTATCCGGCGTCTATAGAGATCCGGTATCGGAATCGTTCAAACGAACCCGTTGGTTCTCTTAACGTTAAATTCTAATGTAACCATCCTCGTGCTCTTCGAGCCTAGTCTTCCTTCTTCAACTTTCTCGAGCGACTCGAATAGCGTTTCAAACCCGATCTCACGGCGGTAGTGACTTTATCTTACCGGTTGTACTCCGCCCAGAAGCTCCAAAGCATGTGCCTTTTTTTTGAACTCGGTTGTTATCAATAGGTTTAATGGGCGTCTGATTGACAATTCGGGTTTGGCGATGGTGGATTGCGGTTTTAGCGAAGAAATGCTTCAGTTTGTGGAGAAGATTTTCGATTTGATGTTTAGGATTGATGCCGATAATGTTTGAAGAAAGTGTGAGGATCTTCGATTACATTTTGGGGAAAGGTCGAGTATCAACGAAAGACCCTGCATTGTTTTTCTAGTCGCCGCAGAGAAAATCACTGTTTGGCATTTTTTCATGCGAGTGGTGGATTCTGGTGTGAAGATCACTGTTTATTTCATGGACGATTGTGGTCGAAGGATTATGCAGAAGAGGAGAAGTTGAAAAGAGTAGAGAGTTGATAGATGGCATCTCGATGAAGAACGGAGAAAGTGGCGTATAACGCCGCGACATATACAGTTCTGATCGGACTAGACTGGAATAACGAAACTTTGTTGGTGCATGGAAACTGTTCGATGAAATGCGTGATAGAGGAATAGAATCAGACTTCCAATGTTATATATACTTCTCTTATTAGTTTGAATTGCAAAAAGAGCGTTTTTGTTGTTTGATGAAGTGATGGAGAAGGGTCGTTCACCGAGTAGTCTGCTTGTGCTGGTCATCCTGTTGAGGAGATATGGTCGATGGTTTATTCGAATCACTGAATCAGAGCCGTTGCTTTGGGACTATGAACAATTTGCTGTACATGTGAGCCCATTGATTTTCAACTTGTAAAGAAAGTAAAAGTTGGTCTCTTTTCTTCAACCTCTGGTGAAAAGTCAAAAGAGCTTCTCTACAAGAAAGTGGAAAATATCCAATCTTCTTCTCTCTTCAACCTTGATCTCCAAGGCTGGTAAATCGTTTTTTAATCCTCAAATTTTTTTTGTATTTCTGATAAAAAAATCATAACTTTTGTATAATATTGATATATTCGACCGAAGAGGATAAGATAAAAACATCATATATATAAATAGCTGCGCGAGGAGATCAATCAAGCGAAACAACAATAGAAAATCTGAAAATGAGTTTTCTTGCAGGGAGACTCGCGGGAAAAGAAGCTGCCTACTTTTTCCAGGAATCCAAACACGCCGTTAATCGCATCGCCGAGAAGTCTCCGACCACCGGCAAAAAGCTTCCATCTTCTCCGGCGGATCCACCGGGTATTCAGCCCGATGTTCTTCCGGAGATTCTACGCCATTCTCTCCCTTCTAAAATCTATGGTCCACCTCCCGACCCTTCGTCCCTCTCCCAGTTCTCCAAATGGACTCTTCCATCCGACCCAAACGCAGTCGTTTCTATTTCCCCTGACGTCTTGAATCCCCTCAGAGGTTACGTGTCTCTGCCTCAGGTCACTTTCGGCCGCAGAAGGTTCAAAACTTGATCGAAATTATGATTTTATAGTCCGTTTCACTTGATGGATATATCAATGTTTTTGATTGTTTTGATATCGATCTGTTGATAATCTGAATCGGTTTGTCTGCAGATGGGACATACCGGATTCGGAGAGTTCGGTTTTGGCGTCAACAGCTAATGAATTGAGGAGAGACGTATACGGCACTCCTGTAAATCCTGAAAAATTGAAAGCTGCTGGTGAAGGGCTTCAACATAGTATGTTTTAACTTCTCTTCTTAGTTTAGCTCGGAATCAAGCTTTTTGAACTTGGATTCATGGACACTGGAGATTTATCTTATCCATAGAGAAGGCCTTTTGTCTCGATTTTGGTTGTTTGCTAGAGAAAGAGGGATCCAATCAATATTACTGTGTTCTGTATATACTTCCTTGCTTTTGCGTCCAACTGAACACTATGCACAGATATATATACACCTGATAGCAATAGAGACATTGGTACTATAGCTACTGTTGATCATGTAAAATGGTTTCCCTAAGCTTGTCTACTTACCCTGTTAGGACTGCAATGGTATACATACTTTTGATGAGGTTTCCAGCTTACTTTAGAGAACCCCCTTTTTTGTTTGTTATGAAAATCATAATTTTCCAGTGGCTAGGGTTCATGAGTGTAGTGTTAATACGTGATTTCTGGGAGTCTCTTACTGACTGTGATGAGAAATAATCTAAGAATTTCACTTTCAGACAATTTTGGTTATAGTTTTAGTATTCTGAAGTATCTTTCTGTGCTGCCTGTTTCTATGGTGTGTTTGTTTCAAGTTACAAATGGGCTTTGATCTTTGTGTTTGAGGTGTATTCAAAAGCAGAAACTGCCACCAAAGAATAGAACTAGATGATTGTCTGATTTCGTAAAACTAGTGTTTGCATAGTTTACATAATCTGGAGCCCTCTGATTTTCTTGTTTTTGCAGTTGGAAAAGCATTTGCAGCCGCTACTATTATCATATTTGGCTCAGCCACTTTGGTTTTTGGAGCGGCAGCCTCAAAACTTGACATGCGCAATGTAAGATGGCAAATGTTTCTCTATGGGCTTTACATAAAACTTCGAGAATTCGCATTTGTAAGCTCGCTTTACTGATCTTGAATACCATTCTCTTTCGTGTAGGCCGATGATATAAGAATGAAAGGAAAAGATCTTTTTCAGCCAAAACTGGAGTCAATGAAGGCACAAGTAGATCCCCTAAGAACTTGGGTAATGTTAAAGAAAATTGCTTGCATCTTCATACTTTTCAATAGAATCGGGTCATAATCATTAATATTAACCTGAAAGACTACAATTCCAGGCGGAAAACATGTCGAAGAAGTACCATTTTGAAAATAACGATGGTACTATCAAGGAGAAACCAATCTTGAAGGAGCTTTCGAGAATTCTTGGACCCAAATCTTAAAAGGCTGAGGCTTTGGATAAACGACAAACGTTTTATTATATGAACAGAGAAAAGCCAAGCAGGAGTTTTTCTATATGTATGTGAGATGGAATAAGATCTTAGTAAAGTATCAGATTGTGCTGTATCAATGTTTGTTAGTAAATTGATGGAGTGATAAAGCTTTTGTATAAATAAAGTTTTTATTAGTTTCAGTGTTACTCTTGGAGTCGGATTCAGATCAGGCCGATTTGCGTTGCAGACAGGGGTTGAATAGATACATTACGAAGTTATGCAAAAAATTGTAAACGTTATAATAAATAAGAGTTGTTATGTAATTTGTTTGCTCCGACGAGTAAAAATTTCAATTTGGGGGGGGGGGGGGGGGGGTCTCGTCGTTTTGCAACTAAGGTCTTTCTTTTTGGCGGAGAGGGAGAGGGATGAGTAATCAAAGAAAGAGATTAAACGGAGAAGAAGAGGACGATGAAGACGGAGACGGTATCGGCGATTGGGAGAGAGCTTATGTTGACGACAGATCCTGGGAGGCGTTGCAAGAGGATGAGTCTGGGCTTTTGCGCCCAATTGATAACAGTGCCATTTACCATGCTCAGTATCGCCGCCGCCTCCGCATGCTCTCCGTTGCCGCCGCTGGTACTCGCATCCAGAAGGGCCTTATTCGCTATCTCTACATCGTCATTGACTTCTCTCGGGTATATTTCTACTCCTTTTCGCCTCGACGTCTATGGAATCGAGTTGCTGATTTTAAGTGAATTCCAGCTTTAATCCCGTTTTCCGTTGAGTTGATTTCGCAAATGTTGCTTTCACCGGAACTTATATAGAAGATAGGCTATATGCACTTTGGGGGTTTTCTACTTTTGAATCTTCGTTTGAGTTTAGGAGATCTCTGCTCTTTCGTCTTTGGGGCTCTGTGTTGTTCGTAATGATAATCTCACGATACTGTGACTTGTGATCCTTATTCTGGCAACATTATGTATGATTTGGATTCAAATTTGAGGAAGCTTGTGATATGCAATGCCTAACACTTGGTCTGTTTTCGTCGTATCCAGGCAGCTGCGGAAACGGATTTCAGACCAAGCAGGATGGCGATAATGGCAAAACATGTCGATGCTTTCATTAGAGAGTTCTTTGACCAGAATCCTCTGAGTCAAATCGGTTTGGTCTCTATAAAAAACGGGATTGCGCATACCCTAACAGACCTTGGTGGTAGCCCTGAGTCGCACATACAAGCGTTGATGGGTAAGCTTGAATCTTCGGGTGACTCCTCTTTGCAGAACGCCCTGGAACTTGTGCACGAGCATCTCAACCAGATTCCATCTTATGGCCATCGCGAGGTTCTGATATTGTATTCAGCTCTAAGCAGCAATGATCCGGGAGATATCATGGAGACAATTCAGAAATGCAAGAAATCAAGGTTGAGGTGTTCTGTAATTGGGCTTTCTGCAGAAATGTTCGTGTGCAAACACCTCTGCCAAGAAACCGGCGGGTTGTATTCCGTTGCAGTCGATGAGGTGAGTTTAGCTACCTTCTGATTTCTTCCACTTGTTGCAACTTTTAAATAAAAGCTTTGTCTTATAACAGTGTGTGTTTTGTCCTCTTTATGCAGGTGCATCTAAAGGATCTTCTTCTCGAACATGCGCCTCCACCTCCGGCAATAGCAGAGTTTGCAGTTGCAAATTTGATCAAGATGGGTTTCCCACAAAGAGCTGCCGAGGGTTCAATGGCGATCTGTTCGTGTCATAAGGAAGTTAAGATCGGAGCTGGTTACACGTGCCCGAGATGCAAAGCTCGTGTATGTGAGCTCCCTACGGAATGCACCATCTGTGGGCTGACACTTGTTTCATCGCCACATCTGGCTAGATCATACCATCATCTCTTCCCAATCGCTCCATTTGATGAGGTTCCTACTCTTTCAAGTCAGAATGATCCTCGGAGAAAATTGGGAAAGAGTTGTTTTGGTTGCCAACAGAGCCTACTTGGTGCAGGTAAAGAGGTTCCTACTTTCTTAAGTCAGAATGATTCATTGTGTGTCGTATTATTAGCCCATATGTCCATCTCCTTAGTCTTGGTCATTCATTGTTCTTTTGTTTTGTGCGTGCAGGGAACAAGCAGGGGCCATGCGTAACATGTCATAAATGCAAACACTATTTCTGTCTGGACTGCGACATATACATCCACGAGAGCTTACACAACTGTCCTGGCTGCGAGAGCATTCACCGTCCCAAATCAGTTTCCTTGATGGAAGAATGAGAGAATGTGTTGTTCACACACTCACTGGACGTAAGAATTAGGTCTTAACTATATTGATCTGAGAAACAGGAACACTCGAATATTGCGAAGTCCTATTGGCTCTGTGTGGAATAAAGGTTACAGATGATGATTTAGTGGAAAGGTCTCACAATTTTCAAAAATCAAGCTATATATGACTCATCCGTAGCATTATTATAGCAGCAACATGAGAAAATGTATTACACATACCAATGACACAGTTGATCCACTACAAAGCTGCTGCTTTATTTTCTGAAGAAATAAAGAAACAAGTGATCTTTAAATAAAGAAACATTAGTTTTAGACAGCTACAAAAATATCTTAGAATCTAAAAAATCTTTGAAACACCAAACGAGACCGTATCTTCGCCCTAAAAATCTCCCTGTTCTGTTAGAAATTTGAAAGAGCAAATTGAAATTATCCTTTAGTATTGTTGTAACAAGAATAATATTTGTTAGAGAAAGTGCTTGCCCTACCATGAAGACGAAGCATTCTCCGGGGAAAGATGATCCGATCCTCAGCTTCTGCGAAGCAACGTCCGAGTCTCGAGAGTCAGCACTCTTCTTTCTCGAAGGCTTCAGCTGGGATCTCGATAACGCCGTCTCTGGTTTTCTCCAAGGCCACCTTCCTCCGGTCAAAAAGCCGCCGTTGCAGCGATCTCGATCTCGATCTCCCTCGAGGCGGAGTTACTCTCCTACATCTGGCTTGAGATCCAAGTTTAAGATGGACGCAGTTGAAATTTCCAAAACGTGGGTCTCCTATACAGTAATCTAAAATAGATGTTTATCATCTTTAATGTTCATCTTGTTTTTTTTTGTACAGAGTGGATGATAGTAGAGAACATATTAGGATTACGAGTTTGAAGAAGAGGTAAAGTCTTATCTTGCCTTCTCCTCCATTATGACTCTGTCCTCCTGCTTTTACCTATAATCATTTTCTTTCCTTACAAATACCACAGGGATCAGCCCTAGCTGCAACGATACGTCAAGAATGTCTCTTGCCCTTCTCGGATCTTGATTCAGACTCGGCTAAGCTAATAGGACTTTTCTTGAGGTGGAAGCATATTTAATGTATGGATGATCCTTTCATACTTTTTCCAGCAATCTCTCTCTTATTTATGCATACACAAGACTTTCTTGTTATTCTGCTCTTCTCTGACTTATTTCTGTCAATCATACTGTAGAAAAAAAGACTTTTTGATTGAGCAAAGTGAGTGATACAAAGTGGGAAACTTCAACAATTTTAGAGTCAAACAATGTGACTTTGACCCTCATCATCGTTATATATTTTGTATGGCTGCAAAACAAAATCATATACATACCAGACACAGATTTTTTTCTTCAATCTCTCGTTTTGTTTGAAGTCTTTTAATTTTCCCCATGGTGAAACCGTGTTTCCCTGTTTCTTCCATCTCCTGTTTCTTGTGTTGTGCCTTTGTCTCCAGCTTCTTGGTTAACAATCATGTTTCTCTACCATTTCCTCGTCCCGACCAAATCGAGATCCTTCTGGCTTTTAAGAACGAGTTTCCACTCCCCAAATGCGGCTTCAGAAAGTGGGAATACTCAAAACCAACGACAAAATCTTGGACCAACAAGGACGCTAACTCCTTTGATGGGGTTAAATTTGATAACAAGACCGGTGTAGTGACGGAACTAGACCTACATGGTGCATGTCTCAGTGGCACTCTCGGTGCTAATAGTAGTCTCTTCAGATTCCACCACCTCAGGCACCTCGATCTCTCTTACAACGACTTTGACTCCTTCTCATTCCTCCCCGAACTTGGCAAACTCACAAACTTAGAGGTCTTGGGACTTTCTAAATTGGGCTTCGTCGGTGAAATTCCATCCTCATTCAGTAGCCTAAACCGCCTAACCGGCTTGGACCTTTCGAATAACGAGCTCTTCGGTAGTCTTTCCCCTGTATGCAATCTATCAAAGCTCTCTTCTTTAAGTCTTTCCAATAATCACTTTTCCGGAAAAATTCCTTGTTCTTTACTCACCCTGCCTTTCCTGTCCACTCTTGATTTGAGCCAAAACCATTTCATCGACTCTCCTGAAATTATAAATTGCTCTTCATCCTCCAAGCTTGAACAGTTAGACCTTGGCGATAACCTTTTCAGTGGTCAAATCCTAGAGCCTCTCTCAAAACTAACCAAACTCAAGGACCTCGACCTATCTTTTCAGAAAACATCCTATCCAAGCAACTTCGATTCCTTGGCCTTCAAGTCTCTAGAGTCTCTGAAGCTTTCCGGGAATAGTATATCAAGGCTTAATACCAGTGCACCAAATTTGGACGCATTATACTTGTATAGCTGCAACATCAACGAGTTCCCGACATTTATTAAAAACCTCCACAAGCTGCAACTTTTGGTTATGTCATACAATAGACTCAAAGGACAAGTGCCTGAATGGTTATGGAATCGGCCTTCTTTGGCCTCCTTGTTACTGTCTCACAACTCCTTCGATAGGTTTGAAGGCTCGCCTGAGATGCTCTTAAGATCTTCGCTTGTCGCGTTAGACTTGAGCTCCAACGCTTTCCGAGGATCTCTTCCTAGTATTCCTCCAAGATTGACGTTCATGCTTGCATCAAATAATAGTTTCTCAGGAGACATTCCTCTTTCATTGTGCAAGCAAAGCGATCTTGGTGTCATTGATCTATCTTACAACAACTTGAGCGGTTCCATTCCCAGATGCTTGAGTAAATCAGTGGAAGATTTGGATCTCCGTAACAACCACCTCACTGGGAGACTTCCCGACGTATTCGACAAAAGTGGCTCATTAAGAACACTTGACGTTGGCAACAATCAAATAACTGGGAAGCTTCCAAGGTCGCTTGCAAAGTGCAAAACCCTAGAGATTCTAAACGTGGAGGGCAATAGAATCTCTGACACGTTTCCTTTCTGGATGAAGGCTCTACCGAACCTGCAAGTCATTGTCCTACGATCAAACAGATTCCATGGTCCAATCTCTTCTCCTCAACATCCTCTATCGTTTCCACAACTCCGGATAATCGACATATCATATAACAAATTCACTGGAAGCCTACCACCAAACTACTTTGTCAACTGGAGCACGCCCTTGATCAACATGCCCGAAGATGATCAGTGGAATGTGTACATGGGAGATAATTACTCGTATGAGTATAACCCGTCCATGATTTTGAGAAACAAAGGACTAAACATGGATCTGGAGAAAATCTTAAGGACCTACGCGGTCGTGGATTTATCCGGAAACAAACTTGGAGGACAGATTCCTGAATCGATAGGTCTACTGAAGTCGTTGATTGTGTTCAGCTTATCCAACAATGAATTCACAGGTCATATCCCATCATCATTGGCGAAACTCACGAGGCTCGAGTCACTAGACCTATCTCGAAACCAGCTCTCTGGAAAAATTCCTCAAGAGCTAGCCACCCTTTCTTTCTTGGGGTACATCAACATGTCACACAACAGACTAACGGGCCAGATACCGCAAGGTACACAGTTTGGAGGACAGCCTAAATCATCTTTTGAAGGCAATATAAATCTTTGTGGTCTTCCTCTACAAGAAAGTTGCTTAAGAGGGAATGTTGCACCAACACCACAACAACTAAAAACGCCAAGGCAAGAACGAGTGTTGAACTGGAAAGCAGCGGCATTAGGCTATGGCCCTGGTGTTTCTTTTGGGCTGGCGATCGCACAACTCTTTGCTTCATACAAACCGGTCTTGTTCTTCAAGTTGTTTCGCCTTTGAAATGAAGCTTTTGCATTTGGTTTGTTGAATTACCTGTAAGGATTTCTGTTACCGTTCCGATATTAAATAATATATCAATAAGTTATTCATCCATTCGGGTACCTTTCTCCTCACCATCGTGATTGTGGAAATCTAATTGTGTAAATGTTTTTCTCTCTCAGAGAAAGAAGAAAGAGAGAGAGGATCGAATGATTCCAACTGTGATAAGGATTGGTGAAATACGATCAGAAATAGCAAATTGTGTGTATATATGTTTGATCGTGAAAGTATAGAGTTATTGTTTTCTTTGGAGGCTCATTTGTAAGTCAAAAGTAAACTATCAAACTCTGCAACACTTGATGTAAAAAAAGGCTTTAGATTGAATAAATTTGACATTCATTCCAAAAAAAAAGAATAACACACCGAAGCATTCTAAGTTATTATATCTTTTACAAATTCAAGTCTCCCAGCACATGACGTTCTCACTCTGGTCCATAAACATCAAGGTAAGACGTAGTTTATATTTGTGCACACTAAACCAGTGCTCCTGTATACCTTTGATTTCAATCTTTGTCATATCATTGCTTTGTATATCATAGCAAAGAATGTGAAAGGGAGAAGTGAAATCAACGGGTCTAAGGAAAACCTTACCCTTTTGAGTTGTACCTCTTATCAAAAATTTAATGTTACTTATCAAATGCATCTGACAAAGCTTCAAAGTCTGACTCTTGCACGACCATTTCTTGCTCCGGACATCTTCCAGAGTCCATAAAGCCAACACACCCTTGTCTTTAAGAATGGTCTGGTCAAAAAGAGTTACTTTTCCACCATGCTCCAAAATACTCAAATTCTGGGTAAGAGACCAATCCAGGGTTCTTCGAAGGTCCTCGTCGCCGTCTCTGGGAGGTATTTGGATCATGTTGAATTCTTCAGATCTAACGTCGAAACTCACAACCACTGCTTTATAATCAACATAAACCACGTAATAGATAACCCCATCGATACACACTCCTCCTCTGACAGCCAGTTGATGAGGAGAAAACTCCGGTGGAGTTAGAGCAGCCTCTCTCCAGGAACCTCCTCCTCCCGCTTTTAGGTCAAAGACCCAATTTTTACTCATCACTTTCGCACCATTCAGAGAGTATACAGAAATCAAGGAGACCACCTTGTACTGGTCGTTAATAGGGTCGTGTCCGAAATAGTAGTAGACAACTTTATCTCCTCCTCGAGGTACGATCATGTTTCTGGAGTTGATGAAGGGTAAGGTGACAAGTTGTCTTGTGGCAGGGTTATAGATATGTGCCCTTGACCTATAGATGTAGCACATGAAGCCACGAAAAAATTGCACGATGTTGCCTCCCATCCGTGGGATGGTCAGATCATGGTCAACTACAAAGGAAGACGGAGTAGTACTACTGCTGCTTGAAGGAGCCAACGAGAGTATTACCGACTTACCTTTGTCGTTGAGATCTCGTAAACTCAAGTAAAGGCGAGGGGCTGGAACCGTAAGAAAACGGTTGCTGAAATATTTTGAGCAGATGACCGATAACCAGTGCTTTGAGACGCACTTGAATCTCATCAGAGATTTTGCTGGCAGTCTCGTGAGAATCTCATCTGTCACCAAATCCATAGGAAGCTCCAGTGTCTCGCTAGACAATCCCATCGTAGCGCAACCTTGTAGAGAAAGTAATCGTAGCGATTAGGGGTTTTTAAACTGTTAACTATATGGAGGTGATGCAACTCGGGAAATTAGAAGATTTACTTTTTCATTTTTTTGCTAAAGGTGGAAGATTTACTTTTTTTTTTTTCTATTGATTGCATTGTTTTGGGTTCACAGGCGGTGTCTATGTATCTTATTGTTTATTCAGTTGGTTTCCCATTGGATGAAGATCTGAGCCAGAGTTTGTCAATACTTGGAACACTCATGTAAGAAGCTTCAAGTCCATCAATCACTAGTCCCCTTTCCTTGGCTCTAGATCAATCATACAGTAGCCAAAAGAAGACATAACGAAATCATTATATGCTTTGTTGTGTTACAGGTATATATTCAGTTTTGCAATTGGAGCTGGTCCTGTAACTGGTCTCATCATACCTGAGCTAAGCAGCAGCAGAACGCGTGGGAAAATAATGGGTTTCAGCTTCTCTGTACATTGGGTACGTAAATGTTTTTATTCGCATAAATCATTTTAAAACCTTTATTTAACTATAATGATGAAAACACACAAATATAAGTAGAGGGACCTGCAACTTTACTTTAGGTAACTTCTTGGTTGGTTTGTGTTGGAAAGAAAAAAACTTTTAAAAGTGATGGAGAAGGTGTTTAAGAATTTGAAAGACAAAGGAACAAATTTAAGAAGAAGAAAGTTTTAGAACTTAGAGAACTTAGGAACTTCACTTAACTTCCCTTATTATTTCTTTTAGCTTGTTAGTTACAAAATGAGAGAGGAGGTAGCTATTTTTTAGCCTTCAAAGTACAAAATATCTAAATATTTTATTCCTAAATCTAGAGAATTCTATCTTAAAAACTAGATTATTTTACAACAATTATCTAGAGAAATCTCTAGATATTTATTCTCTACAACTCTCTAGAACATTTTAAGGAGGTGGAAGTGTTGATTTTTCTAGAGAAAACTCTAAAATCTTTGATTAAGCATAATTGGGTTTTGGCCCAATTATTATTGGATCATTAACCCAATATTTAAGCTTGATCTAAAATCAAGTTTATCTTTCAACAGTTTGCTCTTCCTGGATCTGGTGGAAAAATATGGAGTTGGACCGGTTTATGCAGGCTTCGGCAGCGTCTCATTGTTGGCAGCGGCGTTCTCACACCGCTTCACGGTGGAGACAAAGGGTCGATCACTCGAAGAGATTGAACTGTCCTTAAACTCCAGAGACGACCTTAGCTAAAAAAAAACTATAGAAAGCAAAGAAAGAGCTTAAAGGGCTTGGAAACTTTTACATGTTTTTCGTCAGTTGTAAATAAATGGTCTGGAAAATAACTTGTGAGAAAATCTTATGATGCGAGAGTAAAGAAGTTTGGTAAAGATATTAAAATGTGTTACATTGACACATGAGTAAACTGCAAAAGAAAAGAAGAAAATATATATCTCGACGGTGACAGATTCTTGATTTCTGCCTACCATGAAGACGAAGCATTCTCCGGGGAAAGATGATCCGATCCTCGGCTTCTGCGAGGCAACGTCCGAGTCTCGAGAGTCAGCACTCTTCTTTCTCGAAGGCTTCAGCTGGGATCTCGATAACGCCGTCTCTGGTTTTCTCCAAGGCCACCTTCCTCCGGTCAAAAAGCCGCCGTTGCAGCGATCTCGATCTCGATCTCCCTCGAGGCGGATATACTCTACTACTACTACTACTTCTGGCTTGAAATCAAAATACAAGATGGACGCAGATGAGATCTCCAAAACGTGGATCTCCTATACAAATTATAATCTTAAAAAGTTTCTGTAACAAAAACTTCTGTTTGTCATCTAAAATGTCATCTTGTTGTTGTTTTTGTTTCGTACAGTAGAGAGCCTATTAGAGTTGCCGAGGATGCATCTCATGTTGATAGATCCCACGGAGAAAAAAAAGGTGTCTTTTACGCCTGATCCTGTGAATCATCATGAGTTTGAAGAAGACGCGACTTATTGATGTATAAAACCTTTGATGTTTTATCCAGCAAACTTTCTCTTACAAGGTTAACATACTAGACAAGCCATACAAGACTTTTTTTCTTTCTATTTGATTATTATTATTCTGCTCTACTCTAAAGTTATTTCTGATTCAGTTCATCCTCAAACTGTATAAGAAAATACCTGCGTGTCTCGAATAACGAACAAAGATATCTTGCCAAAAACTGTAGAGGGTGGATATACAATTCCTATACGCTGAACCTAAACTGCTTTTGGTTGGTTCCTTAAAGAAGGGGCTGAATTGGCTTGTTTCATGGACCAATTATCATACTAGCCATGGTTGCTTCTGTTAATCCAATCTAGTTCACCTACTTAATAATTTAATCAATTATTGGTCGTCAATACTAAAAAAAAAGTTTTAGAGCATCTGCATTGCATTAGTGAGAGACAGAGATTCTCTCATAATATCTCAGATTCTATCTATTTTTTTTTCCTTTTTTTTTTTAAACTTTATTAATATTTAATGTTTAGAAACTTGCTGAGAGATCAGCAAGATGGTGTTAGGGGTCATCAAGACCATTTTTCTACACCCACCCGATCCTCTGACCCGATTTACCTTTTCTTACCCGACCCGACTTGCACACTCTTGCGATGCCTCGCCGTTTTCTCGCTTCCTCCGGTCTCCGCCGAGTAAGAAGCGGTTTACGTCATTGCAGACGATGAAACCAGGTCCACTTTTTCTCAGCTTCATCGACTTCTCAACCTCATCACTAATTTTGATCTTATAGTTCAGTTTATGTTTCGAAGATTAACAGATGAAGATCACGAATTATCGCCGACGCATCCGTCCGAGGAGAAGCTGGAGAGGTTATCAGTTGATTTGGGATGATTATCGGCTTTTCCTCATGTATCAGTTGCTTCAATGGCCCTCAGGTATCTTCTAGACTGCCAATTCACTGTTGCCAATTCCATCTTGCAAATTTAGTATCTGTTTTCGCCAATTTGATCTCTGTTCATGTGATAGTGTGATCAGTGGACACGTCTCCGAAGCACATACGCATAGGAGATGATGAGAGGAGGTAGACACAACTCCAGAGCAATTTGTGTCTTTGGAGTTGCTAGAAACATCATCGTAGCAATGTCTCTTAATGCTTCCTACTTTACATTATCCATGCTAAACCACACATAACCCATTTATTGATTTATAGTTAGAGGCTTAAGTTACTTGATGGCCCAATGGCCTTTTTAACTTCCTTTGTGACTTTAAGTCTCGAGACCTTGTTTACTTCTCTCTTTCAGCGAACACTTCTTCTTCTTTCTTATATGGCTTAAGATTCCGCTCTGCATTTCTCATTGCAGAATTAAGCAAAGGATGAAGCTCCAACAAGAAGAAGAGGCTCATCCAATGAGAATGGTATGTCGAAACTGTACCCATTTATGTCTACAGCTTACATATAAAACACTTGGTTTTATGTTAACATTCCCATACGATACCCATAATTTTCTTGACTGAGTCTATTCAACCCCTTTGAAAAGATGTATACTTAGACTCGTAGACGTAATAATCACGTCTGACTAAAATCGTAGAAAATGAGAAACAAAGACTATTCAAATATGGTAGTTTAGATTAGTGGTTCCCGGTCTTTGTGGAATAAATATGTGGTCATATATACTAGAGGGGGTTCCACGGTTTCTAAGTCAAGCTGTATAACTAATACATACTATGGTTGATTGTTATTAAATTATTAAAGGTAGGCTTCAGAAATAATTCATATACAGTTTTTATTCTTCATCCTTCCATGATGACATTGCGTTTGCGTGTTGACTCCATCTCTTGTTTCTGCTTTTGTGTCTTTGCTTTGAGCTTCTTGGTTACTACTCTTGTTTCTCAACCATACCGTCGTCCCGACCAAGCAGAGACCCTTCTGGCTTTCAAGAATGAGTTTTCGATCTGCAACAATTCAACAACAAGCTCTTGGACCGAAGACACTGCCTCATTTGATGGGGTTGTGTTTGATGGCGAGACCGGTGCAGTGACGGAGCTACACCTTGGTGGTGCATGTCTCACTGGAAGTCTCAAGGCTAATAGTAGCCTCTACAGATTCCACCACCTCAGGTATCTTGATCTCTCTGTCAACGACTTTTCCTCCTCTTTCCCCGCCGAGTTTGGCAGACTCACCAACTTAGAGTTCTTGGATCTTCACCATAATGGCTTCACTGGAGAAGTTCCATCCTCAATCCGTAACCTAAGCCGCTTAACCTCTTTGGACCTTTCAGTTAACAAGCTCACTGGTGGTTTTCCCCTTCTACACAACCTAACCGAACTTTCTTACATAAACCTTTCCTATAATAACTTTTCTGGAACCATTCCTTCTTATCTATTCACCATGCCTATCTTGTCAATTATTGATTTGCACCAAAACCATTTCAGCGGCCCTCTTGATATTCCGAGTGATTCACAATATATGCTTGAGCGTTTAAACCTTGGGAATAACCTTTTTAGTGATCAAATCTTAGAGCTTATCTCTAATCTCGTCAATCTCATAGATCTCGACTTGTCTTTTCTCGATATCACCTACCCATTCAATTTCACTTTCTTCCCACTCCAGTTTCTAATGTCTTTGGATATCTCCGGGAATAATGTATCAAGGCTTAATATCAGTTCTGATCATGCCTTTTCGACAACACTGATTGAACTGCACTTGTCGAGTTGCAACATCCATGAGTTCCCCAAAGTTTTGGAGACTCTGCTAAACTTGCAACATCTAGACATCTCTAAGAATGGACTCAAAGGAAAAGTGCCTGGATGGTTGTGGAATCTACCTTCTTTGACTGCAGTCAGACTCTCTCACAATTCCATTGACGGTTTCGAAGGTTCACCAGATGTGCTGCTTAGTTCGTCGCTTCTCGTGTTAGATATTAGTTCAAACGCCTTTGTAGGATCATTTCCTATTATTCCAAGAAGTATGGAGTTCATGTCTGCATCAAATAATCATTTCAGTGGGGACATACCTCATACACTGTGCGACTCAGTGTTTCTAAACGTCCTTGATCTATCAAACAACAACTTTGTTGGTTTGATTCCCGAATGCTTTAGTGAATCACTACAAGTGTTGAATCTTAGCAACAACAATCTGGAAGGATCAATTCCCGACATATTCTACGGAAGTGCGTCACTAACAACAGTTGACGTTGGCCACAATCAAATAACTGGGGAGCTTCCAAGGTCTCTTGGGAATTGCACTGGACTAGAGATTCTGAACGTGGAAAGCAATCATATCACTGACACCTTTCCTTTCTGGCTAAAGGCTCTGCCGCTTCTGAAAGTGATTGTCCTAAGGTCAAACAGATTCCATGGTCCTATAACTTCTCCCCAAGAACATCTATCATTTCCACAATTGCGGATAATTGACATATCGCTTAACAGTTTTACTGGAATGCTGCCACCAAATTACTTTGTGAATTGGAGTGCACCCTTGATCAGTATGCCTGAAGGCGATCTCTTCCCAAAGTACATGGTACACCTTGGGTATAAGCTACCAAATTACTTTCTGAGGCCTGAAGATACTCACAAGAATACTTACTCGTTGGATATTGGGTGGCCTTCGTATTTCTCCATGCATTTGAGAAACAAAGGGATAAACATGGAGTTGGAAAAGATCCTTGAGACATACGCAGCCATTGATTTCTCTGGGAACAGACTTGGAGGACAGATTCCAGAATCCATAGGTCTCTTGAAGTCGTTGATTGTGTTGGACTTATCTAACAACAGATTCACAGATCATATTCCATCATCTTTGGCAAAACTCACACAACTCGAGTCATTGGACCTATCTCGAAACCAGCTATCTGGGAAAATCCCTCAAGAGCTAAGAGTCCTCACATTCTTGGGATACGTTAATATGTCGCATAACAAACTCACTGGCCAAATACCACAGAGTACACAGATTGTAGGGCTGCCTAAATCCTCTTTTGAAGGGAATATCGATCTTTGTGGTCTTCCCCTGCAAAAGACTTGCTTCATCAGGGACAATGGAACACCATCACCGAAACCACCAGAACAAGATTACGTATTGAACTGGAAAGCAGTAGCAATAGGCTATGGACCCGGTGTTTTGTTTGGAATAGCGATCGCACAAGTTATTTATTCATACAAACCACTGTTGTTCTTCAAGTTGTTTCGCTTATGAGAGGATGCATTGGCGTTCGGTTACTGGAGTCTGTAAATATGTGTAAGGATCCTCGTTATCGTACCCAATTGTGTTCATCAGGTAATTGTCTTGTGCTTCTCAAGAAATTATTAATTACGTACCAATCTATTTATACTCCTTTCTTTGTAAACAGACCATCTACTCTCGGTTGTCTGTGCTTCCTTTTGTCCTTTCTCTTTCGCTGCTCCCTCTCGAAGGAGTTTGTAGCTACTCTGAAATAATTATTTGTAAGATTTCTATTAATTTGACCATATGTGAATCCCTAAGATGTTAGAAACTGAGAGAGTACATTTTTTACACAGCAATGTGAATATGACATTTGTCTGAACATGAGTTGTGTAGTTCTCATGCCTGTGGCTATATTGAAATGTTGGTTTCTAAACTACTCCATGTGGAAATATCTAGCTTCTTTATGAGGGCCAATGACATCTGAATACGTTAGTCAGACGTGATGTTCACGTCCATAGTGGTCCTTAGTCGGAATAAATATGTGGCCGATACCAAGCGACGACTTCCACAATTTTGAAGTCAAGCAATGTGAATATATGACTCTGGTCATCATTATATATTTGCTAGAATGGTTTAGACTGCAAACCCGAATCATACATTACCAAGTTCTTCTTCAATATCTTCGTTTGTTTTTCCAGATGATGAAAGTTCGTTTGCCTGTTTTCTCCAACTCTAGTTTATTTTGCTGTGTCTTCGTTTCCATCTTCTTAGTCAATACTCTTGTTTCTCTTCCCTACCAAATAGACATCCTTTTGGCTTTCAAGGATGAATTTCCATCCCCAACCTGCAGACAGACGGTGCTAAGCTCTTGGACCAGAAACACTCCCCAAGATACTAACTCTTTTGATGGGGTTGTGTTTGATAACGAGACCGGTGTGGTGACGGAGCTACACCTTGATGAAGCATGTCTCAGAGGCACCATCAAGACTAATAGTAGCCTCTTCAGATTCCTCCACCTCAGGTACCTCGATCTCTCTTACAACAACTTCGAATCCTCCTCTTTCCCCGCTGAATTTGGCAGACTCGCCAACTTAGAGGTCTTGAAAGTTCGCGATAATGGCTTGGTTGGTGAAGTTCCATCATCAATTCATAACCTAAGCCGCCTAACCTTCTTGGACCTTTCAAAAAACAAGCTCAGTGGTGGTTTTCCCCTTGTTTATAATTTAACAAAGCTTTCCTCTCTAGACCTTTCCTTCAATAAGTTTTCTGGAACCATTCCTTCTTCTCTACTCACCATGCCTTCCCTGTTGAAACTTGATTTGCGCCAAAACCATCTCAGAGACTCTCTTGAACTTCTAAATTCTTCTTCATCATCTAAACTTGAAAGTTTATACCTTGGCAGAAACTTTTTTACTGGTCGAATACTAGAGCCTATTTCAAAGTTAGTCAAGCTCACGGATCTAGACCTGTCTTTTCTCAACATGATTTACCCTATCAGCATTGTTTTCTTGCCACTCAAGTCTCTGAAGTATTTGGATCTTTCCGGGAATAGTGTATCAAGGCTTAATACTAGTTCGGATCATGCTTTAACAAAGTTGATCGAATTGAACTTGTCAAACTGCAACATCGTCGAGTTCCCCAACTATCTTGCGACTTTACAGTCTCTGGAGTATTTGGATCTTTCCGGGAATAGCCTATCAAGGTTTGATACCAGTTCAGATCAGGCGTTAACAAAGTTGATCGAATTGACCTTGTCCAACTGCAACATAGACGAGTTCCCCAAAAATTTGAAGACTCTACAAAACTTGCAGCATTTAGACATTTCCAACAATAGGCTCAAAGGAAAAGTGCCTGGATGGTTATGGAATTTGCCTTTGACCAGAGTGTCTCTGTCTCACAACTCCCTTGATGGTTTTGAAGGTTCGCCAGAAGTGCTACTCAATTCGTCTCTTGAAATGTTAGATTTGAGCTCAAACGCCTTTGGAGGATCTTTTCCTATTCTTCCACGAAGTATGGAGTTCATGTTTGCATCAAAGAATCATTTCACCGGGAGCTTACCTCTTTCATTTTACGGTCCAAGGAAACTAAGTCTACTTGATCTATCGTACAATAATTTCAGTGGTCCAATTCCCCTTTCATTGTGCAGTTCAAGGAAACTAAGTCTCCTTGATCTATCGTACAATAATCTCAGTGGTCCAATTCCCCGATGCTTTGGTTCAATAGATGGGACGATGTATCTCCATCATAACAACCTCAATGGGAAGCTTCCCGATATGTTAGGCAGAAATGGCTCACTTACAAGACTTGACGTTAGCCACAACCAAATAACTGGGAAGCTTCCCGATATGTTAGGTAGAAATGGCCCACTGACAAGACTTGTCGTTCGCCACAACCAAATAACTGGGAAGCTTCCCGATACGCTATGCAGAAGTGCGTCACTAACAACAGTTGACGTTGGCCACAATCAAATAACTGGGGAGCTTCCAAGGTCTCTTGGGAATTGCACTGGACTAGAGATTCTGAACGTGGAAAGCAATCATATCACTGACACCTTTCCTTTCTGGCTAAAGGCTCTGCCGCTTCTGAAAGTGATTGTCCTAAGGTCAAACAGATTCCATGGTCCTATAACTTCTCCCCAAGAACATCTATCATTTCCACAATTGCGGATAATTGACATATCGCTTAACAGTTTTACTGGAATGCTGCCACCAAATTACTTTGTGAATTGGAGTAGAGCTTTGGTGGATAACATGGGAGATCAGTACATGAATGTAATTGAGAGACGGAACGTGGAGGGGGTAGAGATCCCACCGGTCTACGCCGTTGATTTCTCCGGAAACAAACTTGGAGGACAGATTCCAGAATCGATAGGTTTATTGAAGTCGTTGGTTGTGTTCAACTTATCCAACAATGAATTCACAGGTCATATCCCATCCTCATTTGCGAAACTCACGAAGCTCGAGTCACTAGACCTATGTCGAAACCAGCTTTCTGGAAAAATTCCTCAAGAGCTAGCAACCCTTTCGTTCTTGTCGTACATCAACATGTCACACAACAGACTAACGGGCCAAATACCGCAGGGTACACAGTTTGGAGTACAGCCTGAATCATCTTTTGAAGGTAATATGAATCTTTGTGGTATCCCTCTTCCGAAAAGTTGCAAAGAGAAAAATGGATCACAAACACAACAAGTAAAGCCGATGAAACAAGAACATGTGTTGAACTCGGAAGCCGCAACAATAGGCTATGGGCCTACCCTGATGATGTGTGGACTGGGAATCATAAAATTGTTTGGCTTTTGAGAATTGAGAGGAAGCATTTGCATTTGGTTTGTGGTATATAGATGCTTGTGTACGACCATCGACCACTAAGTACTCTTTTATTTTTTTTTTTTTTTTTTTGTTAAAGTGTTTAAGTACTCTTTTTTTTTACAGCATCTCAATTTTACATAAAAATTAAAATAAATAGCATTTTAATAGGATTATCATTAAATTATCTCATGATTTAAAGAAATACTTATAGTAAAAAAGGAGGGGAATTTTGATAAGTACCATAACTTTTTTAAGTAATTTGAAAAATACACTCATTTTCTAATTCATCTTAGGGGTTTCTAACTCGATAAAATATATTGTCTCGGTTCTTTGGTAAAAAAATCGTGAGTCGTTTCTATCTTATTTTTGCCCCTAACTCATGATCTGTATCATACATATATGATGGTTTGCACGTCTACAACAAAGTTAAAGATTTTGATACAATTATCAAGATGCCACTCCCTTTTGTTATTATATAAACGTAACCAGATATTCACATTGGGATTTTAAACAGGTACGGATCTGAGGCACGTACGAAAACTCGTGTAGAGTGTGAAATGTTGTACTTTTAGACCAATCACTTTACACACATTTCACCTGCTAGATAATGTCCATCTGTGACAAAATTTCACAACTTTTTGTTTTCGAGACATTCTTTTACGCAGATATATTCCACGCGCCGAAATCGCGCGTGTGGATTGTTAAACTTGCTAAGGTTAAGTCAACGTTATATCTTTGCCATGTCTTGAAGAGGGTCCCGAGCGTATCCAGCCATTTTATTCTGCTTTCCACAATTTTATATTTAGAAGTCTGAAAAAATTGAAATTTTTTTCCTTTAGTGAGAGAGAAACAAAATAAACAAAATTAGAGGGAAATCTTTTTTTTTTCCTCCGAAACCCACACAGAGGAAGAGAGGAAGACGATTGAGTGGAAATTAAAACGCGACGGCGACAACAATGCCGAGCAAGCTGAAAAAGGCGATCGGAGCGGTTAAAGATCAGACGAGCATCAGCCTCGTCAAAGTCGCCAACGGAGCCACCGGAGGCGGCGATCTCACTACTCTCGAGGTTGCGATCCTCAAGGCCACCAGCCACGACGAGGAGGTCCCTATCGACGATCGTCTCGTCTCGGAAATCCTCGGGATCATTTCCTCGAAGAAATCGCACGCCGCCGCTTGCGCCGCCGCGATCGGACGCCGTATTGGGCGGACTCGGAATTGGATCGTCGCGCTCAAATCCCTAGTCCTCGTCCTCAGAATCTTCCAAGACGGAGATCCTTATTTCCCCCGCGAAGTCCTCCACGCCATGAAACGAGGCGCCAAAATCCTCAATCTCTCGAACTTCCGCGACGACTCCAACTCTTGCCCTTGGGATTTCACCGCTTTCGTCCGTACGTTCGCGCTCTACCTCGACGAACGCCTCGATTGCTTCCTCACCGGAAAACTGCAGAGACGGTACACTAAGCGGGACCAAACCGGAAGAATCAGCTCCAGCACCTCATCCAGATCCCGGTTTAATGCCAGAAACGGAACTAAATCTCACGAACCGGCGGTTCGCGATATGAAACCGGCGACGCTCCTCGACAAAATCACGTATTGGCAGAGACTACTAGACAGAGCGATCGCGACGCGGCCAACAGGAGACGCCAAGTCGAACAAGCTCGTAAAGATGTCGCTTTACGCCGTCGCCCAAGAGAGTTTCGATCTCTACGGCGACATTTCCGACGGATTAGCTATTCTGCTCGACAGTTTCTTCCATCTGCAGTACCAATCTTGCATCCACGCGTTTCAGGCCTGCGTTCGAGCTTCGAAACAGTTCGAAGAGCTTAACGGATTCTACGATCTCTGCAAGTCGATCGGCGTAGGACGAACATCGGAGTACCCGAGCATTCAAAACATCTCACTAGAGCTTCTCGAGACACTGCAGGAGTTTCTGAAAGATCAGTCGTCGTTTCCGGCGAGCGCGGGGATGTATCCGTCGCCGAATAGTCTTCTTCCTCCGCCTCTTTCTTCTAAAGATTCGACGATTTCGAGCTCGCTTGATTTTGGAGATTCAACGATTGATACGTCTGAGAGATATTCGGATTGCGGGTCGTTTCTTAGTACTTCTTTGGAGGATTTAATGAGCAGGACAGAAGCAGGGACTAGTAGTCCTCCGATGTCATGCCATTCCGAGCCTCACGGAGGAGGACGAGACGATCCTAATGGGAATAATTTCGATACGGTTTCCACTAAATCTCTTCCTATCAAGCCCACATTAAACCTGTTGAATGATGTTAACACCACCACGAAAACAAAAGATGCCGAAAAGAAGAAGCAGCAGGAAGATTCAAAGGCGGAAACTTTCGATCCTTGGGAGGCGTTGATGTTGAGAGATGATACTAGGAAGAACGTAGAAACCATTCCCAGAGAACCTTCAACCTCTGCGGATCAGACAGATTCCGGGAATTGGTTGCTTGCGTTGGAAGAAACCGCTACGCAAGTACAGGATACTAACTCGATGGCGATAGTACCGTTCGGATTAGATGATCCGATGCCTGCGATTCAAGCCACCATGGATCAATACAATCCATTCTTGGAAGCACCAGCTACGCCGTTAGTTGCAGCCGGTCCAACTGGAGGTCCGATGACCACGTTCAATGCCTTTGCTGTGACGGAGTTTCAGCCAGAACCGACATTTCAGGTAAACGTTCCTGAAGATTTTGAGCCGTCGTTTACGCCAACGTTCAAGGCCACAGGGGTTTTGCCGGTGAAGTGTGATCCATTTTCAACATTTGAGAGTTTTGGGTTCGGAGAGACAGTTTCAGAAAATGGAGGGGTACACCAGAAATCTGTGTTGGAAGAACAGCAGTTATGGTTGCAGAATCAAAGCAAGATCATAGCTAAGCATTTGAACTGATATGATCATATTTTGGCTAGACAGAGATTGAGATGTTTCTTTGACATTTCGTTTGTTACATTGTTAACTCTTAACTCATTTTTTTCATAACTTAGGAGAAAATTGAAATACAACGATTGTTTGGTTTGAAACATATATATGCTCAAGCTCAACACACTGACACTAGGATTCCTTCCTGTAAAGATTCACAAAGATAGTTTGTGCCTTATATATTCACGTTGAGAATTTGAAGGTAGTTTGTGCCTTACAGATTCACAAAAAAAGTTTGTGCCCTATATGCTCAACGCTCAAATATTGAAGTTCACCTGCAGAATTTCATTCGGGGTATTGAGTTATGTTCTTGAGATTGAAGTTTGAAATTCCCGTGTGAGGATAGAAATTTAACGAACGTGTTGATTTTGTGAGCTTAATGTAGATTTCAGCACAGTTACTATCATAAGTTTTCTATTTTAGTTACGATTAGGTTTAGTCGTTTAGATCTTTCTAATTTTTCAATTTATTTTTACTTTTCCTCTACAATTCTCGCACACTAGACTATAAATCATTTTCTTTGTCTTTTTATGATTTAGGTTTGAGGAGAGTAGTTTTATACAAAGTTTGAATTCTCAAGTCAAACAACACATTTTGTTTGTTTAGATTCATTTTAATTTTTATTTAACTGAATCATAATATTTTATGTAGTGTTATTGGGTTGGGCTAAGATTCTGCCATTCAAAGCCCTAAACTATTAATTTAAAAATAAAGCCCATTCATAAGAAATTTAAAGCCCAAAGTAATAATTTGAAAACTAAAGCCCATTCATAATTCGAGATGTGTGATTTTGATGCCGAAGGTTGTTCGCATTCTGATAGATGGATGCGAATATAATTTCACAGTATAAGATATATTCTTATATTTATGTATATTTGAAATGATATATTCATACATGTATTTTGTATATCCACAATTTTTTTTTTAAAGTGTATTGTGTAACGGTGGAGTATAATGGAGATGGAAGCCAAATGGAATAAAGAGGAGAGTAGGTCAAGTGGGTTTTGTGGTGTCGATTGCATGAGACTGACCAAAGCTGTAGCTTGACCCCAACCAAGGCCACGAGGGAGATCTAGCAATCACAACATCACAACACATATTTTCTATTAAATACTAATATAGCCCGCTACAAAGAATAATTTATACACCAAGACTTTTATTCATCGTTGACTAGTCGTTTTCATTTTTTACATTTACACACCAGTAAAATGACTTTTTAGAGAACGTGAACGTAGGGTTCCACCCAATTAGGTTTCCTATTAGACGTAGTAATAGTTATTACAAGTCTTCCTTCTTGGCTGTCAATTTGTTGTTTTATATTACAGAATTGTTTACAAGTCATACAGGCTGCTAAGCCTATTATTTTTCTTCTTAAATTTCAATTTCGAGTCCAAAATGTCAAGATGAAATTAAGCACGTTTTGATAACTATTTTGCATATTAATCAACTTAAATAATAATATTCCAATAAAATAGCATATACTAACGAAATTTCAAATCAGTAGTTGCCAAAATTTCTCGTGTTGATTTCGTTTTGAAGGATTCATAAGAATGACATGAGATTAGATTGTGAGGATGTGTGAAAGTATAGATTTATATTATTAATCCTTTTTAACACAAAAATATTTATATTATTAAGTTTAAATTCATTAGCCATTTTCTCATAAATTTTTTTTGTTGAGCAACAAATAAAGTCTGTCACCTTTCTCCAAATAGAAAGGAAGTATACTGCATGGAACTCACTAATTTAGCAAAATCCGCTCCTTGAGAAATATCTATCCTTGTGGCCAAAAAGGGAACCACGTGGACAAATCTGAACTCCTCCGCTGAAATGAGTCAATTTAATTGATTTGATCTGAAGCCTGAACGGTCGAAAGTTATGGGCTCCGGGCGGCTAATGTGTGCGTGCAGAGATCATTTTACCCGATGACGCCTTTTAGCAGCTGCTTAATGGGACACAAGGAAAGCCAATGGGTCCATCAACATCAATACATTACGAATACTTCATAAGAATAAAATAATGTAAATATAAAATGGATATAGGTTAGGAATAATCAAAATTTTTAACCAAAAAAACAAACATTTTTGTGGTGCATATAATCCTGCAAAAAAAAAAACAAAACATTTTCGGTCATTCTATATTTTTAAAAGCTTATGTAAATTGCAGGATTCATATAAATTATGCTTACAGCTACGCATGGTACAAATTTGGTTTTGTCGATTACGAAATAAAAATCAACAACAAAAGTAAAATAGTATAAAAAGTCAGTCATCAGGCTTTTTGGTCCAACGTAACTTTTTCCAAAAACAAAATTAAATAATACTGGAATGGTGTAGGTCCGAAACCAAATAATCACTGTAGAATGATAACTCGTGGAAGTAACTCAAAGCTCCTATAAAACCATCTTTCTGATCATCAGATTTAGATCACACTCCCAAAGCGTCAACATAAAGTTAGGCAAAAACACAAAAATACACACAAACCCAAAAAAGTAAGAGAGAGAGAAAGAGAGATGGAGAGTTTCCCGATCATCAATCTCGAGAAGCTTTGTGGAGAAGAGAGAGGAATCACGATGGAGAAGATCAAAGACGCTTGTGAAAACTGGGGATTCTTTGAGGTATTCCGAATTTATTTTTCTAATAATGAAAGCTCGAAACTATGGAATCAAAAGTGACATTGAAGTTTGATTATCCGTTGGTAATTACAGTGTGTGAATCATGGGATTCCACACGAGCTACTGGACAGAGTGGAGAAGATGACGAAAGAACACTACAAGAAGTGTATGGAAGAGAGATTCAAGGAATCCATTAAGAACAGAGGACTCGACTCTGTTCAGTCTGAAGTCAACGACGTCGACTGGGAGTCAACTTTCTACCTTAAGCACCTTCCTGTCTCCAATATCTCCGATGTCCCGGATCTCGACGACGATTACAGGTAACTTTTTAGTTTCTAAACCGGCCCGTAATTTCTTTGTCTATCCGGTTACGGGATCTCGAATATACCGGTTTGTTAACCAATTCAACTATTTTTGTTGGTTCAACAAGTCAGTATGAACCAGTTTATTACCGATGAGTACCAATTACTCTTCTTTCTAAATCTCGATTAAACCGAATTACGAAAAGAAACAAAAATTATACCGTAGTGTGTAACAACAAAGTAAATTAAAAGATCGAACTTTTTAAAATGTAAAGATCAATTTACTGCGAAAGGAAACAAGACATTGTTGCTTCTAGCTGATAAATACAGAACCGGTTTTCTTGTATTTGTACAAGTAATGAGTAAACCGACGCCGTATTGTCTTTTTGTGGCAGGACGTTGATGAAAGAGTTCGCCGGAAAGATAGAGAAGTTGTCGGAGGAGCTACTGGATCTGCTTTGCGAGAATCTCGGATTGGAGAAGGGTTATCTGAAAAAGGTGTTTTACGGTTCGAAAAACCCGACGTTTGGAACCAAAGTGAGCAACTATCCACCATGTCCTAAACCGGATCTAATCAAGGGGCTCCGGGCCCACACCGACGCCGGCGGCATCATCCTCCTCTTTCAGGACGACAAAGTCAGTGGACTTCAGCTCCTTAAGGACGGCGAGTGGGTCGATGTTCCTCCGGTTAAGCATTCAATCGTCGTTAATCTCGGTGATCAACTTGAGGTATGTGCAATTCCAAATATTTAACCAAACCGTACTAAACCGAACCAAACTATCTTACTGGGTAAAAATTAAAATTGGACTGAACCAGGTGATAACCAATGGGAAGTACAAGAGCGTGGAGCATAGAGTGATATCACAAACGGACGGAGAAGGACGAATGTCGATCGCATCGTTCTACAATCCGGGAAACGACTCGGTTATTTTTCCGGCACCGGAGTTGATCGGAAAAGATTCGGTGAAGGAGAAGAAGGAGAATTATCCAAAATTCGTGTTCGAAGATTACATGAAACTCTATTCTGCTGTAAAGTTTGAGGCCAAGGAACCGAGGTTTGAAGCCATGAAAGCTATGGAGACAACCGTGGCCAACAATGTTGGGCCATGGGCCACTGCTTGAATAAATATAACCTATTAATAAGTTAGTAGTATTATATAGTCTTTATATGATTTTCGTAGAAACTTTTAAGATGCGAATAATTTTATTTATGTGGTGTGTGTTGTTATACTTTTTAATAAATATTTGTTGTTTGTAAAGTTAATAGTTAAATTTCTTCACAATCTTGTTTTATTTCTAGCATGTATTTTCAATTTTTAGAGGATAACAAGAAAAATGTAACTGATAAATGATGTAGAATATACTTATGTTATATATTTGGTAAAGTTAATAGTTAACACATTGTAGGCGTTGGGTGAGTTATGCTCGTGCAAAGAGAAACATTAAGCTGGAATATATATCATATATGCATAACATCTCCTCCCGCTTATCACGAGCATGAACATTTGAATAACAACTAAACAACACATGGGGAAGGTGTTCATATTCTGAAAAATGCAATACATTTAGCAAGTAATAATAATCGGTAAGCTACAATTGGGAACCACCAAAAAAAAAACTGTATATTCTAAACAAACTAGTATATATATATATTTATCTACCTAAAATGGTTACACTGAGCAGAAAAAGGGTAGTAGTAGAATAATTATCAGAAAGAAAATTTCTTCTCGAAATATTATTATTTGATTCCAGACGGGGAAAGAAACAGAAAAATGACTACTCTGGAACTCTTGGTGTGATCCTTATAATAATCTCTCCTTTTTCTTGGCTTTCTTCTTCTACGTCGAGAGACGATTTTAGGTTCTCTGTTTAGCTGGTGGAACAAGAGAAAGACATAGGAATATGACTCAAGCTCGAAACGTCGAATATCTCCATGAATCTTTGATCTGAAACTCTAGCTTTCGCTGCTGCGAATCGCTGGTACTCATCGAATATCGATGTCAAACACCATTTCTGGAGCTTTCTCAAGCACCCAACAAGACAGCCAGTCCGATGCTGCAAATTCAAGATTTATCCATTTTAAACTTTCTTTCACCCGACTCCGACAGTGGTGGAGCCAACAAATGACAAACAAATGAGGGTTGGAGAGAAATATTACCTTGCCTCGCTTACAATGAATCAGAACAGGATGGTTTTTCTCATCTGAAATTTTTATAAAGAATGAAGATATCATCGATAAGACACGAGTTATAACACATCAAAGTGTGGTTTCTTTGTATAGCTTCTATGATTCATACGTACCTAGAAGGACTTTGAGTGCATTGCGGATTTTATGGTCTGGAATATTCACAAATGGCTCCTGAAAATAAGATTAAAAAAAATATGTCTTTCTTAGATTATCAGATTTTGTATGCCGAAAGGTCAATCCCACTTACTAAATTGAGCAGGATTAGGATGAGAAAAAGGCAATCAAGTAAGCAAGGTTTATACACACGCAACGTCAAGAGAGGCAACCATGTAAAGGTTCATAAACAGGAAAAAGCATACAAGTACAAGCTATGAAGCATGTCAAACGTGATACCTTTTACTGGTTGCGTAATAAGACAAAGATTCCTTCTTTTTATATTACAAATTTAACTCCACACACACAACAACCACAAAGGTCCACTGAAATACGAATATATGAGAAGGAAAAAGCTTAGCAAGCCAAGAATATCAACTATAAAGGTTTCCTATCAAGCTCACAGTTGTCACACTGAGCATAACGAATCTGAACTGAGAAATCGATTTAAAACCAAAGTCAATGAGATCCACCGATGTGAATGTGGAATAATTCCCAAAAAACTTTCAATCAAATTACTCCACCAAGAAGAGAACTTTAGTTTTCTTTTTAATATGACAGCATAAAGGGAAAACGCGGTAGTAAGTATTAAACGACTCCCCACATAAAGAATCACATCAGAAGAAACATGAGACTATCCTAGGATCCGAATCGTCCATACCAATCTCTTCAGTAAAGTAACATTCTTCATGACTCATAAGTGCAATTAAGTTCAAAACTCTATGCTGAAGTTTTTGGTGATTACGAAACAAACCAATGTTTGCCCAAACATGAGCCACTAAGACATAAAAAAAAAGTTAGGAATTAACAAAAAGTAGGTATTAAACAACACTAACCGACTTAAAACTTAACCATCTACCAGCTTCCCAGCAACTCCTAACCTTATCTAGATGTAATAACTTAGTTAAAATGTATACTTCCACAATCAACACGCTTTCTACAAGTTTTTACTTTAAAAAATGGTTAATGTGTTCTACTACGACTTGTCCACTCTCAAGAAACGCTTTTGCTTATGTATGAATCCATAAGATACCATATCTGAATATAAAAAGTGTATACGCAATTAACATGAACCAAGAAAACAACATCAACAGAACACACAGAAAGTAAGCCTTGAAGTAGTGGATCGTTGACAACACTTAAGCAGCTCAGCAAATGTTTTTTTTTTTTTTTTTGACGTAGCCCATTATCTAATCACTTTTAAATATATAGGGACCAAGAGTTGCTGAAGGGGCAGAAAAGAAAGAGTGGGACCAAAGCAGTGGAGGTCAAGAGAGACGGAAAGAGCCAAAGAGGCAACAATAAAGAAAAGATGTGTGCTTTTTCTGGTAACTCAATAATAAAATATGGCTTGGAACAAAGTGCCCCCATGAAGGGATCAAATTGCATGACAAAACAGAATTAGTAATCTCTCAAGTAACAATGAATAGACAAGAATTTAAGAACAATTAGGCAAAATATCAAGCAGTTAAACCCCAAATTGAAGAACCCCGACTTATTCCACAAATAGTACATAACTTCAGTTTTTATAGATAATACCAAAGTTTTGGAGAGACCATTTGTTAATGGACCCTCTTTGTGAATGCTTAGAACTCCATAGAATTCCCCTAGTGAGATAGGTCTAGACATCACCGGAAAAATCTAGGGGTTTAGCAATTCAGGCGAAGACTTATTATGAACAGAGAGTGAGAGAGAGAGGAGCATGAAAGCAGAGGAATTGGATGCGAACCTTGTTGCCTTCAATGCCAAACTGGAAAAGCCTAATTCCATTGGATTTGAGGAATTGGATGTTACTCTCCGGGTAAGGCTCCGGGCACAGATATCTTCACAAATTCGAAATGATTAGAAAAAAAACCCAAATCAGCAATTCCGATGTTGATAGACACACAAATGTCAGAGACTACGGAGAAGTTTTTACATGATTGAGCGGAGGCCGAGAGTCTGGAGGAAGGAGAAGTTAGCGGAATCAGGGAATCCAGACCGGAAAATACCGTTGTCGACCATTGAGAAGTTGAGCGGCGGAATCAGGTTAAGTTCCTCGCCGGAGACCACTGAAAACGCAGCAGCTTCGTCGTCCGGAGCCTGGAACCCGTTTTTGTCAACCGGCGCGACCTCGATCGTGCGGCAGACATCTTCTCCATCCTCCTCCGTAGTGGTAAACTTGTTCTCCACTAGCTTCATCTCCGAAGAAAGGAATCTAAAACTGTGAATCTGGGGTTTATCTTTGGCGAGGTGTGTGAGAGAGTAATAGGAGATGGTCGTTACGTAGCGGCGACCTTGGTTTATATAGACACGCCCTTGTGAGTTGTGACTGTTAAATTTACTTTTTTTCCCTTTTTTTCTTCTTAAAGAGAGGAAAAAGAACGGAAGGAGATGGACTAGAGGCTCTTTCTTTATTTTATTTATCTTTAAAGAATCCTGTGTTGTAATTTAGGTGTTGTTCGTGAAAAGTGTTTGTATATACAATACAATAGTTGACAGCAACAAGAAATTATAAAATAGAATGTGTAAATTGTTAGACAACAAATGTTTCACTTCTATGTAGAAATATATGTTTGTTTTATATTTTAGGGTTCAAGTTTTGGTACTTCTGCGTAAAATTTTAGGATAATTGTGTCCGTCTATTGCAAATCTATCAGGATTGGTATGTTTGATCCGTCATAATTAGTTCTGAAGTCCATTTTTATGTAAATTTATATTCTTTAAACTCGAATCTGTATCTTTAATCCGTATTTATATTTTTTACCATAAGAACGTAGACTTGACATACAATATCTCTAATCCGTATTGAAATCCTAACTTAGTAGAAAGAAAAACAAAAGGCATCAAAAAGAAAACTATGGTCCTACGTTCAAACAAAAGAATCCAAAATTTGAAGGAAAATTTGAAACGTAATCTAGCCTAATTTCAGAATGGTCAATCATATATGAAATTTTGCCTCTAAACCCTTAACTTACATGATAAACCTTTCACACGCTAATATTAACATGAATTGGTCTGAAAAAATCAACTTCATGCTACAAATCATATTTTAAACGAGTTGACCCACCATCAACTGGCTATAATTTAAATACATGACATATATTTAGAACGTCAAAGTCTGAATTAAGTTAGATGGTTACAAGTTTATACGGTTTTTGATATACTGTTATGTAGTTAAATCGATCGGTAGTTATAGTTATTTTTAGTTCATATGGGTTTGAATCGTTTCATATCTCTGCTTTTTATCAATATTAATAAAATAAGTAACATGATTGAAATTTATGTTATATATATTTAACATGGAAAAGATCAATTATTGACAATATTATTTGAGGGGAAGAGACGAAGAGAGGAGATTCAAAGCCGAAAGAAAGAGAGAGAAAGAGAGATTCCAGTGGACAAGAGCTTCCTCTGCAGAGTGGGAAGAACAATCACCGAGTCTGACTCATGTGGCAGTCATACACACGGCTTTATATTATGTAATAAGTTTTTATAGAATCTTGAGTGGATAATTAATTACTATTATATTTCATCATATTTACGTTTTGTTTTATTTTGTTAGAGATAGACAATATATCGTTTTTAATGTATAATTCCAACTTGATTTCAGTCAGTAATTCTAACATTAGGTCCAACATCTGATATGATCGAAACTAGCGAGGAAGAAATCAAATTGAGATGCTGCAAACCTAGCAATGATAGTTTTTTTTTTCAGTTAATAATTTGTAAATTTCGAGATGAATGTTTTCTTAGCCGCATATCTTACGATGATGCTGAAAATATCATTGCAAAATTTAAATATATGTCTATCAACCTAATAAAAACGAAATAATGCGCAAGCAACAGAAAAGAACCACATCACGACAATGAATAATTAAAATCCACGTCATATCTTTGTCTTCCACGTAACATTCACAACAGAAAATTACACTTTTATAATAAAAAACAGAGAAATAGCTAGCTGAAGACAGATTTTTTTAGTGTTTAGTAGTGTCTACACTGAACTTTAATTGGATGAAGTGCTTCACAAAAACAAAATGTACTAAATAATAGTTTTCTTTAAAAGAAGCAAAAAGGTACATTCCAAGGAATATACCTTCTGATTCCGAAGGATTATTGTGTTGCGAGCACTCCGCCACGTACGAAAGTGTCGTAAAGGACTTACCATAAAGAGAACGTACGGAAAAATCATAATGCCTAGTTTTTGAGAAATAAGTCATAAAAATGCATGATTCAACTCTATGAACGTAAAAATGCATGATATAATAATACAACTCTATAGACGTACAACTCTAAAGAAGTATTCTCATTTTTCTAAAATTCAGTTATTTGGTTATATGGGCCTATGGTAATAACAAAAAAAAAAATATAGCATATATGATATAATCCACAATGCATGTTACTCGATACGAAAATTATGATTGTAAATGAACAATTCAAGAAGATCGTTGGCGAGAGTGTGTACGCACAGGTGCTCTCTCTCACTCACATTTACTGGAGTTGTTATAAGTCTCCGATTTAGACACAAAAAGTCATCAATTATTGTCGTTTCCATATCATAGAAAATCAATTTTCCATGCATGATCCATTTATCCATGATCAAAGTCGTGACAGCTTCTCTTGTCTCTGGCCCCACATTTTATAGGCCTATTATTGCTCCGTTGATTCTATTTATTTCTGATATATTTTTTTTTTGAACAAAATTTTTTTCCTGGATATAGCAGTTTGTACATTTATCGACTATATCAGTCCACTTCAAAATTTAATGGTGATTTATCAGAAATAAACACTATTATATATATATATAATATAATATACTATATAGCAGTTACAATAGTAGCAGAAATAATCAAAGTTCTCTTTCTTAAATATCTTCCAAAAGTCATATATGGATTTCCATTTTTCAAGCATTTGGGGTATTTTGAACATGACCTATGCATGCTCGTCTGTGCCACTTTAGTCACTTACTGTTGACAATTGCCGTTCAGATAATCAGGTTGCCCAAAATTGACCGAAAGAAATATTGATGGAAGTCTTTAGAACATCAATTTTTATTTATTTTAGAAAGCCCAATTTATTGGACCTTAAAGTCTTTCAGAAAATATGAGTTTACAAAACAGATCCAAAATTATCCGAGGCCCAATCGTTGGAGGCTTAGACCAACGGAGCAAAAAGGAGATTGTTCAAGGATTTCGGGCTCTAATTTTTATTTGATTTATAGATATTTAATTTACAGTACTATTGATATATATAAATAATCCCATCTGAGCATTTATTGTCTTTTTTTCCGTACAAAGGGGTTAATCAACAATTATTGTTATAGCATAAAAGTCAGTTCGCCTACCCAAATTTCTAATTTCATTTATACATGGATTTAATAAAAACAAGAGAATTTTTTTTTATATAAGACTTGTAGAAGGAAAAAAAGGAGTGTATGAGGCGGAAACTTGAAGTCATAGAAAGCTCTAGTAGTACTGTAAAGAAGAGTCAAAGAAATGGTTTTTCTTTTGATGAGTAATAAAGAAAAACAAAATACCCAAAAAAAAAAGCCGAATCCTTTGCTTTTTGATTATGTTGACGTGTAAAAAGTCTTTCGAACGGTCAAACCGGTGGAACAGAAAAGCGTCAAACTCACGGAACAGGTGGTCATTACAGCAGAGGATTATTACATGGAAAGCTAACGTGGCGGAATATTAACGTCTCAAGATCACAGCTCTTACGCTGCTCCACTGTGCACCAAATCGCAACCTCCCCTTCTCTCTCTGACACTTTCTAATTACTCCTTCTTTTTCTACCTGTGGGTCCCAACCACTCTATAAACTGCGACGCAGAAGATTTCTTGTGCCAGAAGAATTACTTTAGTCTGACCATTTTACCCCTATTTGCTGATTTTTCTGTAATGAAACCGAGTTCTAGACATTTTCGCTAGGAAGTGGCTACGTATTGGTCCCCAAGCATATTACTATACTTCATTACAACTTTATTTTGTTATGCAAATTCTAAAATCCCACTTTATTTTAGTTGTTTTCTTCTATTATTATGGTATTTTTATCCAAAATAAATATGTTGATAAGTATATATTTAAATAAGATTTTTTTCCAAAACATTTTTTTCTTTTCAAAACAGATTAAATGATACCCAGTAAAAAGATATAAAATCTATTTGTTTTATATCCACACAACAAATATATAGAGTAAGTAATATGATATTTATTATAGTTTTCGTTGTAGAAATAAAATTAATTGATATGCTAATGTATGATTACTATTTGAATAATTTATGTAGAAGTTAAGATTTTGAGACATAAAAAGAAAACAATTTATATAGTCTCAGATTTTCATTAAAAAAGTAAACTTTAATGTTATTTTTAACAAGAATCTGCGATTGATCATCATAGGAAAAAAATGTATGTCAATCACGTTTGCGAAACTCGAGATATTTATTACCTAGAAAAACTGAAAAACCCATGGTCAAAAGTTACTAAAATTTTCGACAAAAGAAAACTAAATAGTAAATTTTAAAAACTTTAAACAAGTACAAGAAAAAACAGAAGCAGCGAGGGTCCACCTTTAGCTAGGAACGATGGTGCACACTGAACCGTCAAACTGAAGATATCAGTAAATAGGGGGTGGAAATGTCATTTCACGTGCATGCAGAATTTATTAACCAGTACACGAGGGAGGCAAAGACTCATTACTTGGCACTCTTAATTAAATTTATTTTAATATTTTATTTTAAACGCAGTTTTAATTACCTTTTGTTCTTTCTCTCATTCACATTGAAAACACAGACATCGGAGGAGAGAAAAGGGCAAAAACTAAAAACAAAATAGGAAGATCCGAAATTTTCCTCTGAAAAATCTCTCAGTCTGGGCAAAAGGAAAGAAGAGAAAAAAGGAAGAAAAATTCAAATCTTTATTTTTACCATAGATTTTTGCATTGGATCTGTTCCGATGAGAAGAAATCTTTCTGTGGAAAATTAGAATTGAAAACTGTTAGATATTTTTTCTTTCCTCTCTACCTCTGTTCTTCATCAGCATTTTTTCACCCATAAAAAAGGGGATATAAATCTGTTTCTTTAGGTGATCATAACACTTTGTCTGTGATTTTCCCCATTTCTCTTGTTTGTTGTTGATCATAGTGATCATCGTCTTCATTGTCACAATTTGGGACTGTCTTTTTCTTACATGCGACCCATGTCAGACACTCAGCATGTTCAGAGCTCTATTGGGTCGATTCGATCTCCCGACAAAATCGAAGGTAAAAATCTAGATTAGATCCGTTTGATCGGGTTTGGTTTTGCGGTAATGCGTTTGGATATCATATTGGGTTTTCTACTTTTGATCATTGATTATAAGTGATTTCAGCATTTACACTCGGTTTAGCATTTGGATCATTTCTGAGATTTTTGATGAGTTTTGTTTACCGTTTCTCATGCTTTTTAATATCAAAGTGATCCAAGTCTGGACATTATTAAAAGTGATGTTTATGTTGTCGGAATGATCTTTAGATGCCTTTAAGAGGATGAAAGTAAATGAAGACGGAGTGGCGAAACCGAATCCGTATCCGGATCGTCCCGGTGAACGAGATTGCCAGTTCTATCTAAGGACTGGCCTTTGCGGCTATGGAAGCAGTTGCCGCTACAATCACCCCACTCATCTTCCACAGGTGAGAAATTGATAATTATGGAGAATAATTTCCTCTTGCTTTTTTTTTTAAAAGTATTTTCCTCATGGCTTACTGCTTCTTAATAGGGTGTTATGTATTACAACGAGGAGCTCCCGGAGAGAATCGGGCAGCCTGATTGCGAGGTGCACTTCATTTAATTACCTCAATATCTGATTGGTTCTCGTGGTCTGAGTGGCATTATACAGAGTAAAACGATATTTTGTTCAGCGTGCTGCATTTGAGTTACAGAACTTATTCTGTCCATTTAGCAAAAGTAACCGAACTTATTCTAGTTTGTAACTTCCTTTAGGAGATAGCAAGAATCTACATTGAACTGTAGAACATATTCCTCTTGCCTGGTTTAGTCTTAACTCGATTTGAAAAAGATAGATACACTAGATTGTTTGCTTTCTTCTAAGATCTTTCCCAAACAACTTCCTTTTTCTATATGCGATTTTTGGTTGCAGTATTTTCTCAAGACAGGAGCTTGTAAGTACGGATCAACTTGTAAATACCATCACCCAAAGGATAGGAATGGTGCAGAACCTGTGTTGTTCAATGTTCTCAGTTTGCCTATGCGTCAGGTAATTTCATTAAGGTCTTTGTTTATTTTGGTCCAACGTGGAAGACTTATTTGAGTTTCTTCTCCAGGGTGAGAAGCCATGTCCATATTACCTGCGAACGGGAACGTGCAGATTCGGAGTTGCCTGCAAATTCCACCATCCTCAACCTGATAATGGACATTCTTCTGCATATGGAATGTCTAGCTTTCCTTCTCCAGCTGTTCATTATGCTGGTGGGTTAACTATGAATATGATGTCTACATATGGAACTTTGCCTCGTCCGCAACTTCCTCAGTCCTATGTTCCCGTCATGGTTTCACCCTCTCAAGGCCTTCTGCCTCCTCAAAGCTGGGCCACTTACATGGTTAGTCTGAATAGAAGCTACCAATAATGTGTAGGATCTGCTTTTGTAGCAAATTTGACTTAGTTTACATGTCATGTGGTTTTGTTTATGGTTGCAGGCTCCAACTAACTCCATGTATAATGTGAAGAATCAACCTTATTACTCTGGATCAAGTGCACCAATGCCCATGGCTGTGACATTGAATGGTGGTTTGCCTGAAAGATCCGAGCAACCACAATGTCGGTTTTTTATGAACACCGGCACGTGTAAATATGGAGACGATTGCAAATACAGCCATCCCGGAGCAAGAATCATTTCACCACCACCACCACCAAATCTCATAAACCCTTTTGTTCTCCCAGCGAGACCTGTAAGTCCCTTGCTCTCTTGGTTTCGTAGCTCAGATTTTGATTTTTGCAAAGTGAAAGAAGAGCTTTGTTTACAGAAAGATGTGGTCTTGATTAGGTTCGTAAAGATTATTATTATGTTTGAAACATGTAATGAGCCACTGTTCTGCTTTTTGAGGTCCAGGGACAACCAGCTTGCGGTAGCTTCAAGTCTTATGGATTCTGCAAGTTTGGACCAAACTGCAGATTCGACCACTCAGTGCTGACATACCCGGGCTTGACCATGCCTGCGTCTCTGCCTACTCCTTATGCTCCACCTGTTTCATCAAATCATCAGAGGATCTCACCGTCGCCGAGCCGTTCTGGTTCAAAGGCTAACGATAAACCTGATGCGAAGAAGGAAATTTCAGTTTCTGAGAAACCAGACGATGATACTGAACAACTGAATGACTCTCAAAAGCAGGATTTTTCTGAGAATTCGACATCACCGTGATCATGAATCATGATCACAACATCGAGAATCATCAGCAATATGGCTGAATCTCCCCCGCTCAGGCTTCTAAAGATCTCAGTGATCTCTCTCTGCCCTTTTTTGTTAATTTTTGTGGAAGAAGAGGGGAGGTGAAAGTGTTTCTCTTTTATTCCTTTTTTTGTTTGGCTTTTCTTTTGGAGATGGCCATGGCTGAAAACAATTTACAATAGGACGAAACCAGTGATGTCACAGATGTTCTCTTCTGTTTTTGACTCTGTTAATAAATATTACATTGATAAACAATAGAATTTGTGACATTCCTCCTATATTCTAAAGTATAATTGCTAGTTGCTACTAATCTAAGTACTATTAATTAATAAGAAAGACATAAATACACTTTTTATTGGATGGTTAAAAAAAAAAAGAAGAATTATAGATATTTGACTAAAGTTTTCATAAAAATAAATACAAATGACTTTCATTCGAACATTGGAAAGCAACGAAATGAAAAGGGTTCTTTTTTAGGCTTCTGGCCGGTAAAAGTCTGGGTGGAGAAGCTTCGTCCTTTTGCGTGACGGGAATCGCCGACGATTGTGTGCACGCAAATCCAGAGTAGTGTATCAACACCGCCGAGTCGACTCGCACCGAGTTTCTCCACCGGCAAGAGGGACCATGAATCGGCTGAGAGGCCGAGGGACATCGATTCTGGGTTCGGCAGTTGTGCCTCAGCTGAAGAAAAAAGCCCAAAATTCACTGGTCGCTCTTCAGGACTCGTATCTCTCCACCAAGGTGATCGATCCCCTTTCTCTCTGAGTCTTTCTGTATTGATCCACTAATTTCAATTTATGTCTGGGTTTTTAAGATTTGGGTTTTTGGTTATCATTTTTTGGTTGTGTCATCTGCTTAATAGATTTGTTTCTTTTTCTTTGTAATGAATCATTTCTCAGGACTTGTTCGAGAGGCACAGGGTCGTGTTTACAGTTGGAACTTCTATAGCGTCAGTTGCTACGGCTTGGATTGGTAAGTTGACGGAAATACTGTATTTACTTGGGATGATTTTATTTCTTAGGTTTGATTTGGAGGAGTGAACTCTATTATTTGCTATCTGTGAGGCCTTTTTCTCAATTGGTGGAATAAAGATGTTAGCAAAATGTATGGGGATCGTGTTCATAATCCTGTGATAATGATAACTGGTCTGCCCATGACAAATGTCTTCAGTACTTTTGAGCTTTGGAGATGATTTTGTGGGTCCTCTATTGTTTTTTTCCTGCCACGTAACACAAGTTAGAAACCCAAGTTCTTGATTTTGAAAAGCTATCTTATTGATCTTTTGTCTCTGTTTATGCTGAGTTGACTGAGTTGGTAGTTGATGAATCATTGTGCAGGCTATTCATTACGCCATTACAACGAAACTAGAATCAACCAGAGGCTGGAGTCGATTGAGAATGCGGTTAGTGTCTATGGTCAAGAAACTATCTATTTATCGCTGTATACTTCCCTCCTATTGCTTGTTATTGCCAATTTACCGCAAATCTGATTCCACGTATGAACATCTCTGTATTAGCTTGATGTATATCGGATTCACGTGCTTGCATTATTTGAATTCATCTAGCTGCTCGTCCGTGGAAACTCTTTGAAAAGAACAGTTGCTTCCTATTATAAATATCTGGTGACTGAAACTTGTGTAACTTGTCACGGCAGATGAAGAACACACACGAGCTGGAACGAGGAGAACTGAAGAAGCTGGTTGATCCGGTGGGTTCCAGGTTCACTTCAACAATTGCCACTGCTGGAACCACTTTGATCCTCGGGTTTGTTTCCTCTCCACAGAGACGGTTAGGTTCACAAAGTTAGATGCCTTTTTCACATGAACTATCTGTTTTGTCTGTGAGTTTTGATCAGGTATGGATTGGGTTGGCGAGGCGGGATATGGTATGCAAATAGGAAGTATAGAAGGGAACAGATGAGATTGGCTGGGCAGTTAAAACCCAGAGAGTGGAAGTTGTTAGGGAGAATGAAACCTCGAGCTTGGCCCACCACTAAGTTCCTCAGACGACCATTCCGAAGACAAAACAAATCAACAGAACCTGTTGCTCTGAAATCACCACCACCTGAGAGCAGTGCCGGTTGAAGATTCCAGAAAACCGGTTTGTTGAAAATACCAAGCAATTGCTGATCGAAACAACCAACCAACGATTATTTTTGTTCAGAATATATTTGTCATAAGCCAAATGGCTCTTCCAGCTTCTTTGTTCCTTGTATGTATTTTTTTTAATGTACTCCAAAACAGTTACAGAAACAAAATTCCATGCGAGAGAGATTAGTGTCGATAAACAAAATGATTAGAGAAGAGCGTGCTGACGTGTAATAATATCACTGGTCCATACACGTAACTCCACGTACGCCGTGTTTTTAGTTCTTACTACATTATGATGTGTCGTCGGAGAGAGCAAAGCCTTTTTGTTTTGTTTTGAGGTGGAGAAGGAAGAAATGATGGAAAGAAGAATGTACAGATCACCACCATTAACGTTAATGCTGACGACTGCCTCTCTGTTGTTTGGATTATTCGATATAGGCAATGCTCTCTACGGATCCTCTTCACCTGTAGTGCAGCTCACTCCTTCTAATTTCAAGTCTAAGGTACAGATTTCGATCATTCATTGGTTCCCGTGAACCATCCGTTGTTTGTGCCTAATAGTCTCCATGGAAATGGTTTGGCAGGTTGTGAATTCAGATGGAGTCGTTTTGGTAGAGTTCTTTGCACCATGGTGTGGGCATTGTCAATCCCTAACACCAACATGGGAGAAGGTTGCTACTGCTTTGAAAGGTGTTGCTACAGTGGCAGCCATTGATGCTGACGCCCACAACTCCGTCTCTCAGGATTATGGAGTCAGAGGTTTCCCAACCATTAAAGTGTTTGTTCCCGGGAAGCCTCCTGTTGATTACCAAGGAGCTAGGGACCCCAAATCCATTTCTAAATTTGCCATCAAGCAGGTTTGTCTCTCATACCCTTCTTCTGATTCTTGATTGATGATTAGATTTTGTTTCTTTGGAATAGTGGAATATGTTGTTGTTTTTGCTTGACAGATAAAGGGGCTGTTAAAAGATCGTTTGGATGGCAAAACAAAAACTGGAGGAGGATCCAGTGAGAAGAAATCCGAGCCCAGTGCCTCCGTGGAACTCAACTCTAGCAACTTTGACGAGTTGGTCACTCAAAGCAAACAACTTTGGATTGTCGAGTTTTTTGCACCTTGGTTAGTAATAGTATAGTGCATATTGTTGGCTCTTGATGAACTATTCACACCTCTAACGATCGTTCCTTTGGTCTTCTTCTCCAAGGTGTGGACATTGCAAAAAGCTAGCTCCTGAGTGGAAAAAGGCTGCAAAAAAGTTGAAGGGGAAGGTCAAACTAGGTCATGTCAATTGTGATGCTGACAAGGTATCTTAATATTTATCTTCTTATAACCAAATGCTTGTTGTCTCGGATGGATTCTGACAAGGTATTACATACTGCAGTCGATACAGAGCAGATTCAAAGTGCAAGGATTCCCAACTATCTTGGTCTTTGGTGCAGACAAAAGCAGAGCAGTGCCTTACGAGGGTGCTAGATCTGCATCAGCCATAGAATCTTTTGCTCTGGAACAGCTAGAGTCCAATGCTGCACCTGTTGAAGTAACTGAACTAACTGGCCCGGTACTGTTTCACATCCTGTTACTCTGTTTCCCTAATATTTGTTTTCAGATGGTACTTGTCTCACAACACTCCTCGTCTGCTGAATTTGAATAGGATGCCATGGAAGACAAGTGTGGTCCTGCTGCTATTTGCTTTGTTGCTTTCTTACCTGACATTCTGGACTCGAAAGCTCAAGGAAGGAACAAGTATCTAGAGATGTTATTATCAGTTGCAGAGAAGTTTAAGAAGGAGCCTTACAGGTAAAAAGCTAAGAACACATTCTCTTGTATCATCATATATGTTCCAGCTCTGAGTCTGATGGTGTTTGCAGCTTTGTGTGGGTGGCTGCTGGGAAGCAACCTGATTTGGAGAAGCGAGTTGGTGTTGGAGGATATGGTTATCCAGCAATGGTAGCCTTGAACGCAAAGAAAGGAGCCTATGCTCCACTTAAAAGCGGTTTTGAGGTTAAACACCTCAAGTAAGTCTACCTCTTGTCTTTCTCTATCTCTCTATAAAAGCAATTTTAGTCAATACTAAGAACACAATAGTCCATGCGTTTTTTGGTAGCGAGCTGAAAACGGGTCTCTTTTTGTCTTTTGTGTTATCAGAGAATTCGTGGAGGAAGCTATGAAAGGAGGAAAAGGGAATTTGCCGATAGACGGAACATTGGAGATAGTGAAGACAGAAGCTTGGGATGGTAAAGACGGAGAGGTGGTTGATGCAGATGAGTTCTCACTTGAAGAACTCATGGGAGATGATTGATGCTGCTGCTCCCTCTCCACTAAGTCAAAGGACCAGTTGTGAATAAACTCTTTGCTTCACTTGTACGGTTTTGGTTTCTTGAAAGACTGTTAAAGTGCCTCACTCTTCGAAAGAGAGAGCCGTAAGTATCATTTCAAAGAGTTACAACAGAGTAATACACTTTAGAATTTCATATGGACACATACTTTAGTGTGAATGTTTCAGCTTCGGTATCATCTTTAATTTGTTTGTGTTAAAATGTTAATGTTTTTGTAACTGAATTCTATTCATAAAAGGTTTCTACGATTGCCATTGTTATTTGGTGGTATTTTGGGGAGCAATCGTAAATCTGAAAAATATTCCAAATACCAAATTTCTATATTTTTGTAAGTGAATTCTATATTTCCCGAACTTTAGCAAAAAAAAAAGTAATTCTTTTAACTTTAGCAAAAAAAAAGAGAGTATATATATATATTTCCCGAACTGCATCATCTCCATATATATACATTTGAAAAGCCCCAAATAGCTACGATTACTTTCTCTCCAAGGTATTGATTGCAACGATGGGTTTGTCTAGCGAGGCACCGGAGCTTCCTGTGGATTTGGTGACGGAGCAGATTCTGACGAGACTGCCAGGAAAATCTCTGATGAGATTCAAGTGCGTCTCAAGGCACTGGTTATCGGTCATCAGCTCAAAACATTTCACCGACCGTTTTCTTACGGTTCGTCCATCCCCTCGCCTTTTCATGTGTTTATGGGATCCCAACGACGACAATCGAAATCGTTACTGGGTAACACTCTCATTGGCTCCTTCAAGCACTAGTAGTAGTAGTACTACTACTCCGTCTTCCTTTGTAGTTGACCAGGATCTGACCATCCCAGGGATGGGAGGCTACAACTTGCAAAATTTTCGTGGCTTCATGTGCTACTCTAATGGTTCTATAGCCCTGATCTATAACCCTGCCACAGCAGAACTTGTCACCTTACCCTTCTTCAGATCCTGCATCAGAGGGAAAAAAGTTGCCAGCTACTACTTTGGACACGACCCTGTTAACGACCAGTACAAAGTGGTCTCCTTGGTTAGTGCACGTAAACAATTTCGAGGACTTGTTACAGTGACAAGTGAGAATTGGGTCTTTGACCTTAAAACTGGAAAAGGTTGTTGCTCTTGGAAAAAGGCTGCTCTAACTCCACCGGACTTTTCTCATCAGCAAATAGGCCTCGGAGGAGGAGTGTGTATCGATGGGGTTATCTATTACCTGGCTTGGACTCCTTATAAAAAAGTGGTTGTGAGTTTTGACATTAGATCCGAAGAATTCAACATGATCCCAGTACCTTACGACGAGAACGTTCGAAACATGGCTCTTTTGGAGCATGGTGGAAAAGTAACTCTTTTTGACCAAACCAATCTTAAAGACATGGGTGTGGTGGCTTTATGGACTCTGGAAGAGGCCCGGAGCAAGAAATGGTCGTGCAAGAGTCGGGTTTTGGAGTCTTCCCAAATGCATTTGGTCAATAGCATTGCATTCAAGATAAGAGGTACAACTCAAAAGGGCAAGGTTCTACTGAAACCAGAGGAGTTCCTTTCGCCCTTTCACATTCTTTGCTATGATATTCAAAGCAATGATATGAGCAAGATTGAAATGGAAGGCATACCGAACAGCTGGTTTAGTCTGGACAAAGGTCCAGCTTTTGACTTAGTGTTTATGGACCAGAGTGAGAGCGTCATGGAGTGGGAGACTTTAATTCATGGGGAGATGATTGATGCTGCTGCTCCCTCCACTGGGTCAAAGGACCAGTTGTGAACCTCACTAGTGTGGTTTTGCTTTCTTTCAAGACTGTTAAACTTAGTGTGAATGTTTCAGCTTCCGCATCATCTTTTTATCTGTTTTTGTAAGTGAGAATTCTTTTCTTAAAAAGGTTTCTCCGATTTCTAGTGTTTTTTTGGTATATGGGGAGAAATCTTAAATCTGAAAAAAAATTCCAGATACCAAATTATTTATGTTTATTATAAGTGAATTCTATGTTGGTCGAGCATCGAATTACCGTAATTACATACACAAGTAGCATACACAGAAGAGTTAAGTCGAACATCAAATACACAGTAACATATACACAGACCAGTACTGAAATTTACAACCGCCACTTGTAAACTAGAACGACTTAGGCGTAGATCTTGGTAGTCTCAAACGTAACTGGGATGGATCCAAGTAGGCGACGTCGCTGCAGACTGTGATTTGGGAGCTTGAGCAGATGATTTGCGCATTCTCAAGAGTGAATCCTCGGATTACAGGCAAAGGGAACCCCTTTTCTAAATGGTCATTTGCATATGGCACAAACACCGTTTGTATAACAGTCCACACTATTGGCTACACGAATATAAAAGAAAGGCGTGTAAATGTAAAGAGTGAAGGAAACCTCTTCTGATTCAAAATTACATATCAGTGTGTGTGGTTGGTTTTACCTGAAGAAGATGGAGATGGAGATTCCCAACGTTGCTCCATTTCAAAGACATGGAGAAATCTTCTAACTTTACGCTGCCTCCAAGGTTATTACCCGTGACTCTGAGAGCACCCGACCCTCGGATCACCTGCAGCAGCCAAGCAACACTGAATCATCTCTACTGGTAAAACTAGAGCAATATATCATCCAAAGACTTACCAAGGAGATGCATGCCACTGGTATTACTTGGCCTGCTTCTAGAACATCAATTACTAGGTCTGCGTCAACATTAGCTCCCACATACTGCTCTGATATCTTTACAAGTGGAGGCGAAGACAAACTGATGTTGAGATTCATATCCTGGTTCGGGTATTTCTTGTATAGCTGTGGAATGATGAACCTCCACCTAGCAGTGTTTAAAAGAGACTGCTCTGGTACTTTATCCACTATCCATTGCATATATTCTGCCTGAATAAGGAATGATGGAAATTCTCCTCATATGAGAAACAAGAGTAGAGTATGTAGTAATGCTGTTTCAGATGCATTGCAAGATACAGACGCAAACAATCAAGAAAACTTACATTGTAGTACAGAGCTGCAGCAGAGTTAAAGACATCTTCATCCAGTGAAATTCCGAGCATCTTAGAGTTTCCAGGGCAGATAACTGAAGATAAAGACTTTCTGAAGACTCGATTCGTTTCTGTTTTGGTGAACAAGCCATCGATCTCAAAAGTGATGGATGAATTTCTCAAGATAGGATCACTGGTGAAGGTGACATTAAGCGCAGCATTATCATCTACTGGGATTTCCTTTGGAAGGCTCTGTAGGAATGAATCAAGGTCTGATACTCCTTCACTGAGTTTATTGGCAATCGTAGTTTCTACACTTGCTCCAATCTGGTCTTTAAATGCATTAACCATTCTGAATTGCAGAGAAGAAACTAAAGTTATAACTTTTATAAACAAAAAACTATGATATAACCATGATGCTCATGATAGTTTCATACCCCTGATAAAACCATGACGCTCCTCCTTCCAACTCAATAGAAATGTTCTTCACATGGCATCCACATTCCGAAAGAGAAAGCTTTAAGCCTCCTTCATCACTTTGCAAGCCCAGCGAGAGCCCGATTTCCATGCCTTCAACCTTACCGAGAAGGCGAGAATCAGCACTCATCAAATTCCCTTTGTAAAACACATTTAAAAATAAGCAGAAGCAACACCACGGACTAAAACACAACTTATGAATATGACAAAGCAGAGAACAACAGTCATCTCTGATTCCCATACGCAAATTATGTTCTAAGTAACAATCATACGAAGCTTGAGGGCAAAACAGAACATAGTTGGTGAATAAAAATCTTGTCTTTCCATTGTTTCAGAATTCACATCTCTAGCAATGAAGTGAAAGTAGATGCATGTAGTAGCAGATCACCCAAGTAATTGAGAACTTGCAGCAGGCTTTGATTGTGCTTCAATTCGAACAACTTATTCAATGGCTCTAGATCAGACATGAGGGAGGATAATAATTACCTGAACAGATGCAATCCCCTGATCAGAGATCTCTATTGGACCAAGCCAAGTAGTGTAAGAATAGTGCCAATTCATACTCAGATTGCAGGTCGTCCCCGAAGCGACGATGACAACACCTGTTTCGCCAAGCTTAACGTAAGAAGACGCAACATCGAGCTCGTATATCGTGAGGTTCGAGACGACAACATCGATTCCTCCGAGGAACGGGATTCGCACAGATTTCTCGATCCTGGGTATCTGGAGAGGTATAATCGACGCTATAGCTTTGTTAACTAGCAGGTCTTTGACGAAATCGAGGCCGTTTTGAGATACCAGAATCGATGTGAATGATTCGCTCTGCGTATGTGAAGGCAAGAAGAAGAAACTTGGTAAGAGAAGAAAGAAAAAGCACCAACCGACTACATCCATGGCGGAAATTTCAAGTTTTTTTTTGTTTTAATTTGTCTCCACACCAAATAAAGAGAAGCATTGCTGTTCAACAAAGAACAGGCTAACACACAAGGGTAGTGTCAAACATGTTGTTGCGTAATGGTTTGGATTATTACGAAATGTCTAAAATATCCTTGTCATTCGATTTGCATTGTCGGGTGGGGCTAATTTGATTCAGATTGGAAGTTTTCGGGGTTGAAAGTATAATTGTTTCCAACTAATCTGATGAGAACTATTTAATTTTAAAACCGTTAGCAAACTACTTGCCGTTTCTAGCCTTTTCTATAGTACACTGCGCTCCGTTTCTCTTCACGCTCTCGAGTACACCCATCTTCTGATGCTTCTTCGTCTCCGTCCTCAACCATCCCCAAATCGGCCATGGAAGCTAGACTCTCGGAGAGTCTGGGCCTCCCGTCTCCGAATCTTAATCACTGCCTTCTTACCAACGATTTCAACTCTCTGTTCACTTATTTCTCCGATCGCACCTCCGCGCAAATCCCCATCGTCAGAAAATCTGTAACCAAAATCAAATCCTCGAGGAAACTCTCTCCTCCGAAATCCTCAGAATCCACTGAAAATTCAAGGAGGTCCGTAGGGTTTGCATCGGCTTCAGTGTCGGATTCCAATTCCGGACCGGAGTTCCTGAAATGGATGAAACCTGCGTCACGGAGCAGCCCAAGGATCCAAACACTGATGAAGCAGCTCTCCGTCTGGGAGCGTGCACTGATCGGTGCAGGAGGCGGTGGAATCGCCGGTGCCTTCACATACGTCTGCCTTCTCCCGTTGGACACAATCAAAACGAAGCTTCAGGCGAAAGGCGCGTCTGAGGTGTACAGCAGCAGCTTCGATGCGATAGTGAAAACGTTTCAGGCCAGAGGGATTCTAGGTTTCTACAGTGGCGTCTCCGCCGTGATTGTTGGCTCGACGTTCTCCTCCGCCGTCTATTTCGGCACCTGCGAGTTCGGTAAGTCTCTCCTCTCCAAGTTCCCGGAGTTCCCTTCGGTTCTCATCCCTCCCACTGCTGGCGCCATGGGAAACATAATCTCGTCGGCAATAATGGTTCCGAAAGAGCTCATCACGCAGAGAATGCAAGTTGGAGCCAGTGGGAGGAGATCGTACCAAGTTCTGCTTGAAATTCTAGAGAAAGATGGAATATTGGGGCTCTACGCTGGTTACTCTGCCACGCTGTTGAGGAATTTACCGGCCGGTGTGCTAAGTTACTCGTCGTTCGAATACCTGAAAGCTGCGGTTTTGGAGAAGATGCAGCAGAACCAACTTGAGCCTCTGCAGAGCGTTTGCTGTGGCGCATTGGCTGGTGCCATATCTGCTTCGATAACCACGCCACTAGATGTGGTGAAGACGAGGCTGATGACACAGGTTCATGTGGAGGCAGCGAATAAACTTGGCGCTGCTATGTACAACGGTGTGAGTGGGACAGTGAGACAGATACTGAGAGAGGAAGGTTTGGTCGGTTTTACCCGAGGCATGGGGCCTCGAGTTGTTCACAGCGCTTGTTTCTCGGCTATCGGGTATTTCGCATTCGAGACGGCCAGGCTTACAATCCTAAATGAATATTTGAAGAGGAAGGAAGATTCCATTGATGCTGATTCTTGAGAGAGTTTAGCTTTTATACTTGTTTCTCAAACTAGCATTAAGAGCTTTATCCTTGTGACTTGTTTTCTCAAACAAGCTTTTCTTAAAAGCTGACTTGTTTCTCACTGCTTTATCTGATTTTATTTACTGTTGGATTAGTACTGTAGTTGCTGCCTTTTCTCGTTCAACCTTCTTCCACTTTGTTGTCATTTTGTTTTCATTTGTATTTCAGATTTCATATTCATAGACTCAATATGCTTTCCTTCAATCTCATGTAAGGAAATTCAAAGTTTTTTTTTTGTAATAATTATCTCAAGGCCATATACACTATAAGAAGGATTGCTCTTCAACCAAGTGTCAAGCAACTTGCGTGTAATGGTCTGGATTATATTATTAAGTGTCTAAAATACCCTTGACCCTTGTCATTCGATTTGAATTGCCCCATCACTTGTGGGGGTAATCGAATAAAAATTGGAAGTTTTCGGGGTGAAAACATAAATGTTAAAAGTATTTCTATCAAACGGAAAAGTTGAGGTCTAAAAAGGCAAAAGGGTGTATCGTAATTCGTCTCTTCTGGTGGCTGATCGTCACGGAACAGAACAATCGAGAAGAGTCGGCCGCTAATTTCTCCAGCTTTAACCGGAATTAATGGCTATGCACGCCGGTGTTCAGACATCTAAGGTCCTCATCCTACTCGGCGCAGGTCTTTCTCTCTCACTGTGATGTTTATCTTTTAATCGAGATTGTTTGCTAGTAACGAATTCGATTGCTTGGACTCGTGTTGCTTTGACTGTAATCTAGGGAAATTTGCTCGAGTTTAGATTGGAATTAATCTTAAGTTCTGGTAATTCGATGGATCACTATGCAAAAATGCTTCAGAAATTCTGCTTTGCTATTGAACTAATATTTTGGTTCATAGCTTCAATTATCAAATTTGGATACTTTTGAGGCGAATTGTTCTCCGACATCTATGATATAATTATTCTATCTTGGATATCTCATCAAGGATATTACTTGTTACACTTAAAATGATTCGTATATCTTAAAACTTGGTTCTGTTCTCTTTAATGTTCAAAGGTGTCTCTGGTTCGATCGTGTTGAGACATGGGAGGTTGTCTGACGTATTAGCGCAGCTTCAAGAGTTACTCCAGGGTGCTGAAGGAGTTGAAAGCACACCGTATAAGTATGACAGTGCACTCCTTGCTGCTCAGGTATTTTGTTTGCCTTTTGTTGCTCTGTTTGCTCATCACGCGAACTCGAAATAATCCTTTTGAATCACTAGGCTTAAGCTGGTCCCTCTGTTTGATGACATGATTCTGTTTTCTTTTCATAATTATCAGATTCGACAGCTCGCAAATGAAATCAAAGAACTAAGTAGGATTAATCCAGTCACCATATTTAACGGAGATTCAAACTCCAATGGTATGGAAGACTTGTCATTTATGTTTCTGTAGAACTTGTAACAATTTTAAGATACATCCACTCATCTTTGCTTTTGCTGATGCAGGCTATGCGTCTTACCTGGTTCCGGCGGCCGCCGTTGGAGCTATGGGATACTGTTACATGTGGTGGAAGGTGCTCGTCTCTCAAAGTCTTATCCATTTTTTTCTGTGTTCCATGTTACCTTTGTTAGAGTTTTGTAACACTTACTCCTTTCTTTCTACGTTGCAGGGTTGGTCATTTTCTGATGCTATGTTTGTGACAAAGAAAAATATGGCTAATGCAGTTGCATCTGTTTCAAAACAACTCAACGATTTGTCAGAAACATTAGCGGTGAAAACTTATATTCTCGAAACATTCCTTGCTTGTTTTATATTTTATTCCCTTGTGGTCTTGGGGTTTGTGACTCGGCGTATTTGCTTACGCAGTCAACAAGGAAACATCTTTCTAAGGAGCTATCTAAATTGGATTGGAAGGTGGAAGAGCAGACCGAGATATCTAAAATGATCTTAAATGATGTAAGGCACCCATATCTTTTTTCTTCTCACTTTCTCGTATTGATGCTTTAATTTTTCCTTAGACTTCAGATCATGATAATGCTACGTTCGTCAGGTAACCGACATGAGATCTAGCATCTCGCAAATTGGGTTTGACTTTCAACAACTTAATGAAATGATATCCGGAATAGTAAGTCACATCTTTTCCCTCTTATGTATGCGTATGATTTCTATTAACTAATTGAAAAATTTAATTAAGGAGGACTAATATTTCGTTCTTAATCGTCACTATGTTATATCAAATTTCACAGGAAGGGAAGATTGAAAGTCTTGAAAGCAAACAAGTAATCTATCTGTTTTTACTACAAACCAAGTCACATAATAAGTTTTCTTGAATCTTTATTTATTGGAAACACTTTTTTTTTTGTCTTTGTTAATCCCTCAGGATGTAACCCTCTCAGGACTATGGCATCTATGTCAACTTGCAGGCGTCAAAAACAGCACAAGCACTAAAGTCTTTCAGGTGAATGTAACTTGCATATATTAAGACAAACACTGTCTTACCTATTTTTCACTTAATGAAAGGCCTTTAATTGAAAAATCTGGTTTCTGCCTTCTTGATTTAGGATGTTGGTGCGAGATTACCCATTGACACAAAACCATCAGCTGTTAACTCTCTCTCGGTAATGATGCTAAGAAACTCTTCTTTTTTCACCATCCAAAAGTCTCTATTTGTGAAAGAATTCGCCAAGAGCAACATATAGACTGAAAGCAGTCACACTCATCAAGCTCAAAAACCACTCAGCTTCATTCGAAGAACATGGAACCTAAAATGTTTATAATTTCACTTATCTCGTACTTGTTTGGCTTTCTAAAACTTAAAAAAAAACTATGGAAACTCCAGGGTCTGCGGTTTCTCACAGAAAGCGAGGAGGGAGCAAACGTAATACACAAGAAGGTTTTGGCGAAAGAAAGCTCGGTGATGGAGAAACCGGTGGAGGAAAAAACAAAAGCCGGCGTCGCGGCGGCAAGCACCAGAGTTCATAGAGCGTTTCCGGGTGGAATATCTTGGGTACGGGACGTTACCGGTCTATCGTGAAATATTGTTTGGGTTGATTTACAAAGCATTTGCCTTTATATTCGTCTTAGTTCTGATACTGAGACTGGGCAATCATTTTTTCTGTATAAAAAAAAGGAAAAGAAAAATTCCCAAAGAAAGTAAGTAAACTATACACATGTTGTTGCATTCATCAACAGTTTGTTTTGCCCTTATTATTTGGTGTTGTCTTGATGTTTGTAAAAGAAAAGAAAGTGAAAATTGAAAAAACGCTTTCACGCACGTATGCTGTTAGAATGACAATAAGTTGATACGTGGATTATTGGCCTTAGATAATTTTTCCTCTTTTTTTTTGAGTTTTGTGATCTATTTTGTTGTAATTCGAATCAGAATTACTACTAGCTTTTTGATATTCTTTTCACATTCCTACGAATATTTTCAAAAATTATTGAATTATGGTTGCTGAAACAAAATGTTTGATCTTGGTTGGCTAGGAAAGAACACTCTTGTCCTTATTAGACAAAAAGGGCCCAAGCCCAAAGTGAATTTAACCCGAAATAATCCAATCGGGTCACCCGAGACCGACCCAGATTCGCTTCTTCTATTAACCGGAGGCTAGTCGGAACCTTGCGTCAATTATATAATCCAGACTTGCGACGCTGCTAAGTGTCTGGATCTTCGACGTCTAGCGATTTGTTCTTGCTCCGTTTACGGGTTAGCCTCGCCAAGGGAGAAGGCAGAAGAAATCCGGTTCCCACTGTGGTTCACCATTATCTTCAGGGCTATCTTCTGAGTTGTACAGTCGTGGTCTGTGACAAAGACGAGTGGTGGTCAACTGAATCGGTGCGTCTTTTTATTTGTTTTTTTGTGTGCTCCGTTGTTTGTTTCATAGTAAATTTCAGAGTTCTTTGTGGTCGAAATTTGGGATAATCACTCTGATTGAAGTATGCATTTGTTTCTGGTTGTCGAGTTGCGAATTCATTGGGAAATTCCATGGATTCTCTATGACTTTGCTTTCTTCCAACTGTGTATGATACAACAGAGCCGTAGAGAATCGGGTCTGGGAAAGAGAAGAGAAGATGAGCATTGTACCTAAGGAAACGATTGAGGTTATAGCACAAAGTGTTGGGATTACCAACTTGTTACCTGAGGCTGCTCTTATGCTTGCTCCTGATGTTGAGTATCGTGTTCGAGAGATCATGCAGGTGACCCTCTTTCTTTCTTTTTTCCAAGGCATGTCTTTGTGTTCTGTAGGTTTGTTTTAGGGTACTAGCAACCGATCTTACTGCCAATTGAGAAATTCAGGTTTTTGAAATAGGATGTTGCCTCATATTTTTGGGATGTCTTTGCAGGAAGCTATCAAATGCATGCGTCACTCAAAGAGAACGACTTTAACAGCGTCGGATGTAGATGGTGCTCTCAACTTAAGGAACCTTGAGGTACAAACTAGAGACCAATTCTTCATTCCCATACTCTAGAGTTTTGGTACAGCACTGTCAGTAAGAATGTTTAATAGCCTCGCTTCCTTGGATGATATGAAACATTTGTTGATATTTCTTTGGTGGAGTTGTCTAGTGAGAAAGATATATGGTTTCTGCTTTTGATGTTTGCCTTTCCTGGTGCATATGAACAACACCATCTATTAAACATTGCTTTCACATATCTCTCTATAGCAGTTAACTGAATCAAAGGCATCTATTTGAGAATGATCGTATCTATTGCAGCCGATATATGGCTTTGCCTCAGGAGGACCATTTCGTTTCAGAAAAGCTATTGGGCATCGGGATTTGTTCTACACTGATGACAGAGAGGTGGATTTTAAAGATGTAAGATGTTGGGAATGCTGGCATATATATATGTAGTTAAACCTTTCATTGTTTTTTTCTGATATTTCAAGAAATGTTATGATTCTAGGTGATCGAAGCCCCACTACCAAAAGCTCCCCTTGATACTGAAGTTGTCTGTCACTGGCTGGCTATTGAAGGAGTGCAGCCAGCAATACCAGAAAATGCTCCTTTAGAAGGTTTGCCTCTCAATTTTATATCCGGGGTTAGAGTTGTAAAGTCATTAACTAAATTTATTGACATCAGACAAATGTTAGTATGTAGAGTGACGTTTCAGTTGGTGAATTAACTTCTTTCTACGTTTATACCTTGTTAAGTGGTGTAATTACTGATGTTGATGAGAGATCGAATTACATAATTCAGATGCACCCGTATGTAGGTTTTGATAATCATTACGAGCAAGTGAATATGAAGAATTTCCTTGTTTTTCCCATCGTTAATATATTTTCCACTTGTTAATGGTGTGTGTAGTCATTAGAGCACCTGCAGAAAACAAAATCCATGAGCAAAAGGATGGACCTCTTATTGACGTTAGGTTACCAGTGAAGCATGTACTATCTAGGGAACTTCAGGTATATGGTTCAAGCTAAATACCACAGGGAACTTCAGCCCAGTGAAGCATGTAGTATCTTACATGCATAAGACTTATCTGTTGTTCTCTTTTAACAGTTATACTTCCAAAAGATTGCTGAACTAGCAATGAGCAAGTCAAATCCTGCTCTGTTTAAGGAGGCATTAGTGAGTTTGGCCTCAGACTCAGGACTTCATCCTCTAGTTCCATATTTTACAAATTTCATTGCTGATGAGGTAACACAATGCACCACCGAGGAATCTCAAAAATAAATAAGGCACGCAATTACTTGATGCACGTTACGATATTATTTTCTCCACTGATGCAGGTTTCACGTGGTTTGAATGACTTCCTACTCCTGTTTAATCTAATGCACATTGTTAGAAGTCTTCTACAGAACTCTCATATACACATAGAACCTTATGTAAGTTGCTCTCTGGATTGTCTTTTGCCACTGTCGTAAGATTAATTATAATCATGTAGCTCTAGGTTTTTGATGTGGGTTTTCATTTTTGGCATGCTCCGTACTATGCATGTAATAAGGTTAGTGGTGGTGTTGGTCCGACTTCGAGAACGCTGTGCAAGTTCAAATACCCTCCTTGGATGACAATAAATTATGCCTCTCTGCATTAATATAATTTCATATGCACTGGTGATAATGTTTATGTTATCCAGCCGTGGGATATAATGTTCACTAGAAGTTGGTTGTTTGGGCGTTGTTTCATAACCATGAAACTAAGTGATTTTCCTTTTGGTTCCAGCTGCACCAGTTGATGCCATCTGTTGTAACATGCCTTGTATCGAGAAAGCTTGGAAATAGATTTGCAGACAACCATTGGGAACTTAGAGATTTTACAGCGAATCTGGTGGCACTGATATGTAAAAGGTTCATTCTTTCCCTTTCATTTCATGAAAGTATGTGCTCGTTTTTGGTTAATTGTGGGAATCATCTTACTGAACATGATTTCTTACTTTCACTAATTATGAAATCTTATACGGAGCAATTGTATGCAACATCATGAGATAATCGTATCCATATATGGTCTACTAAGTGTATCTTAGCTGGTCTCTTTACTATTGGCATCTGGTATTTTTCTGGCTTGAGGTGAAAAATCAAATGGGAAGATCTTAATTAAAGAGATATTAGTGATAACTTGCTAAAGTTTTCTTCACTGTTTATAAATGATTTGGTCATTGTCTCTTAAATCGATATTACTCATCTCACCTCAATATTCTTTTATCATCTGAAATCCTGTGGTTTGAATAAAATGTCCCAGGTTTGGAAACATTTACCATACTCTTCAGTCTCGTCTTACGAAAACTTTAGTCAATGCACTTTTGGACCCGAAGAAGGCATTGACTCAGCACTATGGTGCAATTCAAGGATTAGCAGCTTTGGGACACAATGTCGTAAGTACTTCCTTTGCTTTCTCTGATGCTACTTTCAGATATGATTTCTTGACTTATTAGCACTGTGACGCCTCATCTTGCTGCTATGAATTTGTTATTTTCAAGGTTTATGTAACCCCGAACATCCTACTATATAAGATCTCTTCAAGCATCTATAAATCCTTGTGTTTTTTTTCCACCATTTTCCCTGTTATCTCGTCCTTTCATTTAGGAAACTAGGATCTATATAGTCTTAGAACAGCGTCTACATGAACAAGATTATCACCAGTGCCAGATAAAAAATTAAGCACAGTACTCCTCCAATGTAAACTGAATGTCATTTATATTGTGTAGGTACACCTTCTTATTCTGTCAAATCTCGAACCGTATCTAAGACTTCTCGAACCAGAATTGGATGCTGAGAAGCAAAAGAACCAGATGAAGAGCTACGAAGCATGGCGTGTGTATGGAGCCTTGCTGGTAAGTCCTAGTCTTCTTCTATAAGTGCACACGCCCTTGTCTACTCTCACCGTAATCGAAATCTCAGTAGTTTCGTATATGGACAGTCGTTGAAGGGACTTGTGATTTTTTTTCTGTCCCCAGCGTGCTACAGGCCTGTGTATACATGACCGGCTTAAAATGTTCCCAAATTTACCATCTCCTTCACCAAGTTTCCTCCATAAGGGTAAGGGGAAAATAATCAATACTGAGCTTCGTAAGTTGTATCAACCAATTTACTTTCTCTTCATAATATGGTCGTTGGTGCTTAGAGATCCAATGTTTATTCTCGCTCCTCTTTATGAATATTTCAGGTAAGCGGAAGATGAGTGTAGATTCTTCAGAAACTCGTTCACCGCAGAAAAGGTTGATAACTGCAGATGGTTTACAATCGCAAGATCACACCGGTCCAGCTCCAATGCAAGTAGACAAACCGAACGAAAATGAGAATCCGCCACAAAACTCTGTTCAACCATCCTCATCAGAACAAGCCTCTGATCGTAACGAATCTGGAAGCAGAAACGCAAAGGAGAACGGTGGTGGCAAGGGTCGGGATATCACCACGAAAGCAAAACTCGATCAGATTTGGAAGGGTGATCTTGATTCGGGACGGCTGTTGGTGAAACTGCACCAACTCTATGGTGATAGGATTCTTCCCTTTATACCTTGTACAGAGATGTCACTATTCCTCTAATCATCAAGAGAGTTAGGTTGACGCTTGGATTTTACTTTGGTATTTTAGTTTTTATGAATTCTCTTTTAGGTGGAAAACATTCAGTATATTGGGTGTACTACTAGATTTGGTCTGTATAACATTGACTATCAAAACGGTCTGAAACACTACAAAAATTGTTGATATAAATCAAGTTCGCTACACACACAGAGCAGCCACTAATCAAGTTATGACCATTGAATGATGATACACATGTGCTTCTTGAGCAAGGGAGCTTTAGGCATGAAGATAATCCAGGGTGACCAAAAATGTTTTACTGGGAGTCATTTCTTGTGTTATTTCCTTTAACCGGATCAGAAGGACATCATTCAACGATTTCCCCTTCTTCCAGTCCATCCGCGTCGAAATCAGTAGCTAGATTTTGGAGATTGCAGTTATCATCTGAATCAAATCCTTTTGCAAATTCACATTCAAAGTTGAAATAATCACCTGGGTTCATCTCCGCGAAAAGCTCCGCGTATGTGTCTATCAACCCTTGCTCGAACTCCAGCTCCATGTTACCGTCCCCTTCTTCACCCTGAGGATTTGAATTGCCGCCCTCAACCTCGTTCATATGTTTGAGGTAATCAAGAACTTTTGGCTCGAAGGAGTCCATGTCGTCTTCTTCGACCTCCTCTTCTCCAAAGCTTATGCCTTGTGTACTCCCGTGACCATCGTACAAGGGAGCATTAGGATTAGGTGTGGGGGTGTTTACATGGTCGAAGTCTCGGATAACTTCAAAGTCATAGCTCTGTGAAGGTAGATATACATGGATCACCGGATACTCCAAGATAATCACTTTGGCAAGCTGTCGCCTCAAAGGAGCTTTGATGTCCAGCTCCTTGAAAGCAGACTTTGCACCCTGCGACCACGTAGAAAAAAGTATATATAATACAGTGTAAACGAGCAGAACAATGCAATCTGTGGTCACATTGCTACTTAGGAACCGACAAAGACGAGAATGATTATTGGTGGTAGGCCAAACCAAACCTTTGGTCTTTGTCGAACAAAAAGTTTGAGAGAATTAAGATCCACATCACAAAAAGGCTTGAGCTTGTGAATCCAAGGGCCGGGCTTAAGATGATTCTCTATCACGGAGCAAAGGCTTGTATCTTCCCCAACTCTGGGATTGATTGTTACAGTGTGATGAAGAACAAGAATAACAAAAAAAAAGAATGAAACAGTCAGTCCAGGAAAATACTAACCCATGGTCAACAAGAACGACATCGGTAGAGTGGAACCGCCACTCAATTGTCCACGAGATGCACTTTATCCTGAAGCAAAAATCCATCAACAGACATTACAGATTTGTCAAAAATCAAGGCTATAGAATCACAACAGTTAACGCATCTTTCTTTACAAAGAAGATCACAAGACAGATATGTGCAGAGGGAAATATTGTCAGACAAACTCCAAAATATAGATCAATCCCAAAGCTTCAGCAAACACAAATCCTCTTTATTCCTAACAGTAGTAAACAAAAACCCTTTATCATGCAATCATCAAGCTCAATCTTTATTAGTAAAATAGTTACCCTTTATCATATCGACTCTGATTCTTTTCCCTCTTCAACATACCACTGGGGAGAAACAATAGCTCTGTTCTGCGGGCAGCAGCCTCATCTCGAAGGCGCCGAAGATGAAAAGGTAACTTAAAATAAGGGTTTTTGAATAAGTGATCTTTGCATAACTCATCTCTCGTCCTCTGAGCAGACTCGGCCACTCTTTTTGTCTCCTCAAGCATTTTGTAGTCTATCATACAAAAATAAAACTTCATCAATCATAAGCATAATCCATGGAAATACGCATACATGAGCTCAAAGAACCAACTACAAAATTTTAGACCTTCCTCAATTTTGCAAAAAAGAAAAAAAATTCAGAGAAAATCGAAATTCACGTATAAATACCAGAGAGAATGAGATTATCGTCGAACTGCGAGAGGGGAACGAAGTCGGTGGCCTTCCTTTTTCCGGTACAACCTGTTCGCTCCTTGTGGGCTTTCACACAAGGAAGTCCACACGATCGAATTGAACAGCCGGGACATTTGTACTTCCAAGGTTTCAACTTGCACTCCTCACAGACCGAATCATTCATCTTTTTGTCCAGATTCGACATTGTTCCCTAGTGGTTGGTCCTTGTAACGGTTTTGGTCATTCGGAGGTGCGAGACGTTAGGGTTTATGGAAATAGGTCCTCTTCGGGTTAAAAGAGAAATTTCGTATCTGAGATTATGTTTTCAAATTTACAATTTTAAGTCAATCTACTTATAATTTATTCGAAATACATCCCGTATTTTTTTATAAACTTTTTATTTTTGTATTTTATAAATGAAGCGATGAAGTATTAGAAACATAATTGTCATTAACAAGAGACATTGTTGTCGTCACATCAACATAACACAAGGAGGCAGTGCCTAACAAACATACAGTATTTAAAAAGGAACAAGAGTAACAGCGACGATCTAATGCGATTTTCTTCTTCTTATTAGTCGTACGGAATCTGGATATACGCAGCATCACAGACAAACGGGATGTCTGCGTACATACCCGCAAGTGCACACCGTATGCTTTCAAGGACGGTAAACAGATACGCAAACGCAACGGCGGTCCAGAAATGCATCCCAAACTTACCCCAATAGGCTCCAAGGGGCATCCACTTGCTCACCGTTCCTATCACCTGAAGAGCTATCTCAAGCAGCATACCCATCACTACATGGAACCTGAAGAAGTGAGGCCACTCCTTTCTTCTCACTACCCCAAGATAAGCTACAAAGAAGTAAGCCATTAGGAACCAGCTCGGCAACCTCCCGATGGCGCCTAGAAACGGGTAGGTTAAGAATTCGAAATCTTCTAGGAACGGGTGGAGATGGTAAGCGGTTTCCGCGTACATCCAAGTTTCGTGCAGCGGCATCAGGTAAGGTAGGCATGCCAAAGTTCTCCACCACCATTGTGGCTTCTTCGTCATTGGAGGAAACCGGAAGCTGGAAGGTACATCTTTTGATGCTCTTGGGGCCAAAAGGGTTTTCCTGCGGACGGGTAACACGGGCAATGTACCAGAGAGACTACCTTGTTCTCCATTCAGAAGCCGAGAGGACGATGCTGAGAGATATGACAGAGGCACACCTGAAATAAGGAAGGACGGAAGATTGAGTCTGATAAACAAAAGCAGGGGACTTTGAAAGACCAAAGACACTTATCCTAGTTTTAGGCCATGAAATAAATTCACTTCATAAGAAGATCATCTGGAGATTTCTACAAATATATATGGCAAGGATCTATGGTATCAAGTGTGTGCAACCATATGAGTAGAAGAAAGTCACATGCCTCTTGGGACTCTCGGTTGAAGCTCATTGAACGGCAAAGGTGATCCGAAAGAGTTCTTTATGAGAGACAATGAACTTCGAGCAAGATAATGTTGAGTCCGCACTGATGCTGCTCTGTATGATGATGACTTGAATGCCCGAGGACTCGTTAGAACATGTGCACTTGGCGTGCTGCACCCACTTAGCATCATTACCATCTAGCTACCTATAGGAAAATCAGGTCACACAAATTATATTCTTATTTCATCAAATAACAAAATTGGTAAAACCGGATTCGAGCAGAAGACTGTAAAAACAAAATCTCATCCAATGAACTAAAACCTGGATTCGATGGATTTCACAGTTAATTTCCGGTATCTCAACAGCTAAACTTATGCTTTTATCAAATCACGTAGCTCTGTTCACATCTACATACCCTTCAGTTTATCTTCATTCGCTAAAGCAGCAATGAAGCTGAAAATGTTGTACCCTTTTTTTTTTTAACAAGCAGAGCAATAAAACCGGAGTTGAATCGAGAAGACTACAGTCCTCATAATTCTCTAACAGATAATATAGTTCTATGACATATTTTGAAGCTTCTCAATCGCCATTTACAATCTGAATCTCCGAAAAATATACACAGAAAAGAAAAATGAAAAATTTCATAGTTTTGATCAACCATCAGAAAGAATCGCATTCCAATTTTTAACCAGAGATTTCTCAGGACCAACTAGAACATTGCAAACTAACCCAGCTCTTACGACGAAATAGAGAACCCAGAAAGGCAAACACAAACAAACAAAATCGGAAAATTTTCCTTAACACCATAGGATCATTTAATAGGGAAGAAGTTACGAACCTTCAAACACCGAGGCTGATACAATCAAAGCGGGAGGAAAGTGTAGGGTTTATCGTGAATTCATCTATACTTGAATCCTATCCTTCACTCTCCCAAACCGAGAAAAACTCAAAAGTCTATTTCTCATCATTTTCTCTCGTTATTATGATAGTTACATTAATACTCTTGAGGCCCAGACCGGCCCAAAACACGTAAACCTCCGAATGAGCAAGAGGTTTCGGGGAATATTAAAGGGATAAACCGTGACAAGATTTGAAACATTTTTTTCTTTTACTGTTTGTTTCCTTTGAAAATCTTGTGAACGTCGAAAATTGGCAAATTCCTTCCGCCGTCGGAATGTCGACTCCGGATCCCAACTCCTCCGCAACTGTAACGGTGAATCCATCTACCGCCACTACATCCGTATCTCCGGCAACACCAGCAGTCACTGTCAGAATACCGACGTCTCAGCCACCTCCCGCTCCGCCGCCGCCGCCTCCGTCTTATAGAGCCATAGCTCCGCTTCACCATCCTAATCAGTTTCATCAAGCGCATAATAACGTCTACGCACAGTCAATCCCAAACCGACGCCCGAATCCGCCACACCAGCTTCACCATCCAGACCCGTCAACGGTTCTGTTCCCGTTTGCTCCTCCGGGTCGAGGGTTTACAACCCGACCCGTTCGGATGAGCTCGCCGCTCGCTGCTGATCCTTCGGCAACGGCTGCTAATCAGAGTGGGTACCCTCCTCGCCCGGTTATGGCGTACAATCATCGACAATTTGGGCCGAATCAAATGGAATCAATGATGCAGTTCATGAGAGCGAGAAATCCTCAGATTCATCAGCTTCCTCATCCCGGGTCGTGTTCTCCTGCCGGGCCGGGTCCCATGAGGGGAATTCCTCACTTTTTGCAACCGCGGGTGAGGTTTCTATTAACGTTTATTCAAATTTGGTCACAATATGATCGAAGAGGAAATGGATTTTCTTGGCAATTTTGAGCTTATAGTTAATGAATTAGATCGTCTTGATTGGATTTTTACACTGATGGTGCTGTGGCTGAGAATCGTCTTGGTTAATAGACTGGGTCCATTTTCTTCATTGTGCTTCTCATTCGATCTAATGCAAATAATTTATTTACTTTTGTTTCAATTAGCTTTCTCTAATTTATAAGTATCACAAAATTTATGATTTATGAAAAGTTGGTATATTTTCTCATTTTATAATCTGTTATGTTCCTCTGTCCATATGCTTCGTCGGCCAGATTCTCTTGGATTTAGTTATCTTTTTAATTTAGGTTCCTTGTCCTGCTATGTGATCATACTTTTGATTTCACTTTGGTCTCATAATTTCTCTTTTTGTGGTATGAGGAAGCCTGAAACCTCCTTTTTATATCTCAGCAAGTGTTAAGCTGTTTTGCTCTTTATATGCAGTATTGTGCATAATCACTTTGGTTCTTGCTCTTTCCCGGTCACATTTTCTCAGTTTTGTAAATTTTGGTACGTAGGTGTCCCCTCCCCCAACTTCAATTCTAGACACTGGCAGGAATAAAAATGCAAGGTGAACATTAAATTTCTCTGCTTTGATATTATCTTTTCTTTTTGTTTCACTGAGTGTATATATGAAAACTTGTTCTATAAACTTAGCTAACTTGCTGTTTCTTTTTCCATGTCATTAGAAAGCGGGATGCGGCTCTCGTCCTTGTAAGAGGGAGAAAGGTAAGCCTGCCACTTATATCTGTTTTTTTCATTTTCTTTTGAATTGGTAGATTTACAATGTAGAAAATACATTAACAAAGTTAAGATTTTGATACTTGTCATATTTTTTTCAGGTTAGAATCACTGATGGAGCCTCTCTTTATTCACTTGGTCGATCGTGGTTGAGAAATGGTGCTCATGAAGGAATTCAGGTTCGGATCACTTTATGATATACCGTTAAAAGTATATGATGCAAAAAGCGTAGTTTATTAGATGTTTCCACTTGTCATAAGAATTCATGAATTGTACTTTTGGGATCTTGCTTTGCTGGGGTTTTGATTCAGAAGCCCACTTTAAAATGCTACATTCAAGCTAATGTGGAACTAAATTACTTTTGACTACTCCACTACATTCAAGAGGATTCTTGCTTGATATAGTTTTTTTTGTCTCGCTTTGAATCTCACCTGAGTTAAATGATCTTCTTTTGCATTCTCAAATCGTCTTTCCTGTTTTTAATGGAATTGTGCAGTTGCAATTTCTCTGGCCTCACCATAAAGGTGGGACTAATCTAACTTGCAGTTTCTCTGTTGACAGTCGCAAAGGAGCGATACAATGAAACCTTTACCAAAGCCATTACCTGTGGATACGATGGAAGCAAGTGTGCCAAATGAACCAGCTAAAGAACCGTCTGTTGAAGATAAAGAGGTTTGTGTTTTTTCTTTCAAGAATGATAGTCTCTCTCTGAGCAGAACGGAACACATCAGTCCCAGCTCTCGAACAGTAATAAAGTGATGTTTGATTCAACTCTTTTATTTGGTGATCTCACTCAGGACGAGGAATCTGTGGAGCAATTATCAGAGAAGGATCTTTTGAAAATACACGTCGAGCGAGCTAAGAAGGTCCGTGCAGGGTAAGTTCCACAATTGTTCTCCCCCGTTATACTATCCTCGTTTTCTCGTTTTACTATTAACCTCTGTAGCACCTAAACTAGGTTCACTGAGAGATTCTTGGATTAATTTTCTGATAGATCAAAACAATGTAGAACATTTTGGTAATTGAAAAAAACATGGTTTCTTTTGTTTCAGATTAAGAGAAGAGAGGTTGAGGAAAATTGCGAGGTACAAAGCAAGATTGGCCCTTCTTCTGCCACAATCCGGAGAGCAATGCATAAAGAACGATTGAAAGGGTAACGTTTTGTTAGGACTTAGCTTTTATATGACTGTTTGTTAATTTTAGCATCATAACACCACGTACCGTACGTGTAGCTGTCTTTGTTCTTTCTCTGCTATAAGATTAGTAGAACTGGAGCTTCCATTTGTTCTTTAGATTTGATATCTTTTTTATTTGAATTTTCTAATTGATTTGATTTTTGTTATCGTTGTTGTGTAAATCCCACGAACCAAAGTTAAAACCTATTAAGATCATCCCGGTTTGGACTTAGGTATGTCAATGTACTAGTAATCCCGAGTTTATGGGGAGAAAACAAAAACTATACCGCAAATTATCTAAAGATTAATCTCTAAAAGTAAGTTGTCTTTCATTGAATAAAGAATTTAATATCAATGCATTTGATCAATTACAATCCTCCACTATGGTCAAATCAAACCAACTTTGCATACATTTTAGTAAATTGTTTTACTAAGTTTTAAAATGCTATAGAGTGTGAATTATGAGAGAGAATCGCATAGGGAAGCGGACAGAAAAGAGAATAAACTCTCCCTATTTTCTCTCGTTCAGTTGAATTGCCACATCACTACATCTCCACCGTAAACGTGTCATCATCCGGATGGTTCCACCGCTAACTTCTTCTTTTCTCTTTGCTCATGCTACTACCGATCTCTTCACGCTCACTCCGCCATTTCTGTAAATTCCTCACCTTTTCTCCCGATATTCTTAGAAAAACTTTTCGTTTCCCGCATCACCTTTATTTTTTCTCTCGATTGTTTACACTTGTTGGTTTTAAGCTATCCGTTTCTTTCACACTATCCTATTTCAGTTTCTTACTTTCCAAGAAAGAAGAGTCCGATCGCAGTTTTGCTTTCTCAGGAAACAAAAACAAAAAACTTTCTTAGGAAACAGAGAAAATAAAACCGAAATGGCGGGGAACGAATGGATAAATGGGTATTTGGAGGCGATTCTTGACAGCCAAGCTCAGGGGATTGAAGAACAGCAGCAGAAACCTCAGGCGGCCGTGAATCTTAGAGACGGAGAAGGACAGTATTTCAACCCGACTAAATATTTCGTGGAGGAAGTCGTGACCGGAGTCGATGAAACCGATCTTCACCGGACTTGGCTCAAAGTAGTCGCCACTCGCAATTCCCGTGAACGCAACTCTCGCTTAGAGAACATGTGCTGGAGAATCTGGCACCTCACCCGCAAGAAGAAGCAGGTCATTGTCATTTTTCTTTTTAGATCAATGTCGGTGTGTGTATCAATTTGCCTCTGTTTTTGTGTTGATAGTGTTTTGGATATGCTTACAGTTAGAATGGGAGGATTCGCAGCGAATAGCGAACAGGAGAATGGAACGGGAACAAGGAAGAAGAGACGCGACAGAGGATTTGTCTGAGGATTTATCAGAAGGAGAGAAAGGAGACGGCGTTGGAGAGATTGTTCAACCGGAGACACCTAGACGACAGCTGCAACGCAATTCATCCAATGTCGAAATCTGGTCTGATGATAAAAAGGAGAATCGTCTTTACGTTGTCCTCATCAGGTACTTCTCTGTTTTTTTTTTCTTATTGATTGATTGTATGCGTTTAGAATCATCATAAAAGAGTGTCTTTAATTTCATCAGTTTGCACGGGTTGGTTCGTGGGGAAAACATGGAGCTTGGTAGCGATTCCGATACCGGAGGACAGGTGAAATATGTTGTGGAGCTAGCTCGAGCTTTAGCGAGAATGCCCGGAGTGTACCGAGTAGATCTGTTTACTCGCCAGATATGCTCATCAGAAGTTGATTGGAGCTACGCAGAGCCGACGGAGATGCTAACCGCTGCGTCCGCTGAAGATTGCGATGGAGATGAGACCGGAGAAAGCAGTGGAGCTTATATCATTAGGATACCCTTTGGTCCGCGGGATAAGTACTTAAGAAAAGAGATTCTCTGGCCTTACATCCAAGAGTTTGTTGATGGAGCCTTAGCTCACATTCTAAACATGTCTAAAGTTTTGGGAGAACAGATTGGGAACGGGAAGCCCGTGTGGCCATATGTGATCCACGGGCATTACGCGGATGCAGGGGATAGCGCCGCTCTGCTTTCTGGTGCCTTGAACGTTCCTATGGTCTTGACGGGTCATTCTCTTGGAAGAAACAAGCTTGAGCAGCTCTTGAAACAGGGGAGGCAATCAAAGGAGGATATAAATTCCACGTATAAGATCAAGAGGAGGATTGAAGCCGAAGAGCTTTCTCTGGATGCTGCAGAGCTTGTTATAACCAGCACCAGGCAGGAGATTGATGAGCAGTGGGGGCTTTATGATGGGTTCGATGTTAAGCTAGAGAAAGTCTTGAGAGCTCGTGCTAGACGCGGTGTTAATTGTCACGGAAGGTACATGCCAAGAATGGCGGTAAGTACACCAATATGCTTGGAAACATCTAGGAGTGTCAAGTAAGATTGAGTTATGATTATGAAGTAAGATTGAGTGAGTCTGTTGCGCAGGTTATTCCTCCGGGAATGGATTTCACAAACGTTGTGGTTCAAGAAGATACACCTGAGGGCGATGGAGAATTAGCTGCCTTAGTAGGAGGAACCGAGGGATCTTCTCCTAAAGCGGTTCCAACTATATGGTCTGAAGTGAGTTCTCCTGAGCAGCAGCTTCACTATCTTCTTTCGAGGTTTGCTTTGTGGATTGTGTTTGATGTTTCGTTGCGTGAATTCGGCAGGTTATGAGATTTTTCGCAAATCCTCACAAACCGATGATCTTGGCATTATCTAGACCAGACCCAAAGAAGAATCTAACCACTCTTTTGAAAGCCTTTGGAGAATGTCGTCATCTACGGGAGCTAGCTAATCTCGTACTACTAATTTATCTATTCGGTTTCAGGCAGAAACTAACGGCAAGAAAACAAGATTCTCTGTTTTTCTGAATTTTGCTTCTCTGTTTTTGCAGACTTTGATTATGGGAAATAGAGATGATATAGATGAGATGTCATCTGGAAACGCAAGCGTTCTTACAACTGTCTTGAAACTCATTGATAAGTACGATCTTTACGGGTCTGTTGCGTATCCTAAGCATCATAAGCAGTCTGATGTTCCTGACATATACCGACTTGCTGCAAATACAAAGGGTGTTTTCATAAACCCAGCTTTGGTTGAGCCTTTTGGCCTTACACTCATTGAGGTAAACACTCTCATTGGTGTACAGTCCTTCTTAGGGACTAAATAAGGCTTACCAAAACTAAAAAACGCAGGCTGCGGCTCACGGACTTCCGATGGTTGCAACAAAGAATGGAGGACCGGTCGATATACATAGCGTAAGCGAAGTGTCCTGAAAGTGAAATTCCAGTTTAGATTTGTAAAATTTCTTCCTTTTTTTTCTCCTTCTCATGGGGTTTTAATATTTCAGGCATTACACAACGGTTTGCTTGTGGATCCACATGATCAAGAAGCGATAGCCAACGCGTTGTTGAAGCTGGTATCGGAGAAGAATCTGTGGACAGAGTGCAGGATTAACGGTTGGAAGAATATTCACCTGTTTTCATGGCCAGAGCATTGCCGGACTTACCTAACACGTGTAGCTGCATGCCGTATGAGACATCCGCAGTGGCAGACGGATGCAGACGAGATGGCGGCTCAAGACGATGATTTTTCACTCAACGACTCACTTAAAGACGTCCAAGACATGTCTCTGCGACTATCCATGGATGGAGACAAACCGTCGTGGAACGGGTCTCTTGACCCAAATGCTGCTGATCCAGTTAAGCAAATCATGAGCCGGATGAGGAAACCAGAGATTAAGACTAAACCGGAATTACAGGGGAAGAAGCAAGTTGATAGCTTGGGGAGCAAGTACCCAGTGTTGAGGCGACGGGAACGGCTGATAGTTTTAGCGGTTGATTGCTACGACGGCGAAGGAGCGCCAGATGAGAAATCAATGGTTCCGATGATTCAGAATATCATCAAAGCCGTGCGATCAGATCCTCAGTTGGCTAAGAACTGTGGATTCGCAATATCCACTTCAATGCCGCTTGATGAGTTGACTCGCTTCTTGAAGTCTACCAAGATTCAGGTGAGCGAGTTCGATACGTTGATATGCAGCAGCGGGAGCGAAGTGTACTACCCAGGAGTGGAAGACGGGAAGCTTCTTCCGGATTCTGACTATGCCTCGCATATCGATTACCGGTGGGGCAATGAAGGGCTTAAGAACACTGTGTGGAAACTGATGTACACAACCGCCGTTGGTGGAGAAGCTAGGAACAAGGGCTCTCCGAGTCTTATCCAGGAGGATCAGCCATCGAGCAATGCGCATTGCGTTGCGTATTCGATCAAAGATCGTTCCAAGGTGATGTTATTTTTTTGTTCGTTCGTGCGCCTGTACTGATGGGTAATGCGGTCTCTCTAATTAAGGTTTCTACAGGTGATGAAAATTGATGACTTGCGTCAGAAGTTACGTCTAAGAGGTCTTCGTTGCCATCCGATGTACTGTCGGAACTCAACAAGATTGCAGATTGTTCCTCTTCTTGCTTCTCGATCTCAAGCTCTTAGGTACATTAACCTACGCTACAACACCACATTATAGATTTGAAGCTGTTTTATATTTCCTAATTACTGCGATTTTTCTTTTTGCGTTGCAGATACTTGTTCGTGAGGTGGAGGCTGAACGTGGCGAACATGTATGTGGTGGTCGGAGAACGTGGCGATACGGACTATGAGGAACTGATCTCCGGCACACACAAGACGGTGATCGTCAAAGGGCTCGTCACCTTGGGCTCTGATGCTCTTCTCCGCTCAACGGACCTTCGAGACGACATCGTTCCATCAGAGAGCCCTTTTATTGGTTTTCTCAAGGTTGACTCCCCGGTTAACGAAATAACCGACATTTTGAAGCAGCTGTCCAAAGGCACCGCTTGATTCAACTTGCATCAGTCGCCGGTTCGACCTTGTAGATTGATATTGATACACTTTTGTTAAATTTTGGTATTTTGGTCGGTCAGATAATAGGATTTAATCGGATTTTTTAAAATAAAAGTTACAAACAATGAAGTAAAAGGAATTACATAAAAGGAATCACCAGTTATCGAGTCATTGTTATAAAAAATGTATTCGTTTTAAAAGAAATGAAAAACCAAATATGATACAGTAATACTAGAAAACTACACATACTGTAGATTTTGTAAGACAATTAGAAATAAATCCATTTCCAACCCTGTAGATTTAGATTTTAAAATTTAATTTAAAAAGGAAAGTCAAAAATTCTAACCAATTATCCGACCGGTTTGATTCCGATAACCGATATCGGGTCGTCACCGGCTCGTGGGGCCGGCGGGTACGGTGATCCGAAGCAGCTGAAATTAATTACTCTGATTACCGAAAAATCTACATCTCGCAAGTGAGAAAGCCTCCAACGGAGAGAGTTTACACAGACTTGCAAATTTTCAAATCAAATCACTGGAGAACATTTCGTCATCTTCCTGATTTCAGAGGCGATGCGAAGGTAGATATTATCACTAGAATGTTACTTCCCATTCGCTTTTCTGGGCAAATTTTTGGTTTGTCGAGAAATTTCTGGTTTCTGAGATGCAATTTCTGTATCGATAGAGATATGTCGGTTGGATCAGTGTTGATTTTGAGTGATGTTGCAGGTTAGGGCACCACCGGCTTCATGGGAAGACGGGAGGAGTTGGAACAAAGGGGATGGTGGCGAAGTTGTCTATCGGAGTCATAGTTCTACTGATCTGTACGCTCTCGCTGCTTTTCTCGGCTAACATCGGTGGTAATCGCGAGCCCGCCCGTCCATCTAAGGTTAGTTCAATTTTGCTAAGTATTTGGAGTAGCGATTTGTAGCTGAAGATCAGGTCTTCTGTTTGATTGGCGATGAAGTGCGAGAAGAGAAACTTTGCTGGAGCCAAAGATTAGATGTTAGTTTTATTCAATCTTTGTGGATCTAAGCCTTTGATGGATTCTATTATGATATTTTTGAGCAGATCAACGTGGACGAGCTCTGGGAGAGTGCTGATTCTGGCGGCTGGAGACCATCTTCTGCGCCACGATCTGACTGGCCTCGTATGTGCATCTCGCGTTTTGCGCAGTAAACATTTAACTTGATGCTAATCTAAAAAAGTCTTAGGGCATTCCAAGTTTGAAATGATGATGAAAATCTTCTGATCCTTTTGCAGCTCCTACCAAGGAGACAAATGGTTATCTTCGTGTTCGATGTAATGGTGGCTTGAACCAGCAACGTAGCGCGGTAGGTCTTCTTTTATATTACCAAGGTCGTCAATTACATTTTTCTTCTCTCCCTTTACACTCCAGTGATGTTGGTCTCCTGTTTGTCTAATCTTCAAATCTAGTGGAGTTGAGCTAGCATCAACTCTCAACTATTAATCTGTTGTTTTATCTTTGATTTGACAATTGACATCCGGATGTTGTAGATATGTAATGCAGTACTTGCTGCCCGGATCATGAATGCTACACTTGTGTTGCCCGAATTAGATGCAAACTCGTTTTGGCATGATGACAGGTATGTTGCTTCCTTCAAATCTGTTGCAAAGACAACTTTAGAGTCGCTTTATATATCTGTATTCTCTAATATATGATTGTTTGACTCCCTAGTGGTTTCCAAGGTATATACGATGTTGAACATTTTATTGAGACACTGAAGTATGATGTTAAGATTGTGGGAAAGATCCCCGATGCTCACAAAAATGGGAAAACCAAGAAGATAAAAGCTTTTCAGGTACAAGCATAAAGGAATGTTTTGTTTTCATATAAGCTTAAAGTCTGAAAGTAGAGATTATATACTTCAGTGTTCTTTTTTTCTCTGAATCAGATTCGTCCTCCTCGAGATGCTCCTATTGAGTGGTACCTGACAACTGCTCTAAAGGCGATGAAGGAACACAGTGCTATCTATCTTACACCTTTTTCACATCGGTTGGCGGAGGAAATTGACAATCCTGAATATCAACGGTTAAGGTGCAGAGTGAACTACCATGCTTTGAGGTTCAAGCCACACATCATGAAGTTGAGTGAATCGATTGTTGACAAACTCCGGTCACAGGGTCACTTCATGTCGATCCATCTTCGTTTCGAAATGGATATGTTGGCTTTTGCAGGGTATGCTCTTTAAGTAACTTATATATCGAAGTTGATTATTGTTGAAGTGTCTAGCAAAGAAGTTGGTTGCCGTTGTATCATCTTACGTACATCAGCACACATGGGAACAATGCTTCATCTTTGTCTATTTTCTGCAGGTGCTTTGACATATTTAACCCTGAAGAACAGAAGATACTTAGGAAGTACCGTAAAGAAAATTTTGCAGAGAAAAGGCTTATATACAACGAAAGACGGGCTATCGGGAAGTGTCCACTGACCCCCGAGGAGGTACTTCCTCTACTTTTTGTTATCCACGGATAGATATACAGTAATAGAGGGATCATAACATTTTTGTAGGCTTTAGGAATGCAACATGACATTTTGGTTGATCCTTGTGGTGCAGGTAGGTCTTATATTACGAGCGATGAGATTCGACAACTCCACAAGGATATACCTTGCAGCTGGTGAACTTTTTGGCGGGGAACGGTTCATGAAACCGTTTCGAACCTTATTCCCACGGCTTGACAACCATAGCTCGGTGGACCCCTCTGAGGAGCTGTCAGCAAACTCACAAGGCTTAATAGGATCAGCTGTGGATTACATGGTTTGTCTCCTGTCCGACATTTTCATGCCAACATATGATGGACCGAGCAATTTCGCCAACAATCTCTTAGGTCATCGCCTCTACTACGGATTCCGTACCACAATCAGGCCGGACAGAAAAGCTTTAGCTCCAATTTTCATAGCTAGAGAGAAAGGAAAAACCGCTGGATTCGAAGAAGCAGTGAGACGAGTAATGCTGAAAACAAACTTTGGAGGGCCTCACAAACGTGTGTCTCCTGAGTCGTTTTATACAAATTCATGGCCTGAATGTTTCTGTCAGATGAACCCGAAGAAGTCTAGTGACAAATGTCCGCCGGATAATGTTATAGAGATTCTTGACAGCCGGTTAGGGAGTGTTGGAGATCCAGATTCAACTTCTCAAGCGAATTCCACGGACACTGGATTAGAACGGTGAGGATCTCTGAACTGAAAGCCTTTGAAGCGTTTTATACGGAAACTTGTTTCAAACAACAAAAAAAGGTCAGAAAGCTCAACATACAGTATCTCTGTCAAGCATTTTTTTTTCTTTATGAAGCATAGATTTGATCTCCTTTCAAAATTTGTAACAAAATCTGAGATTCCACAGATAAGTACTTTGTAATATGATAAATATTCGGTTAACCGGATTACTGGTTTCCACCTATGTTCTCAATCGTGCACTTTCACATTTCATTTCATGTTCGTGTGCTTTTTTTGGCACAAATGTAATATTTGATTGAACTACAATGAAACTCTTACAAAAACGAAATTAGAGGGTAGTTTCATTCTGTAATCTCTGAATCCTTACCAAAAGCCAGCTTTGATTCTTATTCTGCAAAAATCAGACGTCTTTGGCTGACGTTACCTTTTGCTTACTTAGTGTTGTGTGTTGGGACGCTAAGATAGAACTTGGTGTTCTTGAAGTCATCTAGTAATGGGTTGTATCCGTCCTTTGTACTCGTCTTTGAAGGTAAACCAAACTCGTCCATGAACGCTGATGTATCGAGCTACAAGCGAAACAAAGAAGAAAAGAAAGACTGTTACTGAAAGTTTTCAGAAACATCCTCTCTTTTATTGTACTGATTTAAGGGGGAATCTTGTTTTACAGTGAGAGTTCGCCTTTTCCTTCCTTTTCTCGATGGTGTCCCGTCTTTCTCCGTCTTCCTCCACCCGGAACAATAATGGTCCATTCGTTCCAAGAGCCAAAAATCCGTTGGGAAAAATATATCAGCATCACCCTGCAAGATCATCCAAGTTACATATGAATTGTGAAGTTTATAACGGGGCTACTCAATTCGCAAAGGAGAATAAACCGAACAAGTAGTCGAAGAAAGAAATTTCAGATGTATCTCGCACCTTCGCGTCCAGATAACTACTGTAATCTGAGCTACATCCATCTTTCTGCAAATACAAACATTGTTAAAGAAATCATAATTATACTTTAAGGACGGCATGCGAATGAAAACTATTCTCTTGTATTCTTGAACCAAGTTTGATATAAACAATGAAGAAAAAGACTCTCGTATATCGAAACCAAGTTCTTGTTGATTCAAAATTTCAAATAATGACGTATAGACTTAATTTTGGCCAATATCTCTATGGTTCAGTGATTGAACAATTCACACATGCTGAGAAAGGTGTCCATGCATAGTTAGAAGGAAAAGAAAAGAACAGACCTTTGTTGACACCAATGGGGCTCTTTCACCAAGAACTTTCACATCGGGCAAGAAGCTAAAGTCCGAAGCGATTAGGGACATTTTTGGAAGCTTTTCATGTAAAACCTCCAGCAGTTTCTGGAATTTCCAAATATTAGAACAGAGCAACGCAACACCTGTTTTAATATGTGGACACCATTTTCTTTTCCTTACCAAACAACCTGTCGGAAGCCAACTACGTCTAGGTTTGGGAAATAGTTTAGACCAGATTTGTTTTGGTTTTGAAACCGGATCATCTTCATGTTCAACAATGTCAATGCAGCGCTTGATCAGTGGATCTTCTAAAGGGTTGTATAGCTCAGAGAGTGCTTCGCTACAATTTATAAGAGATACTGATCAGTTGATCAGTAAAAGCAGAGGTAAACTTCATTTCAAGAAAATATGTATTCTCTGTACCTCTCTGGTTTGTTTTCAACTAAGACTTCCATCCATGGAGAAACTTGACTTTCAGAGTAGACAAGATCGTGTGGGAGATTATCTAGCACCTGCAATGGCCATAAGTTATTACAAATATTAGACGCAGATTCGTCGAATACAAAATACCGACCGATCAAATAGAAACACAACTACTTAACTGCGTACCTCGAGCATTATCACCCAGCACGGTTGTTGCTCCACATTTCCTGTTTCAAAATTTACTCTATAAGCACAGGTAGAAAACTTAATCGTCACTAAACTGATAGTTGTTCATACGTGGTTGGCTAATTTATAAACATCTTGACTAATATGTACTCTTAAGAAAGCATGGGTATAATATCTGATTTCAAATCAAGGTCAATTTAGCAGCATAACCTCATTTGATGAACAATTTCTCTGACTAGCTCAATTTTCTAATAAGGTTACATTCCGAAATTTGGTGAACAACTCACTAAGTTTAACATTTTCAACCAGATAACAAACAAAATCTGCCACATGCGGAAGAGAAAGAACCTCACTCCATCCAGATAGGTCAGATGCATCACGACACTCAACTCGAAACTTTGACAGATGACTTCCAACTTGTGCAACAGTTTCCTTTTGAATCTTAGCCAGTGAAGGACTGATTTCTATAGAACTGAAATACATTAAAATAGCATGCAGTTAATATAATTGTAGCATGATTCATAACAGTTTACAATGCCGAAGTTAAATTGAAAAGTTAGGAAAACTGGGGCATACGTACGTGTAGCTCATGTTATTATAGATTCTCTCTGGAGCATTCAACATTATGTAGTCCAAAACACCCTTCGCACAGGTGCCCGATCCACCACCAATTTCATAAATCTAAGCACACGTCTCAAGTGTTATCGATTAACATAAGAAGAATCAGTGCAAATGTAGAGTTTAGCTCACAAACCGGAACTCAAACCATCATGTGTCTTAGAAATTAAAACTTTTTAAAAAGATTTATAGGTAAACCATGGTTTCTCTATTTCAAGTTTCCAAAGCATCTGAACAGGTTAAAGGCCTAGGCTATCACTAACTAGTTCCTGTGTAGGCTGATAGGTAAAGATAGCTCAGGACATACTAGATTCAAGTTTTGTCAGAGACGAAAGGGCCTGTTCGGTTTTTTCATGAAATTTAATAAATTACAGATGAAGAAGATCAAAGAAGCACACCTTCAATGGAACCGAGAGATTTGTGGTTCGCAGTATGGCTTCTGCGATCCCATGAGCATACCAAGGCTACAAGAGATGATCGATATCATAAATAGGAGACTACAACACGTGAAGGCTATTCCCAAAAGAAAAACATCAAAAAAACTATCCACGACATTTCACCTTGAAGAGCTCGACTGGAGTAAACCAAGAAATGTCACTCTGCCTGTAAACCTTTTCCAATAATTTCATGTACGCCTTCCTCCCTAGGACAGGAACATACAAAACGACTTAGTAGATATAAAGAGATAACATCCCAAGCAAATATAACTTTTTTTTTCTGCTGATTGAATAATTATAGTCGGAAGGAACAACTGAAAACTAGTCAAAAGTGCCCCAATAAAGACAGCAACATGTAGAATTAGAACTAATATTGGTGCATATACTTTCAAGCAATAGGAAGTTATATAGTGCGTGTCTTAAGTTCAAGAATCCAACAGTACTCTACCTAACCCTTAGGATAAGTAAAAATTTGAGTTTTTAGCTTACCATCAAGCTGGTTGAACTTAATGCTTCTCTCCAAAACCCCAACGGATCGTGATCGTTGAGAGAAGTAGCCGTGGTTTGGATCATACAACGCAGTGTGAATGAAATCTCGAACCTGTTTCGGATTAACCCACATTTCAGAAATCGCCAAATGAAAATGAAATCTGGAAAGGAGTATACAGTACTACTGTAAAATCTACGGATTCGCGTCAAAACGGAGACGGAAAAAATCTCTCAAGGAGGGCCCAAAACAGATAACTCAAAGGAGAAAAATTTCTATAAATTTCGAAATGATCTTATAGATTGCTTAAAAAGTTGATCAATTTATCACTAATCGTACTTATTTCAAGCAGAATCGATTGTATAGCATCGGGCCAACAAACAAAACTCCCTGTGAGACGAAAAGAGAGAGAGAGAGAGAGATGCGAGGTCTAGAGAAAGAGAAAACTCACAAGAACTGGTTCATCGCCTATGAGCTTCTGAGTCGAGAAGAAAGCTCGCAGCGATCTAAAGCATGGCAGCTCGAACTGATCAACATTTGCAGCAACATTTCTACTGAAAAGCAGTTGTGGAAGTTTCCGAGAAGAGACAACTGGAATAAGAGCCATGAACTGCGTCCCGTTCTCTGCGATGGCTTATTCGATCGACATTGGAGATGAAAGAAGTTGAAGAAACTCGCTGGTTCAGGCTTCACGGAGGTTTAGGGTTTTAATCCGGTTCGGTTCGCTGAATTTATAAAATCCTTGGTTCTGTTGTTAAAATTTTGAAAACCAGAATCGAACCATAATATCTGCTCAGAACATTGCTAAAGGATGATGAGCTCACCAATGAGGTAGGCATTAGGCAAAGTAAAGTCGCATTTCCTCTAGGCCCGGCTTGGGGATCAATATTATTATTACATTCACACACATGTGCATCCCACACCACATATGGTTATGTTAATCCACACCACATTTATTATGTATATGTGTGCACCTCAGATATGAATTATTGTCTTGTAATTGCTAGGAAGTTGTAAAAGCAATTTTTTGACTTGTAACCAGAGACTTGGACTTTTGAAACTTTTTGGTCCACGTACATTATTGGAGGTAGAATATTCAATGATGAAAATGTTACAAGGTCCCTCACTAATACTAGTAAAGTATAGGCTGTGTTTATTTTACCTCAGTACCCAAAAAAAAAAAAAAAAAAGAGAGAGAGAGAGAAATATGAGGTGTGCACTACCTTGGACTCATCTCTCACTGCTGCTTCTCTTGATCCTTGTTGATTCAGCAGATGACACCGTTTGTCCAAGCGACTGTGGAGGTATCAAGATCCCTTATCCTTTCGGGATCGGAGAGGGTTGCTATCTCGACGAGTGGTTTGCAATTCAATGCAACAAAAATGCTTCCGGAGGGTTTGTCCCCTATCTAACCAAGATCGACAAAGAAGTTGTGAAAATCTTTCTTCCGGATCCAAATGTTTTCGAGGAAACGTACAATGCATATGGGTCACTTCGCATCAAAACCAACATCACTTCCAGGGGATGTTTCAACAAGAGCGATGAAATAAGGTTTGGGGAGGCTTTGAATTTTACGGGCTCCCCGTTTACCATTGGCCGTGCCAACACCTTCCACGCTATTGGCTGCAACTACAAAGCCACATTAACACATCTTGAGCCCAGATTGGTGGGATGCATCTCGACTTGTGAACCCAACAAAAAGATCATGGATAATGCAAGCTGCAATGGTCACAAATGCTGCCAGGCAGACCCACCCAGTGGGATTGGACAGGTAGTAGGTATCGGTATGGAGGACCTATCTGGTAACATGACAAGAGAAAGAGGCTGTAGAGTAGCCTTCCTATCAGACGAACCTCACTATCTAGATGGTTGGCAACCATCGTACCCTGCAGCCAAAGCAACTGATCCGCAATGGTTTTACGATAGGCGATATGTTATACTCCAACTACGGTGGGCGATTCCGATGACAAACCTCTCGTTTATCAACTCCTTGGGATGCTATAATTATACTTTTAGTTATAACAATCGTTATAATGATAGTTATAACAATCTACCAAAAAGGGACTACGGCTCTTTCTATGATTCTTGCATATGCCGGCCTAATACAAACGATCGTATCATCACTGCTGGATGTTTATGTCGCGGGGGTTACACAGGTAACCCGTATATTTTGGGTGGATGTAAAGGTTAGTAATTGTTTCTTCTTTTCCCTTTATGTAATGTTGTTATTCAATATCAGGTAAGCTTAACAAGTCCTATATGGGTGGTAGCAAATCCTAATGGGTGATAACAGTCAAAGTCATACCTAAGAGATCATCATCATCATCTAATTACACTTTCTTGACAATATTCTTCATCTAGATATTGATGAGTGCCAACTTGGCAAGAGATATCCCGGCTTGTATTGTGCCCCACTATCAGAAGCCACTTGTGTGAATACTCCAGGAAGCCATCACTGTGTAATCAAGAAGGACAAGACTATGCCAATTACTATAGGTTAAAAAATCCCCCAATTTCTATCCAAATTCATACATTTTCTATTGTATATTTGTTTGCTGTTACCTGGGTGGTACAAAAAAAAGTAAAGTGCGCTTTTCCAATTTTTCTTGTGGGTTTGCAGGATTATGTGTAGGTTTTGGTGTGTTGATATTTTCCGCTGTAACTTTGTGGTTATACAAATTTATTAAAAAGCGAAGGAAGATCAAGCGCAAGCAAAAGTTCTTCAAGCGCAATGGAGGTCTATTGTTGAAACAACAGTTGACTTCAACGGAAGGCAGCATTGAGAAGACAAAAGTGTTCACCTCGAAGGAGCTGGAGAAAGCTACTGAGAACTTCAGCGTAACTAGAGTGCTTGGACAAGGTGGTCAAGGTACCGTGTACAAGGGAATGCTTGTAGATGGTAGAATCGTAGCTGTCAAAAAATCCAAACTTGTGGATGAAGACAAGCTTGAAGAGTTCATTAACGAGGTTGTCATTCTATCCCAGATCAACCACAGAAACATCGTGAAACTCATAGGCTGTTGCCTTGAGACAGAAGTGCCGCTTCTAGTTTACGAGTTTGTTTCTAACGGTAACCTTTTCGAGCATCTTCATGATGAGTTTGATGAGAACACCACCATGATGACTACTTGGGATATGCGTCTGCGGATTATCATAGATGTCGCTGGAGCTCTGTCATACCTCCACTCAGCTGCATCGTCTCCAATTTTCCATAGAGACGTCAAAACTACAAACATTATGCTGGATGAAAAATACCGAGCCAAAGTGTCTGATTTCGGCACTTCAAGATCGGTGACGGTTGATCATACGCATCTAACTACCGTAGTTTCAGGTACGGTCGGATATGTGGATCCAGAATACTTCCAGTCTAGCCAATTCACCGACAAAAGCGATGTCTACAGCTTCGGAGTGGTGCTCGTGGAGCTCATTACCGGAGAAAAGCCAGTCTCTTTTCTGCGTTCTCAAGAAAACAGAACATTGGCAACATATTTCATTCTTGCAATGAAAGAAGACAGACTCGCCGACATCATCGACCCTCGAATCCGATCTGATTGCAAGTTAGAGGAAGTCATGGCGGCAGCAAAACTTGCAAGGAGGTGTCTGAACCTTAACGGGAAGAAAAGACCAAGTATGAGAGAAGTGTTGATGGAACTAGAGAGAATTCGTTCGCCAGCTGGACATTCACAGTCACATGTTCCTATAGTCGAAAATGACGAAGAGGAAGCAGCTGTGGAGTTTAACATTGGCGTAGAATCGTACAACAACGTGTGTGTTACTGCTTCTTCGGTGTTACAAGACAACGTTGCCTCATCTTCGTGGTTAGATGCTGAACCGTTATTTCCTCGTCAGACATGGTAACTACGTGCCACCGGATCATTCTTGATAAAATAATTATTTCGGAATATTCTATATGTACTCATAAGTCGTAATATCATTCTAATATGTACGTTTTATTGCCCTCTACGTTACCTTTCCCTCTTCCTTCAGTGAATGACTTATCATTCCCCCATTTGCCTAATGCTAGACCTCAGGTTCAGGTGAAGTCCAAATTTTGATTTGATGTTCCAAAAATAGTTACTTTTCTTCTACCTATTTGAGATTCACCCAACCTGTGGTTCAGATCCGTTTTCTTTAATTGATGTTTTCATTTCGGATTATTAATTAAAAAACAAAAAAAATCGGATTTATATGTTAGGGTTTATTTTTGTTGAAGGATTTTTGTATGTTAGGTTTAGAAATTGAGGTATGAAATCTGATCGATGATTCTGGATTTTGCTCATAGAATTTCGCTAGTGATTGTCTGAAAAAAACATAGATTTGATTAAAAAGACATTTCATATACAAAAAAAAATGCCGTGTTTAGATACGCAAGATTGGAATCTCACTGGTTTCATAGGCGCATTTCTGAATCTCTCCATAGCTTACTTGCTTCTCTGTACATCTCTTTTTATACATCTCGTCTTGAGATTTCTAGGGTTTCTAGGTTTACCTCTTCCAAAATTTCACAACGGACGTTTCGATGATGCAAACATGAGGAAGTGGTTTCAAGATTGTGCATCGGAGAGGATTTCAGCCGTAGATCGATCGATGAAAAGCAAAATCCCATTTGGTTCTATTACTAGTGATGATGATGATGTATCAAACCGGTTTGACGAAATGAAGCTGGTGAGAAAGAACAGTGGTGATATAAGTAATGCTAGAGTCAAAGATGAAACAGAGGATGTGTCAAGACAAGAACAGAATGTGATTAACAGTAAGGGTCCTGGTGGATATAATCTGATGACCGTCCAGGGCATGAATGGCAAGCGTTTTGTTACCCGAAGATCAAGAAACGGTCTTAAAACCCATAGGAGAGGCCGTGTGGATTGTGCAAGTCTTAGATCGTTTTCTTCATCGGAGGCCTTTGACGAGTCCGTAAAAGCACCTTTGATGCAGCCTTATGATGTCTTTCTCAGAGCCAAGGATGAGAGATTCTCCAATGATGACCTCAAAGGTTTTCTTTCCCATCTCAAGCTGATCAATTATATCATTTTTTCGGATTGAGAGATTTTGATTCTAGATACGAATAATGGATGTTAGGCCTTCTTCATCTTGGGTGATTTTGTGCCAATTTGGTGTTTTGTGATACTGCAGATGTTGTAAATACAGGAGAGAGGATTGATCTGTCTCATTGGCCAGAGTTAAATAAAAATGTATCAGTTGATGAAAAGGTAAACACAAATTCATCTGCAGAACTATCTTTTGTCAGAGATACAGAGGAAAACTCTGTAAGTGCTTTAGAAGAATCGTTGAAAGAAGAGCGAGCTGCTCGAGCAGCAGTTTGCGTCGAGCTCGACAAAGAGAGAAGCGCAGCAGCATCAGCAGCGGATGAAGCCATGGCGATGATACATAGGCTGCAAGATGAGAAGGCGGGGATAGAAATGGAAGCGATGCAGTTCCAGAGAATGGTCGAAGAGAAATCGACATTCGACGCCGAAGAGATGGTCATACTCAAAGACATTTTGATACGGCGTGAGAGGGAAAAACATTTCTTGGAGAAAGAAGTTGAAGCTTATAGACAGCTACTCGTTGAGGCAGACGAATCGGAGTGTTCTTCAACAGGAGAGAAGAATCTTCCAGAGCGTACCGAAAATATGGTGAAATCGGGACGTAAACAAAATCAAGAAACTCAGGAGAGAAGAGCTTTGCTTGTTCAAGAACTTGATGGAACGGTTCTTGATATGCCTTGTAGAGAAGAAGAAAACAGAGATAAAAACAGAGGGTTTTATAAATCAGATTCTGAAGTGGCGTATTCACGCGTGCGTGATGTTTATATGGTGAAGGAAGAAACAGAGAAGATGGGTACGAAGAAGAATTTAGAAGAATCCTCTGTTAGCAAACCTGAGGAACCACTGCAAGGAAGTAGTATCATTGTCTCGGGGATTGCTCGAAAGCTTCCTCCGTTATGTCGTCCACGCAGGAAATCGCTGAGCTCTTCGGGTTCGAGGAGGAAATCTATGTCTGCGGTTGATTACGAGAGGTTAAAGATTGAGAATGAAGTGGAATTGTTGAGGGAGAGACTAAAGGCTGTTCAAGAGGAAAGAGAGGAGCTTACAAGACGAGCATCTTTGCCTCCTTTATCATCAAAGGTTAAATCAAAAGAAGTTTTAAAACAAAGAAAAATGTTCTTATCTATGTAATAGCTTTTACTGAGACTTTTATTGTTTTGCCGTGTCTTTTAGGTTAGGGTTACGTCAGAGAAGCGAGGTTGGAGAAGATCTTCCATGGACCTTCACTCTTCTTAAAACTTTTCAGAGATGTGACGTGCGTATGTATATATATACACTTGCAGATGTTGTGTATGTATATGATACAAGATTGGGTTCTCAGTAACGGGTTTAGAGAATTTAACCCATCTCTATCGTTTTGGAGCTCAGGGAATTAGATGGTGTTCGTGCTGGATGAAACTTTGGCAGCAAGTCATGTGAATAATTCATTTTGGGGTTTTTTTTAGTACCTTTAATTTTGTGACACATATTTGTACATACATACATATATATGCTTTCTTTTTGTTTAATTTATGTCAACATAACTATTTGTAGGTTTGGTTAGATATATTTGTAATTTGTCCTTCTAGTGTTTTTAGTTAGTTTGTGAAAAGTAGCTTTTCTAACAAGCAAAAAAGACTATGGAAACGTATGCATTAACGGATAGATCCATAGGCATAGAGAAAACATGTGCATATTTGTTTTTTTTTGGTAAGGAAAAAAAAATGCACATGTTTTCTCTATGTTTGTTGATATCTTCGGTTTTGAATCTCAGCTGAAGACAAACAATTTATTCGGATTATCAGGTTAGTTTGGGATTTAGAGGAAATATATACATTTTATCTTCTGATATTTAAACGTTAAATGAAACAGTCATACAACAACATCCAAACAAATCGATTCATAAAATATGTTGTGAATATCTCGTTGATTAGTGCACTAGGACCTAATTAACAATATTTAAACGTCTTTTGTAAAGTTGGAATTTCCAATTTCCAATTCTTCATTTCTTATCCACAAGATAATATTGTTATTTTTTTTCACCAAATAACAACTTATTCTAGTACTCTCCCTCTGTCTAATGGTTTGAAGTTTTCTTTTTAATGTTGGTGAAGATCGGGTATGATATGTTTTTGATTGTTGAAATAGTAAATCTTCTCGGATTTGAATCATCATGTTTCATACTAATAAAATACATATTAAAAAGTAAAAATTTTGTATATCAATATTATTAGTTCATATTATATACAGAGAGCCAATAGAAAATCGATAAACTATAAAATTTACAAAAACGAGAGATAACTAATCAAATACACTCACATCATCACATCGTTTTATTATTTTCTATTTCATCAGTAACAAAAATAGATTCCAAAAGTAATTGAGAAATTTTTCTCGTTATTATTTCTCTTTTCATTTATTAAGTTTCTATTTTTATTTGATTTGAGAAATTGTTCACAAGCAGTTTTAGCATTCATTTAGTTGAAAACTAAGAAAAATAAATTGATAAATCAGATATTGTTTGATGAATAATTTTTTTATTGTTTTGTTATATGAACTCTTCTTACCTATATCGTTGAATGTGTTCAACTATTAAGCAAAATAACGAAATGTGCCAAGTCAAACTTTGAATGTCTAAAATAAGTATTTTTTTGAAAATTGATATCTACATATCTCTTTTGAATATTATAATTCAGTTTCCTCTTCAAGAAGGCCAGACCTTGAATTCATTCTTTTAAAAGTTACAGTCGCAAATGCTTGACGAAAATATATTTAGTGTATATAATTATTTATTTTATATATTTGAAATGCAAATGAACATGTAATTAATATATCTTATAATGAGTCTATAATAAAAACAAAAAAGATTCATTCATGCGTTATGTTTGCATCTCACTGTTTATCAGTTATATTTTTTTTAGTTTCCTTTTTAAAATATTTTAATTTTTACATTTCAAAAATTATATATTTTCACATAATTTAGTCAATGTTACATAAAATTAGCTGTTTCTTTTTGTCATCTATTGTTAATTGGTCCACAAATATTTATAGGTAATATATGCTTAGTAAATTGGATGTCTTAAATGCTAGTCTCATAGTCTAGAAAAAATTATAAATTTTATAATTTTATAAATTATGCATGTTTCTTTATCTATTTTTTAACTTATTCGATAAATTTATCTATCTAATTTATGATTTAGTTTTTTCATCATTCATAAAAAAAGAGTTTTAAAAGATATTAATAATTTTAAAATTATGTATATTTCTTTATTTGTTTTTTAACCTATTCAATAAAAACCGTCCGATAATTTAACTTTTACGCACAATTCAAAAATAACCGTTCAAAACAAATCTACAGAAGATATGTAAATTATTATCATTTTTATATAAAAATAGGAAAAATTTGGTGTGAATAGAATTCATTGAACTATATTTATCATAATTAAATATTATAATACAAAAATTAAATTCAAACAAAAGAAAATTTGTGGCCAATCTTCAAAGATCTAAATTTGAAGCAAAATAGAGAATTGTTTTCTTCCTTTAAATTGATATGATTTTTCTCTTTCTTTTCTTCCCTTATATTGTCATTATTTAACATAGCTCAATTCTCTCTCACCCTTTGGTAAATATATATAATTTTGACCTATTTTATAGCCTCCCCCATCTGTTATTTTCGTCATCTGGGTTCCTTATTTCACATTCATACGCATCAACGTACGCGTCCCTTCATTATATTCTCTATGCACTGCTTCACCATTAAAGAGATACCAAAGCTTTGATTTTTATGAATATTCAAGGGTAAATGGTTAGCAAAGGTGAGAGTTTTTATAAATTAAAAAAATCATTTTTAAATCTCCTCTACTAGTATTATTAAATTATTATTCTCTCGTCTGGGCTTTTGGTGCTTGTTGTTGATGTTGCCTCGCGGGAAACCCCAAAAGTGGGTTCCTATTCTTTCAAATTCATTTTCGCTGTTGCATCTATCGAAAATCTATTTGTTTTTTGGTCATATTAACAGAGGATTTATGGTTTTCTATGGAGAGAAGTTGTTGTTGGGCATTAAATTTTGCAGTAGATGCATGTAATGTATTTGTTGATATGTCTGTTTGAGGGATTTCCTCGGTTTGTGTTCAAAACAAATCTCAGGCAAAATACGTTGCCGGCGCAAAATCCCCTTTATTGTTGTCAGGGAGAGCGATTGGGTGATTAGATATGTCTTTGTTGTGAATCCTTAAAGTGTGGTTGCTTTTGTAGCTCAAGTCGCTTTACATTTAATGGCAATCTGTCTATTCAGTTTTTGTTTTGCATATAAGAAACAGAAGGATGAGATCGATTCATGGATAGGGGCTTTTACAGCTTTTTACTTAGAGCCTTTATTGTTCTTCTTTACTGGTTGTCCTTGCATCATAAATTTGTTTCTTCAAGTTTTACTTCATTTGCGTCTTTGTGGATAGCATTTTTATAATTGGACTCCTGTGTATCTCTGAGTTTCTCTTCTGTGGAAGACGGTTTAAACCCCTTAGATGTGCAGAGTCTTAAAGTCTCTGACTTTTGTTTCATTAATAAGCAGGAAAGTAAATGCTGAAGAAGGTTTTGTTGTCGTTAAAGAGGGTTGATATATCATAAAGTGCTAACCTTTTTTCTTTTTCCTTTTGTCTTTTGGATGTGTAAGGAATGGCATCAAGCTCTTGTCTTAAGCAAGGGTCAGTGCCAATGAACAACATTCGCATTACCCCTGAAGCAACGTATGAAGCTGTGGTTGCAGACCCTAAGCTTTTTATGGGTTCCTTGGAAAGGCTACACACTCTCTTGGGTACCAAATTCATGTAAGAGTCCCTTTCCTTTATCCTTTCTTACTTATTAGAGTAAGTTCAGTTGGCTCTTATAGAGATTTGTGTTCAAAAATTTCAAAAAGGTTTCATCTTTGAGATATAAGCCCTTGGATTTCATGATGATTCATTCTAACGTTTGCAGACTGAACTATTAAAGCTTCATGTTTTACTAGTGAATAAGATTCTCTGTCTATTCCACCTTACGGATATCTCTTTTGTGCGGATAGTTAAACTAATCAAATGTGCTATTTTCCTCTGTTCCGTGCATTGTTCCTTTTGCTTTGTACCTGAAATTTTATATTATATTGATGCTTGGATGTGGCTGCAACACTATTAGCTTCTAGATTTCACCATTCTACATATTTGCATTGTGATTGTAGGGTTCCGATTATAGGAGGGAGAGATTTGGACTTGCACAAGCTTTTCGTTGAGGTAACCTCCCGTGGTGGTATCAATAAGGTATGTCCTCTCAATGATATTTCAATTCTAGGGTATATATGATCTGTTTTCAATGTCTCATTTATTGGCTTTTGTCCTAAATTCCTGAGATCTACATTGAGATTTTGTCCTTTGATCATTTTCCATCTTTGAATTGCAGATACTTCATGAAAGGAGATGGAAAGAAGTAACTGCTACATTTGTGTTTCCTCCTACAGCAACAAATGCATCTTATGTCCTGCGGAAATACTACTTCTCGCTGCTTAACAACTATGAGCAGATCTATTACTTCAGATCCAATGGCCAGATTCCTCCAGGTCTTGATCACATTTACTATTTTACCAAAATCAGATTCTTTTTTTGTTACTCTGTTTTGTAACATCATTTCTTCTGTAGACTCTCTGCAGACCCAATCCGCTAGACCTGGACTTATGCAGGGAACCATCAGGCCTTCACAAGAGCTTCAAGCTTTAACCTTTACACCACAATCAAGGGTCGATTCTGGAGATATCCTCGGAGGTCTCTCAACTTTTCCTGTCTCTTTGTTTCCATAAATGGTCTAACAGAGTAACTGTGAATTTGCAAATCTGAGCAAAAAAAAAAACCTTTTCTATTGCTTCAGGATCTTTAAATGGTTCTACTGTGACTGGAGTGATCGATGGGAAATTCGAAAACGGCTATCTTGTAACTGTAACAATGGGAACAGAGCAGCTCAAGGGAGTTCTGTACCAGCTCCTTCCAGAGAACACAGCTGCTCATCAGACCCCGCAGCAGAGTCAAGGCGTCTTCCCCACCAATGGCAATCCTCAGGGGGTCACCGGAGGAGTGACAAAGCGCCGCAGGAGAAGAAAGAAGTCTGAGATCAAAAGACGCGATCCCGCTCATCCCAAACCCAACAGAAGCGGTTACAACTTCTTTTTCCAGGAGCAGCACGCGAGGCTTAAACCGCTTCACCCTGGTAAGGACCGAGAGATCAGCCGGATGATTGGTGAACTCTGGAACAAGCTCAATGAACCCGAGAAAGCGGTATATTTCTATTTCCTCAAAGCTCTGTTCTCTGTTTCTTTTTTTTGTTTGGATCAAATTCTCCGGTTTTGTCTCATGATCTGTCTGATTTTCTTTCAATTGTAGGTTTACCAAGGGATGGCAGCGACGGACAAAGAGCGGTATCGAACTGAAATGGTAGTTTACAAAGAGAAGCTCAGGACAGGACAGCTCATAAGTAACGCTGTGCCACTGCAACAGAGGCTGCCAGAGCAAAACGTAGACATGGCTGAAGCTGATCTTCCAATAGAAGAAGAAGTCGAAGAGGAAGAAGACGAAGAAGGCGATTCAAGCGGTTGTTCAGACGAAAGCGAGCCACATGATGATCAGAACGGTGAATCTGACCCTGAACTGGAAGAGCCATCCCTGAACCCTTCAGGTCTGAACCTTAACCCTAACCCTACTGAGATAGTGGTGGCTCCTAAGGAGAAAACCGGCGATGTCGTGATGGAAGCATCTCCAATGAAGAAAGCTGAAGAGCCGACTGTGGCGGTGGCTGCTGAGCAGAACTGAAGATCCTTCTCTTGTTTCTTTTCCTAGGCCACAAGTAAGGAGGCTATAGAGATGATAGGGTTCAAGATGGTTTACTTGTGGCACAAGACAATCTCTATTTTGCTTGGTGGTACTGTGATTTGCATTTTGTTATTTTCTTTTAGTTTTCTTTGGCAACAAGACTTCTTTAGGATTGAATGGTTTTAGCATTTTGCTGGACTTTTGGAATGCTAAGCCTTGCGTTGTTGCATAGGGTCTTCTTCTTTCATAGACTTGACCAGTTGGTTTGGAAGAACATAACTGAGTGAAAGAAATTTAGGATATATATTTATGGCTTAATTTTAAGGTTTAGTTTTTAGATCTTAGGTTAAGGGAAGAGATTAATGTGCTAAAATATACAGAGAATTCAGAATTGCGTAAAAACCGTTAAACTGTTCACGTAAAAAATTCAAAATTAACATTATTTTTACTAAAACCTTATTTCATATTTATGGCTCAGTTTCAAATCCCAATCAGATAGAACGAATGGGGGTAACATTCGAAAAACTAATGTTTTTAATGAAGAACGGTAATTTTAAACTGGAGTTATCAAAAAGCTTGTAATTACAATCGCAATCCCCCAATTACGGACCGGTAAGGAAAAACCAATCGAACCGGGTTGTGACAATTTGGCCCCTCTTCCGGAGCTATTCATACTATCGTCGACTCTCTGACTCCTTTTTGACGGCGGCAGCAACAACGAAGCAGTGATAACTTTTCTTACTCTCTCTCTCCCCCTGTGTGATTAGGCTAGATCCCAATTTTGTAGAGTGTCGATTCTTCTTCAACCCTTCTCATGTGAAGCTGCTCCCAAGCAAACCATTTGGTGTGATTTTGTGGGTAAAATCTCTGGATTCTGCTTTTGCTTCGATACGATTGTTTTGAGCAACTTGTTTTCTTTGTTCCCGATTGCGATAGTGGTTCAGGCTGACTAGTCACAAGATACGAATCTTAATCTTAGCTGTTTCGATGCTTTGTTCTCTGAATTCTGGATCTTTGATTGCTAGTCATTACAACATCGGATAATCTCTTTGTGGGTAATCGAATCCTGGAAATTTTAATTGATACTTCTCAGTTCCTTCTTGTTGTTGTTTTTTTTTCATTTTTTTTTGTGTTGGTGATATTTCCAAGGTTTATCTACTGGTAGTATCCACTTGATTGCTTAGTGTTTTTTCTTTCTTTCCCATTTCTGAGTTGTGTTTGGTTATGTACATGAAGGAAGAACTTTAATCACTCACTCTCTTTTTTCCTGGCTTTGTATTTTATTATATTCTGGATAGGAACTAATGGGGAAGAAAGCAAAGAAGAAGGCCCGAGCTTCAACAAATGAGAATCTGAGCACGACACTCTCCAAGAAGGTCTCTGAACAGCCTAGTGAAGCCGGGGAAGTAGCTGAGGGGGCTGTCCAAGCAGTCAAGGAGAAACAAGTTTGTGTGCATTTCGACAAAGGTCTGAACTTGGACAAAGTGTTGGATAAGATTAAGTCTTCCCGGCAGATTAAGTGTCAAGAATGCAAGGAAGGGGTGCACGATAAGAGAGGAGCTAAAGCCAAGGGTGGTAATAAGGGGAAACATGGGTTTACTTCTTCTGACCCAAAATCTGACAAGAAAGCTATTTGGGTCTGTTTGGAATGTGGCTGTTATGTTTGTGGGGGTGTCGGTTTGCCAACTGGACCTCAGAGTCATGTTGTGAGGCATATCAGATTGACTCGCCACCGCTTGGTGATTCAATGGGAGAATCCTCAGCTGAGATGGTGTTTCCCGTGCCAGTCGCTTCTCCCTGTCGAAAAAGAAGAGAACGGTGAGAAGAAAGATGTGTTGTCCGAGGTTGTAAACTTGATGAAAGGACGATCTTTGAAAAATTTACCTTCACCTGATACGGAAGAGCAGAGCTCAGCAAGTGGCAGTATCACTAGTGATATCAAACTGGAAGGTTCTGTGACCAGTGGTATAGAAGCAAGAGATGGTTGTGTTGTGCGAGGTTTAGTTAACCTTGGGAACACATGTTTCTTCAATTCGATAATGCAGAATCTTCTTTCTTTGGATCAGTTACGTGATCATTTCTTGAAGGAGGATATTTCTGGTGTCGGTGGGCCTCTTGCTTCTTCCTTGAAGAAATTATTTGCTGAAACAAGACCAGAGGCAGGCTTGAAGAGTGTGATGAATCCTAGAGCCTTTTTTGGGTCTTTTTGTACCAAGGCACCCCAGTTTAGGGGATATGACCAGCATGACAGCCACGAGTTGCTACGCTGTTTGCTAGATTCGTTGAGCACCGAAGAATCGGCCTTGAGAAAGAGGCGTGGTGCTTCTGATAATGATCAGAAATCTACGCTCATAGATTCTGTCTTTGGAGGTGAAACTTCGAGCATTGTCTCTTGTATCGAGTGCGGGCATTCCTCGAAAGTCTACGAGCCGTTCTTGGATCTCTCTTTACCTGTACCATTCAAGAAAACCCCTCCTAAAAAGCAGCAAATTGTTTCTCGAGTTAAAAAACCTAAGCTTCCACCAAAAAGAGTCCCTAAGAATGCGGCAAAGGTAAGTAAAGTTTCAAAAGTCCTCCCAACTAAGGCTCTGTCTGAAGTGAATTCTCCGGTAAAATCTGCGGTCGTCACAGCTGATTCAGATGCATCCTGTTCCAGTTTTCCACCCATTGATAATGGTGCGGTTTCAGAGACTCCTTCGGTTATTACCGTTGACAATAATCAGGCCTCCGAAAGTGTAACACAAAGTGATACTGCTTTTGATAGCTTCTGGTTGGATGTTATTGGACCGGAAACCTCTGGAGATGAGACGAATTGGGATATGGAAGATGCTGTTAGTGACACGTTCCCAGCAACTGAGGCTAATCAAATTGTTCCCGGTTCAAATATTCCTGCCAATACCTCAGTTCCATTGGGTGATCAGTCTTTGGAAGGTAACGATATTCCTGCCAATACCTCAGTTTCATTGGGTGATCAGTCTTTGGAAGGTAAGGCAGAGACGCTGATGCAAGATAATGACGAATCTGCAAAGGCAGAAACCATCTTGGATGAAAAAGATGTACAAGCTACGCAGTCTGATGAATGCACAGCTACGAGCGGTATTTCTGCTGAAATCAATCAAGTTAGTTGCATCGGTGGTGATCCTGGCATAGGGGAAAGTTCTTCCTCGGTGAATCCTTGGGATGAGGAAGAGCTTCCTTTGGTGGTTGCAGATTCGCAAGTTCTGTACATGCCATACAAAGAAAACATATCCTACGATGATAAAACAGTTGTGGAAGGTGAGGGTGAGGCTTCATCTTCATTTGTGACTGGTGATCATGAACCACAAAACCATGATTTTGTTGATTTCGGCGGTTTATTTGATGAGCCCGAGACTACCGAAGGACCTGTTTTTGGACCTCCTTCAAAGGCTGAAGCTTCGGGAGTTGGGTTTATGGCGTTCAGCAGCGAGTCTGATCCGGAAGAAATCGATGATTCAGATTCACCGGTGTCTGTTGAGAGGTGTTTGGCTCATTTCACAAAGCCTGAGACTTTGTCGGATGACAATGCTTGGAATTGCGAGAACTGTTCAAAGAACCTGAAACTCCAACGGTTGAGAGAGAACAAAAAATCCAAAAATGATGAATCGAGATCAAGCAACACCAGCAACGGATGGGTGAGTTCAAACGAAGAAGGAGTTTCTGGAGAAACCGTTGTTTCAGCTATTGAGCAAGATCCAAGTGATAGTTTTAATGTCAAGGATGATGGCATGGGCTCTAACTCAGCACATGACAGTGAATCTGAAGACGAAGAAGCTGTAGATGATTCTGAGAAACTAGTGACAGTAAAGAGAGATGCAACTAAAAGAGTACTTGTAAACAAAGCACCGCCTGTCTTAACCATTCATCTAAAGCGATTCAGCCAAGATCTGCGTGGTAGGCTAAGTAAGTTAAATGGTCATGTTGCTTTCAAAGAATTCCTCGATCTTCGACAATATATGGACTCAAGGTATCAGCTCATCTCCTCTACATTGCCATATATTGGTCCGTCTTTGAATTTATTCTCCATCATAAGAACCGTTTCTTTGTTCTTCTGGTGGTTTCAGGTGCAACGGAGAAGACCCGCCGGTTTACAGGCTGGCTGGGTTGGTGGAGCATTCAGGGACGATGAGAGGAGGTCATTATGTGGCGTATGTTAGAGGAGGCCAGAGAGCTAAAGACACTGATTCCTCCGGTGTGTGGTATAACGTTAGCGATTCCCATGTTCGTCAAGTTTCATTGGAAAAGGTTCTGAACTCTGAAGCATATATCTTGTTCTACGAACGGATATTCTCACAAGACTAGACTATTTTTATTAATTTTCATTATACTGAAAACCCAAAGAAGGAAAACAATTTTTTGATCTTCTTCTCCCTACAGCTTTTGCTGGGAAAGTTTGTTTTTTGACGATCACATTGGATCGAATACCATTAATTTTGTTGTTTATTATTATGTGTTGAGAGTTTACATTAAATGTATTGTCTGAAAATAGTTGGTCCTCTCAACTCTGTTACATATTTTTCTAAATGGTACACAAAAACGAAGTGGCTGTTTAACTATTCGAGGGAGAGAAACTGAGAGAGATCTTAACCCGGAAGATTGAGCAATGTGGACCGTTCGATTTAAAAACTGGTGCTATCGCATGGTCTTAAAATACTCTTATCAACAACGGAAACCAAAAACCAAAACTTGCGTACCGAATTTGAACCGATTAAATCAATTTACTTCGGTGTTAGAACCGGAAACAACTGAACCAGCAGTGGAAACGATTGAACCGACCCCTACGTCTTCCTCTCTCCCCAAGCAAGCAACAACGGACTTGCCCCCATTAAAGGGAAAGACATCGGAGTCTCTGAAACCAAGTCCGAGAGATTGTAGCCATGGCAGGTGTATCGCTCAAGTGTGGCGATTGTGGTGCGCTCTTGAAGTCTGTGGAGGAGGCTCAGGAGCACGCGGAGATCACCTCTCACTCCAATTTCGCCGAGTCCACTGAGGCGGTGCTCAATCTCGTTTGCACTATTTGCAGCAAGCCTTGTCGCTCTAAAACCGTAAGATACTCGATTCTCATCGTTCCGTTATTTTATGTTCTTGATCAATTTGAGTCGGCTTTTGTTGGTGGTGGTTAGAAGTTACACGCAGATCTCACTGGGTTTTTCTTTCTCAGGTTTCGATGTTTCTTTATTCCTTAAAAGGGTTTTAACTCTGCGATCTCGATTTTGATGCAACCTTGACTGGCTCTGTTATTTGGAGTTGATGGGTTTTGACTTGAGTTTTGAATGAAATTGAGTCTTTTTTCCAGCTGATTTGGTTTAACTAGAACGCCAAGTTGAAAGTTTTATTCATAGCCCTATTCTTGGTTTTCAGATCTCAATCCATTTGGGCTTTCTGCTGCTGAATTTCGTTATTTCCTTGGTTTGATTGCTTGTGGAGTTTTTGGTTTCCGTTATTTTGATTGTTTCTGATTGCATGTCTCATCCTAATACATGTGAAGGAAAGCGATTTGCATACGAAGAGAACAGGGCATACTGAGTTTGTAGATAAGACAATGGAGACGGTCAAACCCATCAGCTTAGAAGCTCCGAGGGTTGCTATGGATATCGACAACCCTGATGGTTCTAGTGCTAGTGGAGAGGCTGCTGAAGGTATTGTGCTTTGTTAACGCATATGTATTGCATGAGTTTCTGAATTTGATCTCAACGTTATTCTTTATGGACTCTTATCTCTTTCCTGCAGAAATGGTTGTCCCGGACGTTGACAAAACCATTCTCGAGGAACTTGAAGGGATGGGATTCCCTAAAGCTCGTGCTACCCGAGCACTCCACTACTCTGGTAAAAATCTAGCGTGTCATGTTCTTCTCTTGTTTACTTTTTTGGATGTGGGCTCCTGTTATCTTTGGTAAACCTTACTTCACGTAGTTTTTATATCTTATCTTAAGAATGATCTGAAGTGTAAAATGGTCATATGCATGACAGCTCCAAAATTTTAAGTCCACTGATCTCAATAGTCAATAGGGATTAGCTTATTGATTGAGTGTTGTGCTTTGTGAATGGCGTTTTTCAGCGTGATTGTGTGCGGCTGAGCTCTTGAACACCTCTTATCTTTTTAACTCTGGATTACTATATAAACAGTCATCTATCTCACTGAGTTATCTGTTCGTCACAATTATGTGGTCATGTTACATAATGAGATATGTTCCTTGTTTTCTCCTTTTCACGTTCATCTGAGTCTTGAAGTTTTTTCATACATTGTGAAATTATTCTCCGTTTCCTTTCTGTAACATAGTTTGAACTTCATTCCTTCAGGTAATGCCAGTCTCGAGGCTGCAGTTAATTGGGTGGTAGAGCATGAGAATGATCCTGACGTAGATGAAATGCCAAAGGTGGGTGTCTTGTCAACAGTTTTGTTATCAGCAAAATGTCTGTTCTGATATGTTTAGCATCTTGATAATTGATCTCCAAATCTTGGTGTTTAGTTCTTGTCTCAACGTGAAAAGTGTTTGCTTTTCGTGGATGTGACCATTTTTAGGCCAATTTTTTCCTGTTTATCAAGTTTTTAAACAATCGTATATAATGCTGTATTAGGCATGTATGTGTTCTAAACATTACTTCATTGCTTCACTCACTGTAATGTCTATGTTTGTCTAGGTACCTGCCAACTCTAATGTTGGGCCTCCTAAACCTGCTCTTACTCCAGAAGAAGTGAAGATAAAAGCACAAGAATTAAGGTTCTATGAGTATTCTGTTGTTCTGTCCATGTTCATTTTCTTTTGTAGCGTACACCAGTGACATCTCTCTTTTTTTCATGCATAACCTTGACATAGCATGACAAATGTCTTACAGTTCGATTAATAGTGGTTAACTGAAATTGTTTATGATAATCCTGGAAGATGATTATTTTTGAAGTCGGATTATATTTCCCTCATTTTGTGCTGTTCCGCATATCAGGGAACGTGCGCGGAAGAAGAAAGAGGAGGAAGAAAAACGGATGGAACGTGAAAGAGAGAAGGTTTACTGTTGATCCTTTTATAAAATGTTTTATCTACATTTATAAACCTCTGATCACCCTTTTTGTTATCATCTTTTAACATGTTGGTCTTTGGTTCAGGAGCGAATTAGGATTGGCAAGGAACTCCTAGAAGCAAAGCGGATGGAAGAAGATAATGAAAGAAAACGGTTTGTTTCTTTTGTTTATTATGTCAGGCTTGTTAGCTCTATTCTTATTTGTGTTTTTGTTGATTAAAATGACTGCTTATTGATTGTGTATTTACAGTATAATCGCTTTGCGTAAAGCCGAGAAAGAAGAAGAAAGACGGGCTAGGGAAAAGATCCGTCAAAAAGTGGAAGAAGATAAGGTATCTTTAATGCAGTAGATTTACGTACCTTTGGCGTGACATGTTTATTTCTCAACGAAAACCTTGAAGACTCAGTACTTACATTTTAATAGGCTGAAAGAAGGCGGAAACTCGGATTGCCTCCGGAAGATCCTGCAACTGCAAAACCCTCAGTGCCAGTTGTTGAGGAGAAAAAGGTAAACAAAAAGTTGTGGAAATCATTTAAATGTATCATTTCCTGTCAAAATCTGTTATTCTTTAAAAAAGAAAGACTTGATTTGTTTTTGCAGAGTTCATTGCCTATTAGACCCGCCACAAAGACTGAACAAATGAGAGAATGCTTGAGGTCCCTTAAGCAAACCCACAAGGTAAATAATCCGTACAACATATACCACACATTCCGAGCAACAGTGTAACCCACCTCCGAGGAGACAGTCGGGAACATATCAACAGTAACCCACTTGTGTCATCTGAAATTTAGGTGAAATCGTTGGGAGGGTCTCTAGTAAAACTCTGACTAAAGCAGTAAATTCTACGTGTTGTTTCAGGAGGATGATGCTAAAGTGAAGAAAGCGTTCGAAACTCTGCTGACTTACATGGGGAATGTCGCTAAGAATCCAGATGAAGAGAAATTCCGGAAAATTAGACTCACCAACCAAACATTCCAGGTAAAAAGTCTGCATTTTTATTTCGAGATTGAAGGATTCTACACAGTAATGTTGCATTTTACAAATAATGGTTATTGGGATGAAAAATGTAATCAGGAGAGGGTTGGCTCACTGAGAGGAGGCATAGAGTTCCTGGAGCTATGTGGGTTTGAGAAAATAGAAGGAGGAGAGTTCTTGTTCTTACCCAGAGACAAGATCGATTCAGCCATTATCAACTCAGCTGGAACAGAGCTCAATTCCGCCATCACCAACCCTTTCTTTGGAGTTCTTTAAATCGCTAGCTGCTTTATTGTCTTCCGATTTCTCTCTCTTTGGTATTGCGTCAAATTCTGAAAAATATTAAGGTTTTCAACAATGTATTAATATTTTCGCAAGTGACAATTTTATTGTTTTGTCATAATAAGTGAGCGTTCAAAATTCGGAGACCAAAACAAAATCACGAAATCGTGATTTGTTTAGTCGTGTGTGTCTAGCTTCTTCTACGATTAGTGCAGCCAATTGTCTTCATTAAATTTAAACACTAATCGGGTTAGATACGGTATATGAATATCGAGCAATATCCGGTTCAATTCGGTTTAGATATTTAACAATTAAGTAAATATACTGCGACGATCTGATGACTGTGTTTGGGGTATGATGAAATCGCTTTATGTTCTTTTTAACCCGAAGGTTTCTCCCGGCAAGATAGATTTTCCGGTCGATGGTCGAGCTTCGCCGGACGAGTCTCACTTCATATCTCTGATTCATGCGTGCAAAGAAACCGTAAGTCTCCGCCGTGTTCACGCACAGATCCTCCGTGGTGGCGTTCTCAGTAGCCGCGTTGCTGCTCAGCTGGTTCCTTGCTCTTCTCTTCTCAAGTCCCCGGATTATAGCCTCTCCATATTCAGACATTTGAAAGAGAAGAATCTGTTTGTTTTCAATGCTTTGATCCGTGGTTTGACGGAGAATGCCCGTTTCAAGTGCTCGGATCGTCATTTCATTCTCATGTCGAGGCTTGGTGTGAGACCTGATCGGCTAACCTTCCCGTTTGTACTCAAGTCTAATTCTAAATTAGGGTTTAAATGGTTGGGTATGGCTCTCCATGCCGCGACTTTGAAGAATTTTGTTGGCTGTGATGACTTCGTCAGGGTCTCTTTGGTCGATATGTATGCCAAGACGGGAGAACTAAACTATGCATTCCAAGTGTTCGAAGAAACTCCTGAGAGAATTAAAAAGGGGAGTATCTTGCTATGGAATGTTTTGGTTAATGGGTATTGTCGAGCCCAGGATGCTGGAAAAGGGCTTGAAGCCTAATGAGTACACGCTTGCTGCTGCGCTCTCTGCGTGTTCAAAATCCGGTGCTCTTGGATCAGGAATAAGAATTCATGGCTATATCTTGGACAGTGGGATGAAATTGGATAGAGCTATAGGGACAGCTCTCGTAGACATGTATGCAAAATGTGGGGAAGTTGACTGTGCGGCTACTGTGTTTAGTAATATGAAGCATAAGGATATTCTTTCTTGGACTGCTATGATACAAGGTTGGGCGGTTCATGGACGGTTTCAAGAGGCTATCCTTTGTTTCAGACAAATGATGTATTCAGGTCTGTTTAGCTTTAAAGCTTTTTTTCTCATTTCTTTGTCGTCTCTTAATTCATTGAATTTTAATTGCTCACATTTTGTGGCATGCATACAGGAGAGAAGCCAGACGAGGTTGTGTTTCTTGCGGTTCTAACTGCATGTTTGAACGCTGGCGAAGTAGATTTGGGGATTAATTTCTTCGATAGCATGAGGCTTGACTATGCGATTGAGCCTACACTGAAACATTATGTCATGTAAGGAAATTAAAAACTAAACTACAGAATTGAAAAGATGAACGATGTAGGAAAAGGAAGCTAACTAAATCTTTTAACCATTTTTCCCTTTAGGTTAGTATATATCAAAAAAATTCTGGCACTCTATTGTAGACAAAAGGAAATAAATAATAAGATATTAAAAAGTTTTTATCAACAGAAAAAAAGGGAAATCTTCTAACTTTAACGAAAAAAAAAGGAAATCTTTTAATTTCCCAAGCTACATCACCTCCATATATATACTCAATCAGTTTTAAAACTCTGAATCGCTACGATTACTTTCTCTCCAAGGTTACGCTACGATGGGTATGTCTAGCGAGGCACCGGAGCTTCCTTTGGATTTGGTGACAGAGGAGATTCTCACGAGACTGCCAGCAAAATCACTGATGAGATTCAAGTGCGTCTCAAGGCAGTGGTTGTCGGCGATCAGCTCCGAATATTTCAGCAACCGTTTTCTTACGGTTCCATCCCCTCGCCTTTACTTGAATTTACGGAATCTCGACGACAAAGATAGCTTGGAAATACTCTCGTTGGTTCCTTCAAGCACTAGTAGTACTACTCCGTCTTCCTTTGTAGTTGACCATGATCTGACCATCCCACGGATGGGAGGCATCATCATGCAAAATTTTTTGGCTTCATGTGCTACGGCTCTAGGTCATCAAGGGCACATATCTATAACCCTGCCACAAGACAACTTGTCACCTTACCCTTAATCAACTCCAGCGACATGATCGTACCTCCAGGAGGAAGTAAAACTTTCCACTACTATTTCGGACACGACCCTGTTACCGACCAGTAAAAGGTGGTCTCCTTGATTTCTGTATTCTCTTGGCCTGACTCATCACCTTGGGAAGTGACAAGTGAGAATTGGGTCTTTGACCTAAAAGCGGGAGGAGGTTCTTGGAAAAAGGCTGATCTAACTCCACCAGACTCTTCTCCTCCTCAAGTGCCTCTCAGAGGGGGAGTGTGTATCGATGGGGTTATATATTACCTAGCTTGGATTGATTTTAAAGCAGTGGTTGTGAGTTTCAACATTAGATCCGAAGAATTCAACATGATCCAAGTACCTCCCAGGTATTTTGATTGCATACATTACGGATCTACATCTGTATAGAATATATTCACGTTAACTCTCATTAACTTTCATTCGATACCCTAGCATTGTATCCGTATATATATACTCTGTTCCAATGTAATAAGAATGTCATTTGCATGCTATTCTATACCAGGGACGGTGACGAGGATTTGAATTTTACGAATAATTTGGGTATTTTGGAGCGTGGTGGAAAAGTAACTCTTTTTTTACCAAACCAATCTTAAAGACAAGGGTGTGGTGGCTTTATGGACTCTGGAAGATGTCGGGAGCAAGAAATGGTCGTGCAAGAGTCGGGTTTTGCAGTCTTCCTAGATGCATTTGGTCAGTAGCATTACATTTTTGATAAGAGGTACAACTCAAAAGGGCAAGGTTCTCTTGAAACCCGAGAAGTTGCTTTCTCCCTTTCACATTCTTTGCTACGATCTACAAAGCAATGATATGAGAAAGATTGAAATCAAAGGTATTCCAGACCACTGGTTTGGGGTGGACAAAAATAGCCTAGTTGCTAACTTGATGTTCATGGACCAGAGTGAGAGCGTCAGGTGCTGAAACTTATAAAACAGATAATAACTTAAAACAAAATTGTTATTACTAACTTAACTCAAGTTATTTATGATAAACGACCTTATGGAATCATTTACTTTCTCTAATAAAAGAATTCATCATTCCTTTCCACCTCTAGTGCATGTTCTTTTATGGAATTTTCCTTACTATCTTTATTGATTTTGATTTTTTTTTATGGAATCTTTCTATAATGGAAGCTATAGTTTTCACTATTTTTCATATGAAATCTCAGTAACCAATATAATTTTTTTTTTTTTTTTTGTCTACATATAAATTTCTTTTTGTCACGAGAATCTTATTTTTGTTTATCAAATGATCCTACTGAAAGCGAAATCTTAGAACATAGTAATTAATGGACTTATGGACTGAATTTGAAATAGAATTACCTGATGAAGATTTTAGCATCTATCTTTTACGTATTCCGTAACGATCCTGATGAAGATTGTTCGGTAGGTAGACTCTTTTTGTTTCTTTGCTACCCGTTAAACTAGCTTTTACGTATTTCATTTACTTTCTGAGTCAAGGAGATACGATAGTTGTTTGATGTCACACAGAGTTCTTCCTGAACATGGAAGTTATGCTCATGTCCGTACTTTTCTGATACTACGAGCTTGGGATCTTAATTCTTACATCGATGACTCTCATTGACCTTTTGGTTTTTGTTTTGTATTACCGTAGAGGTGAAGAGGAAACAATCGACCAGCATCTAAAACAGCTTGCTGCATTGCTGATCTCTAAGGTACAATTAGCTTTTGTTTTAACTTTTCATGTTATTGGAGTAATGAACATGTTGCAGGAATGCATTGTGTTTCATGACATTCACAAGTCGTGTGATTTTTCAATCTTGTTCCACGACTTGTATTACTTCACTGTGATATGCCCTTGGAGCTGGATCTTTATTTGATGTGCCAGATTATATGCATACTCTTCATTGTCATGTTTAGAGACTTGGGTACTGAATGTGGAGCTGTATACAAACAAACACATAGCCAACTGCATTAATTCTCTGTTTAATTCAGTTGTTTCTGTATATGACCAGTCTTTTGGACAGTTACTTTGTTTCTGTTTGTTCGAAGATGCCATAGAGTTTTATATTCTGATTGATCCGAGCTTTTAAATGATGAAAACAATCTTGGAGACAAAGAAAAAATAATATTAATTCAAAACAAAATTTATTTGCGTGTCAGAGTTTTTACTGTGCGTCTTTGAGAACATGACGACATACTGTAAAATGGAAAAATGAAAGTATTAAGAGGCATGTAATTTTAGAAAGCCCAATTTATTGGACCTTAAACGCAATGCAAGTCATGAAAAAATGTGAGTTCGCAAAGGCCGTTGGAGCAAAAGGGGGAATTCGGGATCTAATTTTTATAGTTTTGATGTATAAATATTTCATTTACCATCTGAGCATTCAAACTTTTTACATGGTTTTCGTTATCGAAATCAGCATTTATTATGATGAGTAAGTAAAAAAAGAAAGAAAGGAAAAGCCGAATCATTTTTACTGAGTTTTTTTTTTTTTTTTTTTTGTTCAAGTCTTTGGAGCGTGGAACAGAGAAGCATCAAACTCACGGAACTGGAGCAGATGGTCATTACAACAGAGTATTATTACCTAGTAATAAAGAATTTTTAATGATGAGTAAGAAAGAAAAGAAAAACCGCGATAAAAACTCTGCTGCAGAAAAAGACCCAAATGGGGAGCCAGAATTAATTGCGTAGCCTAGTATACTTATCGCCCACGTCACTACCCAACACTGTTATCCTACGCACCTTCCGTTCACAAATAGCTCCCACAGTGGAGATACCCTGCGCATCACTGGCGGAATCTAGAGGGGGCTCTCATTATCGCATCACTTGTGACTGGTCCACGTCACTGTTCTTGTCTCTTATCTTCGTCCCTAACTTTAGAAAGCCCAATTTATTGGACCTTAAACGCAATGCAAGCCTTGAGAAAATGTGAATTCGGAATTATACCCGTCGGAGCAAAAGAGGGATTCGGGCTCTAAAAAAAGGACAAAGAGGAGTGCAATGAGGCGGCGGAAACTTGAGGTGATAGCTAGTACTACTAGTAGTACTGTGTGTAATAAAGATTTTTTTATAATAATGAGTAAAGTAAAAAAGAAAGAAAAGAAAAGCCGAATCCTTTTGTTTATGACTATGTTGACGTGTAAAAGTCTTTGGATCGGTCAAACCAGAAGCATAAAAATCACGGAATTGAGGTTTACTACCTCGAAAGCTAACGTCTCAAAAATCACATCTCTTACACTGCTCCACTGAGCACCAAATCGCAACCTCCCTTTCTCTCTGACACTTTATAATTACTCCTCTTTTTTTTACATGTGGATCCCAACCGCTTTATATAAATAAACTAGGAAGCATTAATTTTTTTTTGATAAATAGGAAGCAATATTTACCTTTAATATTGACGTGTGAAGATCATTATTTTTGGACCTCACGGTTTATGTTCGGCTATCTTTTCAATGAACACATAAATACATAAAAATTAATTCCAAAGTTTTATATTTTTTTGTTTGCATACTTTAGTTTTTTTTTTTGTTGTTGAAAAGGGCATTGTTTGCATACTTTAGTTACTTTTCATAATTGCTCTAGTAGTTTTTTTTTGCAAATAATTTAATATATTTTTTTGCTAAAATATATTTCAATATTTACTGTAAAAAATGTTAATAAGAGTACAGGGAATACATTAGGTTGTCACATTCACACTTTAAAATTTTTTGGCATGTAGTTAGATAATTACTAAGCAATTTCTTATTTTAATAGTTTCATATCAATACGGAAAAATGGTTTAACCCTTCCTTGAAAAATTCTGTTTTCGTTGTTCTTCCCCCCCCCCCCCTTGTCTTCCCTTTACCTTTGAAGCTTTTTTACTTGTATTACCTTTATTTTGTTGATAAAAAGTTTTTTGGAGAATTGTGTTTTTTATCGAAAATAGTCATTTAAATAAACTGATGAAATATCTGTTTAAATAATCTTATGTTAATAGCTAACAAAATGAAATAAGTAATAAGATATTAAAAGTGTTTTTATCAATAGAAAAAAAAAAGTAAATCTTCTAACTTTAGCAACAACAAAAAAAAGTAAATCTTTTAATTTCCCGAGTTGCATCACCTCCATATCCATATAACAGTTTTAAAACCCCTAATCACTACGATTACTTTCTCTACAAGGTTGCGCTACGATGGGATTGTCTAGCGAGACACTGGAGCTTCCTATGGATTTGGTGACAGATGAGATTCTCACGAGACTGCCAGCAAAATCTCTGATGAGATTCAAGTGCGTCTCAAAGCACTGGTTATCGGTCATCTGCTCAAAATATTTCAGCAACCGTTTTCTTACGGTTCCATCCCCTCGCCTTTACTTGAGTTTACGGAATCACGAAGACAAAGGTAAGTCGGTAATACTCTCATTGGCTCCTTCAAGCAGCAGTAGTACTACTCCGTCTTCCTTTGTAGTTGACCATGATCTGACCATCCCACGGATGGGAGGCAACATCGTGCAATTTTTTCGTGGCTTCATGTGCTACATCTGTAGGTCAAGGGCACATATCTATAACCCTGCCACAAGACAACTTGTCACCTTACCCTTCACCAGAAACATGATCGTACCTCGAGGAGGAGATAAAGTTGTCTACTACTATTTCGGACACGACCCTATTAACGACCAGTACAAGGTGGTCTCCTTGATTTCTGTATACTCTCTGGGTGGTGCGAAAGTGATGAGTAAAAATTGGGTCTTTGACTTAAAAGCGGGAGGAGGAGGTTCCTGGAGAAAGGCTGCTCTAACTCCACCGGACTTTTCTCCTCATCAACTGGGTGTGGGAGGAGGAGTGTGTATCGATGGGGTTATCTATTACGTGGTTTGGGTTGATTATAAAGCAGTGGTTGTGAGTTTCGACGTTAGATCCGAAGAATTCAACATGATCCAAGTTCCTCCCAGGGACGGCGACGAGGACCTTCGAAGAACCCTGAATTGGTCTCTTACCAAGAATCTCGCTCTTTTGGAGCATGGTGGAAAAGTAACTCTTTTTGACCAGACCAATCTTAAAAACAAGGGTGTGGTGGCTTTATGGACTCTGGAAGATGCCGGGACCAAGAAATGGTCGTGCAAGAGTCAGGCTTTGAAGCCTTGTCAGATGCATTTGGTCAGTGGCATTAAATTCTTGATAAGAGGGACAACTCAAAAGGGCAAGGTTATCCTGATACCTAAAAGGATCTTTTCTCCTTATCACATTCTTTGTTATGATTTACAAAGCAATGATATGACAAAGATTGAAATCAAAGGTATACCGGACCACTGGTTTAGTTTGCACAAATATAACATAAGTCTTCACTTGATGTTTATGGACCAGAGTGAGAGCGTTATGTGCTGGGAGACTTGAATTTGTAAACGAGATAATAACTTAGAATGTTTCCGTGTGTTATTATTATTATTATTTTTTTTCCAAATTTATTCGATCAAAAGCCTTTTTTACATAAGTGTTGCAGAGTTTGATAGTTTATTTTTGACTTACAAATGAGCCTGGAAAGAAAACATTAACTCTATACTTTCACGATCAAACATATATACACACAATTTGCTATTTCTGATCGTATTTTACCAATCCTTATCACAGTTGGAATCACTCGACAAGGTTAATTGTTTTTCTGATGAACAAACACCACTCGACAAGGTTAATTGGGTGTGGTTTTTTACCTTGTAGCATTCCTCCATCAATTAAACAAAGAGAAGGGGGAAAATTGAATAAATAAATAAAAAGAGCTAAATGTGTGAAGAATCAATAATATTAGGCTATATATTTAATACTTGTCCGTCTCTTCATTTACCGAATGGTCTCTCTCTCTTTCTTCTTTGTCTGAGTAAAACATTTACGACTAGCACAACCTTTCTCGCTCGTATTTGATCTTCTCGGAACTGGGGAAATTGAATCTCGCAGCTTTCAGTCGATTGGTCGGTCCTAGAGAATGGTGAGGAAAAAGGTCCCGGAATGGATGAACAGCACGATGTGGTCTACTGCTCCTCCGCCGCCTACAAACGACGATGATTTCCTCCGCCGTTCCCCCTCCACTAAAATTTCGTCGACAGGATCGAATTCCGTTGCTTCCAGGCTTAATCCTGCCCCTCCGCCTTCCACCGCTTCTTCGGTTCCATCTCCGTCGCCTAGGCCGCGGAACGGTAACAATCCTGGCGGCAGTGGCGAATATGGAAACTCCGTTGGTCCTTCCGCCGAGGACTTGTCCCGCCAGGCCCATCTCACAGCGGAGGTCAATGCAACCTTCCCTTCTTCATTTTTTTCGCTTCTCCTGTTGCAGAATTTCAGATTCTTCTTGTCCTCAACTTCCAAGTTGTGTTGTGATTTTAATTGTCAGTTATCTAAAAAGGTGATCAACATGAAGGAATTGAGGAGTCTAGCTTTACAAAGCTTGCCGGATTCTCTTGGGATCCGCTCTACTGTATGGAAGGTTGTTATAATGATTTTGGCTTCTTGTCATTTTGGAATCCAATTTACAGAAAACGTGCATCAATGCTTAGAGCACTAAGACAGACTTTGAGTCTTATCTCTATATGAAAGTCCCTTACTTTGGCTGTTTAAATATGATTCTCTTTGCAGCTTTTGCTTGGCTATTTGCCACCTGAACGTTCTCTCTGGTCAATGGAACTGAAACAAAAGAGATCCCAATACAAGCACTATAAGGATGAGCTTCTCACGAGTCCTGTAAGTGATCCTGGTCTTTTGTTTCTTGCCTCGGAGTTCTTTGTTAGGTTTTCTCACCTAGAAAGTTTTTATCTTTTCTTGAAATGTGTTTGTACCTCTAAATGATTCTGTGTTAGTTAGTCAGAAATCACATGGAGATTGGTGAGGTCCAAAGGATTTGACAATTATGAGCTCAAAAGTGAAAGCCGATGCATGCTTTCCCGATCCAGAATAACTGACGAGGACCACCCTCTAAGCCTAGGGAAGGCGAGCATTTGGAATACATACTTCCAGGTACTACACCTTGCATCCTCACTACATTACTCAAGGACGGGTTTTTTTTGGGTTATGGTATTCAATTTTTCCAACAGCTCCATGATCAACTCTCTTTTTTTTGATGTAGGATACGGAGACCATAGAACAAATAGACAGAGATGTCAAGCGTACACATCCAGATATACCTTTTTTCTCCGGTGAATCATCGTTTGCGCATTCTAACCAGGTAACGTTTTTGTGTCCTCGTTAGCAAATTTTCACCTATTGTTGATTAATCAAGCTCAGTGACGTTTCCATTTACATGTCTAGGAATCTATGAAGAATATTTTGCTTGTGTTTGCCAAGTTAAATCAAGGCATCAGATATGTTCAAGGGATGAACGAAATTTTAGCACCTATCTTTTATGTATTCCGTAACGATCCTGATGAAGATAGTTCAGTAAGTAGGCTCTTCTTTTTTCTTTGCTACCCTTTAAACTACTTTCACACAATAGGGTATACAAATTCAATGTATGCTATTTCACAGAATTACTTATTAATATGAATCTGGAAATTTTGCCTTAATTTTTTCAGGAAATTTGTTCATGTATGATATTTTCTTATTCAACCTTGTGTTAGCTCTGGTCTCATGAGCATCAATCAATTTGGATGTTAACTCTATTCAAATTGTGCAGTCCCATGCTGAAGCTGATGCATTCTTCTGCTTTGTTGAACTGTTGAGTGGATTTCGTGACTTCTACTGTCAACAACTTGACAATAGCGTGGTTGGAATCCGGTCCGCGATAACAAGGCTCTCGCAACTTGTTAAGAAGCATGATGAGGAACTTTGGCGTCATCTAGAGATCACCACGAAAGTAAGACATTATTTGTTCTCTCTCTCTCTTCTCTCTCTTCTCTCTGTTGTGACAACAACCATATTTGTCATTCTGGTACTATATAGCCCTATTAAATTGCTTAATGCGGGAGTGAAATACCCTGATAGCTGAGACCATGTAAACAAGGTTACTATAGTATTTTCTGAAATTGACATAGTATAGATTCTATGGATTTGCAGGTAAACCCACAGTTCTATGCATTCAGGTGGATCACTCTCCTGCTGACACAAGAGTTTAGTTTCTTCGACTGTCTTCACATATGGGATGCACTCTTAAGCGACCCCGAAGGTCCTCTGGTAAGATTGCAATATCTTTTTGCATTGACGCACACCTCAAATCAAATCAGTAGATGCGCCAGACATTAATTGTCTCTTTCAGTCACTAATGTTTGCTTGAATTATAGAACTCAGTTTACCTTGTATTGTTACAGGAAAGCTTACTCGGGATATGTTGTGCGATGCTGGTACTGGTGAGGAGGAGGCTGATCGCTGGAGACTTCACGTCAAATATGAAATTGCTGCAACATTATCCAACTACCAACATTAGCCATCTCTTGTATGTAGCTAATAAACTTCGTTCCAAAATGTTAGTTTGAGTCCTTTTTTTTTCGAACTTTTGTTCAACGCTTTACAGTATACAAAGCTTTTTGCTTGTTTTACACGGCTCATTCGCTTCACTCTTTCAAATCGCAATATATTTGTATCGTTGTTGGACGCTTTCGGTGTTTTCTAAATGATGAGTTTGAATTTCAGAGTTGAGAAGAAGCGTAAGCTTTTTAAAAAAAATACACCGGTTTGGTTTAATTGAAAAAAAGAAAAGTTGCTTCTGGCTCAGCCTTCTGCTCCACCGTTGTAGCTGTGCTATCGACCTGACACAGTAACAAAGAGAATCTATGCTTAATGATCCAAACATGACCAAGACTTAAAACGGGTAGGATTCATCGTTGACATGATATTGTTTCTGTTCATAGGAACAGCATTGGCAAATCGTAAAGCAGAAACATACTAATTTTGGATTGACATGTTAGAACAAGATTGCACGTTACCTGCATAGCGTCTGCTGCCTTGTCATTTGGCGTTGCCTTTCCTTTTCCAGCTTCACTTTCATTAGCAGACTTCTAGTTAGTATGAGTTTGATTCTCTGATCAAACTAGGATTCAGAGCTCTATCCAAATCACAAAGCTTCACAATCTGGTTGTCCAAATCGATTATAAAAAATAGTTATAATATTTACTTGCTTCTTTTTCTTCCATTTCAATAGTTAGTTTTACTTTCTTCTTAGTTTGATTTTTTTTTCAAAATTGTTATCTGTAAGATATACATAAATGAAATCACATTCCATAAATTGACATGGCTGGCCTCCATAAATGAAATTCCTTCTTCTTTTTTGGAGCAAAAATAGTCCAAATCTTTTATCAGGTTTCTTGTGAAAATAGACACATACAAACAAAATCTCAAAACCGATTTATTAGGCCAAAATATTTTTTTTGTGTTAGTGACAATAAAATTTTCTAGAGCCTTCGAATCAAATTTTAATCTAAGGTTTTAAAGATTCATGTAACATTTTTTCTTACACTTTCTCAAGCAAATCAGTGTGGTTACGGTTTTGAAAAATATAGTGATGATGATCCATGACACTTATTAAAAAAATATAAATTTCGATTGTCAATACTGAAATGGTATGGGATGATGGGACTTCTGTGGTTAAGGCGACAAAGAAGATGAAGGAGAAGAAAGAAGATCATAAACATAAACTCAAAACTATAAATATGAAGATTATAAGAGACAAGATGGGTTGTGAAGATGAATACTAAGATGAAAAAAGGATAAAATTTTGACATGTGGCTTGTTTGTTTTAATTTTCAAGAGTTCAGATATTACACTTTGTCTTTCTTTTTTTAATTTCCCACTCTGTCTCTTTTTAGTTAAATGAAGTTGCAAACTTAAGCTTGCTTAATAATGATTTAACTTAACAAAAAAATCAAACGTCAGTGGTAAACAGAAATGATAAAAAAAAATGTTTGTCTCTTAAACATTGATAGTTCAATATTAGTTCAATATTTTAGACTTTAAAAAGGTGCTACTGGTTTATGCATTTTGTTAATTTAAGAATTCATATAATCCTTTTAAAAATATATTGACAAAATCATACGTTTAAGTTTGGATTTGAAAATAATTCAATATTCCATAAATTGACATGGCCTCACCAGAATGACCTTCAAAGATAAAGCACCGGCCTCATTCCTTATCAGAATTTTATTAGTAGTAGTAATAGATGTTTTTTTTTTCTATTAACCTAAAGTATTATACATATAGTTGGAATTGATATGCAAAATCACACAACCTCAAAGTCGGCTTCTGAATCAAATTTTAACCTAACTATTGACTAGCATCATGATACAAAGACTTGTATATAATAATTGGTGTCATAAGTTCCCCAACTCTTCAACTATATTTACTTCATATTGTTCTCTTTGTGTTGGATGAGATCAATAGGGCAGTTGGGCACACAATGGGATACATAAATAAAAAAACTTTGTTCAGTAACCGGTGAAACATCATTTAATTGTTGTTACACAAAAGCTTTTCTGCATCACATAAACATCACAGGTTGAACCGGCCTGATTTTGGTTAAACTCCACAGCATATCGGTTTTCTGCATTTCCGGGCGATTAGATACCGACCAAATACATGCAAACGTAAACACTTGATGACTAAGTGATCCATCGCTTTCACTTAGTTAGTCAGTCGAGGGATTAATGTTGTCTTCTGGAAAAAAACAGACAAACAAATTTAAAAGCTCTCTTACATGAACTCATGAAGTAAACAAGTGATCCGGTTTGTTTAGGTTTAGCTACGTACAGTTTGCACATTGCACAATTGAGACAATAAGTGCTGTCACGATCTCTCTCTCTCTCTCTCTCTCTTGGCCTCTTATATATACTACCCCTGCGACAAGCAATCTCCAAAAAGAAACGAAGCAAATCCTCTCTTGCACTACTTTCAATAATTATCTGACATTATTAATTCTGCCAGCAATTATGGGTTTAATTTACCGTAAAGCATGTGTGTTTGTATTGGTATTTGCGTTGGTCACAGATTTTACAATGGGAGAAACAGAGTTTGGTGATGACAAGCACTTGTTTCCTCACCCTCGTCCATTCCTCCACAAAGGTGGCATCCACAAGAAGGGCTTTAAGAAAGGCTTCGGCGATTTAGGCGGTGGAGGTCTAGGTGGTGGAGGCGGCTTTGGAGCAGGAGGTGGCGGTGGTTGGATTGGAGGCGGGATTGGAGGCTTTAGTGGAGGAATAGGCGGTGGATTTGGTGGTGGTGCTGCTGGAGGGGGAGGAGGATTCGGCAGCGGTGGAGTAGGTGGTGGTGCCGGTGGAGGAGTTGGCGGTGGTGCTGGTGCCGGTGGAGGTCCTGGAGGAGTTGGTGGAGGAACCGGCGTTGGTGCTGGCGGAGGAGTTGGCAGCGGTGCAGGCGGAGTAGGCGGCGGTGCCGGTGGAGGTCAGTGATGGCTTGTTAGACTGACGAGGTGCTATATAGTCCCATGCATTTATGTTTATCAATAATAGTTTCATTAAGAAAATATACCATGATTTATAATAAAGGACATGTATCACGTATGTCGTTTCTCTTTAGTTTTGAGTTAAATGTATGCCATTACGCTCTTTGGAATGATTGTATTTTGCTACTTCGAGTAAATAAAACGATCCAAAAATATATAATATATATGCATTGACTGCTTGTTAGTAGGACAAGATTATGTAATGAAGCTTTAAATTAGAAAGAAGAAAGAAGAGTATAGGTTTTTTTTTGGTCAAGAGAAGAGTAGAGGTTTAAAGGAGATTAATCCTACATTAATATGAAAATCAACTTACGTAATCTACAGAAGAGTTCTTGGCGAGAAATATTAAAACCCAAAGAATATAACCACAAATGACAACAAAGCACTTTGTGGCGCGTAAACGGTAGTAAGCAACCGTTTCATGAGTTCAAACTCGACGGAGAAGACTGTTTGACTTAAATGATTCCAGAGAGAAGATTCCTAGAACCTACACTTGACAGACAAAGGGTAACCATGGTAATTTTGTAAAATTCTCCGGTGAGATATCTACAAACCTTCGGTTTAGGTCACGGATGATTTACAAACCGGGCATGCTTTACTCCGTCCTAGCCATGGATCAATGCACTGCACAAAATACATAAACACAGATCTTCATATCGCATAACCAATGGTTTAATTTTCGAATTTGTAATCTAAAAAAGGTAAGATCCTTACATCTTTGTGGAATTTGTGAAAACAAGGAAGATGTCGGATAGTGTCTCCAATCGTCGGTGTTTCCAGACAAATAACACAGGTTTCTTGAAAATTGTCGGTCTGCAAAATTACACATAAAACACCAAAGCGAAAGCTTTAATGATAACAAAACTTCGATACTGACAAAATGGACTTAACAAAGTGAACCTGAACTTACTTGAACTGTGGACTCTGGCAAGTTATTAATGCTATGAGTAGAAGCACCGCCGTGTTGATGGTTGTTTTCATCAAGAGCTAGCAGCAACTCGTAATCATCTCTGCATTGAAAAATTTCAAAGATCAAGTTCCATACATTTAAGAATTATATGGTAAATGATGAGAAAAGGGATACACCAAGAGATGCCATACTCAGTAAAGTCACGATCCATATGAAGAAGATTACTATTGTTGATGGAGTGTCCAATAACATTCTCTAGATTCTCCAGAAAGTCCAATCTCTGTTACATTGAAAAAGAGGTGTAAAGAGTTCGTTTGTAGTTTCCCGCGACATTCGGGATATAAACAGGGTTCATCAAAAAGAGTACCGAATCTATGCCCATATCATTTGGAAAATTGAGATTCAGAGCTCTGCGTAGTGAAGCAGGTGCACGGCCTAAACGCTGACCTCTACCCCGTGCTGGTGCTCTAACAGACGCGCGAGCCTGTGGAGGATTGAGACGCCTCCTTGAAGGATTTTGTTGCAGTCGTGTTTCGAGCCGACTTCTCCCACGTGGATTTGCCTCAATCTGTAAATCATATCCATTAGCATAAGCAGCAGTTAAGATCTTCAAGATGATCCTAAAGCCAGATTCTTTTTAAGTGAAAGATTAAGAAAAGACACATCCATGTATGACAATGATTAGTCTCGCATCTCAACACAGGAAACAGGTAGAAAGCGGTGAAGAAAAACACTAATGCAGGAAAGTGTACTGTTTGTGACTTACGGTATTAGAGCTTCTGGTATTACGTGTAGAGGATCGACTAGAAGAAGCACGGACATAATTCTCTTCTTGTTCGAGCAACCTGGCTATGTTTTGGTCGATCTGAAATTGAAATAAGACCCTTAGAAACCTTGACAAAAGGGTGGAACATATAGAGGATATCCAACATAAGAGGAAGAAGTACCTGATCGGTTCTAATCATTGTGCCTTCTTGGTACAGCTGTTCTTGTAACTCACGGGCCAATCTCTCATCCGCTTCTATTTGTTCATCGTTTTCAACACGTCCAGGAACAGGAGATGAATCTTCAATTTCCAGCACTTGTCTTTGATGATTCTGATTTCTCGGTGGCCTTGAACTAGATGGTTCCCCAGAAGATCCAATAACAGAAACCTCTGGCTCATCTGAAACGCTCAAAGTAGTGAACCCATTCTTTCGTCGCCGTTGCTGTCTAGTTTCTCTGTCAGCTGGACCGGTTTCGTGCACATCAAGACGGGAAACAGAACTACAGATTCCACGTGTGTCACTCCCATCCTCCCTACGATTCATTTCATGGCCGATATTTAGATTCCGGTTGCGCGTACTAACCCACCCTTCCAAGGCATCTCTACTCGCCACCCTATTTGCATTGATACAAACTCTTTTAGCATCCAAAACCAAAATAAAAAGAATCACCCATTCAAACATCTAAAAGAAATATTACCTGCTTGGGGAAATTTCTGATCGCTTTCCTCTAGCTCTTCCGCGGATGTGATTTCCAGAAACAATCTCTCTTATGCCAATCGAAGATGCAGTTTCAGGAGCTATTTCATGCTCGACACCAACTGTATCGTTGGAACTGGTATCAGCAGCTAGTCTAGCTCTAGCTGCTATTCCATGTGGAGATATGCACCCATGTCTTACCAGTCTCTTAGTGCCTCTACTCGGTTTAATGTCGCTGGAAAGGTCAATTGTTTCTCTACCAGAAACAGAGCCACAGTCTACTTTTTCTTTACCCTTATTACCATTCCCAGGCACCTTACGATCACCTAGTAAAGGACAAGAATCATTACTTGTGCGCAACTCAGATGGTAAGCATCTCGATGCAGCAACATGAGCATGTCCATTGCATTGATTTGGATTTACAACCGGATAATTCTCTAGCCGAGCCGCGCAAGGACCAGTGCAGATGGATTTCCCTTTATCCTTCCCGACCGCTGTTCTCCTAAACAGAGCATTGCCTCCAGTGACACGGGAGCGATGCCCGTTCTCAGTTTGCGCATCAGGATTTTCCCGGACTTCATGGACTACTGGTCTTGCTCTACCGTCAATGCAGTCTTGTCTCTGATATCTCACTGGCGCTTCTGGAGAATGTGGTCTTCTCTTGACCTCTCTGCCTAAAGAAGTACGTCGTCTCACCTCTCTATCCGGTGTATCGGGTATGCTGATAAGCATGTCAATGTCAGTGTTCTCCATCCTGAAATAGTTAACCTACATCAACAAGAACCAAAACTGAATCAATGCTCGCTTGATGATCTTTTCTGATTAGAATCATGTGAATTTGAGTTTTAAGACTTGTTCAAAACATAAACCCCAGATTATAACTTGAGCAAACACTACGTCCCCCTAAGATTAAGATCACCGAAGCAACAAAAAACAAACACAGGTCCAAAAAGGGTAGAGCTCATTGGACAAAAGAGAATCATTTCAAGCGAATCATAGAAAAACAAACAAAAAACCAATGGATTCTATCATCGAAACTGGGAAATTTAGATAGGAAACCAACAGACTACAGAAAATTCACAGGATAACACCAGAACGACGAAACAACTTGTTCCTCCCCGTGAAAAAAAAGTTATCGTACAGATCAAATATCAGGCATCTACAAATTTCAAAAGGAAAGAGGAAATTACCGATCGAATATGGTTCCAAAGTGAGAATCGAAACCCTAATTGTTCGATGATAACCAAAAGCATCGATCAATCTATTCCCCCATCTCCCCTGCAACGATTGGACCTCAGATGATCCCGGGTCGGGTAAGGGATTAATGGGTCGGGTTTTGTCTCGGTTTGATTGTGTTGGACTTAGACTTTTAGTCTTATAAAATCAAATATAAAGGCCCAAACATAAGACCCACTTATCTCTTGTACATTCAATTCGTATTTTGAGGCATTATATGTTTCTTCGAAATTATTCAAATTGCACCTTAATCTACCTACGTTGAAGTTCATAAACAAACTATAGCCTAATTAATAAACTTGTGATCTTTTTAATTCCTGCATTAAATATGAAAATCCTTTGTAAAAAGAAGAAGTTCATAACGCGTTTTCCGTTCATCGACGATTAAAATGCTTCTAAGTCAATTTTTAAAAATTTAATTAGCTATATTTTCCAATAAGAATTATAGGATCATTTACACGCGGTCTGAATACTCATCACATAACTTTGACAAGTACTATATGACAACGTCCTTCTTTGGGATTTGTTTAATGGCAAAACTAAGAAAAACATAGTACAATAATCATTTATTGGGATAATCAAGTCACCAATTGCCTCAAAACCAATTATTTTGGCGGTTTCTTAATGAATTATTCGAGGAAATATCCCCCCCTTTTTTTTCTTCAATTTTGGCTTCTTCTGCATCCAAGTTAATTTTCTATTTAAAACATAAGTAGTAGTATTTGTTTACTAGTATATAATAATAAAAATTCACCAAACTTATTTATTACAATTGTTTTGTTTCAGTTCCAGTAATTTGTTTATAATAATGTGCTAGGTTACTATAATAATTATATGCTAGCTAAATTGTATAATAATTTATGACTATTTTCAAATCATCTGACTAAATTATTAATTTCTCCATCTGCTAATATGATAATTATTTTAAAATAAATGTTTGTCCTAATATCTTTCGAGGAGCTTTTAACGGTTATCATATCTAATAGCTTTTCCCAGATTCCATGTAAGCTTCCCGACCAGACTTTGAACCTTCCCATTGGAGACAGCCGAAGGAACCGTGTCCATCTTCGGTTCCTCTGCCTCTCGTATTATTCCTTTCCTCCATCTTCACATCATCTTTTCTCTTTGCCTAGACAGATCTCTTCTTTCCACGAAACCATCTTCTCCCCGATCTGGGTCGGATCTGATTCCTCGGAAGCAACGAATCTCGAGGCTCCTTTTGTCTTGCCTTTCGGGGAAAGGCGAGAATAGTTTCCAAGAGGGGAAAAGGATAAATTCCCCTTTCCTTCTCTGTAGCTGATTTGCTTCAATCGTCTTTGATCTGGGTAGAGGCAAATAAAAATCTTTCCTTTTTTGGCAAATTATTTCTGGGCTTGGAACAACTTCGTAGGTTTTGTTTCCGATTTCGAATTTCGATATTTTTTTCGGGTGTTGAAGGGTTGAATTTCGCTTCCTAGTGTCCTGTATCTTTTTCAAGTTGTCCGCTAACTCTAGACATTTGGGGATTTTGCTTGGGTTTTGGGTGTTATCTCCAATTTTTTTTTACAGATTTATTGCTCTAGTCCGATATTGGAGAGTTGCAATTAGGTATAATTTCCCTAAATTCACAAACTTTGTTTCTGTTTTCTTTCAAGTTGAGAGGGTTTATAGGTTTTAAGATGACGGGGCTCGAGCTGGGTTAGTCCTTATGAAAAATTGAGTCTTTTTAAAGCTTTGGTTTGTTATATATACACACTCCTGAGATATGGCAAGCACCATTGATGTTACCAAGTATGGTCACAGTCCTGTTCACCAAGCTGTTGTCACCAGAGATTACGCCGGTCTCAGGAAACTATTATCCGCTCTTCCCCGGATGCGTGACCCTTCCGAGGTTAAAAACGAAGCAGCTTCCGTGGCTGAAGAGACGAAAGCTGATTCAATTGCAGCGGTTATAGACAGGCGCGACGTCGTTAACCGAGACACGGCTCTTCATCTAGCTGTAAAGCTCGGTGATGAGACCTCCGCCGAGATGCTTATGGCTGCAGGAGCTGATTGGAGCTTGCAGAACGAGCACGGATGGAGCGCTCTTCAAGAAGCTATCTGTGGCAGAGAAGAGAGGATCGCTATGATTATCGTTAGGCATTATCAGCCTCTGGCTTGGGCTAAGTGGTGCAGGAGGCTGCCTCGGCTTGTGGCTACGATGCACAGAATGAGAGATTTCTACATGGAGATCACTTTCCATTTCGAGAGCTCTGTTATACCTTTCATCTCCAGAGTGGCGCCTTCGGATACTTATAAGATTTGGAAGAGAGGTGCGAATCTCAGAGCGGATATGACGTTGGCTGGATTCGATGGTTTCAGGATACAAAGATCGGATCAGACTATACTTTTTCTTGGAGATGGGTCAGAGGACGGTAAAGTTCCTTCCGGTTCTCTCCTTATGATATCACATAAGGATAAGGAGATTATGAATGCCTTAGACGGTGCTGGTGCTCCGGCCTCGGAGGAAGAAGTCCGACAAGAAGTGGCTGCGATGTCCAAAACGAGCATTTTCAGACCCGGGATCGATGTTACTCAAGCTGTTCTCTTCCCGCAGCTGACGTGGAGGCGTCAGGAGAAGACGGAAATGGTTGGGCAGTGGAAAGCGAAAGTGTATGATATGCACAATGTGGTTGTTAGTATCAAATCAAGGAGAGTACCGGGTGCAATGACCGATGAGGAGCTTTTCTCAAACACTAATCAAGAAAACGAAACCGAAAGCGAGGATCTTGGAGACATCTTGACGGAGGATGAGAAGAGGCAGCTAGAGTTTGCACTCAAGTTGGATTCGCCGGAAGAATCTTCCAACGGTGAGAGCTCAAGGATTGCTCAGCCGCATAATAGTTGTTCTTCCGAGGACCGGGATATTCCAGTGACCGATGGGAACGGGTATTGCAAACAGGAGAAGAAAGGGTGGTTCAGTGGGTGGAGGAAACGAGAGGAAGGGCACAAACGAAGCAGTGTTCCTCCGAGAAGCTCGCTTTGTGTCGATGAGAAAGTAAGCGATCTTCTTGGGGACGATGATTCTCCATCTGGTGGAGGAAGACAGATAAAACCGGCAAGACACTCGACGGTTGACACTGTTGTGAGAGACGAAAACCGGGGAATGAAAGATTCATCAAAAGCTTCAACATCAGAAGGCAGCGGAAGTAGTAAGCGGAAGGAAGGTAGCAGAGAGAACGAGTACAAGAAAGGGCTTAGACCAATTCTTTGGCTTTCTGAGAGATTCCCATTACAGACAAAAGAGCTGCTTCCGTTGCTCGATATCCTTGCAAACAAAGTCAAAGCAATTCGGCGTCTAAGGGAGCTTATGACCACGAAACTACCATCCGGAACATTCCCTGTAAAAGTATGTTTAACCTTCTACGATCACCATCATCACTATAGTCAGGATTTTGCTCATTTCATTTGAATCTTGTGTCGCAGGTTGCTATTCCCGTGATTCCTACGATTAGAGTACTCGTTACATTTACAAAGTTTGAAGAGCTAGAAGCAGCTGAAGATGAGTTTGTCACACCGCCATCGAGTCCTACTTTTTCAGTCAAGAACAGTCCTCGAGAGGAAGCACAGGCCTCGTCAAGCTCATCCTCCTCATGGTTTCAGTGGATCAAAACACCGAGCCAGCGTCCATCAACAAGCTCGAGTTCTGGAGGGTTTAGTATTGGTAAAGCCGAAAACGATCAAGACCCATTTGCAATCCCAAGGGGATACAATTGGATCACATCTGAAGAGAAGAAAAAGAAGATGCAAGAGAAGAATAAAGCTAAGAAAGGCAAGTCATCTCAGAACAGCTGAAGAAACCAAAAAGCAATTCGCAAGTAAGAAGATCTTTCTTTGTCTCTGAAAACATAAAATACTGAAATAGGGAAATCTAGCAGATTATTATTACTGGTCAAAAAAAAGGGTCGAACCTTTTTCCTGGTTCTTGTACTAATAAACTGGGTTTATGTTACCAAAACCAGGGAAAAACAAATTCAATTAAATATAGTTGGGGAAATTTAAGGAATGTTGTGGGTTTATGTTGTTGTGACTTTATATTTGCTTATGATTCTTTCTTTGTCTTTTGGTTTAATCATTGGCGATGATTATTATATCTCTGTATCATCATCTTGAAATAAGCTTAAGTTGTTGGAGATTCAACAATGTTTCTTCAAACTTGGCATTTCTTATCTCTAATTTTTTTTCTTCCGCTCCTCTTTCTCTCCCGACATTACTAATTTCTCCATTAAGTGATGCCAGACGAAAGAGCTTTAACAAAAAGATTTAGTTTGTTTTGGAAAATTCGATGGTAAACTCTAGAGTCTCATGAGATATTAATCTGTTTATAAACTCTAGACTCTTAGGTTCCTTTTTAAGTTCAGTGGTTTTACTCAATGGTGGATTTACGAAGAGCTTTCTACTAGATTCAACTCATTTCAGACACAGTGCTAAGGAAAGAAGAAGAAAAGTAAAACTCAAAAAAGATAAATGAATATTGTCATTGAATTATACAGACGCCACAGTGTTTTCTTTTAGAGTTTCCTGCATGCTCTCCGTCCTCCGATGCGCTGCAAATAATTACCACAAACGCAGCAGATTAATGTTCTTGTGCCGAACTAAGGTAAACCGGGTAGTTAACGGTTTTCCGAATATCCAAAGTTAACCAGCCAAAATCCAAAATTACTAGACTTTTTGTTTTTGACCAAAAAAAATTGTTTTAGGAGCCTTTTCATTCTTCTAACAAAATATGGCGTCAATTTTAGCGATAGTTTATCAGATTTATTCAGAATCTAACCGAGGAATCCCAACAGGAAAAATGTCATTTTGCACACACACAAAAAAAGAGATAAAAATGTCATCAAACCGGGTTTTAAACCGAAATTTGGAGTTTCTTTAGAAACTAATAAGTGAGGAATCAATCCAACATTAACTAGAAAAGAACCGTTACGGAAAACAAAACCAACAAATAAAAATAAATGTATGTATAGATTACCTAAGCTCAAACTCTTGAACATGAGCAATATCTTTGCCATGAGCATCTGGCCAGCTTACTTTCCTCTGTTCCAATCCTTTATCGACCTCCGTCTTGATCTTGAGGTTGCTTTTGAGACGGCAAGGCTCGCTGGATACGGCAGTGCAGCTTCTTCCACCGTGTCTTTTAGACGGCTGATGTTTTCGCCACCGTCGTCCTCCACCTCCTCCTCGGGGGTCAAGATGACCATCATCTTCAACTTTCGTGTTCGATTTACTAGTAGTGATGTCGTCAGAACAAGTAGTAGTCCTTGACGGTACGTAACAAGACCGGACCAAAGCCGAACACTTTTCTCTTGTTAATGTCGCCAGGTGGTCCAAATGAAATGATCCGGTTACGATTCAATCCAACCCCGTGGTACTGGATCGAGACTTGAACACAAAACCAGAGAAAGAACCTCTTTCAATATAATTAACTAAAAAGAAAGACAAAAAAAAACTGTGATTTTGGGGTTTGTGTGATTATGGTTATAAGAGTAGACTTGAAAGAGAATATAGAGAAATGGTAATAAGAAGAAAGACATGAGAAAGCGGAAAGAGAGTAATTAGTGTTGATAGTGAATGCTTGTGGGTTTAGGCAATGATGCATTTTTGGCATATGGAGGCTTTTGTGGGGTTTCCTTGTTTCGTTTTCAAGTTTAGGCTTACATTAAAGAAATTTTGATTTCGTATCGAATCTTTAAACAAAACAATTGAGAAGCTGGTCCACTTGAGCGTTCTATATATGTTATTAAAAACAAAAAGCACCAACTACAGTTCGAATCATTTACTCTAACACTACATATAAGAAATTCGTTTAGCCAGTAACATCCATTTGATTTTTAAATGGAAACCGATTTAACTTCACAATAACGTTAGCGCACTGGCCAGCTGATTGAACGTTCTTTATCATCTTTATCACGTAAAATATGGAACCATATGTTAATTTATGTGAGTTATCTATCACATTTTCTTTTTCTTTCAAATCATTTTTTTATCGATACTCTTATTTACTACTCAATGACTAAAGTACGTATGTTGTCCTCGTAGACATTATAGGAATAACTAACATTTAGAAAGAAAAAAAAATTACGTACCCACCTTTTATCTCTTGCAGTACTATGAAAGGATGAGAGCCGTGAATAAACTGTGACCTACTGATTTTATTTACCCTGAAACTATTAATTCACTTCACGACAACATTTCAATTTCTAGCTGTACACCGAACAATCAGCCATCTACATATGTGTCATCGTGAATTTACTATTTAGTATATATATTTGTTTTTAAAAATAAGTATATATATATGTGTATACACAAATATTCAATATATTATATACACAACATACTACGTTTAGTATCTATTATATTCACAAATGAAAAAGCTAATGAATGTTTGTTATGCTGCATTGGGCCATAATTGGTAATAATAACAGCTAACAAAGAAGGTTGAGGCGTGGCTTTGGAATGAATCATCATTATGATGTTTCCACTATAGCCTATACTGTATATCATTTTATTCTTTTCTCCACTTCTCCTGTAATTACCACCTTTTTTTGTGTGTTTCCACATAGTAAAACAAAACGTGATCGTTTCACCCGTACTTTCTTTTCGATTTCGATCCATTGGTATTGTTTGTTACCGCCGAATTTTATATAACAGGGTTTATAAGAACTTGTTTATTATATTCAATCAAGCTCTGAATTGAGTTCTTTGAATACAATAAAACTTTAAGAGTTAATAAACTGATAATAATTTTAATACATTTTAAGTACTACAATACCACTTAGCAAGAGGTTTGGACTTATGTGAGATCGAATGATAACAAATGGGACACAACACACGATACAATTGATAAATTTACTATACAAATTTGTGTCACAAAGGTAAAATGCAGTATTAACACATCCATAATATCTTTTTGAAAACTGCTAACAAAAATATAGGGCCGAAACTGAATAATTGAAAAATTACGGGACCTAACATTATGTCAAATAAGGCCAAGTCGTCGGGGGAGAATAGTAAAGCGCGACACGTACGGCCATCTGACTGACACGTAGGTCCATCTCTCACAGATGAAAGATATTTGTGACCTTATTGTTTTGTTGTGAAACACTGAAATACAGACATTTATTCAAAAATCATTAGAATACGTAGGCAGTAGGCTATTAAATACTCTTTTTCTACTTTTAATTAAAAAGGGAGGATATCATCTCAAAACTATGAAAATTTCAGGCCAAATCTATTTTAATTATAAGATCCGGCTGTAAAAAGCAAAAAAATACTAAAATATATATTTAATGCAAAAAATTTAAAAGCAAAACTCTGATAATATATAAAAAATATGATCGCATAAAATACCAAAGTCATTTTTTCATTTAAAATTGCATCTAAAGTATTAAAAAATAATCAGACGGTGGGACCATTCAACACATTTTTTCTTTCTTTTTCTCTTCGACTTTTTAAAAAACGAAGACAATATCCACTAGGATCGCCACATTCTAGAAAACAGTGGGCAAAATATATTTTTCCTTTTTATATAAAACCAAATATTAACAACCTCCAGCAGAATATGGTTAGGGGCAAGTTATTAACGAGAATAATTACAATTATGGCTCTAAAAGTTGAAAATATTCAAAACAATACGACCCAACTGAAAAAAACAAAATTGGCCAAGTCGAAGTCGTGTGAGAATAATGGGGACGGATATGGCACGTGGCGACATTCCATAGGTTTTAAAGACGACCAGCCCGCGGTATTTTAGATCCAGTTGACGATAATGAACCGAGACTAAAATCCGTCCAGGTTCCTTCTTCTTCTTCCACAATATAATTATTTCCTCACACACCCCTAGAGAGAGACAGAGAACGGTGTTACCTCTATTAGGAGAGAAAGAGGGAGAGAGAGAAAGTTGGTTTCTTCATTTAGAATTTTGGATAGACAGAGAAGAAAAGAGAGTTTTTTGGGATGATGAGTCTGAGAAGAGGAGCAGAGAGACAAGACTCGCCGGCGGCGTACAACGTTGCCCATAAGCTACCTCACGGAGACAGTCCTTATGTTCGAGCGAAGCATGTTCAGGTAAAGAATATTACGATTCGTGATTTTTATGAATCGGAATCGAATATACCTTACTGGACAGATTTGGTTGAGAAAGATGGAAAAAAAAATCATCGAAATTTGTTTTATTTGAATGATTCTAAATTGAAATTGGAAAATGTTTTGGTCAGCTTGTGGAGAAGGATGCAGAAGCAGCGATAGAGTTGTTTTGGAAAGCGATTGTAGCGAGAGACAGAGTGGATAGTGCTCTTAAAGACATGGCTTTGCTAATGAAGCAACAGAACAGAGCAGAGGAAGCCATTGAAGCTATTCAGTCTTTTAGAGATCTCTGTTCTAGACAAGCTCAAGAATCACTCGACAATGTCCTCATCGATCTCTACAAGGTACACAAATCCCACACCGACACCATTCTCCTGTCTGAATATTATTGTTCTTGGGATATTGAAATTGACAAAAATGGGGATCCGAATTTTGAGCAGAAATGTGGGAGAATACAAGAGCAAGTGGAGTTACTGAATCAAAAGCTTTGGATGATATATCAAGGAGAAGCATTCAATGGGAAGCCAACAAAGACAGCGAGATCCCATGGGAAGAAATTTCAGGTCACGGTCGAGAAGGAAACCTCTAGGATCTTGGTACGATTGATCTCACAAGTCTTTACTTTTGATTTGATTTCTCGAAGTTTACTGATCAAATAAAGCTGATCAAGAATGAATGTTATTTGCTGGCGTCAACAGGGAAACTTAGGATGGGCTTATATGCAGCTAAGAGACTACACAGCGGCTGAAACCGTGTACCGGAAAGCTCAAGTGATAGAGCCAGATGCAAACAAGGCTTGTAATTTATGCACATGTCTCATCAAGCAAGGGAAGCACCATGAGGCGAGATCGATTCTCGTTCGCGATGTACTAGAGGAGAACAAACAAGGGTTTGATGATTCGAGGCTGAAGGTTCGAGTTCAAGAGCTGCTGAGTGAGCTAGAGCCACATGAGGAAGAAGAAGCGGCGGGTTTCGCTTCTGTGTCTGTGGGATGTGAAGATGGTATGGATGAGATGGCGGTTGTCGAAGGGCTTGATGAGTTTGTCAAGGAGTGGAGAAGGCCTTACAGGACAAGAAGACTTCCCATTTTCGAAGAGATCTTACCACTGAGAGATCAATTGGCTTGTTGATGTTTCTCTGTGCTTGGATTTTGATGCTTTTAATACTTAATTAGGAACCTTTTTTGTGTGTAGCAACAAATACTATAGTTTACTTCTTGTAAGCTGTTTTTGGGTGTCGTTTACTTGTTATCACTGTAATGTGTCAAAAAGATATCATTTGAAGTAGTTGATGTTATTTCTATCATCACTAAACCGATCATAGAAGTTTAGAATACAAAAACAAGAAGGCCTAACCTATAATAAGCTTTAAATCTGTCTTCCAAACATCTGATCACCTAAGAATCATTCTCGGTACCGGGAGGAACTTCCTAATCAGCTTAGTAACAATGTGGGTCTGATAAATGGCTCTGGATCGAGTTTTAAGTACACTTGAAGCCATGGCAAATCGACAAGAAAATGATGAGAATCAAAGCGACGATGATGCCAAAAACCACGAGCTTGATCTTCATGTTGTCAAGCCACATTTTTCTCTTCATCTTTGTTCCTTGCGTTCTGAAATCTTGCGCCTTTTTAAGACATTCAGAAACACACATGCATGTGTTACCACCAGTTTTATCCAGGTATGTATCTATATAGCTAGTGTCTATGAGGTGTTAGGGATGTTGGTTATTAACCTGTGAGCGAAGGTTCTCAGTTTTGTCTACTAATAGCTCGATTTTCTCTCCACGGTCAAGGACCTGCCAAAGGAATGAATCGCAGAAAATCAGCTTTACAGAAGCGGATTGTTTTGGTCATAGGGGAAGTCTCTGAATTTCTAACCTTTTCAATGTTCTCCATCATAACACCCTTCACTTCAGTCACCTGTGCCTTTACCTTGGCAAGTTTGCTGATTTCCTCAGGATGATCCACGCAAAATTGCATGTGCTCCTTCAGTTTAGACCTTCATTACAACCAAAGCCAGTTAAGAACACATCCGTATATATATTCAACTTTTTTTGGGGTTTATTAAAATGCAGAGATTAATGTCAAAACGTACCCGAATTCTTTGTTCAAGCTGTTAGCTTTAGCAGTTGAAGCTTTCCCACCGCCATATCTCTTGCTGAAATCTTCCTTGACTCGCTCCAAGAAAGCCATTGGTATCTGCCTCCCAGCAGATTCAACAACGACGACACAGTACGCTGCATAGCAACACAGAGACATCTTTGGTCACATTCCATCTAAACAAAATAATGCGTAGTCTTTTCCACAAAACAGAATATCTAAAGATTTTCAAACATAATCTTCACGTTCCATTTCTGTTGCTAATGCAGCTTGCTTCTGAAAGATATAGATCGAAACTAAACATTCTTAAGGAAATAACCGAAACCCACAAAACGAATCGAGGGACAAATACCGCACACAAGTCAACATGAGGACGATTTTGAAATCGGAATGAGAGACTTACTGAAGCCATTCTCGGCGAGGTAATTGAAAGTGTGGCCGTCGCAGTTGTAAGTTAACTTGTTGTTTGAGGACGGAAGCTTCTGGAGGCACTGAGCAGCGACGGAGGTGAAATTTCCCTTGAACTCTTTATACTCGGCGAGGATCACCGTGCCCCGAGCGACGAAGCTGTAGATTAACGATTGTTGTCCCATTGTTCCTTTTTTTCCAGATGAAAAAAAAAAAAAAAAAAACCTCACAACACCACAATCCGATCAGAGAAATTAGTAAACGATGTAAAAAATTACCATGGAACGAGGGGTAGAGATGGAGAGAGGAAGACGAAGAGATCGGAGAAGAGAAACAAAATGAGAACGCTGGATTTGCGCGATAAACAGTGTTATCGTTCAAATTTTAAAAAATACATAAAGGAAATAGACATTCTTTGTAGGCCCGTATTACTTATTTTCCTTAAAACATTTATATCGAATTAATAATAGTAGTACATTTAAGTCTCTACGTTACAGTGGCTCCATTTCAATTCAATTTTTTTTTTTTTTTTTTGTGGCTACAGAATTTTAATTCAAATGTTTTTGTCGTTTTCACAAGAATCCGAACCTTGAACCGTATAAGATTTTGACAAACCACATAAATTCTAAACCATTAGATCAACATGAATTCAATATTGTTAAAAAAAAAAACATGAATTCAATATATATTTATTTCCATATATTAATATTCAATAATTTTCTATGGAATAGAGGTACTGTATATTGAAAACATTTCAAGAAAATTTTAATTGACAAGGGTGTGTGAGGTATCATATTTTTTTTAATAATCTGACTCGCTCGTTTTTACATATGCAAATAAATTCAAACAAATAATTGTATGTTACTTAAAGAGTGTTCAAATGACAATGTTGCAACAACATGACCTTTAATTGCATTCCACTTTAATTCCATTCCAATTCACCAACCGGTCCTTTTTTAGTTCTAACCGCAACTTAATATATTTTGTTTTCTACAAAATAACAAAAGTTTAAATGATTTGATGTTAACGAGTTTGATTGTCGGTAAAACATTGAGGAGCACATGAGAACAAAGATTAGCGAATTAGAATGCAATATCCCACTTTTTCGAGGGAAGTAACTCTAAACATCTTAGATGGCACAAATGACATAGGCTGGGGCTAGGGAGGTATTGTTAGATATCTTACATTGTATATGAATGAGTCTACTAATGTCTTACAAAATCACACATATATGTTAGCTTTTAAGGTCTTCTGTGCTGGACTTGAATTCATTACAAAGAAGGTATCTTCTGTTATAGCCGTTTGTTTCCTTAGCAAGAAACCGAACCACTTCCCTTTTTTTTTTGGTTTGAAAGAAAGAGAGAAAAAAGTGTGAACTGCTGATTAGTAGTTTTGATGTTTTTCAATTGTTAATAAATGATTTTCTATTATAAGAAACCTTAGTTGTAAATCTTTGAATTCGAAATCTCCTTGGTTTTGCTTAATCATTTACTCTCTATCTACTACAAGTAAGTCTACAAGTTACAAAACCTTCTGTTTCCCTAATAAACCTTTAGCCGTTCGAATTTGTGACTGAACTAATACTGGAATTAATGGTGGAGTTTGGAAAATAAGACAGACAGACTCTGGTATGAAATTCGTTCCGAATTGGTAATTACGATTTCACCACCCCGCCGGTCAACAAAATGGGACCAAATTTCTCGAGATACACATGTGGGTGGTCAGAACCGAATGGTCTTTCGGTTCTGAAATTGTTTTCTAGTCCTTCGATTATATAGGTTTTACCAATCTGATTACGTGGAATGACTATTTTACCCTTGAATCCTTTTCTACTTTTTCTTCTCCCTTTCCTACCTTAGTCCTCGTTTTGTTGTTGTTAAGTCATCTTAGATCTGTAGTTTTTTCGCGACAGCCCATAAATTTCTCTGATAAGACGGTCGATCGGATCGAATCTAATCGAATCGAGGGTTTAGGGTAAGAGACATGGCGCAGCAATCGTTGATCTACAGCTTCGTCGCTCGCGGCACGGTGATCCTCGTCGAGTTCACTGATTTCAAAGGTAATTTCACCTCCATCGCCGCTCAGTGCCTCCAGAAGCTCCCGTCTTCGAACAACAAGTTCACCTACAACTGCGACGGTCACACGTTCAACTACCTCGTCGAAGATGGATTCAGTAAGTGAACATTCTTCGATCTATTACACAGCTTTTTGAATATTATCCTTTACGTTTTACACCACTCGGTGCTTGCCTCGATTTCTGTCTAGGTTTCTTCGGTTCGTCTCGTTTTTTGTCTGTTCACTGTGTATCTGCCTAACGTACGCGCTAGTTACTTATTGATTCGTGTCGATTTGTGCAATTTAGAGCATTCTGATTCCTCTCACTAGCCGATTGTACCAAGCTTTTAGGGTTAGATCTATGTCTATCAAATGCAATAGATACCTGTACTTTTTTCAGATATTGGTTACTCAGTTTTCGATGGATCCGTGGTATTTCGGGTTGGAAGAACACCAACATATTGTTGATCTGGGAGATGTTTTTTACTGGTTGCTTGATTTGCATAACTTATTTGCTTATTGTTTCTTTGGTCATGGTTGCTTGATCCTTTGGTTGTAGCCATATCAATTTCGTATTCCGTTGTATCCGCTATATGAGATTAATTACGTTATTTGTTGTTGCAGCCTATTGTGTTGTTGCGGTTGATTCTGCCGGGAGGCAGATCCCGATGGCGTTTCTGGAAAGAGTGAAAGAGGACTTTAACAAGAGATACGGTGGGGGAAAGGCTGCAACTGCTCAAGCAAACAGCTTGAATAAAGAGTTTGGGTACGTTTTGCTGCATCTCTTCTTCTTCCTGCTACTTTGGAATTTAATACACTTGAACTGACTCTTTCTTTTTGATTACTTTTCAAGCTCTAAGCTGAAAGAGCACATGCAGTATTGTATCGATCATCCAGATGAGATTAGCAAGCTCGCTAAGGTGAAGGCGCAAGTGTCTGAAGTTAAGGGTGTTATGATGGAAAACATCGAGAAGGTTTGAGATTCTGATCCCTTTTCTTCTGTTTCTTTCGATAAATCATAATGATAAAACAGTTTCCACTTTGCATTTCTGAAAGAGTAATACCAAATTACTGAAGGAACTCAAATCATTTGCAGGTTCTTGACCGTGGTGAGAAAATTGAGCTTTTGGTGGACAAAACTGAGAACCTCCGCTCACAGGTTAGACTCTCATGCAATTATATGTTAATGTCTACAATCACACACACATACAGACCTGAAGCTGGTTCACCATACTGTGTGTTTGATTAAAGCTCTCAAACTGCTACAGGCACAAGACTTCAGAACAACGGGGACGCAGATGAGAAGAAAGATGTGGCTTCAGAACATGAAGATAAAACTCATAGTCCTCGCCATCATTATCGCACTGATTCTCATCATCGTGCTCTCAGTCTGCCACGGCTTCAAGTGCTAAAGCCCAGGAAATTCGAAACCCTCTGAGATCTTTCTCACTCGCCGTTTCTTTTATTGTTCTATCATCATTCTAATGTTTCTGCTTGAATTGGTTTTGTATAGATAGACATATATGTATGCTACACATTTGCTATATTGCTTGCACCTGATGACATTTTGATCCCTTGAGGACCAGTATTTTGCCAAGCGATCGAAAACTATTAAATGATTTTGTCCACTGATGATTGTATGGTGATGATGATAATAAGTTGACAATGAGGATGATGATTTTGTCTTAAAAAGCCAAGTGATATATGAAAATTAATAGACTGCTTCACACGGTCTTAGTATATTTATGTTTCAAATTAAACCACTCCAGGACACAAATTTGATTTCTTTGTAATGTAAACTAGTTCGGAAGACCAAAATTATCAATATCAATATTAACTTGGAGAACACAAATTTGATTTCTTCATAACCATTGTGATATATACCAGAGAAATGGGCCGAGAAAGTTACGGGCCGAGAAACCTACACTTTGAGGTTCTGCTGCGACATCTTTCCCGCTAAAAACCCTTTCTCATTCCCGCTCAAGCTCACCACGAGATTCCGATTTGCCAGTTCTGTTCTCCGCACTCCGGTCCCCACAAAATTCCGATCCGTTCGACCATATCAGATAATGGATTTCGATATCCCATCGCCAGGGGAGCTTGAGCGTCTCGAAGCCAACGAAGAAGAAGATGACTACCTATACTTTGAGGAGGCGCCGTATCCTTACCCAATCGACGGCGATGAAGAAAATGAGGAAGAGAAAGAGCCTAGTTTCCGACAATCGGAATCTCCTGATATCAATGGTTGTAAACGACCCAGGAGTCTATTGTCCGATCCGATTATCAATCTCGATGAAGTCTCTCCAGCTTCTGAGAAGAGGAGCAAAATTGATGATAATCGGGTAGAAATGGAAGACGAAGACTGGTTACGATTCTCGCCGGTTAAGGAAGCCGTCCGTGTAATGGAGGAAGAAGAAGAAGTCGTTCCCCAGGAGACTATTTTGTCCAGGTTACTCCTGCTCACTAGACATATCGACTTGGAAATTTTGATTTCTTTTTAGTAATCTCGTAATTGGAATCTTCAGATACGCTTCTGAGATAGACGGGGAATGCTTTCCGATCACGGCACCGGACGGAGGAGAGAGGGTTTATGCAAAATTCTGCCGAGCTTTGGGAGATGAAGAGGTGAAGAAATTGGATATGAAGGCCAAGTCTAACGGTATGAAGTTTTTAATTAAGCTTTATCTGTTCCGAAATTGTCTTTTTGAAGTTCAATCTCTGCCTGTATATTCTAAGATTGTTTTTTCGTAGTGTAGCTTAAATGAATTTGGTTTGTGTACCATCGCTTTCTTTCTTGTTATACTTTTGTTAGGAGTTGAGGAAAAGATGGATAGGTTAAGACCAGTGTTACTTTAGAGTATGTTATTTGGTTGTCTTAGCTGTGTATGCGAGAACTTCACTGTGGACTAGGTTTCTCACTCCATTCGTTGTCTTTATGGAGTCATACCATCTTCTGGCAAGAACTCTTTTTTCTCTCGGAAGTTATAGTTTTAGCATTCATTATCTTTTGCAGGTCTTATCAAAGATCCCATCAGTGTTCTTCTGCAACAATCAGAGAAAGAGGCATTCAACAAGGTAAGTGTCTTTGTTAGTTTTAATTTGCAGAAAACTGGTGTCAGTTTCAGACTTTTCTTCTTTCTTGTATCGTCTATGGTAAAGCATTCATTATTTGTTGATAGCTCTGTCGCCTCCTAAGTGGTATGTGTTTTCTTTTTGACATTGAAGGTCTTGCAAGCTAGTTCCGAAGATCAAAATGAAACTATTACCGCAGAAACACCTATAATGCATGAAAAGCTCTGGGTGGACAAATATTCTCCGAGCTCATTTACTGAGCTTCTCAGTGATGAGCAGACCAATCGAGAGGTATTTTGCATTTATTGGTAAAGATTATGGTAAATTAGATGAATCAAGAATCAGTAGGATGATCTTAGAGCAGCGTCTGAGTTGATGTTTTAAATGTTATTTGCAGGTTCTGTTATGGCTTAAGCAGTGGGATGCTTCTGTTTTTGGATCTGAAATTAGGAGCACGACAGATGAAGTTTTGTCAGCTTTGAAACGACATTCTACAACAACTCATCGTCAAAAATCAGACTCAGCTTTCACAAGGAAAAATCATTTGAATAGATGGACTAAGGAAAGTTCTACATATCCTAAAAATTCAGAAGTGAGCAATAGCAACACAACAGATAATCATGACTCGTGGAACAAAAAATCAAAACTTATTGGTCCTCCGGAGCAAAAGGTGTGATAAACTGATTTAGATTTCAAACATTGTATTTTTATTTAAATAAGCTGTTTGTCGTTGTCTTGTACTAAAATAATTAGTGTGCACCGGTCGTATAAATTTAGTTTTCACTGCTGTTGTAGATCCTTCTGCTTTGTGGTGCCCCAGGGCTTGGGAAGACTACGCTTGCTCATGTTGCAGCAAAGCATTGTGGATATCGCGTTGTTGAGGTAGTCTTGTATACGCTTTACTTTCCGCTAGTTAATTTCTTGACTTATTTATCTTATGGTTTTGCATGCTGGATTTTTGTTTATGTCCATGTTATCATTCCTTAACAAAATGATTCTTCATTACTTGTGTTGCTGCAACGTTTATGTATGTGCATGTTTCTTATTCTTCTGTTCTTGTGTATTCGGTTTAATTCAACCCTTGTTTTCAGATCAATGCTAGTGACGAGAGATCAGCAGCAGCCATTGAAACTAGAATTCTTGATGTAGTTCAGATGAACTCTGTTACAGCTGATTCTAGACCTAAATGTTTGGTAAGCTACTTACTCTATGTTCGCTGGAGACCTTATTCAGTCATGTCAAATTTAATTACTCGGAGCTGCCTGAAGTAGAAGAGACTGACCGTTATTTATGTAGGTGATAGATGAGATAGATGGAGCTCTTGGTGATGGAAAAGGAGCAGTAGATGTTATTCTAAAAATGGTATGTATGTGCATGCTTGTACTGCGATGCTAGTCACTTGGGGCTCTGAAATTTGGGTTAAGTTTTGCAAATACTGACTATTAACTCTTTGTTCGGTTTACCCTTATAAGAAATATTTTAGGTTAAATTTTCTCTCCTAACCAGTCTCAGCAACTGCAAGAAGGTTTTTTTTGTTACTCCTATCATACATTGCTAGCCCTAACCTCCTTTGATTATCTTAATCGTTTCTTGAATTTTTATTATTCTCTTACATTTTGCTTGAAGTGTTGAATTAATTCGGGAATAACTATGTCATAGCATTTGTTAGTATTTAAATGTATCTTCGCTACATAGGTATTGGCTGAAAGGAAGCATGCTACAGGCAAGGAGAATATTGATAATGGGAAGACTTCCTCGAAGAAGGAGCGGAAAACAGCACCACTATCAAGACCTGTCATTTGTATATGTAATGACTTATATGCACCAGCTCTTAGACCTCTGCGACAAATAGCAAAGTAAGTTCGACTTCTTGTTTCACTTGGAGGGTCTTTTTTTTCCTGTTTGTTTGGCGAAGCTAGCACTATTTTAGGTACAGTACACTGCTTTCAAAATGTGTAATAGTCTTCGATACGCGTTGAGTATATATGCTTGTTAAATGCTCATTCTAGATAAACCCTCGCCTCTTAGTAAGATGATAAGCTCCTGTGCTTCTCTTGCAGGGTTCATATATTTGTTCAACCAACAGTGAGTCGTGTGGTTAACAGGTAACATAATTCTTACTTTTTTTGCGCGAGAGAAGATTTTTTAAAAAAATTTCATTTGTTTCATCCTGGTAAGGGTACAGTCATTGGTAATTTGTCAGTCCAACTGTCAGTCCCCTGTAAGACTAGTTTCCTCTCTGGGTTGAATGTCTGGAAATTAATCATTCCGCAAGATGTGATCGAATATGCAAAGACAGTACCTTAATGATTTTTATGTTGTATTAGAAACTGTGAACTATATTCAAATTAAATTCAATATGCTTCTCCACGACTTTATCTTTCAAGCAATTTCCTTACTATGCTGAAATGTGACAGGCTCAAGTATATTTGTAATATGGAGGGGATGACAACAAGATCATTCGGTCTTAGTGCACTTGCGGATTACACTGGTAACTTTATCCCTTCCCTTATGCTCGTTGTGCTCACTTTAGTTTGTGTTCTCAATCTGATATTTTGCCAGCGAGTTTGATCTCATATTATTCTTAATTGTTTAGAAACGAAATTAGTCGTGTATGTTCTTTCTAAATGATTCTGCTATTCTTTTGCCTTTTCTTTGGTGGTTACAGAATGCGACATACGCTCTTGCTTGAACACTCTTCAGTTTCTCAATAAGAAGAATGAAACCCTCAATGTGGTGAGTCTTTGATCCGCTTCTTGCTGGCTGTGTGTTTATCCACTTTTGATTTGATTAAGCAAACTCCAGAACTTCGTACCTTGCAGAAAGCGTTGACTCACTGAAAAAACTAGGTTTACTAGAGCATACACGTGAGAAGAAAAAACTGAGTGGTGTGCCTTGCCAACTGAAATTTAAAATGTCTTTTCTGGACCTATGAGCGCTTTTTCGCTGTTAAAAACCAATTGCTTATGTGTATAATGTGTTAATTCCGCACGTCTTGGTAGAAGCTCTAGCAATTTTACAACATTTTCTTAAGGCAGTTAAGCTTGCTATTTGATTTGCCATTCTTCGAGACTGAGCATTCTAATAAGTTAAACAATCGCCTCGTTATTTCTCTTGTAGATCGACATTGGTTCTCAAGTTGTTGGGCAGAAAGACATGTCAAAGAGTCTTTTTGATATCTGGAAAGAGGTAATGAAAGTACAATTAAGTGTCGTAGCTTGCTTTAGTTACAGATCCACCTCATATTAAATCCAAGCTTGCTTCTTCCTTTAGATATTCAACAAGAGAAAAATGAAACGAGAACGATCTACCGACCCTTCTGGCAGTGAGGCCAAAAAATTTGATTTCTTACACAGTCTTGTATCCAGTCGGTACGTACAAGACAATGATTTTCTCTTTCATATTTCGTAACTTTCCTTTACTCCTTTATGCTTAAGTAGTTCACTGAATGTGCAGAGGTGATTATGATTTGATTTTCGATGGTATACATGAAAACATTTTGAAGCTTCAATACCATGATCCAGTGATGGACAAGACAGTAAGGCTAATTAATAATTTCCAGTGAGCTGTGACTGTTTTGTTCTGTATGTTTTTGAGGTTATGTTCTGAAGTATTGTTATGTGCAATCCTGTTGACTCAAAGATTAGCTGCTTGGACTGTCTTGGAACTTCTGATTTGCTGCATCGATATATTATGCGCACCCAGCAAATGCCTCTCTACGGTAAAGCCTTTTACGCTCAGATGATTATTAAGTCATGTAAATAACACTGCTTGTTTTTGTGCCTTGTGATGCAGTTTATTTTCCTAGCCTGGTTATACCTATACACCGTCGAGTGGCCCAGATTCAGAGACCAACTATTGAGTGGCCTAAGTCATACCACAGGTGATTTTGGTGTCATCTTTCATTGATTTAGAAAGGTATTTTAAGCGTCTCTGCTTACAAGTACTTGAAATCTACCAGATGTCGGACGCTTTTGTTGGAAAAGCAGGAGTTCCTGCGGTCTTGGCACCACAAGATACCTCCATATATTGGGAGGCATTTGTCGGTCAAGTCTTTCGTAGAAGACTTTGTTTCCCCGCTATTGCATGTTCTTTCTCCCCCAAATCTTAGACCAGTATGTTTTGCTTACTCACTGATCCTTTCCCGGTTTACTCCAACATCCATTTTTTCATATATTCTACTGTTCTTCTAAGGATAACATCTTGCTACGCTCCTCAGGTGGCATCGCATTTGCTATCAGATGGGCAAAAGAACCAACTGGCGGGTTTGGTCATGCTTATGTGTTCTTATTCTGTGACCTATAAGAATGTGAAACCTGATCCTGCTCTGAGTAACCTCAGGGAGAATGCTGCTTCAGATGCTTCAGTTCTTGCTTTAGATCCACATCTATTTGATTTCATTAGTTTCAAGGTTTTATTTCTGCTTCTTTTTTTCTCTTAGAATCTAACATTTGCCTTTGGGGATAATACTCATCGTCTTTCCAACATTTGGCAGGGTCGCCAATTAAAACATCACGTACTCACCGTGGCAATGAAACAAGTGTTGGTACATGAAGTAAGTCTCGCATCTTCTAGGCTTTAGCTGAATGAAGTTCTTGATTGTCTGGTTTTCAAATAAAATGTTTGGAATACTCAGGTTGAGAAGCAAAAAATATTGCAAGCAAGTGGAGGGAGGTCCGGGATCTTGAACAAACCCGAAATTAAGAAAACAAATCAAGACTTTGCCAGAAAAACCACTTCTGCACCAAATGAGAGTCGCAGAAATCCATTTACTTCAAAACCTCCATCAGTCTCAGTTGAGAAAGTCACAATTTCAAAACCCATTTCTAGTGATGTGAAAAAGGCATCTCGCACCGCCCTTAGTTTCTTCGACAGGTACTTGGAGAGTGTTCTGTCGATTCTCTCAACTTGAACAATCTTTATATTTCATGCTTTTATCACTTTAGTGTCATGATGATTATATGCTAAAAGCATGGTTGTCTTGTACGAACAGGTTTAGGAAGTCGAGGAAAGATTATGAAGATCCAGAGGATGTACAGAAGCGAGCAACCGCAAAAAGAGATTCACGCCCTCTTCTCTTCAAGTTTAACGAGGTATGTCACAGCCCCAGCTTTGTTTCAACGAAGCCAAAAACTCCACGAAAGAATGATTCTAGAATAACCTTTAAAATGCAGACTTCAGGCCTAATTATAAATATTCAGGATTGTATGATCTCCCCACTGATGTGTGTATATTAAACTTACAGGGTTTCACAAATGCCGTGAAGAGACCGGTTAGAATGCGGGAGTTTCTACTGTGATTCACCAATGAAGGAAGTCTTATTAAATTGGTGCGGTACTTGCAGTTGCAATACTAAGCTTTAAAATGATTTACTTACTCTTTGGATCAAGTGTGAATGTAAATGTAGCAGTCAAAATTTGAGACGTGTACATATTTGCCAATGCGGAACATATTGCTATTTTGATTTTATCTTATTTACGTTCCACCATTTGTTACTGGAATGTAGTAGCAGAATCAGTCCAATTCCAAAATGCTTGAAGCAATAAAAGCTCAAAAGGGATAATGGGGTGAGAGAGGCTCGAACTCTCGACCTCAGGATCACTCAATAGCTATGAGACCTACGCGCTAGCCAACTGCGCCACCACCCCATTTTGATAAAATTATTATAACAAATTATAAGACCATGTAGTTTCTTAAGGGATGCCACCCCAAGATTCCTAGCATTTGGTATTTTGCCGGACAGAATTTCAAAAAATTAAATTAGGATTATGTGACCAAACAAACCAATTTCATTTATTTTAAATATTAAAAACGCGACTACAGTATCTGTTATAATGTTTATTTGTAGTAGCTAGTGACTTGTATAGTTTGTAAGAAGTCTCTGGCGAGGTTCCTTCTTCAAATGCATTATTGTTCTTCCACTTTCCGGAAGTTGCGGAGCTCATCCACACCGTCTCCTCTCTCAAACACCCCGGCTGCTCCCATTCCAGACCCTGCAAGGTTTCCCAAAACCATACCTCAGTGACAGAGTGAGATTGAGATTATGATTGAGATTGAGATTGAGAGTGGACATACCTATGCACATTGACACTACTCCAAAACGGCAGTCTTTACCACGACGTTTCATCTCGTGCAGCAGTGTTGCAACGCATCTTGCGCCTGTGAAAGTGTAACAGAGTCATGTTTGATCATAGGAGCTCCTTATTAACCATATGGGGACATGGAGGAAGCATACCTGTAGCGCCCAAGGGATGTCCAATGGCTATGGCCCCTCCATTGACATTGATCTTCTCCGGGTCTAGCCCCAGCTTATTCCGACAATAAACAAACTGAGATGCAAATGCCTAAACACACACACACACACACACTAGGCTTTTAGACAGGGGATATAAAGGCCTACAGAGGCAACTTGTGTAGAAAGAAGAGTTGTTCTATTATCTTTAACCTCGTTAATCTCAAACAAGTCGACGTCATCGAGTTCCAAACCAGCCGCCTTGACCGCAGCAGGGATCGCAGCAGCTGGCCCAACGCCCATTATCGCAGGGTCCACACCAACTGCAGCAAATGTCCTGCAATGTGTCCAAGACTTGATGAAATTGAAGAGCGGTCAATGTAAAGTATCAAACTTACCTGAATACACCAAGAATGGCAAGGCCTTTCTGCATTGCGACACTCCTCTTCATCAGGAGAACTGCTCCTGCACCATCACTTACTTGGCTAGAATTCCCTGTGTTGACACAAGTGATGCATTGAATTCGCAAAAAAAAAAGGATGGATCAAACAAACGATTTTCGCTGCAATGTGAACACAGTACCAGCAGTTGTGGTTCCATCTTTCTTAAACACGGGCTTCAGCTGCGCAAGGCCGGATAGGTTTGTGGTAGGTCGAATCCCATCATCCACAGAAACTGTTATGGGTTTCTCATCACCTGTCTTCGGGTCAACAAACTGAAATGTGAAAACCAAAAGCCATTAATTTGGGGAAAGAGGCACTTCCACGTTTGTCACCAGGTTGCAAAAACAGCGTCTACCTTGGTGTTCACGGGGATTATTTCATCCTTAAATTTACCGGAAGCAGTAGCAGAAGTGGCCTTCCTGTGCGAATCAACCTACACAATTGACTCCATAAACTAAGTCTGGCGGGTAACACATCAAGTGCATGAACTAGAACTGAGAAAGCTTAATTCGAGTTACAGCAGCTTGATCCTGCTCCTCCCTTGAGACACCAAACCGGTTTGCTACATTTTCCGAAGTAATTCCCATCGGAAGAAGGCAACTTTGTGCTTGTTCAAACGTCTTCACCTACAACAACATAATACGTTCTATTAGTGACATTCAATACACTCCATAAATGAGTGAGAGAGACAATAAAGACACAGTACCTTTGGGTTGACTGATCCTTTCCATCCCCTTGGACTGGTTGTCATGGACTCAAGCCCTGCCCCAATACCTGTATCCAACGTTATTGTCAGCTCAATTTATCTCATGACAAGAAAAGATAATTCATGTAACCAAAGACGGTTACTCTCTTACCAATGTCATAGAATCCTGCTTTTATGGCAGCAGCAACGTCAGCAACAGCCTGAAGTCCGGAGGCACACTGTCTGTTCACGGTTCTGATGGGAACAGTTTCTTCCAACAAGCATAAGAGCATAAGCATCAATCAAAGATTGTAGATTTAGCAAATTGCCATACTAAACAAGAAATCCTACCGGGGAAACCAGCATAGAAGGCAGCCATCCTGCACTCACTGGCCCTCTGAGATCCTGCTCCCAAAACAGTACCCACTACAATGTCACCAACTTCACTTGGGTTTACGTTTGTCTTCTCTATCAATGCCTGCCAAGAAGAAGCTACAACATATAAGTGCAGATTCGAAAATGGAAAAAAAAAAACCATAATCGAGGAAAACGTCGAGATATACTTTCAAAACAGCTGCAAGCAACTCGTCTGGATATGTATCCTTGAAGCTTCCACGTTTTGCCTTGCAAAGTGCAGTCCTTTGTGCACTGTCAGTTTTATTATCACACGAATCTTAGAGAAATAAGTTTCAACATTTTGTTTTTGCTTTTTGGGTACAATGCATTGAAGAAAACGAAATAATGAGAGAAAAAAAAGCACAAGAGAGAAGAAACTTAACGCGACAATGACAACGTCATCTCCATACTGAGATGTCCTCTGATATGCAGCACTGTCTCCCGCCAAGCAAGCTGAGGCCTTGTGACAAGGCAACATAAGAAGATATTAAGAGACGCATTTTTAAAAAAAGAATCGAACAAAATCACAAAAATCCGCCTTTATCGATCACAGCTTAGGAGAAGTGTACATTGATTCAGAGTAAGAAAAAACAAAGAGATAAGAAATCCCAAGCAATGGAATTCAGAGCAATTAGCGATCGGGAAATTCGGAAAGAGGCAAAAACAAAGATATGAAGAGAGATCAGAGTAGCTTACGGAGAGAGTGTGTGAGTGAGAGGAGGAAGAAGGTTGAAGATGGTGAAGCAGTACCCTCTGTCTCTCCACCGCTTTCTCCATCGCTAATTATTTTGGAAGAACAAATGAATTTGCTCAAAACGAAACTATCGAATTTGGACAAGAACCGTTGTTTGCTGATAGAAATGAAATTTTTTAGAAATTATTCTCCGGTTTAAAATAAATATCTGGTTAAGGCTGGGTTATATGGTTCAGGGTTTAGGCAAAACGAAACATCCGGTTTAGATGTAAAACGACACCGTTTATGATTAGGGTTTTAGGTCTGTGTCAGCTATATCTTGAATCTCTCCTCTTGATTACAGCCAGAAACACACAGTCGACCGTCATTTTTGCGACGGCTCGTTTCTCTTCTCAACCGACTTAAAGGCCGTCTTAGTGTGCCTAGAAGTCCACTTTTCGTTCGCGGTCTCCTTTTGTTTGATTATCGACGTAAGTCTCTGAATCTTTACATCCCCTTTGGTAGTTGAATTAAGTCTCTGCTTTCTGTATTCCTCTCGTTTGCCGTTGTGTCTCTTTGGCTTGGTCTCAGTTTTCAGTAAGAATTTTGATGCTTTTGTCTTTAGATTGATGTTCATGTTGATGGATTTTCGCATTTTATTTTCTCAAACGTGTGGATTTTAATTTTGTTGCTTTGTAAGTGTGTTTTCCTTGGATGGGTTTACGTTGGTGCAAAATACAAAGAAGAAACATCGTGACAGGCTTAGTGTGAAATTCATGTATATACAGTTTTATTAGAAAACTATATTTGATTTGTTTGCTGTCCTTGGCTGTTTAATCTACTCTTAACATAATGAATTTTGGTGATATTTTAATCCGGATTTGTATGATTTCTGCAGATCGATTAGCAAAAATGGTGCAATACAATTTCAAGAAGATCACGGTTGTTCCCAATGGGAAGCAGTTTATTGACATCATCCTTTCTCGGACTCAGCGCCAGACACCAACTGTTGTCCACAAGGGTTACAAGATTAACCGTCTGCGTCAGTTCTACATGAGGAAGGTTAAGTACACGCAGACAAACTTCCATGAGAAGCTCTCTACAATCATCGAAGAGTTCCCTCGCCTCGAGCAAATCCATCCTTTCTATGGAGATCTTCTTCACGTGCTGTACAACAAGGATCACTACAAGCTTGCGTTAGGCCAAGTGAATACCGCGAGGAACTTGATCAGCAAAATCGCCAAAGATTATGTGAAGCTACTCAAGTATGGTGATTCCTTGTACCGGTGCAAGTGTCTGAAAGTGGCTGCTCTTGGTCGTATGTGCACTGTTGTGAAGAGAATCACTCCTAGTTTGGCTTATCTCGAGCAGATCAGGCAGCACATGGCCAGGCTTCCTTCCATTGATCCCAACACTCGCACTGTCTTGATCTGTGGATACCCTAACGTGGGCAAGAGCTCTTTCATGAACAAAGTTACCAGAGCCGATGTTGATGTCCAGCCTTATGCTTTCACCACCAAGTCTCTCTTTGTTGGTCATACTGATTACGAGTACTTGAGGTATCAGGTCATTGACACCCCTGGGATTTTGGACAGACCTTTTGAGGACCGTAACATCATCGAAATGTGCAGTATCACAGCGTTGGCCCATCTTCGAGCTGCTGTTTTGTTCTTTCTGGACATTTCAGGATCATGTGGTTACACCATTGCACAGCAGGCTGCTCTTTTCCACAGCATAAAGTCCCTTTTTATGAACAAACCCTTGGTGATTGTCTGCAACAAGACTGATTTGATGCCCATGGAAAACATATCTGAAGAAGATCGGAAACTGGTTGAAGAGATGAAGGCTGAAGCGATGAAGACTGCTATGGGAGCAAGTGAAGAACAAGTGCTTTTGACGATGAGTACTCTGACGGAAGAGGGTGTGATGTCTGTTAAGAACGCTGCTTGTTCGAGGCTGTTAGATCAGAGGGTTGAGGCGAAGATGAAATCCAAAAAGATCAACGACCACTTGAACAAGTTCCATGTTGCGATGCCGAAGCCTCGTGATAACATAGAGAGGCTCCCTTGCATACCTCAGGCGATTCTGGATGCTAGAGCTAAGGAAGCTACTGAAATGGAGAAGCGTAAGACTGAGAAAGATTTGGAAGAGGAAAATGGTGGAGCTGGTGTTTATTCTGCTAGCTTAAGGAAGCACTACATCTTGAAGCATGACGAATGGAAGGATGACATTATGCCTGAGATTCTCGATGGTCACAATGTTGCTGATTTCATTGATCCAGACATTTTGTTGAGGCTTGAGGAGTTGGAACGTGAAGAAGAATTAAGGCTGGCTGAGGTTGCAGAAGATGAAATCGAGACGGACGGGGAAGAGCTTTCGGTGGAGCAGAAAAACCAGCTTGCTGCCATTAGAAAGAAGAAAGCTTGTCTCATCCGAGAGCACAGGCTCAAGAAGACGGTTGCACAAAACAGATCAACTGTCCCAAGAAAGTTTGACAAGGACAAGAAGTATACAACTAAGAGAATGGGTAGGGAACTATCAGCTCTGGGACTTGATCCGTCTTCTGCAGTGGACCGTGCAAGAAGCAAGTCTAGAGGGAGAAAGAGGGATCGATCAGAAGATAGAGGTAATGATGCAATGGATGTGGATGATGAGGAACAGGCTAACAAGAAGCAGCGTGTGAGATCGAAATCAAGGTCTATGTCGATATCGAGATCAATGTCAAGGCCTCCTGCACATGAAGTTGTGCCTGGTGATGGATTCAAAGACTCTACTCAGAAGAAAGCGGCCCTCAAGATTGGCAACACGTCTCACAAAAAGAGAGACAAGAATGCACGTAAAGGTGAAGCTGATAGAACTATACCGACTCTCAGACCGAAGCACTTGTTCTCTGGGAAGAGAGGGAAAGGAAAAACGGATAGGCGTTGATGAAACCAAACGAGGTAAACTTTTTGACAAATTTTATTTTTCTCTTACAAAAACGTTTGCTTGTTTTGTTCTGCTACCAATTTGAAATTTTGTCGGCCTTGAAATTGAAATATGCATTAGAATGGCAATTGTGTGCAGCAACGTCTTGACTTTAATATTATTCTTATTTATTTATTGTTCTCACAGGGAAAAGAGATGCTGGATCGATTGAAGAATGTTTTTCAAGTTTTGGACTTTGCGTTACCTTTTTGTTTACAATTATTATGTTATGCATCTTTGGTGGTTTTTCTTGAGACATTATACATGCAACATTGTGGCTTCTGCGACCAATGTGTTTCGAGGACTAAGAATCGTTTAAGCAAACGTTTGAATGGCTTTTATATTTTATTTAAGGTTTTAATGTTCCTTTTTACTGTTGTTGATACTTGCAATGACCTGATTGTTTCTGAGGATCGTAGGAAGTTTAGAACCAAATTGCTAAGTCAAAACGCCAGTTTTTGACGAACAGTGTAAATGTTCTGATTATTCTGTTTAGCCAAGCCCCACTTAATCTTGTTACAAAATATTTTCTTTTTGGTGAGGAAAATATATTCCTTACAAATTAGAAAGAAGAAAAGAAAAAATGGTGTATTCTTTACACAATAGACCCTCAACTTTTCTCGGTATACAACTTTTACCTGAACCGGTAAATGCCTGCTCAATACTAATTTACAAACTCTGCAGCACATAACAAAAAGAATCAAGAATCAAGACTCATTCATGTACTCTGACATAACTTACGTTTGATTTCTTCGTATAAGAGAGCTTTCAGGTTCGTCGTTTGGGTTGCAAGGCAACAGTCATGGACCGGAGCCGATCAACAATCTCCGTGAACGATGGTCGTACTCCGGGATCGAACGACCAACATTGCTCCATCAACTTCCTCCACTCTGCTTCACACCTTTCTGGTACCGGAGGTCTCAACGTATTGTTCACAATTCCACCTTTTTTTTTATCAAACAAAGACATTATCATAATTATATCAAAAACCAAACCTCAATCCGATCCAAGTTTTATCTTTTTGTTTAAATACTGTTTCTACTATAAACATACCGATGATGGCACCGCAATGCAGATTCGCATAGGGTTCTTCGCCTGTCAAAATCTCCCACATCGTGATACCAAATGAGAAAACATCAACCTGCAAAAACATGTCAAGATTTAAAGTTTTCTTCTTATGATGAAGACTGACTCAAGTTTTGATTCTCAAAAACGTACTTTCTCTGAGACGCGATTGCTGCTCCCATTTAGCAGCTCTGGTGCCATCCATGGAAGTGTTCCTCTTACTCCACCAGACACAAGCGTGTTTCGTTTTATCCTCGACAATCCAAAATCACCAACCTGTACGAAAAGAAAAAACACTGCTAAAGTGAGATTGCAAAAAGACAATTTTGAATGGCCTGATTTGGGGGGAAAAAAGGTTTTACCTTGCAAATGGGTCGTTGTGGATCCCTCAAGTTTACAAGCAAGTTATCGCATTTAAGATCAAAATGAACAATATTCTTCATATGTAAATACTCCATCCCAAATGCAGCATCTAGAGTTATCATCATCCTTTTGCGCCTATCAAGCGATCTGTGCAAATCATTTTCCATCAGTAAAGTAATGATGTCATATACAATATCGGAAAAGTCCTAACGAATAATGTACCTGTCTTTTCTCTGCAGGACATGTCTCAAAGATCCGTTCACCATATACTCTGTAACTGTTGCCATTGTTCCACCAGGTCCATCTGGTACAACTCCATAAAAGGCCACCACATTTGGATGGTGTAGATTCGCCAATATCCGAGCTTCTCTCCAGAAATCTTTCGTCTGTTTCAAAAGAGAAACATTTGATTAATACATCGGTGAAGCAAATCGTGGTACTGAAATTCGATTAAAAAGGTACAAATACTCAAGAGAAGAGCTAAACCTGTCGTGCTTGCTCAGATGATCCACCAGAGAAACAGCTATTCTTTATCCTCTTGATAGCAACATCTGTTCCTCTCCACTTCCCATAGTAAACAGTTCCAAACGTACCCGATCCTAGCTCGTGTAAGTCTTCAAGATCAGTGTTTTTTATTATCTGTAAGCCATAGATTCCAGCTTCTATCTCAACCATGGATGCTTCGCTGAATGATTCATCAGTGTTTCTGCTTTTCTTGTTCTTTTCCTGCGATGTAATAAACAGACCAGAGTCATAAACCACAAACTCACAGACACACCACGAAAACCAGTAAAATAAATTGCGTACCTCCGTTGCTGATTCATGACCAGCATTTGTAATCTCTTCCTCCCTTGTGTAAGATCTGTGATCATCATCTGACTCATTATGTACATGAGGGACAATAGTAGCTGACAAGAGATCATCTGAGTTTTCATCGTTCGTAACATCCTCAACCATCAACTGTGGAGCAAGCAGATTGTGTCTGAAGAAATCATCCGAATCCTGTGTGTGCATGAAAGCAGCATCTCTACTTCCCACTTTCCTAAGTGGCATTCCGCAATAGTGAAAACTCTCTTCTTTAGGAAGAGAATTCTGAATTTCTGAATCATCATTATTTGTCTCCAAATCCTGATCATGGTTTGAGGAAAAAACAAACTTAGACAAGCAAACAAAATTGTTAGCTTTACGCAAGGAATGAGGTAAACTACGCTTACACATCTCGGAATCATAGGCTCCTGTATCAGAAATTCCACTGGGAGATTGTTGTTGGATGAAGAGTAATCTTCTTGATCACTTGACTTGGTTGTATTACACAGTTGATCTGTAAGTGAAGTGTCGCCTCTGATGAGAATATCTAGTGATACGTCTTGCTGGAAACCATTTGATCTGTTCCTCGAACCATCATGATGATTCTCGATGGTGTTGACTGATAGAGAGAATACTGAGCTTCCTGAATCTTGTGAATCACTTGATGTAATCTGAGCAGCTGGTTGATAATTCGGACTGAAATAACTAGTATTGTTGCTACCACCGTGTTTCTTCGATGCCTGATCAAAAGAACCAGGACTATTAGCAACTTCTGCGTTGAGCTCGAGCTCCTTACTCCTGCTGCCTTCTGGATTCTTCTTGAAATAGATATCGTCCCTATCGTCCCACTTTGACATAGCCACAACATGCAATTTATTTCTCAGTATCTTCCATGGTTGTCTGGTAAATGCTTCTAACCCATTGTTGATTTGGCTCTCATCATGCAGCTGTGGATCAGAAAGAGCGTTTTTCTTAAGCGTCACTTTCTCGGGCCCGGAATACGCTTGACCATGTGGGTAGATATCGTCGCTTGGCCTCCGGTCATGGAGATTCATGTTTGGATGCTTCTGCGTTTGTGTAGTAGTCTCAAACAAGAACCTGTGTTGCTGCGGGAAGTTTGGAGCAACCATGTAAGGGCGACTGCTGTTGTCCAAGAAACCATTTTGATCGACCATGTAAGGAAGGTCGGTATTAGCTCTCTTGTGAACAGAAAAGGGAGATGACGGAGGAGATTGTGGGCCAAATGAGTTACTCGGCATCTGCATTTTCGGCATGAAATGAACAGCGTTCGCGTTCGCGTATGGATTCATGAAGGTTGGACTGTTGCAGTCTTTGTTTTCCCATGTGTGAACAGAAGTAGGCGAGTCTCGAAGATGAAAGGTAGGGCTAAACTCTGAAGCATTCCCAAACTGCGTTGTTTGACTTGTCCCGCTTTGCCCGCTGGAACTCTTTTGAGGACTCACGTCCACAACACCATTCAGAGCTGAAACGTAATGGTAATGGTCGATATCCGTCTGCTGGTGTGCGTTTCGGTTTATGTTCATATTCCTTTCATTGAATATTTTAGGACTCTCTGATGATCCTGTTGAAGATAGAAGAAAGACCCTTATCCTCTGAGATCCAGCCTTTGTTTCAGCTTCTTGATACTCTTCGATCATATGAAGAAGATCCTCATCTGAGCAAACAGATATTAGTGCGTCGAGATCTTCTCCTGGTAACTGATACTTGATTGTGTGCGGATGGTTGCACAAAGCGTAGGTCTTGTGCATCAGTTCGTTCAATCCAACATGTTTACGTATTGAGATGATCCGAGTCTCGCCTCCAATGTACCTAAGCTTCCCATCACCAGGTCGCTGTAAGATCCTTCCCCCGAAACTACAAAGAAGCTTCAATATTTCCGGCAGATAAACATCTGAGGCTGCAGTCATCCGAGGTGAGTTGGCAGAATTTGCTTCAGATAAGTATCCGTTGGAGGGATTCATACCTTCTGACATGTTGGAATCAACTCTTTGAAGACCAAGGATTCTGTTGAAGTCTTCATAGACAAGATGTCGGTTATTATGATTGGCCTCAAGATTCCTGTTAACGACCTGTGCTCTTCGTTGAGCACCAAAATCCCTCAAAAACTCGTTTGAAAACTCCTCTCCTGTCTGAGAGCAGATATTGTCGTCACGCGTGTTATTACCACAACCGGTTTCCCCATTGAACCTATCTCTACCTAACTGCTGATTGGAGCTGCCAGGAAACTCCATTCTCATGTTCTCAAGAACCAACAAAAAGAAGGGAAAGAGAGAACGATGACCAAAAAAGGCTTATTCTTTCTTCTGCACAATCTCTTGTATCACAGATTTTGAGGAACTAATTTGTATTCTCCTTCCTCCCCAATTTAACCCAATAAAAAGGATTTCTTTGAGGAATTATCATACCCACAACCAATTTTCCTCATCATCAAATCTCCAATGAACATCCTCAGGGTACATTGCTACAAGATCAGAGATTCATCCTCATTCGAACGTGTTGGACATCTTAGATTTCGAATAATGAAATCCCCCTGCATAACAAACAACAACAAATGAGAAACTAAGATTTCTTCAATGTAATTTATTTTTTGTTTTCTCTGCAAATCATTTGTATAGGATTAAAGATAAAACCAAATGTGTTGAAAACGAATTGTAAAAACTGAAGCTTGAGATCAATTTCAATTACCTGGGAAAATGGCCAAAGACGAAGGAATGAGAATGAGATTTAACAATGAAGGAGAACGAAAACAATGAAAGATGAGATTTTTGGGTTAAAGAGAAGAATGTTTCTGGAAACTGGAAAAAATGAGAAAAGAGGATTGGAGTTTTTCGAAAGTTGAGGTTTTTGATTTGAGGGAGAGAGAGAGAGAGACGCAGAGAAGCGCTCTCAAAATAAACGCGGGTGGGACAAACTCCAAAAACTAACTTTCTGTCTCGAAAATCTCTCTTTTATTTTTTCTATAAGATTATATACTAATATTCTAGATTATGGTTTTATTCGTTTCACTTCTACTCTGAAATCATCTATCTATTGATAATTATAAATCCGGATTTCATTTGAGTTTTTTCAAATAGTAAATTCATAAATTGCATGTGAAGGTTTTGGAGGGGGACGTCTCTTTTTTAATCTATTTCTTGCTTTTTTTAGGCAATTCTAGAAACTTTATTTACTGATATCTTAGTTTTGTAACTAATTAAAACAGAAAATCCAAAATTAGTTTTTTAAAATCTTAATTAACAGAATCGTATCCCCCAAAAAAAAATCAAAATTGTATAGAATGTCTGTGAGAAGAGAAATCAGAAATGTCTGTGCATGTACGTTTTAAAAATTAAACAAGTACCAAAAAGTAAACTATACATTAACACATGGTGCAGACATTATGGTGTGCACGTTCAGCATTACACATTTTCATCAAATCTTCAACTATATCTTCGATGTTTTTGTAAAATAAACTTGTATAAATTATATATAATAACATATCATCCCCCTTGGACTATATATTTAAATAAACTAAGAACATTTACTCCCAGATGTTCATTAATGCCAACTCTAATTTGGGAAGAAATAGGCCAAAAAATTTAGATAACCAAAAACAAAAATAAATAACACTTTAGCTTTAATCTTAACAAACCGTTTGATGAGCTTTTTAATATACTACTGACCTCGTGACATTGCAACTACAAGAACCAAATTTGAAGTTTCACTAACAATAGACCGTTTTAAAAGTTGAAACAACAGAAAAAGAAAAAAGAAAAAAAAAAGAGAGAGAGAAAACACACATTACTCTATCTGTCTCGAGTCTCAATATGCGTGAGAACAAACAAAGCCAAGACGAGACAACATCCAAGAACAAACATCATAGAGCTCCAAATGGTTTCTTTTTCCCAGCAACAACAACCTTCTGAAACCGATCGAATAGGGAAGAGATATATGGGGATATGGTTTTACCGGTAAGATTCAGGACGTTTCGGTTTGCTCTGTATCACTTGCTCGATCTTGTCTAGAACATGTGGTGTCAACAATGGGATAACATCAACAGCTTTCATGTTTTCTTGAATCTGTATAGGAACAACAAAGAAAACAAAATAATATTTCAAATCTTGGATTGAGATCTAGACTGACATTTCCTATGTTCCTATACGAGAACCGCAAGGCTCAATAAGAGAACGTGGGTTGAAAGAAGTAACCTGTGACTCCCTTGTGGCACCGGTGATAACGGATGACACATTAGGATTTGAAGCACACCATGCGATTGCAAGCTGAGCCAAGGTTACACCTAGCTCATCTGCAATCGGTTTGAGACCGCTAACTTTCTTCAGCACGTCATCCACAAGTGATCTATTGGCAAGGTTCTGCAAGAGTATTTCAACCAGTAGATTATTAAATGCAGAAGCAGAGAGAGAGAGAGAGAGAGAGGTCATCACGATTATTATGACCAAGAAGAAGAAAAAGGAAATACTTTGTAGTTCTCCAATGCAAATCGGCTGTCCGAGGGAATAGCTCCCTTGTTGTATTTACCAGTGAGCACACCCGACGCAAGTGGGCTCCAAGTAGTGAGGCCTATGCCATGATTGGTATACAGAGGAAGAAACTCTGACTCAACCTACATCACATGAGAGCACAACTTGAGACAGAACAAGGCAAGAGAAGACGCCAAGATGAAAGTAAAGTGGAGAAGAAGAGTGTTAGGTTACGAACTTTGTGCCTAGCGAACATGTTGTATTCAGGCTGTTCGACGATTGGACCGACCAAATCCAGCCTCTCTGCAGCTCCCCATGCCTCTGTGATTTGTTGAGCTGACCATTCACTTGTTCCCCAGTAGAATGCCCAACCCTTATCAATCACGTAGTTCATCGCCCTCACAGTCTCTTCGATAGGAGTTGAAGAATCGGGCCTGTGACAGATGATGACCCAATACACAAAGAAAAACAAATTTCATATACATGTATGAGAAGCTAGTGGCATTAGAGATCAATGCAAAGATGTCCACTTTCTGAATATTATGTTCACAAAGATAGGAAAATGCAGATCCGGATAATCAGCACCAACGAGTCAAGTAATCAAATGAAAAACCAAAGTTTAAACCAACAGATCCACTATATATACCAAAAGTGCTACAACTTAAGTCATGATGAAGTTGATTACAAGACATACTAATCTCTCAAACAGCAATCCGTTTCCCAAAAATGTAAGAAAAACAAATTAATTGAAACAGCAATCCGTTTCCCAAAAGATGTAGAGATCCGTACTAGAAAGCAAAAGCACATGCAAGAAACGTTTAGCCTCAAAATCTCGAAAATTAAATGCGCAGACAACATAGTACAGAAGAAATTTTTTAGATAAAAGCCTAACAGTCACATCATATCAAATTACAACCCTAGATCTTCAAAGAAGTAGAAAAATCATTAAAGAAACCCACAGAGATTTCACCTGTGGCAATAGAGCACATCGACGTAGTCCATATCGAGCCTTTTGAGAGAAGATTTGGTTCCTTCAACGATATGCTTCCTCGATAAACCTTTGTCGTTGGGACCAGGACCACCCCAGAAGATCTTGGTGGATACGACGATGTCGGATCGGCGCCAACCCAGCTCACGAATCGCCTGACCCATAATCTCCTCGGCGCGACCATTTGCGTAAACCTCGGCGTTGTCGAAGAAATTGACTCCGTTGTCCCGACAACACTGAAGAATCGACTTGGCTTCTTTCACATCGAGCTGGTTCCCAAACGTAACCCACGCTCCGAAAGAGAGCGTGCTCACCTTCAATCCCGATTTCCCCAAATTCTTGTACTGCATTTTTGCGGCTATCGACACAAATCTGTTGATCTAATCTCTCTCTCTCTCTCTAGCTCTCGTTCTCAAGAAAATGAACAAAGATCAGACAATAACTACTTTATTACCGATAACAACAAGTGACACTAAGAAAAAGTACAATATGCTACCGGTTTGGTTTAATTTTCCGGTTCTCACGATATCCAAACGTTTCTAATAACAAAATTCGAATCAGTTCTATAGCTCGTACGAAATCGAATGTGAAAATTTTCACTCAAGGCTTGGCTAATTCAACATTCGAAGAGTATTTTACACAACATCCGGTAAGAAAGAATGTGCCGAACCATACCGGACTTTGATAAACTGGCTGTTGTACGGTATTATCCGGTCTGTGGGCATTCCGGTTTAGTGACAATTTGTATAAAAACGATGTGGTTTTATATAAATCGTGATCTCGTCGTACTGCAGTGTGCAGAACAAAACAAAATAAAGATGATGATGATCTCGTACTTTTTGTGAAAACGGATAGAAGTCTAGAAGAGAAGATTTGTTGGCTCTTAATGGGCCAAAGAATCCTATGTGAGTGACTTCAATCTAATCTCTATGTATCGACCAATCAAATGCGAACCACGTGTCCTTTCTTTAAAAAATTAGTTGCTCATTGATTGGAGAGTTGTGCTGTATTGGGAGAGCTTCGCCGTATACGAATAAAAACCAAGTCACTGTCACGTGGAATGTTCAGTCACTCCAGTTGGGAATATTTTCGCTCCTTCACGTTCACACCGTTTAGAAAATTGCATTTTTAATTCTTTTTTCCAAGTTATATGTTGGGCTTTTATTTCTGTATAGGCTTTAAAAGGCCCATTATTATTTTGCTATCTACACATTGTTTGAGAACTAGTAGATAGCAAAATAATAATGGGCCTATAAAGAAAATGTAAAGATTTGGTAATAATGTTTGAGAATCAAGAATATAATTATGAGTAGATATTAGGTAGAGGCGTAGAGCTTATGTAATTAAATTTATTTGGTAATGAATGGGTTGGGGAAACATATTGAATTTGCCATGTGAGTGTGGGGTTTTGCTTCGTAACCATCTAAAAGAAAATTCAAGTTTTATTGGCCACCAATAAAAAAAAAAGAAGACAAAGATTGAACAGTTCGCCAAAATCTCCCACCAAGAGGGTTGACATTTTTTCTGTATTAATTTCTTCGTACCTTATCAAGTCCTAATTTAGCTTTTATGGCCCTTTTCTTCAATGTACCCTAGTACTAATCATTTTTACGAGTTATATATATCTGACACTATTTTTTTATATTATTTATATTATCTTACTGCAATGATATTTTACTGTCTAAAATAAATGAATTTAATAATTTGCAGAACACTATCAACGTTATCTGGACAGAAAATGACCATGTACGATATAGTATTGCTTTCCATTTTGTTCCACGGCAGATTTGTTTAGGCTGAGTTTTAAAGTGAAACCCCAAAAAACAAAGGGTTGATTAAGCATTAAGTGTGGATTAAGGATATTGTTCGTAACGGCGATGATGTGGAATTGTGTGGTTCCTTACTTGAATAGGGAACACATACACCTTCACCGCATCTGATTGTTGCATCTGCAATTGACATGTCTACCCCATCAATATGTTTGTCTAATTGCCTAATTATATTGTCTGAAAACGTTAAGGAGAAATTTGTGGGGGTTGAATGAAATTCTCCAGCTTTCATTTGATTAGAGAGGCACAGTGAGCATTCATGTGATTGTTTGTCTTCTCTAACATTTTGTAGTTTACCTCTCTTTTTAAAAAAATTAAATAATGTACTTGTCTTGGACTAACGTCTCAAAAACAGTGAACTATATATATGCGAAAAATAGTAATATATATGAGTCATAACCTTGCACACACACAAAAAAAGAAACAAAATATGTATGTGTCGCAAGTCATAATGTTCTTTTTGTGTTACAGAATATGACCATAATGTTGATTTCCAATTATCATTAGAATTTTAACCAGCTGATTACCAAACAAATTAATGAACTGTATGATGATATGATATATAGTCTCTATACTACTCTATTACATTGTCTTGGTAATATTATGATGACACCGCATAGTTAGACTGTTAGAAGAATTTAATTTGATACGTCTCTATCAAACATAACGTTGCAATGACACGATAGATATCATATTATTATATATATGAAAATTACGGAAGAGCTTTTCCGGAGTACGTTCGATCGAGAGGATATAAAAATCTTCGTTTTCTTTCTTGTATACAAATTTTGTCATTTAGTTTATAACCAAAAACAAAACTAACGACGTTTCTTTATAGCACAGAACGACGACGTACAATGTCGAGTGGATCCAAGTTTCAACTGTTCGATATTTCTGTAACGTTGGGGAGTGTCGGTGCTCCGGCCAATATAGTAAGTTAGCAACATCGACAAATCTAAATAACTCGAATTATATCCACTCTATCTATTTTCATAGATACCTAATATGGATTCATACGTTTAAGAAAGTTATATACATTTATGGTAGTGGATCATGAAGATGGCTTCTCGCCGTCTTGGTGTTTTGATTCACGTCAATCAACTGAAACACTTACATGCAACCTCGTATAAATTGAATACACTTTACAACGTAACGACGACAGATCAATTATTTTCTACAATATATCGTTCGTTCATTTTTTTGGCAATATATATAGTTATTTTCTAAATTTGAGATATCTTCCCAGAATATTTTGAGTAAAATTTATGTCATCTAATTAGCTGATTAAATAGTTAATTAAAAAAAAAAATGGGTGGATCATTTTTGGTTAATAATATGCAGCATGCATGTCTGCTTGAAAACCTTTTTAACGCAATGTATATAATTCTCCTTATTATCTCAGATAAAAATGTTTTTATTTCTTGTTTTGGTTTATTTAATTTGCAAGGTTTTATGAACAATTTATATCTATTTAATAAGTTGAGACTATTTGCAGTCTACCATACTTTTTATTGGTTGGATTGTTTTAATAATATATCAAACTGCACCTTTTAATGTGAAAACAAACATTTATAATTTATATGGTTTTTTTTAATTCCCATGCTTCTAGTCGATTTTTATATAAAAAATAACAAAGAGTAATATGGTTGTCATGTGGTCATACAATCTTCAATCATCAAAAAGAAAATTATATATGCATGAACACTAATCGTCCACTTCATCAAAGAAAGTGACAGTATTTTATCGATGTTTAAAAAAAAAATTGGATTAAAGGTAGAAACACTATATGGTAGAAATTTGCCGGTAAAATGGGTTAGCGACAAAATTAATTACAAAATCGGATAGTGGTTTCTTGCTGTTTTTCACTTAGGTGAGGAAAAGGAAAAATATATAAACTAGATTTAAGAAAAAGATAGAAAAACGATAAGTAAAATTGAAGTGATTGGGAACCAATTTGACCCGCGAGTTTTGGCGTAACCAAACATTTTGCACCAACAATATCTTCTCTTTATTCTAGCTTTTTGCACTTTTACAAAAGTAATTTAAGCAATAAAAGTGTAACAAAAAAAGTTTCAATAATTACCAGTTACCACCAATCCAACCTCTCCCATGATGAACACACATGGTACACATCATATATGTATATATACGAATATACATTAGAAACATAAAAGTTATATTTGTTTGCTGTGAAAAAAGCACAAGGACGATACTATTTTTAGACCATAAATTTAGAAATCATCAAGATTTATTTATCTTCTTATTTTTGCTAAAGGTTTTTTTTTTAAAAAAAAAACCCTAGTTAAATTTTTTTTTTTTATCCCAGCTAAATAGAGTTACTTAATACTTTTAACTATATCGGAAAATGATGTAATTTTCTCCAGCTGGTAATAAATTGACATTACAATCAACGTAGATCCTGAGCATGTTAATGTCACCAAAATTCACTGAGGCAAAGGGTTTTGACTTATGAACCATTTGATCGTATCATCAATTGTTAGCATGTCGTTGGATCATCATTTGGTACACAACAAACAAATATAAGTTAACTTCAATGGCAAGTTAAAAATTAACAGTCGAACTCTATTTACAAATTACAACTAAGTCCATTTTGGATAATAGGATTGTTGGGGTTGAGGCTAAATTGGTAAAAATGGAATTACGAAAAGCGTGAAAATAAATACTTGACATTATGATTAGAGGAGACTGGGTTGTTGCATGGGAACATTATGTGTGCTTCCTAAAGGTAAATAAAACCAATTCTTTTAATCATTGGAAGATTTATTTAAACATATACTACAATACAAATATACAATACAACTAAGAAAACTTAACATGACGAGAAAAATCATTATAAGTTAACATTTACGACTTTTTCAATACGTGATTTGCTCGAATTGTTTCCATTATGTTTCATTCGATTTGACCGAATTTATTGAGCATCCAGTATAAGTCGACTAATAGTGAGAACAGACTGAAAATTTTATCTTTGGATAGTCAATGACTCAACGCGTATTCTTTAAGTTCTTCGTGAGTTTTTCTTTCTTTCGAAGCCGTGATTAACGCCTCCGAAAATCAATGGAATACTTTCACGGAAAATAATTTATATCTAAATATATATATATATATATATTATACTATATAGTAAGGGTATATGCTCCAATACCCGCTAATTCAGCAGGAAACTATGACAACTGGTTTCCGTGTACGGAATCTCTCTCTCTTTTGCCCGTATCTTTCTTGATGACGTGTCATTACACGTAGACAACTAACAGGAGAAAGAAAGAAAAAATTAACACAATTACAGTAATAGGATTTATCTGTTTTCTGCTTCAGTCATATTCACTTACTGTTAATGCGAAAGTGAAAGCACCAGTTCAAAGCCAATTAACCACCTTTTTTTTGTTGTCTTTCAGTCATTTTCGGAATCATTCAATTATTAATAGGATAATAATTAGTCATTTACCATCTTATTTTATAGGGTAAATTCTTAAAAATTGTGGCCATTTATATATTAGCTAAAAAAATTTCATAAGCTAATTACTCGTCTATATTAACAGTAAATACAATAACGCATGATAGAATTTTAGTTATAGAATGATTATTAAGATTAAGATTTTTAACCAAAAAGAAGAAGAAAAACATTGATTATTAAAATTTATCGTTAGACTTTTAGTTTAAAATCTATAAGGTAAATATCTAAATTTTGTGAAAATGTATACATAATGTATAGAAAAAGGAAACCCATATTTAATTACAAATATGTGTGGTTACAACTTTACCATGAAAAAATTTCAATTATCATGAATCCTACATATAGTATCAAACCTCTTTTTTGTGAAAAAAAACTAGCTACTAGTTTAGATGTACATATGTAATATGTTCACTAGATTATGATAAAAACATATTTAATCATCCTTTGTTTTCCTTTTAAAAGCCTGATGTGTAATTATAGTATGAGTTACTAAAACGGATTTGTATGTTTACAAAAAAAAATCACTCAGTTTATTCTTTGAAAATGTCATTAATTTATACTAATTATGCGATTTCCAAAATGAACGATGATAATAAAAAAAAAAAGTCAGTATTAAAGCGTGCGAGGTTTGTAAATCACACGCTTGAGCAGTTAGTGGCGGTTAGAACGGTAAATAAAGAGATGGAGTTAACAACTAATCACGTTAGAAAAGCAAAACGACGAATCAAATTGTATCACGCGACGTCGTATCGTATAGATACATAACGGCCGTCTTAACGGCTCTTTCTCGTGTCGTCTTCTTTTTTTTCTCCCCAGATTTCTATAAGAGTCCCAATATATCTCAAAGCTCGTACATTCACTGTCTTTAATTCTCACTCCTCTCTCTCTCCTCTGTTCTAATTCTCTCCGACCACAACAAACACTTTGCTCAGCTTCTGCTGCTCCAATGGCGGCTCTTTCGACATGGATTTTAGCTATGATGTGCCTATTCTTCTTCGCCGGAGCAATGGAGAACAGTACAGACGACAAAATCTCATCTCTTTCTAGGTTTCTATCTCTACATCTCAGTTTTTTTAGACATTTTTAAATCTCTGTTTCTTTCTTGACAGATAATTTATTTGTTCTACACTAGTAATTCGTTGCATTATTTCATTCTCGAGCTACATTTTCCCCCAGATTCCATATAAAAGTTCCCCTGTTTTCAATTCTTTTTCAACCGACAAAATTAGCAGCAGGAGAAACTAGTTTTTTTTTTTTTCACCTTTTCGATCTCAACTAAAATACTCCATCCATTCTTTAAATGAAATTATCTAAACCGTTAAATTGTGTGTTATGATCCAGATCCAACGATCTAGACCGTACATTCCGCTTTTTTTAGTTGCATACATACACTCATGAGTCGACGCTATTGTGCACTTACACTTGACTCTGTTTAGGGTCATTTACTGATTTGACCTCTGACAATACGTTTTGTTGGAATGGTTCGATAGGGTTAATTTCGTCAGTTAGTGATTATGTCTAAGATACCTCTGTTTTAACGGTTTCCCCGGATATCGAATTTTATTGAGCAGTGTAGCGTGTGAATTTTTTTAATAATTTTATTTGAAAACATTACTACATAATTGCAATCATTAGTTTTCTCTAGATTCTCAATTTTCGATTTTCCAAACTTTTTTTTAGATCGGACGAAGTCGAATGGAACAAACACGCAGTGACGAATCCAGATGATGTGGCGGACGAAGTTCTCGCCTTGGTTGAAATGTAAGTACTATACTAATTTCATATAATTTTATTGTTTACTTAAAATTATCATGTGAAAATGTAGTGGAGGGGAAAGCCACAGACGTACGATTGTGGTATGGTCCTATAAGTCATAACTATTATTCATTAACGATTGTGTTGTGACTTTTGTTGAATCAAAAATCCATCCTACAAAAGCTGTCACATTTATTTCTTCTCTAACCGACTGAAACCACTTTTTTTTGTTACTATATCATAATATCTCATCTAAACTCCCCCATGTTCACACTTTTATAAACTATCACAAAAATAGTGTTTGCGAATAGTTTATTCTTGCTACTAGTGAGATCTAGTCTCGTGAGCACTTGCCATTAATTATATACGTCAGGATCATTTCTGAAAGTAAGATATCTATAAGTATTCTTTTCTCATGAAACGAGATATTTATTGTGCTTTTCCCCCCCCATTTTACGTTCTATTGTTTTTAATCTTTCTCTGAAAAAAGTATACATATTTATATCACCTACTACATGTTTCATGCATTGGAATTTCAAAAGGTATTTCATTCTATTCTTTCTCAAAATAGTATTTTATTATATTTTAATACTATTCATAAGAATTATTATATTAAAAAAAAAACTTTTTCTTTTTCAATTGTTGTTGAACTAATACTTTCCAGCAGACAGTTTTCACCGCAAACACCACATGCACTAATGCTAGGCAGATCCGTGTCCAACGCATTATTGCATTTACGTATGTTTTATCGAGAAGGAAATATAAAAACTATTTCATGTACTCCCACAATATTAATTATCTTTCACATCACGAACCATATGCATACGGCTGAGTACACACCGCGAATTCGTTAAAATTAATTTCAAAATACGTACAATTAAATAAATATCCACAGTTCTTTTGTGTATTGTTAAAATGTGTTGATAAGAAAATTTTATTAAATCATTTTGGACAGTTCCCACTTCCCATGTGGTCGTAACAGAACCAACTTAAGCTTTATACGGTCAAAAATCTTTTAAGATCCCTAAACGGTATCCGTTAAACGGACGGGCCGAACGTCGTTATCCAACGGCGATTATTTGTTTGTCTTTATTTAACGGTTATCTCTAACGTCGTTTGCTTCAAGAATCTTAGCCCAGAGAGAACCTAATCCCACCGACACACGTCAATGAACAAAGTCCAAAAATTTATAAGTATCTATCATCAACCATGTGCACATGTTCTGATGTGATTTTGATTATTATTATTTTGAATTATTTATTTTAATTTTGGGAGGGAGATACGAAAATAAAACGAAACCAATCTAAACCGGGTATGATTAATCCTACAGGAGTGTAAGAAACCATACCGAGAGGAGGAAGCTGGGCTACTTTACTTGCGGAACAGGCAACCCAATCGATGATTGTTGGCGATGCGATCGCAACTGGCACAAGAACCGCAAACGCCTAGCGGATTGCGGAATCGGATTTGGAAGAAACGCGATCGGTGGTCGTGACGGGCGTTTCTACGTAGTCACTGACCCTAGAGACGACAATCCGGTCAATCCTAGACCGGGGACGTTACGTCACGCCGTTATCCAAGACCGACCACTATGGATCGTTTTCAAACGTGATATGGTGATTCAACTAAAACAAGAGCTGATCGTTAACAGCTTCAAAACGATCGACGGACGTGGCGCAAACGTTCACATCGCTAACGGCGGTTGCATCACGATTCAGTTTGTGACGAACGTGATCGTCCACGGTTTGCATATTCACGACTGTAGACCCACCGGTAACGCTATGGTGAGAAGCTCAGAGACGCATTTTGGGTGGAGGACGATGGCGGATGGTGACGCGATTTCCATCTTTGGATCGAGTCATGTTTGGATTGATCACAATTCCTTGTCTCACTGCGCTGATGGGCTTGTGGACGCAGTCATGGGCTCGACGGCGATTACCATCTCCAACAACCACTTAACTCACCACAACGAGGTTCTTATAACACTTATTGCATCGTAACTTCTTACCCCATGGCTTTGCGGAATTCGATTTTTGATCTTAATTTTTTTTAACAGGTTATGTTGCTCGGACATAGTGATTCTTACATGAGGGATAAAGCTATGCAAGTTACCATTGCTTATAACCATTTTGGGGTCGGACTTATTCAAAGAATGCCGAGGTATATACAAGAGACAGAACAACAAAACAGAGTATATGCTCTGTTTCTTGAAGAGTTAAAAACAGAGAATGCTCTGTTTCTATGACTTGTTTTCTGACCCATGCGATTTAACTTTTCTTACAGGTGTCGACACGGGTATTTCCATGTCGTGAACAATGACTACACTCACTGGGAGATGTACGCGATCGGTGGAAGCGCAAACCCGACAATCAACAGTCAAGGAAACCGCTACGCCGCTCCGAAAAATCCATTTGCCAAAGAGGTAATAACCGGAACAAAATCCGTTAAACTGAAGAGTGATTTTGTGATTGTGAGTTTGTGACATTCTGATGTTTGAATGTTTTGTATAGGTGACGAAGAGAGTGGACACACCGGCCAGTCATTGGAGAGGATGGAATTGGAGATCGGAAGGAGATTTGCTTCAGAACGGAGCTTACTTCACTTCTTCAGGAGCCGCCGCGTCCGGTAGCTACGCACGTGCTTCTAGCCTCGCCGCTAAATCTTCTTCATTGGTCGCAACCATTACTTCCGACGCCGGAGCTCTACCTTGTCGCAGAGGACGCCAATGTTCCTCATAGTTGTTTTTTAACCTCCTCCCACCACCATTGCCACCAAAATTCAAAACCATCTTCCTTTATATTCAGACGAAAGTGTACATTTTCACACATTTGTCATTTAAAAGCCAATTATCTTTCTTTTTTTTGGGTGTGTTTGTGTCGATTTTTCTCAACCTCGGGTTTGCTTGCGTCAGTCGCAAGTTGACACAAGAAAAGGGGAAGAACCCAACCTTTCATGTAAAAGAGAAGCTCCCGAAGTGTTGTTGGTTCTGTCTGATCAACTCAGATTGTTATTCCTCCTCTCACTGTCATCTACCAAGAAAAAAAAACAAGAATATTATGTTCTGTTCTTTGTATTTTTTGTATTTCTTGAGGTTTATAATTTAATATAGAGTCTAAATGATTTGTGAATCGTTCTACTTTTTCTTATTATTGTTTTTTTTTTGGTTGGCTGGATTTGTTAGCTTTATTTCCCCATGTGGTTGTAACTTGTCATGATTGTACTTTTTAGCTTTTATAGCAAGCAACCAATAGTAATTGGGAGGTTCTATAAAAAAAAACTTTACAGTAATGTATTTTCAACTTTTAAACATCAGAGAAAGTTTAGTTGCGACAAATTCGAATAGCCCGCTATTTTTCAGCCGCAAGTGTTTTTCAATTTGCTTTCCTTATCAGTTATCACGTAAACCTTCGGAAACAACAAATTTTATGCAACTAGTATCATACAAAACAAATTAGCAAAAAAAAAAAACTAGTAACAAATTTGTAATTTGAGAACTAAAATATCTTAAATTTATATTTCTTTAACTGATTAACTAGAGCATATCTTTTCGCTGGAAAGAAAAACTAGCTTATCTATTTTTATTTGGCTTTTTGCATCGGAAAGTTAACATAAAGAGCAAGAGAAGCCTAAAACACGCTAAATCGACTGCATGTGCCCACATGACAAAAAGAAGCTCAAAAACCACAAGCAAAATGTTCCGACAGATAATGATAATCTTTTATTTTCACCATCATTAAGGTTTAATTAAGACTAATCATAGCATATGATATATATATATATATATATATTACTTAAAGTGATAGTAGGCTTTTAAGCTGGATTTTGTATAAAATTCTCCATATATACACATATATATAAGTCTCTTGATTCTTCCTTCCAACACAAATCTCAATCATCTCTAAGGAGACCATACATCGTATTTCCTATTATTATGCTACAAAAGGTGAAACAGGGTCTTTACATAGTCCACAGGTATTCCAAAATAGTTTTTTTAATATATAAAACCCAATATATTTTAGCAGAAATAAAATAAAACTCAATTACGCTTTTGAATGTACTAAAAAATTAGTCAAAAATACTATTGACTCGGATCACATTAGTTACCAAACAAAATTGGCAAATCTTTTGAAACTATTTAAATTATTGAAACATACATAAATAGATCAAATATTTGTATGTAGTAACTAATCACCGCCAAGAATCTTGTTTTTGATGATATCAGTAGCATTTTTTGCTGTGCCTAAAACTCCAGATACAGATCCTTTAGCTTTTTCAGTGATGGAATCAGTTGTTTCAGTAACTTTTTCCGTCACATCTTTTGTCATCTTAGTAACCTATTTAATCAAAATCAAAGAAATCATAAACTCACATATATAAAAAAAATTAATCACTATAATCAAATCATCAAATATGTATGAGTTAGTTAATTACGCGGCCAGCCGTAGTGGAAGCGACATCTTGGATATACTCGGTGGTTTCCTTGACTTGCTTCGCTCCTTCCTTCACTGCCTCAGCTGCTTCTTTCACTTTTTGGCATTGCTCTGCCTCTTCTTTTCCCTTTTTTCATACCATGATCAATTACAATAGTACTCATTTTCGTAGCATTGCAGAGAGTCCAAGTTGCGAAAACATGAAAATTTTATGCGAAATAGAATGAAAGGTTCGGCGAACAAACAAACCTTAGCTCAGTTATAAATCTTTGTGGAATGATGAAATATCTTAGATTTTGTTGCCAATCTAAGAAAATATCGGAATTCATATATATAAATCACGATTTATGCATGTTATTATGTAATCGTTATACGAATTACCAATCAAACCATACGTGATAATTAGACAACAACATATATATCTCGTAGCTACTAGTCTTAACAAAACAATATTTGCAAAATATCATGGATTTCCAATATATTCAATAGACGCTTTTAAGAATCTGTCTGTTGTTAAAATTACCAGACTACGAAAATCAAATGAACAATAATAACCCGTGTTAAATAAAATTGGTAGTTAAGAACACATGTCCACCGGTTCTTACTTGTAAGGGCCTTGGTGACGCTGAAACGAATGCTCTGCAGAGTGGAAAACTCCTTGCCGTTTTTCCACTGTAGATCAGAACTTCGGCCAGCTTTGATGAAAGCATCAACGAATGCATCGTAACTTTTGTATGAGATTATAGAAACGTTCCAGAGAATAACTAAATCCCTCACGTATAAGAAATTCTGATTTTAATCCTAAGACGCAAGCTCTATCTAAAAGCTTTATTTATATATATGATCATCCCTTCTATCGCGGTCTCGATTCTTATCGTGTGGTTATGAGCATTTATAGGGTTCTTTGTGGTTTGTCTTTAATATAAGTCACAAATTTCTCAAACACCAATTCTTCGGCTGTAGACTTGATCTTCGTTATCTTTTTCTTTCTTTTTCTTCCTTTGGCCATGCATAACGTATCTTTCATTAATAAATATGATATATCTAGGAAATTTATGATATTAGACACAAATGAAACATTTCATTTACATGAAACAAAATTAAGAAAACATGACAAAATTTAGTTTAAATAATATCGCTTGATGTAGTGCGTGAACTGAAGACACTAATAATTAACTAGCCATTTACAGTTTACACAAAAATAAAAAAAAACCAGCATTTAAAATCGGACCAATCAGTTGTTCACGTATAGTTGTATCATCAGACAGCCTTTAGTAAGGAATACATGTTATAAATGTTCTTCACAGCCAAATTTATGATTTTCAACTGTCACCAACCTTAGATTTTGCTATATAAACCCTTTCAAACTCATTGTAAAAACCTCAACAACATACGAGTCGATCAGCATAATTTATAAAAGGTAGAGAGGAGAGAAGAGAGAGAGAGAGAGAGAGAGAGAGAGAGAGAGAGAGAGAGAGAGAGAGAGAGAGAGAGAGAGAGAGAGAGAGAGAGAGAGAGAGAGAGAGAGAGAGAGAGAGAGAGAGAGATGTCGAGAGTTTTTTCAGTCGTTTGTGTTTTGCTCGCTATGTCATTTCTCCATGCAAGTGCTCGTCAAGTGCCGAGTGAGTTTGACGAGGACAAGACGATGACACGTGACGATACAACAACAACCCTCGTGCATGCAAGTGCAGCTGGTAAGTTACCAACAAAAAGCATCGGTGACAAAAAATGCATCGGAGCGGTAGGAGGAGTCGGTGGATTCGCCGGAGTTGGTGGCTACGCCGGCGTGGGAGGTCTAGGAATTCCACTCATCGGCGGTATCGGTAAATACGGTGGCATAGGCGGTGCAGCTGGAATTGGTGGCTTCAAGGGTCTAGGGGGTGGTATAGGCGGTGCAGGAGCCGGTATCGGCGGTGCTGGAGGTCTTGGTGGAGCTGGAGGTGGAATTGGTGGTGGTATTGGTAAAGCAGGTGGTATTGGCGGTGTTGGTGGTCTAGGCGGAACCGGAGGTGGCTTAGGCGGTCTAGGCGGAGTGGGTGGTGGTGGTATTGGTAAAGCAGGTGGTATTGGTGGTGTTGGTGGTATCGGCGGTGGACACGGCGTGGTCGGTGGCGTTGGCGGTGGGCTCGTTCCACATCCTTAATGAAGATATTGATTAGGGTTTTATTAAGGAATAATTTATTAGTTCGGATGTTATTGTTGGTCTTTTTCATTGGGTGATCATAGTGTGACTTATGATCTATTTTCTCGTTTCGGTTTTTGTAACATTTGCTTCGATTTCGGCTGTCGTGTTATGTAATGCGTGACCCTCTATGTTTAGTCGTTGATCATTAGTTATGGCTCGTTTTGGTTAATTATGAGTTTCTCTCTTTTCCTAATTTCGCATGTTCAATATCAAGTTTAGAGAAATCATGTCTCAAACTCGATCTCAACGGATTTTATTTGAACTTATACTTTGATGTTTGTAAATTCTACACAAATTTTAAATCAACAGTTACATAGAAAATAATTAAAATGATTGAATCTATATATGTAGACCAGAAAAGTCTAAAATACTACATATAGAAAAACGGATGGATAACAAACTTTCTTCCATGCATGCAAACGTATCGAGATTTTTATATTTTAGATATGTTACACCGTGCTAAAAAACCAGACTGGACGGAAGTCAATAGATAAAGTTAATAATTTTTTTAACTAACCAAAACTTGAACTTGGATAATGGTGATAACGATATAAGAACTTGGATAATGGTGATAGCGAAAGTTAGTAGTAGTAATTTTTGAAGAACAAAAATATAGTAAATGTGGGGAAGACAGCAAGAATACACAAATTGTATAAGCGATAATAAATGGCGCAATAATTGCGTTGGGATGAGAGTGACAAAAATTAAAGAAGATACGATTTGCATGTCAAACATTTGCATGTCAAACACTTGTTGTGCCATTTTATGCATTGTCGTCTCCAGAGTCTCTTTCACTGGCCCAAACTTAAATCTACATCTCATGCAATTAATTAATTACGACGTATACATATAACTATTTTTCTTCTTATTTTGTGTTGAAATTGTTTGCATATATCATCTCTCTTAGTAAAATATAATTTTTATATGGTCTAACATCTCCAAACATCACATTGCTGAAACTTGTAACATCAAAAAATTTCAGACTAATCTTATTCCAAATATAGTAGCTATGTTACGTTTGAAGCCCAATGAGATCCAACGGGCCTTTACATATATTCGAAATGGAAAACAAGTAGGCCGGAAAAAATTTCAATAGCCGAAATGTAAAGAGCGGGAAGCTAACAAGTAAGAGCCACTCTCAGTTTCTCTCACTAAAAAATTGAAAACAAATTTGGGGAGAGAGAGAGAGAGAGAGATGGAGAACAACGCGACGAGGATACTGGAAGAGATCAAATCTTCCGATGTAAGTTTTTCTTTCTTTTTCAGCTTTAATTGATTTTCTAGGTCTCTACAATCTTTCCAGCTAAAATCATTTGATTGTTTCGTACCATTTTTGTTTCTGGGGAACTTTATCGCTTCCGGTTGTAAAGTCGACGGATCCCCTCCGTTTCTCCATATTTTTAGATTATTAAAACTCCGTTCTCTTCCGATTGCTTGGATTGTTTGATATTCCGTCCGATTAAGTTTCTTGTACGATTTATCTTCATTTAGTGGTCTGGATTGAGTTTCCGCAGCTCAAATCTGGATTGAGTTTCTTTTTGAGGTGTGAGTAGAACATTAGGAGTTGTAGCTATTAAGAATGGATTTAGCTGTTTATAGAATTGATTCGGATTCATTCGAAGGAGTAGCAAATTTTTAGCTCGTAAGGTCTAACGAGCTTCACTTTGTTTGTACAACAGCTTATCGAGAACCGGGTTCAATTACTCACACGGCTCGTCCAGTTAGATACAGCAGAGAACTCCGACGTCTCCTCTTTTGTGGAGAGCCTAACAGTATCCATTTCATACTTTTATGTTTCCTCATTTATGCTATGTGATTGTTGGTTTCAGGGAAACTATCGTTATAATGGAGAATTCAGGATGTGTATCTGCTTCCGTGTTTGAGATGTTTATCTGTCATATGCATTGCTGCTATAGCTTCACTTGGAACAAGACTGTTTGACATGCTTTAATATTTCTGTTTCTGGCATGTTTCAAGTATTTCCTTGACAGCAGTATAGACTCTCTGGGAAGACTTCACATGTCTTGACGTTTCCCAGTGTTTGTTGAACAAAGCAATTCTGCCTGTGGCTTCTAAATACCTAGCTTTGGATCGGCCTGACTGCTCTCACTACTTTCTTGCTTTTGGTACTAAGGTACAATATTTCCAATTTTCGCTGCTTGTTGCTGAATCTCAGCTCGAGAGTGTTGTTGTATTATTTTTTTCTAACTCCAACTCCGCTTCTTGTAGGCAAGCCAATGGTGTGCAAAACATTTGAACATGTCTGTAATGTCAATGGAGGAGTCTCAAGAGGAAGAGCATTCAAACGTTTTCTTCCAGGTTGGTGATATTTGACGTTTCTGATAGTACAAATCTGCCAGAGCTACTGGTTTTACTGGCCAACTGAGTTTTTCAATCAATGTTATGCAGCTTCTTTTGGATTATCTTCGCTTTTCTGCCTCAAGCTTTACTGCTATTGGAAAAATATGTTTCACGAGTGATGAGTCCTCAGCTGTTACAGTTCATAAGTTTGTTTCAGAGCAGCTGAATTTGACAAAGGAAGTGATATTGAATGCCAAGGTATCTCCGGAAATCATTTTTGTCTTTCACCAGTTTGCTACTCATACCGTATCATGAAACTGGTTATTTAACATATGTTTGATTGAAATTAAATATTACTACCGTAGGTTGAGATTAGTGTTTTGCATTGTTCTCATCTGTTGATAGCTTTCAGCATTCTTTTGAGACAGAAAGTTGAATCCTTTTCCTCCGAGATTTTTAAGGCGGCGCAAGTGGTGATTGATTCTGTTGTTCGTCTGTGCAAAGATTTCTCTCCAACAGTGAATCAGTGCTTAAATGAAACCAAGACTAGTGGAAACGTAGGTATAGCAAGGATGGAGGAAGGCAATACTGTGTGTAATTTGGTAAGCATAATTACTCTGGGAGTTAATTCTCTGAGTGAATTGGGTATGCTTGCTGCAAGAGATGGTGGCAATCTTGTGACCATTCTGAATACATCATGGAAGGGTGTGATTTCATTGCTTCAGATAGACAAGCAGATATTGGTATCTAAGGTAGATGTGGGAGAAATCATTTTAAAGCTATTATCACTGATCAAGGAGTCCCTGAGATTTGCTGCTGAGGCTTGGTCTTGCTCGGCGAAGGAAAACATATCTGCAACAGAAGCCAGAAGGGTCTTTCTTCCAGTGAAATTTTATCTTATCAACGCTGTTAAAGTTGTGGCGCTGTTTCCAAGCCAGGCGTCTATGGTGTTTAAGGAAATATCACTCTGCATCTTGATGATATCTGCTTTCAGAGTTTCACTGAGCCAACAAACCCATGGCAAATCCGCGAGTGAAGTAATGACTGATCTTCTAGAGAAAACGACTGTAGATCTTCTAAGCGCACTGTTGAACGCAGGTGAGACAACACAAGAATTCAGGCTCACACTTCTTGATTCGTTGTTCGTAGATGAACAATGTTTTTCAAACCAAATTTGTAAGAGACAGAGCCATGATTCTCAGACAAAAACATCATTGGTGGATATTTTGTCTATATCTGCTGAATCCGCAACAAGTACCGGAGTTTTGCTCCTGGCCAGAGTTGTATTGTTCCAGTCTGTTATGAGGTATTCTTCTGAGCTGGAAGCAGATGCGAAGTTTGCAATCACCAAAAAGCTGCATTGGCTTCTCGACGTATTAATAGACAGAGAGGTTTACTCTTCAATCCTCTGCTCTCAGCTTCCAGTGGTAGATGGTTCTGGGAAGACAATAATCTGGGAATCGATGTTTTCAGCTCTGCTTCTATCTCTCAAAACCCTTATGGTTATTCTGTCTTCATCTCCTGCCTGGGAAGAGCTTGAAACATTCTTACTCCAGAATCTCTTGCATCCCCACTTCTTGTGTTGGCAGATAGTTATGGAACTATGGTGCTTCTGGGTTCGTCATGCCACTGAGGATTTGGTGGCCAATATGATCGATAAACTTTGTATATTCATGATGTCAGTGTCATCGTCAGAAGCGCTGCTTTGTCCTGATTCCGTTCTCAGGAGAACTACCAAGTCCATATGCTTTCTTCTTACTCACAGCCCCAAATCTTTAACAGCTCGAGTTTACAAAAACATTACCACTGAGAGTAGATCTGAATCTGCACCTGATGTATATCTAGCCTTGCTGTTAGACGGTTTTCCGCTGAATTTTCTTCCCGACAGAACAAAAAACGAGGCGAAGGAACAGATCATTACAGATTTCTCCCACTTCATTGAGGATTTCAATGAAAAACCATCAAAGCCCTCCAGGCACACTGTGGTTGGAGCTCCTGTTTTCGCACTCTCTGCTTACCTTCGGATACTGTAAGTAACTTCGATATCTATTCTCTACACGTCCATAGAGATATTTTTTGTAATTGATATAGTGTGAGCTTTTTGAATGTGAGTTTGAAGTTTTGAGAAGTACCGTCAATTTGGATATTGACTTTTGTTGTTGTTGTTTGTAGAAAAATGAGCATTTCAAAGATTGACTCCAAAACTCTGAAATTTGCCGTCGCTCTCATTCAAAAGTACAGAAACTCGAAAGATGAAACGACAAAGGATCGTTACAGTGAGATTCTCAGCGAGACGCTATCAATCATCTCAAGAAACGAGCAGCTATACACTTACCACGAGATGGATAATGTCATAACAGAGCTTCAAAGGCTTTTCATTTCAGAGACTGATAATCATCATCATCTCCATAAATCGAAGCCAAACCTCGCCCTCTTCTTGTCAGGACTTGGCAGATACGAGATGTCTGAAACTGAAACCTGTCCAAAGAGCCGGGCGGTCTGGGAAATCTACCATTTGCTGCTCAGAAAACGCCACTGGGCTTTGGTACACCACGCGGTTACTGCGTTTGGGTATTTCTGTGCACGTACGAGCTGTAACCAGCTATGGAGATTCGTACCTGAAGACGCTGCTTTAGCCTTCGATATAGGTTCTGGAAAAGGAGCGAAAACAGAGAGGTTCATGTCGGAATTGAAGATGTTCTTGGAGAAAGAAGAAGCGCTTCTCTCGGTCACACCTTCACAAGAGGAACTCGAGTTACTTTCGAAAGAAGGCACGGAGGTCAAGGCAGCAGTGCAGAAGCTTCTAGAAGGAAGAAGCCAGCTGAGATCAATGGAAGTAGAGAAACGATCGAACAAGAAAAGGAAACTTCCAGAAGGAATTAGCAGAGGAGTGGAGTTATTGCAGAACGGGATGAAGAGGATCAACGAGGGTTTAAGGGAGTTGGGATCAAATGAAAATGAGAATGAAGAGTTTCAAAAGAGTTTCTTGAATCAGTTTTCGTGTCTTGAAGATTTGGTGTCTCATTTGGTAAGCCTCGCTGCTTCGGACTAATGTATGTATTTTCTTACTACAGTAGTCTACTTTTGCGTTTGCGTCAATTGAGAAAGAGAGAAATCACCACTTGTGAAATCTTATTAGCTTAATTTTTGTAGCGTACATGTAAATCAAATATATATGTATGAGGAAACAAAACCGCATTAAACCTCATTCGTTATTATTATTCGTTATCCTCCTGGGTGTCCAAAATGACTGTAGAATCTTCTTTCCACACAACATCATCATAAGAAAACACATTGGCGAAACAAGAAACCAGCTGTTGATGAATCACCTCGTCTGAAGGAAGCAGAGTATCTGTCTCTCTTCTCAAAGATGTAACTTCTTTATCAGCAATTCCACAAGGCACAATGTGCTCGAAGTAGTTCAAATCAGGATCTATGTTAAAGGCCAAACCGTGACAAGTGATCCCAGAGGATATCCGAACCCCAATAGCACCCATCTTCCTATCTCCGACCCAAACCCCAGTCTCACCTTTGTGTCCTGCGCGAGCCTTCACGCCATAAACCGAAGCAAATTCGATCATCGACCGCTCCAACGCCTCTACATAGTTCCTAGCACCGATACCGATGCTGCGTAAGGAAACGATGGGATATAAAATGGCTTGACGAGGGCCATGGAAAGTGATATCTCCTCCTCTTTGAGTATAATGAAGCTCAGCTCCAATTTTCGTGAGTTCAGCTTCAGGGATCAGTAGGTTGTGATCGGTTCTACGTTTTCCGAGCGTGTAAGTTGGTGGATGCTGAAGCGAGAGGAGGGTATCCGGGATTAGATTCGCTTTTCTCTCCGAAACCAACTTGTCTTGAAGTTTAAGGGATTTCAAATAGTTCACAGTGCCTAGCTTCCAAACCTCCAGGGTTCTTGGGGATCTCATGACCTGCACGTAATGTATGATTAATCACTTCGGCTCCAAATACTGTTCTTTTTTTTTTCCCCAACACAAACTTAATATTATTACTGATGGGATCTAAACGCAGGACCAAAACAGCAAATAATCTCCAAAACGCAGCAAAGCTTAAGTTAAGAATCAAATACGAAATCCTAAAGACACCAAATCAGTTGGGGTACCAGCTCTCTGAGGCATTTCATCGAACAGGTGACGTGCATAAACAAAAGACAGTTTAAAAGGTAAGGCCGATTCTAAACAGATAAAGATTCCATCAGAACGATCAAAGGGAATGCATCGTACAAGCGTATGTAATCGGTAAAGACAGATTTTGAAGGGCTAGATGATCGATACCGTTTTGATTCTTCTCCTCCAACCTCCACCGAAGAGTTTGACCTCAGAGATAATTGCTCTCTGAGATTAGAATTTTGGGTTTATTCTTTTATTAAGCTTCCAAATTGAACGACTTTGTTAATTGTACCCCTTAAGTTTCCGAAATCTCACAAAAATACACGCCATATCCAGATTCCAGAGCGAAACCCGATAATCCAAACAGATATCAATTTATTAAAAGGGAAATTTCCGTGGATGATGATGATGTTTCTTATCCTTGTACATCAGAATTAAGAACAATACGCATACAAAGAAAGGATTCTACACTTTCAAAACTTAGGGGTCAAATTCGAAAGACCAAGCTAAACAATTCTATTTCCCGAGCAGGTGACCGAAAAAAGGTTCTTTCAGTTTTCCAATTGTTTGAGCTTATCTAGGCACCGGTTCATCATTCGATTCTCCTCTTCAGACAAGGATTTGCTAGATTGTTTTAACCTCTCCGTCTCGCACTTCAAGGCTCTGTCTTTACACGCTCTGATGCAACCGCTGATATCGAGCAAGTTGAAGACCACCGGACAGTTTCCGATGCTTTTGACCAACGTCATCGCCGACCAAACTTGTCTGTGTTCCTCTCTTGATGATCTTACAATGCAAAGCTTTGTGATCGGGTTCTCATATTTTACCTGGAAAGATCCAAGAGAAGAGCCGAGACCACACTCGCCGAAATTGACGAGGATGCTGTCTTTAATTGCTTTCGAGAGATTGAATTGTGTAAGAATAATCGGATTTCCTTCTCCGAGAAGATCCTTGTCCGGGTCTAGAAAAACCTCCATCAACATGTATCTGTTCTTAAATCCCACCATCTTCTTCGGATCTCTCTCGACTTGCAGATAACAAACACAAGCGCCGGCTGAAAAAACTTGAGAGGGGCTTTTCATATTTCAGAAGGAGAAGACTATCACGTGACTCCACGTGACCTGCGAATAAAATTGGATTGGGCCTCGTAAAAGCCCAGTTCATTTAAAGAACAACAAAGACAAAATAATAATAACGATAATGGTCCCTTAATTTGTATTTGTTGTTGCATTTCTTCATCGGAATGCCTAGAAGGCAACACTCGGTTAGCAAAATCAAATCAAATGCAGTTGTGATCAAAGTCAATCCGATCGGGAGAGGTTGAGCAGAGATGACGGAGGCGATGATAAGGAAGAAGCCAGGAATGGCGAGCGTGAAGGACATGCCGCTGCTTCAGGACGGTCCGCCACCGGGTGGGTTCCCGCCGGTCCGGTATGCTCGCCGGATTTCCAATACGGGTCCTAGCGCCATGGCCATTTTCCTTACTGTTTCCGGTGCTTTTGCTTGGGGGATGTACCAGGTCGGCCAGGGAAACAAAATCCGCAGGTAAGAACAACGTGTAATAATATAGCCTTGCGATGTTAGATCGCATTGGCTAAATTTGTTTTGCGGAATCTTGCATGTGAGTGGTGATGGAATTCGGATGAAAACTTTCTAGTTTATATCCCTAAAGCTTTCAATTTGGGTGTTTTTTTCGTTTCGTAGCTATAGAGAGAGTGATGACTAGAATTAAAACAAACAATAAAAGGAAGTTCTTGGACATGACATTTTGAAACTTGTGGAAGTATAATCCCTGTTTAGAGATGCTTGTGAATTTCAGCTTGGTGTTAAGAATTACTTCGAGATCAAAGTCGAATATATGTTCACTTGGTTTTGAAGCTCGTCATGTGATCGTTTTCTTGGTGGCTTGTTGAATTACTGTTTTGTGTTCTCCTAAGGCATTTTGGCTGAACCTTAATCACCATGATTTTAGATTTGAGGATATTGTATCGTTTTCAAGAATGGTCAACAGTCTGTAAACCCCATTAGCCAGAGATGCGAAGATGTCATCTAGTTGCAAGCTATGATATTAGTTGTCGGGATATCGCTTCTTAGTTCGTAGTAGTTAGATTGGTCAGTCATTAGTAGTAGTTATATATTTCTGTCATCTGGCTTTGATAACAATCTTCTTATGCATTTCCATTGGTTTTCTACTAAACAAGAAAAACTCGGTTTCTTATTTGTTGCCTTAACATCTTCTCATCAGAAAATTTCAATTTTTTGGGATGCTAAAAAGTTCCAAGTACAAGGTGTATAAAGATTTGATCTTCTAATTAAGATTGCTGTGATGTGTAGGGCGTTGAAGGAAGAGAAATATGCTGCTCGTAGAGCAATACTTCCCATTCTTCAAGCAGAAGAAGATGAAAGGTAAACGAGACCCTCAAACAAGTCTGTTGTTCCTGCAATCTCCAGACAGTAATAACCACATCTTGTAACAACTACGGCTCGCATTTTTGCGTGTGTTGATTAGGTTTGTGTCCGAGTGGGAAAAGTATTTGGATTACGAGGCTGATGTGATGAAGGATGTTCCGGGATGGAAAGTTGGTGAGAATGTGTACAACTCTGGTCGTTGGATGCCGCCGGCGACTGGGGAACTCCGTCCTGATGTCTGGTGATTTCTTGGGGTTTCTCAAATTCTTATGATGATGATGATGAATGAATGAATGAATGTTTCGCCAAGGATTTAACGTGTTCTATTTTTCTTTTTAACCTTTTCATCGAGTAATAAGAGAGTGAATGATTCGACATCCGGTTGTTCTTTGGTTTAGCTTAATCAGTGTTTGTGTAAGTGTTTCAATGGTAAAATGAGTACAAAAAAACAGTTCTTTTTTTTTTTATCAGCAAACATGCAATACTGGTTTAGTTTCCTTCCGTTATTATTTGAAATTCGGTTAAAATACCGAACTTGGTTTATTGGTATCTGATGTGGGAAAATCCAGTTTACATATAATCACAAAGGAAAATGGAATGGAATCTTTCGAATCTAACAAGTGGATTTTAAAATAGAATACGAGTCAAACCCTTCAGTCCGGTTTAGTCTAAGGTTTCGAGTTTCGTTCGTTTTTAACCGGTTCTTTTTATATTATTGGTCTATGATTTTGACTTTATGGAATCGGAAGCAAAAATATCTACTCTTGTCTCTCCTCTCTCACTCTGGGCAAACATGATTACTGTCACCTCTAAGCTCTCTCTCCTTCCTCCATTCTTCTCTGTCGTTAACTCTGCTTCTTCTTCTCGTTCGAAAGGTGCTCAATTTCTGTCTGCCACTTTCTGTCTATGTTGCTGTCTGTTCACACACGTTGTAGATTCTTCGATTTCTTTAAAGACCCGTCTTTTAGAAAATTTCGACAACCCTTCAATAGTTCAGTGGAAAACATATCCTTGAAATTCGTAATCGGGAGGAAATTTTATAATATATTCTGAAGAATTCTGTTACTTTTAAGAATTGGGAGCATATTGGCTTTGTCGTCGAATGCTTCAGTTGTCTTCCATGGCTGCCACTATCGAGCTTGAAGTCAGAATTCTGTGTTAGATTAGTTCGCTTGTGTCTGTTTCCGTATTATATTGTTGGCTCTTTCTTTTGATAATTGCATGAATTTCTCTTTCTTCCTTCTCTTCTGGCCTTCAACTGCAGATGTGAATGCAGAGCCGAAAAAGAGAGTGAAACTAAGAGAAGATTGGAGGGAAAAGTCGAAACCTATACCACCCGGAGGCACCTATCCAGCCAAAGATCATTGCAGGTTCTGTCTTTTTGTTTGTTGACCTCCCTATTTTTTGTATGGTTCTTATCAGAATTCTTGATTGTTTAATGGGGTTTGCAGTCAATGCGGGCTATGCGACACATACTACATTGCCCATGTGAAGGATGCATGTGCATTTCTTGGAGATGGAATGTCAAGGATTGAGGTAACGTCCATATGGCCTTGAAATGGACAAGATCTGTTACATCTTTAATTGATGGGTTCGATTCTTATCTTGTTTAAGTTTAAGTTTTTGCGCAGAGCTTGGAACCTGTTGTGCATGGTAGAGGACGGAAAGCAGATTCCTTAGAAGATACATATTTTGGTGTCCATCAAGAGCAGCTCTATGCTCGTAAGCTGAAGCCTGTTGAAGGTACACTGATGCTTGAGAATCTGGCTTGAGAATCTGGCTTGAGAATCTGGCTTACCTTTGTGGTCTACTTTTCATTCTACCTTCGGTTGCAGGAGCACAGTGGACTGGAATTGTCACAACCATAGCCATTGAGATGCTGAAATCTAACATGGTTGAGGCTGTTGTTTGTGTGCAGAGGTAAAACTACTGTTTCATTTCAGTTATGGACTAAGGCGACATTTGTCAACCGTGCTATAGATTTTTCAATTTAATCATTTATAATGTTTAATTGAATTAACAGTGATCCTGAAGATAGATTGTCTCCAAGGCCAGTATTAGCCAGGTTTTCCACCTTCCTTACGTTGGTTTATTTGAGGCCATTCTCCTTCAAGTCTCCATTTTGATTGTGGATCCTTATTCTGGTGTTACTCTGAATTTAAAGGCCTCTTGATGTTTCATTTATTTAGGACGCCTGAAGAAGTTTTGGCGGCAAGAGGTGTCAAACCAACTCTGTCTCCTAATCTGAATACTCTTGAATTAATCGAGGTTATTTGCAGACCTTTCTTTCTTGCATGTGTTTTCTATAGCTGAGCCCATTTCAAAATTATTTAAAAGTTGCGTTGTTAACAGACTTCCGGAGTGAAGCGTCTTCTTTTTTGCGGTGTCGGATGCCAAGTGCAAGGTATGGTCTCTGACATGCTTCCTTTTGGATAATATTTTCAAATTCCTCCATACCATGACTCATAGTGTTGTAATGCAGAGTGTTTTCTTGTACTGCAGCATTGAGATCGGTGGAGCAGCATCTAAATCTTGAAAAGCTGTATGTACTAGGCACTAATTGTGGTAATTTACTCATCCTATCCAGATTTGGCAATACCCTACTACGAGGTATCATATTCTACTTTGAAGAAATGCCAACAATATCTATGAATCAATAGTGGACAATGGAACACGGGACGGACTTGACAAGTTTCTAAAAGCGGCTAGTAAGGAGCCAGAGACTGTTCTCCATTATGAGTTTATGCAAGATTACAAGGTTGGCACAGCTATTAACCGTTATCTATCATTTTCCCACACTATTAGCAATGAGCATTTGCTTCAGCGGTGCTAAGTTTGTATTGACTTCTGTTGTAGGTCCAACTCAAACACTTGGACGGACACATTGAAGAGGTATAATCATTAATCACTTAAAATACTGTTTTGCTTCTGCGATGTTGCAGCTTTAAGCCTTTTCAAAAATCTTTTGGCTAAAACAGGTTCCCTATTTCTCTCTACCAGCAAACGATTTAGTTGATGTCATAGCTCCATCTTGTTATAGGTAATGCCAGCCTTTTCATATTATACTTCGAAACTTGTCTACAATCACTGTGTTGCCGCTGTGACCACCTAAAAAAATCATTTTCTTTTCAATTCTGCAGCTGCTTTGATTACACAAATGCACTAGCGGTGAGTGTTTCTCTAGCAATTAAGATGTCATTCCAGTGAGTTTAGAATCTGCCAACTTCAAACGCTTCGTTATAACTCTATGTATGCTTAATTTAGGATTTGGTTATCGGTTATATGGGTGTTCCGAAGTATTCAGGCGTGAACATGACCGACCATCCGCAGTATATTACAGTGAGGTCAATATTTCTACCTTTGTTTTAATAGAAATACATACACTCGTGAGCTTTGCCAAAATTAGTTTTGTTTATGCATAAAACTACAGGAATGAGCGCGGGAAAGAAATGTTAAGCTTAGTGGAAAACCTTTTGGAGATCTCTCCAACAGTCAGCAGCGTAAGACTTCTAATCTTTTTAGTACTCGTTATATCTAAAATTTCAGAATCCAGAACTCGAACAAAACATCTTCTTCGCTGTTGTTCAGGGTGATCGGCGACCTTTTGTGACCGAGACAGTTAAGGCAGACGATGCTGCTAAGTTTGGTATGTTTTCAAATTTATTTGAAACTTTTTTTATTTCTTGAGTCTGCTGAAAGCCATATTCCCGTGCAACCTATGCAAGATGCAAAACATTTACTTCCTCATGAAATGCAACTAACATTGTGTGAAGTCTGCTAAATAGTCAATTTTTCTATATATTTTCTCCAGGTCAAGGTCCTTCTAAGCCAGCGCCACTATTTGTTGGAAACATTATTGCATTCATCCTAAGTTTGGTAAAATTCTCTCCTTACAAACACACAAACAAAAGAAAAGCAACTTCATAGCAAAAAAGTGTCTTACTTGTAAATGTATTCTTGCTTTAGGTTGGTCCCAAGGGTCTAGAATTTGCTCGGTATTCATTGGATTACCATACAATCAGAAACTATTTGCACGTAAACCGCAAATGGGGAAAAGAAAGGTATAAATTTGAAGCACACTCCTTGATATAAATGTTTATATCTATATCATGGGATCGCCCTCTAATAACCAAAGGGACACTATCCTCTGCAGAGCAAACACTCACATGCCTTCGTATGCCAAAAAGATAGTGGAAATGTACAACAAAAACGGCCAAATAGATCAAATGCTCTCCAAGAAATGAGCATTTTAAGGCCTTTTCTCATGTAAGTTAGCAAATGTTATACTCGTTCTTCAGTGAGTAATGTACATTGGTCCTACTATTTCTCAACTTGTAGTATGTTAGTAATATCCAACACTATTACCCCCCTTGTGAATCTTGTAAGACACCGGCAAGAAAAGATGGGTCGGTTTGTTGTTTTTTTTTGTTTGTGACGTAGAACAGAGAAGAAGAAAGAAACAGTCTAAATCGGCGGCTGAATCCAAATCAGCCATGTGGTTTCCTTCCTCCATATCTTTAGGTTAAGGTGATGTCTGAGTAAAAGGTTGCAGGGTTTTGTGTGAGAACATGAATAACTGTTTTAAGAGGATGGGAACCAGACATTTACACAGTTGGGGGGGAAGTAGCTTTTAATGTTTTTTGTTTGGACCAGAGAATGAAGGAACCATGGTTTAGCTTCACTCACTCACTCGTCACCACATTTCACAGATACAAAACTTCAAGTTTTATTTTTTTGTCCTTTTGTTTGTCAATTCTCTGTTCTGCTGGTTCATTGACTTTGCCTGCAGAGAGACTCAGACCTCAGAGTCTCAGGCCTCAAATGAAACCCTGATACTCATCTCATAAATGTCGTCCATATACAGAGTATGTAATAGTTTGTTTCTATATTTAGTGAATTGCAATTTGACAGATCAATAGGTTAAAGAGAATACATCATTACTTCGGATCTGAATCCGTTTCAAAATATCTATTTATAATTGTTTTTTAGTTAGGTCTATATCTTATATAATATTTATTCCTTTGCTTTATCGATGGTTTCTTAGATATGTTCACAAGTTCAGTATTTTTTCATTTAAAATTAGTTCAAATTATATAAAATATAAACCATGAAATGCATTTTCATATGCTTTAATCAAGTAAATTCTGAAGGAGATACTCAAATTGTTCTGAGAAATTCTATTTTTTGTTTACATATACACTTTTTATTTTATTTTTCTGGTTGTCAGATCAGTTGCATCCATAATGGATTCTGCATATCCTACATAAGATGCATGTTTTGTTCCCTGAGATTTGAGTAATCATAGTATTTTTGTATTGATGGTCCAACATAATCATGTATTATTAATCATTTGTCAAATTAAATAATTACAAAATGGTATGATATGGCTAATAATTCCTAAATCACCAATATAACAGCTCTAAGTTATGAGAGTATTCTTCCAATGATGAAACAGCATGATATTAGTTGTGTTTTTTTTCTTCTTGATATTCCTAATCAACAACAAAAACAATCAAGATAAAGCATAATAACATTTGTCATATTAGATTAAGCAAAACTTCTTACAGAGTTCAAAATCTAAAATGAAGGGAAAAAAAAATACACAACAACAACAATAAAATGAAGCATTCTCAAAACAAAATTAAAAAAATATATTTAAAAAGCCACATCTTCCTTAAAAATAAAGAAAAAACTCCCAAAATATTTTTCTTTTTCACAAATTTTTTTTTGGGGGTTTTTTCCTTCCGAGGAGAGGGCTTAGTTATCTCTTTGATTTTTTTTTTTTAGTGACAATCATCCAAAAACACTAATATCCCTTTCTCCATTTTGTCTTTTTCCCCTAATTTAGAAATGTGAGATACATCGACGATGACGAGCTGCAGCAGTTTTCTTCTGTTGTTTAGATTCTTCTTTCCACCTGTTAGCGATATCATGAGCCACACTCATCGCGTCCAGCGACGCGCCGAACAATCCTTTTCTCGTGAACCCTACCGCATACAATCCCGCCTCTCCTTTCCATCCGTTTGGAAACGGGTTTTTCGGTATCCCATCGTCGGAGAAGAAGTCATTGTCCTGAAATGAATAAACCAAACAAGACTTTAATTAGTACTCAAACATTTAATAACATAACTGTCATACCCGATTTCTCTATCTAGCCAAAAACTCGTACCACGGTTTTGTATCCTTTCCGATGAAAATATAAACGTAAACATTTCAAAAACATTAAATGAGTTTTCGCATTTACTGCTCACATTCAAAACACAATTTGAGTCGGGTTTACACCAAACTCGGACCGGGTCGGGTGGGTATTTGTGTTTTTTCTTCCGACATCAACAACTAATTGTTGTAAAACTTAAGCTAAATCTTAAAAAAAACAATGAAAGATGTTGTTTAGATTACCTTAAGCCATGAAGGGACGTTGCTTCTGTAACCAGTAGCTAGAATAACGGAATCAATCTCAAGAACACGCCCATCGACTAGCTCGACTTTTCCTTTACCGAACTTTATGATTCCGGGGACGATTTTGATCTTTCCCGATCTGATTTTGGGTAATGCTCCGATGTCAAGAACCGGAGTTTTACCTTCCTTGTTCTTTAGCTCTAACGGTCCGATTTTCGGCCTCTTTAGACCGTATTTATCGGTATTCCCCAAAACTATCCTCGCAAGAAGGAGCAATGTCTTGTCCGCGAGCCAAACCGGCATCCATTTCATCATCGTAACTCCTATTTCAAACGTTGATTTCCCAAAGATCTCCCTTGGTAACACATGAACCTGATAGATCAAGAAGAAAACGAAACAGAGTATCAGATGCTCTGTTTTTAAAAGCAGAGTAGCAAAAAAACAGAGGATCTCTGATTTAAGTGTATAAAAGACTCCAACTTTTGGTACTTACAGCGCTACGAACGACCATTGATGGGTTCGCTCCGTGATTGTAGAGATCGAGAGAGACTTCCATACCGGAGTTTCCGCATCCGACAACCAAAACTTTCTTCCCTTGGTACCTTCCACCGGATTTATAATCTCCGGCGTGAAGAACATCTCCGCCAAAGTCCTCTAGACCTTCAAAATCCGGCACAACTTTCTCAGCATTCTCTCCCGTAGCCACCACAAGCCACCTGCAGATGTACTCAAACTCGCAAGAACCGAGCTGCCCGCTCTTCGAAATGGTCTTAACCCGCCACAGCCCGAACGTCTCGTCGTATTTTGCTGACTGGACCGTCTCGTTGTACTTAGGGTTGATGTCGAAGTTGGTTGCGTAGTCCTCAAGGTACTGTATAAACTGAAACTTGGTAGGGTATTCCGGGTAATCTTCCGGGAAGGGAAAATTGGGTAGTTGGCAAAACTGTTTAGGGAGATGGAGTTTGAGACGATCGTACGTTCTGTTTTGCCACAGTGACGCTATACAGTTAGCTCGCTCGAGGATTATAAACGGTACTCCTTCACGTTTCAAGCCTGCAGCGACAGCTAAGCCCGACGGGCCAGCTCCGACGATGACCGGACCGTTGACCCAAATGCAGCGTCGGGAGAAAATGCCGCCGTCCGGGATGAAGTTTTGAAACATACTCGAGATGTTGAGACCCTTCTTATTATTATTTCCATACATCTTCTACAAAGTTTAGAGCTTACTTTTGTCTTGTTCTGAGGAAGAAAGCAGATGAAATTTTGAGAATGTGTGAAAGAAGATTTTCAGATTTTGGAGAGTTTTTTAGGACAAGAGGATGTAAGTTTAGTGTATGTGTGTGTCTTTTGTTGGATTGGAGAAGATGATGTATAAATAGATAAGAAGACTTGAAGCAAATTGGTATTTGTAAAATAAGTAGATTGTTTTTTTTTTTTGGAAGACTGATGATTATTATATTTCTTTACTCCTGAATCTTATTTAAGTCTGAAATGATAAGCCTGCAGCCCACCATTATTTGATTATTTATTTTCTCATATGTTCTACTTATTGTTATTAACTTAATCCTCCAACAAATTACAATAATTAGTCACAAGAAAAGTGGTTCAATATTTTGCATCTCTTTCTCTTTGCATGTCATATATATATATTACGTATACTAGATGGAGATAAACTCTTTCGGTTAATTAGAAAGAGAAGTAGCCATATTTTTAGCAAAATTCTGGCTAAACCAAAATGTTTTGTATTTGAGAATTAGTTAATTTCCATTAACGAAGGGATAATAGTTTTCGGCTGATATAAGTAATTGTCTCCTCTGGTTTTATATATTAGGAGAAAGCTTGTGGTCAGAATCGACCCCTATGCTCAAAATCTCTCATAACTAGATATCGTTGATATGCCCAAAATCTCACGTTTTCATTTTCATTCTGATAATCTCATTCATCACTCACCTCTATTATAACCCCATTTAAATGGCTGTTAGTTAAAATAGAAATTCAAAGCGTATTGAGGGAAGAGACATGACTTTGGATATACACTTGAGAAGAGGAAAGAAACAAGATAATTAAATTTGATGTCAGGTTTGCTACCAACGTGGGAATCAATTTAGGGTAAGAAAAAGAGATACATACATATATGTTGCTTATGACTTATGATCGATTCTAATGAAGAGACATGACAACGCATTTTGCTACATGATCATGTATACACACAGACATGAAAGGTCCATTCGAACTTGAGAGTTTCTCTTAGCTCTCTCCTCTTTGGTCTTTTTTTAGAGAGAAATACTGTAGTACATGTAACAATGAAAAGTTATCACAATTGTCACTTGAAAAGACTATCTATCAAAGTTAAAACTTGTTCACATGCGAATTTACATAAGTAACTTGGTCATAAATGTAAAAAAAATTATAGATTTGATCATTTTACTTTCGTTGTGCTTCGATGCATTTGTTCCAAAATGACTATCCTTTCCTCTCATTATTATGTGTCATAGTCTTGATTTGTAGATATGTTTTTTTGGGAACATTACTCATACAAACGAAGGTTTTTTTTTTTTAATTCTATGTGGAAAATATGTAATAAAACAAAGTAAGTTTATCGTTCGTTTCAAAGTAGACCAATGCACACAAAAAAAAGTAAATAGTATACATATCTCAAATTTAAAATTCTACGTGTCTTGTATTAATCATTTTTTTTTCTTTGAAAAAGATGAAATTTAGAATTCCGCGAAGCTGTGGAATTTGAGGCAACGTGGTTAACCCTCCATCAGGAGTGGCTACACATCCCACAGACTTCCCAAATCCACAGAATAATTCCAGTCTCTCACCCTAAACTGCTTAAAATAATTTATGGGTTTTGCCGCCTACTCGAGTTTTACAAAGCAAGGTTGTGATAGGGTACACTTACAACTCTCTCTCTCTCTCTCTTTTGAGTTTAGTATTGTTAGTCATAAATTTGAAGTTTTTTTTTTGGGGTGTAAATATTAAAAACATAAATTTGAAGTTACTTGTAATAATATTTGTCTAACCTAATGATGATCAGTTAGGACTTGGGACTTGGATATGACCGTTTGAGTCTTTGAGATGATTGAGTGGTTTAAGGAATTTGAATACTGTACTTCACATATATAATTTGAATATTATAACTAGAATAATACAAGCCGTAAGCCGTTACACCTGTTTATTAGACCTTCATAGCAATATACATGCGAAAAGAATCTTGAAACTATAAATAGATTTATAGTTATAACATTCTTATTTTTCTTTTTGTTGGTGAAAATAAATCGTTATCAAGATCCAATGAACCTATCTATTTTTATAAGTATACAGTTTGGTTGTTAAGACGTTCATTGGAATGTTGCATATTTCCAAATTAAAGGTACGAACTTATTGGAATAAGCAACACGCATGAATGTTCGAACAAATAGATTTACTTTGTATACGAATAGAGTATTATTTTCCTAAATTGAGAATACGATCGATGTGTAAATTCCTACGATTTTTACTGTTGCTTATAATCCAAATTATTACACTCAAATTTTACAAAAATAGTATTGTATAGCATGTTACATTTTTTTCTATATTTTCTTTCCATGCATACTGAAAAAAAAAATCTTTTATGTAAATTATTCCAAACAAATCATGAAACAAAATAAAAAAAATTCAATATTGAGAACTATCATTGAATACTTACATTTGGGTCCTTTATATTTATATCATGAATTATATGCAAATTAAATATCTTTGAAATGCACCAATCTAGAGGAACCAACATGCCCTTGCTTTGGCAGAGAATTTAGTTACTTTAACTTAATTTCTATATATAATCGGATAATAAACTTAACTGAATAGAAGTTCTCGAGAATATTCGGATGTTCTTACCTTTTAGTTTCACCGACCATCTCTGTACAATATCATAACTCGTTTATCAAAAAATAATATCGTAACTCAACATATTGAAAAAAGCGCATATATTATTTGGGAAAAAAAAATTCATAGTCTTCTGTAACTATCTCGTAATACGAAGGCGTGTTCAATCCTCGTTGATTAAGAGGGTTATAAAGTGAGAAGTGCAAACTAAAAGACTTAGGGAACTGATCACATTTACCATATTCCAAGGCTTGGGTAATGGCGTAGTCTCATTTCCTAGAAACCTCGAGGATCAACATTAATGCACCGATATGTAACACATTATAATGTTTGTTTTATTCTTATGGTATGTTGGTTTTATTATGTTGTTTAGTGTACTGAATTGATACAGGTATGATGATATGAATATATACAAATTTATTATCTTATACGTACCATTCATTATTCTCATACTTCGTTCTACTTCTACTTGGTAACATAATAAAAAAAAAAGAACAATCGTGAAACAAAAAATACATTAATAAAAAACTATAGAATCATATCGTATAAAGAATCATATCGTATAAAAAACTTACGAATATCATAAAGCTACGATTTTTTTTTATTAATAAAAAACCTGTGTTATTTTTTAATTTAGTCTGCTGGTAACCAAAATTAAAACAGAGAGTATAACATTAACAACAACTTACATCATCCACCGAATGGTGCGTGTCTCAATTGCTACAAGTCTCCTTCCACCACTGGTTTTGATAATTTATTGAATGGCTTAACAAATACTGTATTAACTTAAATATGTTATACAATGAACTAAATGAAGACCATAAGTGGACTAAATAAAATAAGCTGACATAACTGAATTATCAATGCGACACTATCAGCCAAATTTTGGTCAAATCTTTTGGTGGGTATATATGTAATGGCAATCATTTATAACATCTGAAAATAATTTGGTATGACAAAAACAATAATAATGGACTAAAATATAGTATTTTCCTAAACTAAAATAACAACTCCTTTCGTCCAATAAGTGTAATTATCGCCGGAGAATCTCGCAGAGCAAAAAATAAGCCGTCAAACATAAAAAAATATATACTACAAGAGAAAAGGACCAATTATTGCTGAAGTGGAATTGCCAAAATATTATTTTTGCTTATTTATATATAAACACATTCTTTCTCTTTTTAAATTTTATCAACCAGATTCGATCGGTAGAGTCAGCTGCTTAATCATGTGACATGTTAAAAATATAACTGATTAGAGACCTAATATCCCATGTTACAAATTTAGCATATAAAAACCTACCTAATTTCATGCCGTCTCTGTATTTTTGTTTTCTTTTCGTGTACATTTTTATAGATAGTTGAATATATATAGATTGGTAACATGAAAATATTCCAACATTTATTTTCTCATAGCCGTTATCTGCTTGTTTGACCAACGTATATATAATTAGTTATGTTATTGAACTCATTAAGCAAAAAAACTATACGTTGATCCTCAAGATTAGGGGCAGTGCACTGCTAGTTCATCGCATAAACTCATTTACATTGTACATTCAAAAAATTGCGAATATCAACAGGGTACGTAAATAACCCATTATATTTAATATAATTAAATAATATATATTTAGTCCATTCCATTTGTCAAGTCTCGAATGTAACATTTTTCGATTCATTGTAATCGATGAGAACTGTGAATGGAGTACTTTAGCAATAAACAAAAAGAAAATGAACAAGAAAGGAAGAAAAGAAGATAGAGATGCAACTAACTCCATAACTGTAATAACTGAAAAGGTATGGAAATATAATAAATGATTGGAGTCAAATGGTTCCCTCAAAAATTTAAAGAAATTTGTTATAGTGAAAGATGGGAAATCCATGTGATCACATGTTTCTCTGATTTTATTTTTATACCATCAACCTCAGGTGTCTTCTTGAACTACTTTATTTTTTTACTGGTCAACTCTTTATATATGACCTGTATTTTCTGACCAAATGTAGTTTGGTTTCATTCATACAAATATCTGAAATAATCAATTATAGTTTGCCTTATAGAATAATATATTTTCAGTTTCAACGATTTTTAAAGATCAATTAGATTGTAGTTTTTTGGATTACCTTTTATTTGGGTAAATTAATTTATTTTTTATCGTTCTTTTTTATTTTTTTCTGTTAAACGAATTTCTGCAAACATCCGTTTAACAGATTAATAACTTACATTTATGATATGATCTGGACTACTAGTATATATACATATGCATACATTAAATCAAATAAAATGGTTTGGTTTGATTTTTAAACGTCATGCATCAATATCGGGTCTCACGTAATAGCCGGCATGTGGTAGCTAACAAATATGATTAATAATCGTTAACATAATATATATCACAATATGATGAATGAAATTAAGAATATGTATATGATCATATATTTCATATCATAAAGAGCACAGATATTCATTCCTTTACTGATGAATTAGCAATAGGTTTTGGGTTTATAAAAAAAATATACGTAATTGACCAAAGTTCAATAATAGTACTACTTTTTTTTTCTTTTCAACTTACTATTATTTTGTATCGTGTATTTGTGGTATGAATGAAACTATATTTGATTAATACGAAGTATAATTAGGCCTACTATAATACAACATGGATGGTGGTAGAGTGGTAGTAGCTAATTATAGCAAAGAAACGGTGTTAAAAACTTTAATTGTCAATTAAAATGCTTAGGAAAACGGGTAACTACTTAATCTAAACCGGCTCCCACGATTCTTGCAGATGTACATTGCATTCTGCCTCAAAATTTATCATCTTTACTTTCACCCCTTATTTTAATGAAATTTCAGACTACTTGAATACTATTATGCTGATCAATTATTTATATTGTTTTTGGTTCAGTAGGTGTCTACTATTAAAATATATGTTTGTACGTTGTTGTCAATTGTCACCGTTTCTTAAGTTATGTATTTTAAAATTTTCCATATTCTACTTTTTAAGTTTTACCCTAGAAGTTGACAAAAAGAAAATAAAGTTTGTTCATGCATCAATCTCATGTTATATGCGTAGATTTGGACCAAAGACAAACCGGTTTATGACCGAATTGTTCGTCATTTATCCAACAAACCATTGTGATTTTTGTTGACCGAAATGACGTGGCAATCCAAATCCCGCTTAGGCTAAGTGGCTTAAGCCCAAAGAATTCTATAGCCCAGTTGGTCGTCTCCTGTGTCATTATTAAATTAAACTTTTTTGTTTTACATAGTTTAAATTTAAATCCCCGCCTTGAGGTTTCGTGACCTATAAGTAACAAGCGTCAAAAGAAGAAAGTGAGCTCGACGCTCAATTTCAAAACGCTCTTGGGGAAACTAGAAAAAAAAATGAAACCTATTGAGATTTCTACAAACTCAAAACCAGAGAGGAGTTAATATACAGGTCATACCAAGGCGAATCAATGGTAACATTAGAGGGTTTTCTCAAAACAATTTATCAATCCTTAAGGAAGTGGAAGTTGGGGTTATCAACGAGATCGGAAGCTGATTTCACATTCGCAAAGTCCTTCTCTTGCATGCAGTTGGAGATTTCATCGGTTTCAAAAGGAATGCTGTTGTGTTCACACATACAAAAAAGGCAAAAATATCCAGGAACTTAACTATAATCATGATGTCTGACTTTGGAGATATTTAATTTAGATCTGTAAGTAATTTGAGCTAGTACCTGGAATCGTCGTCTAATAAAAAGGAATGGTTTTCTTCATCTTCATTTCCCAATAGAAGTTTTAAGCTGGAAACCACCTGCATTGACAGCAACATAACGACCGAAATAGAAAAAGTCAGTATAGAGAGAGAGAGTCGCTTGTCTTTTACGGTTCATCAGATCTCCAAGAAGTACCTCTGGCGATACGTTATGATATTCTTGGTCTTCGTTTTTGCAAAGGGTGCATATCCTATACAGTTGCTGAGTACTAAGAGCCTGATAGACACAGAAATATCCGAGAGAAAGGTTAACCAAAATTCAACCTGAATCTTTCTAAATATAACACAAGGCTACACGAAGGATTTCAGTTCTTGAAAGAGTTAGTTTTAGGCCTAGTCTGTCTGAAATATATTTGCACATTTTTGATTCTGAAGCCTGTCTAATTATCAGAGAAGCATAGAGTTACCGGGCAAAGGTTAGTTGTAAGATCGTCGTATGTAATTGTGGACTTGGGTTGTGTAACCTGAAAGAAGAAGCCCACCAACATTCAGGAACGAGAAAGAGGAGGGAGAGTGGTGGTATTACTGTCAAGAGAAGAAGACAAACCAGGAGAAATACGGCTTGTCTTGTGTGGCTGAGTTCATCCCAAGAAGATCCCACGACCTGATTTCAAGAGTAACAAGTGAAATCATGCCTTAGAAATTGTTTTGTTACAAAAGTTGTTCTCAGAAAAAGTTTTTTTACCTCTTCAGTCGCTTGGCTACACCATGACTCTAGTTCATCTAACCCTGCCTTCACCTCTTTGCCCATGTTGAATGTGCAGTATTCTCGTTCGAGGAGAAGACTGCACCGTTCAGATAACAGCTCTAGTTTAATGTTTGATGGCATGCCTTGTGTCACGTGACATTTTAGCGGATAGAAACAGTTACCTGTTTAAGAGTTGAACATTGATGTATTGGAAAGTTTGGCTGAAGATTTTCTGAACGAGAAACAGAGGAACCTGAAAGAGAACGTTTTTAGTTAGGAAAATAGGCATTAATGTATGCGAAGCTTTAAATACAGAAACATCCTTACATAATTCTTCTTCCATGTGAAGAGGTTGTGATTCAAAAGTCCAATAATGCTTTTCCAGCAGTTCTCTGGCGACTTCTCTTCGGACGCCTTTGCTGCTTTGACCTCTTTAGTAGCTGGTGCATCAGATGACTGTTTTGGTGAGTTTGACTTAGCGGGGAGATTCTCTTGGGATGACTTAGTTGGTGAATTCTCTTGAGATGGGTTTGATTGTGAGTCCACGACAGAGGAATCATGTGATGAATTCTTGAGACTCTGAATCATACATTGGAGTAGAAAATAATCAAATGAAATGATCCTTTCTTCTAAGCTAATAGGGTCGATAGGGTTCAGCAAATGTATACCTGAATGCAGGAAGAAAGCAGGGAAGATACTTCTCTCTTGAAATTCTCTCGGAGGATTCCATACATAGTTTCGACATAGGCCGTGAGCTGCTGTTTGAAAAGCAAAGCAGGGTATCTAGCATCTACTTGGTGCACCACATCAGTTGAAAGGTTCGGGGAAGAAGTCGAGCGAAAACCCTGAGACAACCATATTTTGGGTACGCCCCGACACATAAGCTTTAATTGCTATGGAACATTAAAAAAATATGATAACAGTTTAGAGCTTGAAGAATCAAGCTTCACCTCCACCGAGACAACATTTTTTCTTGTTACCTGTGTCATCCTTCCAAAAAACGAAGTTGGCTGAGGAGGTTTCGTTGGGCTTGAGTTAGTTGGGCTATGTCTCAGGCTTCTTTGAAGCAGGAATAACAGAGTTGAAGTGTTTGTTAGCCAATACGCCAAATGATTGTCGTCTTCCTGATTTTGCTAATGAGTAAGCAGAGGATTGCGTCAACTTGTATATAATCTAACTCAGGAAGATTATTGACAAAAAAAACATGTCAAATTACCTCAATCGCAGAACCAAAAACAGGAACTATTCTGTCAAAGATGCTGGTTTTTTCTGCTTCGAATATTTTCCAGTGTAGGAGACATTTGTAAATTGTAAGAGCTGCAACAGGCTTTCCGTGACTGAAACCAACATTTTGGGATACACTTTTGAGAAGAACGTCTATAAACTCCTGCATCATAGAAGAAGCCATGACAACCATTTAGCCAGTGAGAAAACAAGTATGATAATTAGGACTAGTGTCTTCGTTAGGCACATACATGTGGTTGTCGTTCAACTCGAGATCGTCTAAAAGATTCCGTCCCAAACTTTTTTGCCGGTATAGGAGCAAGTGGTTCCTGTAAAAAGGTAAGATCCGTCAAAAATATTCTAGGGCAAACTAGCGATGTGCAAGAAGATGATTGAGTTGACTCCAGAACAGTTTATCACTCACCTGATTTCCATTCTCCACAGGCTGCAAGAGGTAAGAGAAAAAAGTCAAGATCTTTTTCTCAAAAAAGTCTACACGGAAGTAGGGGAAATAGTGAATTTACCGGCGCTCCTGTAAATGAAACCTGTGGTGACATTCTCCGGGAAGAAGCATTAACTAGCGCTTGCTGCCGGCGAATTTGTTCTTCTGCTTCCATGTCAGAGACTTTTTCCGCAAGCCTAAAAGATAACAATAAGTAAGACTAACTGTAGTGCAATTTTTTTTGCAGAGAAAAGATAGAACGCAAATCATCAGACCTTTGCATGGATGTCTTCAACTCAATTATCTTTGTCTCCGCGTCTAAAACTTGCTTCAGCCTCTCTTCACAGAGTCTACTTGATTCCTCATACTTCTTCTCTGTTTCATCTATTTTCTTTTCCAAGGAACTCACCAGATCCTGTTGAAAATTTATATGAATCAAGTTAGAGATGCAGACAAAATCCAAAATTTTACCAGAGAAAGGCTATATATATATATATATATATTTATGGAATATTTACAGTAAGGTCTTTGTTTTGAGCAGCAAGTTTGTTGACAATTGAAGCATCCTCTGTGAAACTCTCTTCTTTCAACATGATTTTCCCCTCCTTTTGTCCATCTGAAGAATCGTTACCATCGATTTTCTTCTCTAAAGAATCTACTAGTGCCTGAGAAGTAGTTCCATTCATCAGATTAATCAAGGGGACTAATAAAACTGAGCACACTTAGTTGATCATGTTTGATCCATTCTTTTGGTTGAGATACATCTGTAGAAAGGTTACCTTGAGCCGCTCGTTCTCAGCTGCAAGATTGCTCACCATCTCGTAATCAGATGAAACGTTCTCCTTCAACTGCTCTGTGATATTTGAGCTTGTTTCATCATGTTTTCTGTCTAATGCATCGATTTTCTTCTCCAAGGAACTTACCAGCGCCTAACAAATGTTATGCTTGATGAGATATATATTATCAAGAGGAAAAGTTTAGATTGTGTATCAAAACCAGTATCTAGAAATCATACCTTGAGCTGTTGATTTTCAGCTTCAAGCTTGTTGACTGCAGTCTGATCAATTACAGGAGCTTCAGCTGTTGATGTTCTCTCGGGTTCATCACTATTCTTTCGCAAAGAACTCACCAACTCCTTATAAGGAAAGAGAAAAAGACAAAACAACAACGATGATGTCTTGTAAAAAATCTTAAACATAATCTCCAACTCAGACACTGAATTTCCGAGACTTTTTACGGACTAACCTTAAGCTGTTCATTTTCAGCAGAAAGATCGCTACCCATCTCAATTTGCAGGTCTTGTAAAGCGGACTGCAACCTTGAGATCTCCGCACTTTTGGTTTCTTGAGTTTCCCTGAGCTCTAGTTTTATAGCTTTTAAATCTGACTGTAATGCTTCGATTTCTTGAGATTTGGCTTCCTCGATCTCCATCTGTACAAGTACGCTGATCAGATGCCTCATACAGAACCAACAAAGTAGTTTACAACAAGTTTCATAAAATAATATTTGTTTCTTCAGTAAATTAGATGTGTACCCTCATCTGTTTCTCAAGCTCCAAGTTTGAAATGAGTTCTTCCACTTCATTTTCCAGTTTAGTCTTAGCATCTTGAAGTGCTCCTGTTTCTTTAGCAGCCTGGAAAAAAAGAAGACCTTATAAGAAACAAAGAAAGTAATTGAAAAATTTTAAAGTACAAAAATTATTGGGACATGAATATCTCATGGAAGATGACTTTTTGTAAATAGTGAGACTGTGAGACTAAGAAGTTCATGTGTTACCATTTTAAGATTCCGAAATTCTCGGCGTGCAACTCTCACTCTCCAGCCACATTGAGTGGTAATCGCTGCTTTCTTCATTCTCACATAATGGCAATGACACAAACATCTTCTGATTTGACTCTGCGTAACCAGTAAGTTGCATGTATAAATAAGATTTAGGCAAAGTAAGACCCCAAAGAAAAACATCAATAAGTGAGATGAAACTTGCTTGAATAATGATGGCCGCTCTTCTCTTCTTCCTAAACTGAAGTTCAACCCGAGCAGCTTTTGCTCGCATCCCTGTCTGAACCGAACAAGCAGAGGAGCACAGGCTTTTATAGGCTTTGTGGCAGATATAAGTCCTTGCATGCTTCTGAATTCTCAGAGAAGCGGCCTCTCTTCGCATGGTCTCAAACCAAACACGTGTAAGTTGTCCTAAATTAAGTTTGACAAGGGAATAAGACAGCCTGATAATCAAAGGGCACAAAATATTTGTACCAGAAAACGCATTCAACATGTATTTTACCTCTACAAATGGCTTGAATATCTGTTGAAGCGGCCTGCAATAGCAGAAACTTCTTGCGAGATTGATAAGTAAGTACTTTCCTCTGTATAATCCGCGCTGAAAGACCAAGAACTTCAGCTCGGTGAGCATCCAGTTCTGCCATTTGACCTGCCCTAAGAAACACCTTTGTCTTCCCGATCTATGATGCAAGAAAAATTGTTCGTAAGCGGAATTGCCATATTTACAATGATAAGTCTTGTAGTGTTGACCAAGTAACATATTCAGTGGTGGCCTTTTGCAACACACTAGAAGATATAATTACGAAACTGCACCTGAAAACCTTTTAGGTCCGCTTTTGCTAGTAGCCTTTTGCAAGCGTCAACTTCGTCATAGCTATTAACCCAAAATCCAGAGACAGAAAAAAAGTGTTTTAAGTTGTGCTAATACTTTAAGTCCCATTAGAACTAAACTAAGAGAAATGATAAATTGTAAGAATAAATACAGGAATTAAGTGTTGGTTAAGCTACCTTCTCTTGGTAGTCTCTGGGGCTAAAATCTTGAACCGGGTCAAAAATTCATTGAAAGGCTTTCTAGTAGGATATCCAGCGCAGCTAATCCTAATGGCTTCCATGACCCCCTGAGATCAGATACAGGAAGTTCCACAACATCATGATCATTATTACTGTTGCAATTTTTCAAAGCATGGGGAGTTCTCTGAAACATTAAAAGCTTACCCCACACTTAAGTTGATGCAAAATATTAGTGTTCTCAAAGATTTCTGGCTTTAGAAGGTTATTTGGTTTAACACATCGTATGTAGTGTGGCTCCGTGGTGCTCAAACTCTCGAGCAAAGATTGCAGTTGTTGCTGTGTATGTTAGTACATGATGGTGAGAATCAAAGTGGATATTGTAAGCAGAATCAGTTGTAACTTAACATTACTTTCAGACCTTAAACTGAGAACCTATTGATGAGAACTTTGATGTTTTGGAAGATTCCTCTGGCAGTGGTGGAAACAATGATGAGACAAAAGTACAATCTGAACAGCTCAGGAGTGCTTGATGTTCTCCAACAACATAATCTTTGTTCTTGTCCAAAAACAGTTCTGTCTGATAAGTGACCTGAAATTAAACAATAGTAGAGTCATTAGACCACATCACGACAAGCATGTAAACAAGCGGTTCGGGTTATGAAGAACACTAACATCACCAGCATAGTGGCAAATTGTAAAGTCTGTTTGAGCCAGTTTCGGCTTGGCGAAACGCTTGTGGTCTTTAAAAGTCTGGTATAGCTTTTGTGAAAATGTATCATGTGTTGATCTTGGAAACATGCTGTAGAAGCAAAAAACAGAATCCCAATCAATTTTTTCTCTGAAAACAAAACAAAGAATCAACTAACAAACATGACCTTTTGTAACATTACCAAGCCTCGTCTAGAAGGGCAATGATACCGCCAGGTTTCTGGAATGACAAAACTGTACGTCAGATACTCAAAACTGAAATTCAAAAAGTTTCAACATTTCACATTGTGTGACTACAAACCTTTTCTATAAGGTCAAGGACATCCTGATTGTCAATGAACTCTATGTAACTCCAGTCAATCTCTTCTTTAGTATACTCTTCTTGTTCCATCTTGAACACGTGCTGTATAGAAGGAGGAAGTTATGTATGAGTATGGGTCAGCCGAAAAACAGAGCAATCTAGTGTCAGTGTCCAACCTGGTTGAAATGTTGCTGCAGCTTCTCGTTTGTCAAATTTATACAAAACTGTTCAAAACTGCAAGATTGACCGTGAAAATGAGAAGACTGTGTTGGAATTCACATAATCAAACAGCCAACCCAAAGAATTGCAAGGAACGGCCAATAACCAGAATAATCATATTGTTCCAAATCACAAGAAAGCTTTTAGCTAAGCAACTGAAATATAAGAAACTCGGCAACAGACCATCAGTTAAATGTTTAAAGAAGCTTAATCAGAGAGCATAAATGTAAAAATTCAGTTATCAGTTTCAGAGACTTATCATATCAGCAGAAAACAAAAGCATACCGGTTAAGCACCTGTTTGTCTTGAAACTCTCAAATCCATAAATATCCAGAACTCCAATGATGTGTTTTGAATTTGGGTCTTGGCCGATCGAATTATTGATCTTAGTCACGAGCCTGTAAGCAAGAAAATTTAGACCATTTTGCATAGAAACCCTCAATAATATAATAAAGAAAAAACCCATTAGAAAGATTTAGTTATGGTTCACTTACCAATCAAACAATTTCGAATAGACAATTTTGGCTAGTGCATCTCTGCCTAGAGCTGCACTATCAGGATCAAGCGACTTTGTAATGCTTTCATCACGAGTCACCATAACCCTTTTGCACAATGAATCTTCTAAAGATTTCTCGTCACACCTGCAACAAAGAGCAAGTCAAGGCTCTAATTCTGGCTGACCATAAAAGCCGTTTATCAGAGAAAACAGAGAGTAGTGAAGCCTTTACATGAAAAGCTCTGCTGCCACTTTTAGATGGAACCGTGATTTTTCGTCCTTAGGTTCTGCAGCTTCTGATTCTTCACCCTTTGCAAACTCGATGTTCCCTAGATGAAGGATTGCAGCCACTACTCGGAAGATTGCATCCTGTAGCGGTAGAATGTAAGGAGAGTTGTTACAATGACTCGGCATGTAAATAAACAACTAACCTGCTCTTCAGAATCGATCCCAACAACGTCCATAGCTTTCCTTGTAGCTAGGTATTCCTTGGAATCATCAAGCCCGTCCAAGGCATAGCAATTAGACTGATTAAGATAGCGAAATGTGCTTGGTTTTCCTAACTTGTACCTCTCTGTTTCCTGAAACCATATACTGTTTTCGTAAGCGCGGATCACATGTAAGGTAAAACATGGGAACATAGAAGAGATGAGGCTTTACCTGTTCCGGTGCAGCGCAAAGCATGTAAAAGCAATGATAGTTTCTTTCAGGGTCAGAGACTTGACAAACACGTGACCTCTCTAGCAAATACGTCCTGATAGCAGCTCCTGAGATCCTTCCGCTTTGGTCGAACTGAATCTCCACGAATTTACCAAAACGACTGCAACATGGGATTAAGTATCTTAAAGTTGGGTCAAAAAAAACAGGACAAATCAACAAAATGTGAGACTCATCCCCTCCACCTTGAATTGTTGTTTCTAACGGTTTTTGCATTGCCAAAAGCTTCTAAAACTGGATTGGACTGCAAGGCAGGAAAGTAGTAAATGATCAGAGAGAAAAAGTATGATTACTGCAGGAAACTCAGTAAAGTAAAGTCTATTACTTACCTCCAAAACTTGCTGCTCCACGGATCTTCCTTCACTCGCAGCTCTTCCACCCATGTAGGCAAGATATCTCATGAGCATCTTTGTGCTCTCCGTCTTTCCAGCACCGCTTTCACCACTCACCAAAATCGCCTGGCTCACTCCCTCGTTTATCATTTTCCTAAAAGTTATATTTTTGGTGATATCAAAAAGGCTGAAAAACTATTGATACATAATACGTACAAGCTGTTGAACACAAGAGAAGAGTTACCTGTAGGCAGAATCTGCAACGGCGAAAGGATGTGGACTTAACTCACCAAAAGCTGAGCCCTTGTACTGTTTCATCGTCTCAATTCCATAAAGGTGGGGTAATCTTTTAAAGGGATTCACAGCTATCAGTATGTTTCCGGTGTATGTCTGGATTCATCATGAAACACAATTAGATTGCAAGAAGAAAACTAGTACTTGAATTCAAAAGTGGTATATAATAGAGGTGTGAAGCTTACATATATTTCATTAGCATCATATCGGCACTTAAGATTGAGCAGAACCCCAGGTTCATGCAAATATGCAAGCTTTGTCATGTCGTCCACCCCAAGTTCAGGGAACTCGGGATCCTTTGGGTAGACAGCACTAACCTTTGCCACAACCTGAGGAACAAAAACGAATCAGATCCATGTGAAAATCTCAATTCTAATGTTAAGATGATCAAAAGCCAATATACAAATGTCTCAAAATAATGATATCATTTACTCCTTTGACGCATAATGATCTAACAAGTTCATTCTTTTTGAGGAAAGGAACAACATTTGGAAGAAGTTTACCGTGTTTCCGGAGGAGCAGTTTACAGTGATATCTTCAGCGTTAGCATCTTCAACTTCTCCATCTATCCAGGCTTCATCTGGATCCTCCACCCAGACATGAGACCCTACACTTATTTTTGCTGAAGCAGCCTGCCCAGAAATCTCATCATTACTAGTCACTACACTATCAAAACAAGTGATCCGAGGATGAATAGCAAAGAGAACAACAATAAAGTAACATGCTTTTCTAGAATCCTTTTATTTTTGTTATCATCCGTAACGAAATCAATAGAAAGGGGCGTTTTTTAAGAACTTTGTTCAATAATCTGCACATTCAATTTAAAAATGGAAACTTTTTAAATCAATGACAGATGGGACCACTGTTACACAAAACCAATTTGATACAGAGGGAAACCAAATTGATTTGAAAAAACAGCAATGCAATTAGAAAAGGGAAAGCTCATACCATTATTCTGATGAAATCTGGTCAGATTTTGCCTAAAACGATCTCGGTTCAACAATCCCGACGTACGGGAGGAACGTCAAAACCGGGAAAATCCAATCAGAAGGATTTTCTTGGGAAATTTACCAAACAGGGACCCATTGTAAAATCTGTAACGAACATTTCTCTTTCTCGGCTTCAGACTTTCTGATCGACGTCAAAAACAGAGATTGCTACATGCGGAGATTTTCTTAACGATCCTTAAACCCTTAAAGCTTTTCTCTTTCTAACACACAACGAAGAAAATGTCCAGAACCGTTACAGCCACAGATTTTCTCGCAGATCCTGGAGAATTTTCTTTCGGGTTTTCTCTCCTGTTTTTTTTTCTTTTTCCGGGATTAGTTTCACTCTTTTCGTCTTTCCCCCCACTGGACGTTGGAGAGCGAACGGAGAATCACCAAACATTATAACTCCTAAATTACCCTCTCCATTCCACTAAACCGATCCGGTTTATAGTCTCGATTTCAACGGATCAAGGTGGAAGAGAAAGAAACGACGTTGTGGGCGTCTTTATCGTTATTGGGCCAATCATTTCCTAATGGGCTTATATTTTTATGAAAATAGGGATTTTTTTCATTTTAATTCAAAAAAATAAAATAATTAATGATTTTCAGAAAAATCTTGTCCAATTTCCGTAACCCCTTTACGCCTCCGTCTCCGTTCTCTTCGCTCTCCGTCTCCAATGGCGGGTTTCAATTCTCTAATTCCTCTGAAACGCGGCGTTACTAGAGCAACCGGAAATCTAACGGCTCCGTTAGCTACTATTTCGGCTGCACGAAATCTCTTCACGGGAGCAGGATGTAATGGAGTCTACAATATTTGTGGTTAGTATTACTACTGATGAACCCCGTTTATGCACTCTAAAGATATAGAGCACTTTGAGTTTTCACCATGATTTCTTAACGAATCAATCCCTGAGTTCGAACTTGGAACTGATTACTTTAAGTGGCCATTTTGGGTATGAAATGTTGCCTGCTCCCAATCTTAGCTAAAGACTGTTCGTAGGTGTTTACTGGATCCTATTAATGTGAAGCTTTGTTGTAGGTGAGCAAGGAGTGTTTTCTCATTCCAATGGAATCAGGTAAATGCTGGGATTGGGTCAATTAGCATACTTTCATTCGGTTTTCATTTTTCCGAAATTAACAAAACCATACTTAGTATCGACTCTGATGCTTTACCATTCTTCTCCAGTAATCACAAAGCCATTGGTAATGCTGGCGCGCGTACCGGTCCGTTTCATCACCTTCTCCGTGTAAGTTTTCAGTTTTTAATTACACTGGATTTCAGATTTTCTTAGAGTTTGTTTGTGTGCATCTCATTCACTGTGTGAGGCATGCTACATTTCTCAGGTCAACCAAACAAACAAGCCCGCCTTTTTTAGGGTCCAATCTTTGAGCTACCAGTTCGTGGCTGATTCACATGCATCTCCTAGACGTGTTTTGAGAACTGAGGTACAACTGAATACTCTGAAAATCGGCTTTGTGTTTTTTCACCGTAGTCTTAGTGTGAGCTCAGTTTTTTTTTTTTTTTTTTTCAGACAGATCTTATACATTTTTAACACTAGATATATAAGTTATACCACATACTCATGTTACTGTAGCTCTCATTAGATTCGTATAGTCAAGCACAGAACTGATATCTCTGATGTTCAATATACTTTCTCTGATCCATGTACTTTTGGTTAGCAATTTGCTGACAGTTGCGCATTTCATCGTTTAGATTTCATGGGTTATATTTGTGACCAATGAGATCCCTTGGATGCATATTTTTTCATCTTGATGTAGGATGAGCAAGATGTTGCGGATCCATCAAAGAGGGAAGACGCTGAAACCCCTAGGAGGCATCATATGGGGGAGAACATACCCAAGAAGGATAAAATTAAGTTTCTTGTAAACACTGTAAGCCAAAAATTAATAATATTCTTCAGATATCCCCGTTTGCCTTTACTAATGGTTTTGTGGATGATGAAAATTTCCATAATCTTGTTCAACCTTGGTTTGCTGTTCTTATTTGTTATAGCTTTATTCTTTGGACTATGCAGCTTCTTGATATCGAAGATGATAAAGAGGCGGTTTATGGAGCTCTCGATGCCTGGGTCGCTTGGGAACGCAATTTCCCAATTGCTTCCCTCAAAAGAGTAATAGCTATTCTTGAAAAGGAACATCAAGGGCATCGAATGGTTCAGGTATCCTGAATGTTCTCTCTCCCTTTTATCTCATATTTGAAACTATGAATAATCAAACATCCAGGAACATACCCTCTATTTCATAGTGCCTGAAAAAAAGTATTACAGAATCTGGGGGAGGTTTTTATTTCGTTTCCACTGTTTAATGGCTTGTATAGGTAATAAAGTGGATCCTGAGTAAGGGGCAAGGGAACACGATGGGGACTTATGGGCAGTTGATACGGGCGTTAGATATGGACCGTAGAGCAGAAGAGGCCCATGCTATCTGGCGAAAGAAGATCGGGAACGATCTGCATTCCGTGCCTTGGCAATTATGCTTACAGATGATTCGCATATATTTCCGGAACAACATGTTACAGGAACTTGTCAAGGTTTGTGTTTTTTTAGGCTCTTTTAGATCATTTGCAATTCGCTTGGTTTAGTTCCTTGGTCGTTTCTTCTTCACTGATCGAACACTACTTAAATGGAAAATATTGCTTATCGATACTTGGCTGAATTAGTTTAGTTACGTCCTAAATTTATATCGTGCTGACATCAAACTCGGGTTTGTTTGTTTGTGGGTAATGAAGCTGTTCAGGGATCTGGAGAGTTATGACCGTAAGCCTCCGGATAAACACATTGTGGAGTCAGTGGCGGATGCTTACGAGCTTTTAGGAATGGCTGAGGAAAAAGAAAGGGTGTTGACCAAGTACGGCAATCTGTTTCTGGGCACAGCATCAGATGAGAATTCAAGAAGATCTTCCAGGAAGAAGAAGAAACCAGGTAGGTGACGGTTTTCCACATGAATATCCTCTGACCATCTAAACCTGTTGTTGATATTGAAGTTGTGATTTCAGGAGTGAGGAATCCTGAAGCAACCACAGAAGACGCAGCAAAAGCTTAGTTACAAGAAGAGGTCAAAGAAAATGTGGATAAAACACCAAGATTCAGAAGCTGCCACTGAGAAATGATCCGAACATGGAGGCATACGTTGTAGTGTTTGATACGTGTTTAGTCGGTAAATTGTCGATTGCAAGGGACATTGTGACAAAGCTTAAGACCCCTTTGGAATTTGTCGCGATGGATATAAAGATGTTTAATTTAGGGTTTGAATGCGGCACTCGTCGTAAACTGAGAAGGTTTGCTCGTCAAGGAAGGATCCGCATGATCATCCTACCTTAACCGAATTAGAAGATATCTTGATTTAGATTTCAAACGTCACATAATTAGACTAACGAAACTATCTCAAGATTCTCAATTCTCCACTAACAATCAGATTAATTAATCAAAACGTTAGTTTATGAAGCTTAGGACAGAAAAAACAATTTCAGATTTTGGCTCGCTAAAACTAATGATTGTTCGGTTTATGTAAAATATCCTTCTGTTTGAGGTTCAGATTTTCAATACGGTTTCGGATCGGTTTGAATCGGTTAGATCAGATTGGACGCCCTACCGAAAATATCCGGTTACGGTGAACATCACCATCATCAGGTTGATTTTCTGATAGTGTTGTCTGTGAAGCCGGAAATGAGAGATGCCCATATACCTCGCGGCTGTATCAGCATTCACAATACAGAGACGCTTCGATTCAAGATCTCTGGCCAATCGATTCTCGACAAGGTTACCCAAGTGTGAAAGGAATATTCCGGGATGGAACTGGTTTACGGAACCCACAAACGTATGGAGTTCCCGTGGCGAAGAGCAAAGAAGTCTTTGGAGAAATCCCAGTTTATTAGGTAAGCAGTGAGAGTGAGAGAGCACTCGTTTTCATGACAACGAATGAAATTATTACAACTTGGAAAAACCGATGCACCGGGACGTGTTCCTCATCAACGATAGAATCCCATTGAAACGAAACTTTTCTGTATCTAGATTGTCGTTTTCACTTTTAGTCTAGAAATCATCACATCTTGAATCAGCGTCGCGTTGTTACTCATCTTTACGTTACAAACTCTTCTGTTATTAGTAGCAACCGCTTAGACTGGAACTCTGGACTCGTCTAGATACCTTATTGTCAACTTATCAACTTTTTCATTTTTTCGTATCGTATTGAAATTTATAATCTAATCGGATATGTGTGACTATAAGAACCTGTCTTTCCATGCCTTCCTGCAAACGATTGAGCCAATTTTTGCTCTCATTACAAAATCTGAGCTCCTCATGCAGCTAGATTATTGTACATTGATTCACTACTTTTAAAATAGTTTGGACAGAAAATGGCGGGTCAAGATTTGGTGTTTGGAGTCAATGGAGAGAAATTTGAAGTCTTGTCAGTTGATCCTTCTACTACTTTACTCGAGTTCTTGCGTTCCAACACTCGCTCTAAGAGTTCCAAGCTCAGCTGTGGCGAAGGTACACACACACACACACACACACTGTGATTTTCCATTGAATATTGATATCCTTTCGTGCCTTTATTCGGTTTATACTCTTCTTAATTCTCAACTTCACATCTTATTTATGATTATTCTTCAATTTCCAAGTAAAAGTCATGATTTTGTTTCTTGAATCCATAAACAATCAGACAAATTGTTAAATTCGATGTCTACTTGCCCCCTTCCTATTTATCCGAATTAGTAAAACTCTTGTCTGATTGTCTGAGAAGTAGTCTCTACCAAACTCAGATAAGGGTTGGAACAATGTTTGTTTTTTTCCACTTGGTTTCACGTTGTCTTAGAACCGAGTTTTTCTGACGTGTTTTGTTGCCTGTGTCTTGTGTGTGTTTCTCTCGCTGACTCGGTTAGATTTTTTGTCCTGCAGGGGGTTGTGGTGCTTGCATCGTAATCCTATCAAAATATGATCCTGTGTCAGACCAAGTCGAGGAATATTCTATAAACTCTTGCCTGACACTTCTCTGCAGCATCAATGGGTGCTCCATAACCACATCCGATGGACTCGGAAACACCGAAGTTGGGTTCCACCCAATCCACAAGAGATTCGCAGGGTTCCATGCCTCTCAGTGTGGTTTCTGTACTCCAGGGATGTGCATCTCTCTCTACTCCGCTCTTTCAAACGCTCATAACTCCAAGAACTCACAGCCTTCTCGGGACTGCCTGACTGCTTCTGCAGCAGAGAAGTCTATCGCTGGAAATCTCTGTCGCTGCACCGGTTATCGTCCCATTGCTGATGCTTGTAAGAGCTTTGCTGCCGATGTCGACATTGAGGATTTGGGTTTCAACTCTTTCTGGAGGAAAGGAGAAAGCAGAGAAGAGATGTTCAAGAAACTGCCTCCTTACAACCCTGATAAAGATCTCATCACTTTTCCGAACTTCTTGAAGGAGAGGATGAAGCGTCAACGTAATGTTTTGGATCAGAAGAGGTATCATTGGAGCATTCCTGTTAGCGTCGCGGAGCTTCAGGGGATTTTGGCGACAACTGACTCTGGTGGTGATAGAGGTTTGATGAAATTAGTTGTTGGCAACACGGGAACAGGTTACTACAAAGAAGAGAAACGATATGGTAAATATATTGATATCAGCCACATTCCAGAGATGTCTATGATCAAGAAAGATGACAGAGGAATCGAAATTGGAGCAGTTGTTACCATATCTAAAGTTATCGATGCTTTGATGGAGGAAAACACGTCTTCTGCTTATGTTTTCAAGAAAATAGGTATTCATATGGAGAAGGTGGCTAACCATTTCATCAGAAACTCAGGGAGCATCGGTGGTAATCTGGTGATGGCACAGAGCAAGAACTTCCCTTCTGACATAACCACACTTTTGCTCGCTGCAGATGCATCTGTGCATATGATAAACGCAGGGAGACACGAGAAGCTTAGGATGGGAGAGTTTCTTGTGTCTCCTCCAATAATAGACACTAAAACCGTCCTTTTAAAGGTTGAAATTCCTAGCTGGACTGCTTCTTCTACTACTGGTTTGCTTTTTGAATCCTATCGAGCCGCGCCTCGTCCTTTCGGAAGTTCATTGCCTTATATCAACGCTGCTTTCTTAGCAGTGGTCTCTCACGATGCATCATCAAGAGGCATCGTTGTGGATAAATGCCGGTTGGCGTTTGGTTCTTTCGGTGGGTATCATTCAATCAGGGCGAGGGAAGTTGAGGATTTCTTGACCGGTAAATTACTCAGCTACAGTGTTTTATATGAAGCTGTGAGGTTACTTAAAGGGACCATAGTGCCCAGCATAGATGCCTCATACCCTGAGTACAAGAAAAGCTTGGCCATTGGGTTTCTCTTTGATTTTCTCTATCCTCTGATCGAGAGCGGCACTTGGGAATCGGAAAGAAAGCATATTGATGGGCATGTTGTTCCAACAATATCTCTGCCTTCGCTTTCATCTGCACAGCAGGTGTTCGAAAGTAAAGAATTTCAGCCTGTTGGTGAAGCCGTTATCAAATATGGAGCTGAGATGCAGGCTTCTGGTTAGTACTACTATAATGTTCCTTTCGTCGTTTTGAAATAACTTGATTTGGTGTTTGACGGTGAGCAAAGAGTCTAGCAGAAATGCTGCTTTTAGAATCTTTACTCACTATGTTTATTTAGACAAACAGCATAAGAACTTACATAAGTGTCTGTCTTGCCAGGTGAAGCTGTTTACGTTGATGATATTCCATCGTTACCCAATTGTGTACATGGAGCCTTCGTTTATAGCACAAAGCCAATGGCTAGGATAAAGAGCGTTGGTTTCAGAGAAAACGTGACACCGATCGGAGTTTTGGCAGTTATTACTTTCAAGGATATTCCTCAAGTGGGCCAGAACATTGGTTACATATCTATGTTTGGCTCAGGGCTTCTATTTGCAGATGAAGTTACTATATGTGCCGGACAAATAATTGCTATTGTGGTAAGTCCAGTCTCTGGCGCCTTCTCTTGTGGTAGACTAAACTCTCTTTTCGATAAACATTCCCAATTAATCCACTTTCTAAGTAATTCTTGCGTCTCAATCGTTTTTCCCTGACTTTCTTCAAGATAAATGTCCATTTTTGGTGACCTCTCAGGTTGCAGACACACAAAAACATGCAGACTTGGCAGCAAACCTTGCAGTAGTTGAGTACGATTTAAGGAATATCGAAACACCAATACTATCTGTGGAGGATGCAGTCGCAAGGTCCAGCCTTTTTGAGGTTCCTGCAGAGTATAAACCCGAACCCGTTGGCGATGTTTCAAAAGGAATGGCTGAAGCTGATCGCAAGATACGCTCAGTAGAGGTATTGAAACTCTCTTTCTTTCTCTTGATCTCGATCAATTCAAGAAAATAAATTCTTTAATACATACTTACACTCGTGTGCTGTTGAATTCGGTTTATGCAGTTGAGGCTCGGATCACAGTACTTCTTCTATATGGAGACACAAACCTCCCTTGCCTTGCCAGACGAAGACAACTGTTTAGTGGTTTACAGTTCAACTCAAGCAACCGAGTACACACAATCAGTAATTGCTGCATGTCTTGGCATCCCAGAGCATAAGGTGCGAGTCATCACCAGAAGACTTGGAGGTGGCTTTGGTGGAAAAGCGATAAAGTCTATGCCTGTAAGTACTATTCTCTTCTCTGAATAAAAAAAAACCTCATTCGGAGAGTTAAAGGAGACATGTCCATTGTAATTATATATTAATGCTGTTGAGATGATTTTCAGGTTGCGACAGCATGCGCGCTTGCTGCAAAGAAATTGCAGCGTCCTGTAAGGATGTACCTAAACCGTAAGACTGATATGATAATGGCTGGAGGAAGGCACCCCATGAAAATAACTTATAGTGTTGGTTTCACATCTGACAGTAAACTCACAGCACTAGAGGTAAAAATTTCAATAGATGCAGGGATAGATGTGGATGTGAGTCCAATACTGCCACTGAATATAGTGAATTCCCTGAAGAAATACGACTGGGGTGCATTGTCGTTTGACATTAAAGTGTGTAAGACGAACCTTCCGAGCAGAACGTCTTTGAGGGCACCCGGTGAGGTACAAGGTTCATATATCGGTGAATCCATTATTGAGAATGTAGCATCTTCCCTGAACATGGACGCGGATGTTGTGAGAAGGATAAATGTTCACACTTACGAAAGCCTCCGCAAGTTTTATACGGAGGAAGTTGCTGGTGAGCCTGATGAATATACTTTGCCCTTGTTATGGGACAAATTGGAGATATCTTCTGATTTCAAGCGAAGGGCTGAATCGGTGAAAGAGTTTAACCGTGACAATGTATGGCGTAAAAGAGGGATTTCTCGAGTTCCCGTCGTCTATCAAGTTAAGAACAGGCCAACTCCAGGAAAAGTAAGCATTTTAAGCGATGGTTCGGTTGTGGCTGAGGTTGCAGGTATTGAGATGGGGCAAGGGTTATGGACAAAGGTACAACAGATGGTTGCTTATGGTCTTGGTATGATCAAATGTGACGGAAGTGAAGATCTCCTTGAGAGAGTACGGCCTCTTCAGACCGACACGCTCAGTATGACTCAAAGCAGTTACACTGCGGGCAGCACAACATCGGAGAACTGTTGTGAAGCAGTTAGGCTTTGCTGTGTTATCTTGGTGGAGAGGCTGAAACCTACCATGAATCAGATTCTGGAGAATGCTCGAACCGTGACATGGGACACGCTCATTCAACAGGTAATAACATAATGACTTACCTGATCATCATTCTCATCATATATTAATCGATTTTTGAAAACTGCAGGCGTATGCTGAATCTGTGGACTTATCAGCTCGTACCTTTTATAAACCAGAGTCCTCTTCTGCAGATTATCTCAACTACGGAGTTGGAGCTAGTGAGGTGAATCTTATAACCGATGGTTTTAGTCGTTCTCTTAAGTCAGTAACATGGGCAAATATATACATGCAAAACTGTGCAGGTGGAGGTTGACATTGTAACAGGAAGAACAGAAATTATACGATCAGATATCATTTACGATTGCGGAAGAAGCCTTAATCCAGCTGTTGATTTAGGACAGGTAAGCTTGAGTGTGGTTTTGGATTCTGGATGTGCCACTTAATGTTGCTATATATGTAAAAGTTGGTTAATGGGGTTTTCTCTTTTATGTTGTGTGAGAAGATCGAAGGAGCGTTTGTTCAAGGAATCGGGTTTTTCATGTATGAAGAGTACACAACAGATGAAAACGGGCTTGTGATTGAAGAAGGCACATGGGACTACAAGATCCCTACGATAGACACAATTCCCAAACAATTCAACGTTCAGATTCTCAACAGTCGTCATCACAAGAACCGTGTTCTCTCCTCTAAAGGTTTTTTTTTTCCTCCTCTAAAAGGTTTTTTAATCTTTTTCTTTGTTAGGCTGAAATTGTCTTCTTCTTCTGATGCAGCTTCAGGTGAGCCTCCGTTGCTGGAAGCTACTTCTGTGCATTGTGCTACAAGATCAGCCATCAAAGAAGCTCGAAAACAGTATCTCTCATGGAATTGCAACAATGGTGATTGTAGAGACGGTTCTGAAGTTGGGTTTGAGTTGCCGGTTCCAGCGATCATGCCGGTTGTTAAGCAGCTTTGTGGCCTTGACAGCGTAGAGAAGTACTTAGAATGGAAAACGTGTACTTAGAGTGAGATAATAGTAAAGTGTGTAACACTTTTTAACGTAATGATTATTCTCTATCTAGTTGACTTTTTGTTGCCCTATATAAGTCGATAGAAACGAAACAAAAAAGTACAATATTCTCGTGAATTTAAATTACATTTAACTCCATTAAAATACAATGTAATTTGCTCAAAGAAGTCGGCTGGGATATTATTTGTAGTATTGCAAACCACATGTTACATGTAAAAACGCATTTCCCCTGTTTGAAATTGTGGTCATTACTGGTTACCGACGTACCGTTCAACTTATGGAAACAACAAAGTCTCGAAAACAAATTTGTGTATGGGTCGACCTGAAATAAAATTAATTATTCTTTTTGTGATAGAGAATTTATAACCGGACTTTAGTGATACGTCATAATCAAATCAGATGAGTCATTTTTTCCCAAAAAAAAAAAATGTATAAAAGAAATACATGGGACCCACTCGTATCTAATTTCCTAGGACAGTCGATTTCCCCGTGGGGTCCTTTAAAATGAAACCTTAACCTAATTTTTAGAGCCTTTATAACCGTTGGTCTACTTTAATTACTTAATAAACTCGATTAGAATCTTGATTATCTGTGGAAGACCTTAAACCTTCGTATACCCTTTTTTAACTTTTAGAGTTTTGTCTCCCTGTTATTACTCCTCTACACGCTTCTCGATCCCTCTTGCTCTCCCTTCAAAATATCATTTTTATTTTCTTTTTGTTTGTTTCGAAATTGAAAAATCCTAATTCGTCTCGTTCCTCGATTCAACGATCCTTACGAGTTTGCCCCAAGATTACATATACACGCCGATACGTACAAAGCTTGTGACAAGATTTCTTCTGTGTAAGGAAGCCAAAGCTTTCTCTGGCTTTCTCCTCTCTCCTCCTCTATTTTCATTTCTCTGAAACAAAGAAACCTCTAAAGAAAAGTTCAAGAGTCATGATTAATCCATTGTTATCAATCCAGAACTCCCCAACCAAGCTTTTGAAACCACCATTTTCGCCCTTTAACAGGAAACAACAACAACAACAAGAGAGGCCCAGCAAGAACAGCAATACCCTTTTCATGGTCGAAACCAAATCAAGAAGAGCGGCGCCACACGCATGTCTCTCCATAACTAGAAAAAGAAGAAACAATGGTGTGTCTGAATCTGAAGAAACGGTGAGGTATGAACAAATGGGTGGTGAAGGAATCTCGGTCTTGTGTGGGTTGGGTTATTGGGTACAAGGATCGAGATGTTTCCCATGGCTTGCACTTAATTTCCATATGGTGCATAGCCTCGGGCTCCAACCATCGACGCTTCAGCTTGTGCAGTATTCTTGCAGTCTTCCCATGGTGGCTAAACCTCTCTACGGAGTTCTCTCAGATGTTCTTTACATCGGAAGTGGTCGTAGAGTTCCTTACATCGCCATTGGAGGTTAGTTTTTCCAAAAGCCTCTCTCTTTCTCTGTCTTTGTATGCTCAGAACCAACCAATTATAGGCAATGAAGAAACTTGCTGACTGTGACGATTTGCTTCCTTACAGTAATGTTCTGAAATCTTGAATGTTTCAGTGTCTCTGCAGGTTTTAGCATGGGGTTCAATGGCAATGTTCCAAGGAGCTAGACAAGTTCTTCCACCTCTTATGGCATGTGCCCTGCTTAGTAACCTTGGAGCATCAATCACTGAGGTTGCAAAAGATGCTCTTGTTGCGGAATACGGTCTGAGATACCGAATAAATGGTCTCCAGTCTTATGCGCTCATGGCTTCAGCAGCTGGTGGGATCCTAGGAAACTTACTTGGAGGATTTCTCTTGCTCAGAACACCTCCCAGGATCTCCTTTCTTGTCTTCACCGCGGTGTTGTCTCTGCAGCTTGTTGTTTCTTTATCTTCCAAAGAAGAATCTTTCGGCTTACCACGGATTACAGAGACAAGCTCGGTTTTAAGGAGCGTAAAGAAACAGTTATCGAATCTGATGGAAGCAATTCAGGCGGATGGAATCTCCCAGCCTCTAATCTGGGCAGTAGCATCTATTTCAATGGTCCCACTACTCTCGGGGTCAGTCTTCTGTTACCAGACTCAAGTTCTTAATCTCGACCCTTCGATTATTGGAATGTCCAAAGTGATTGGACAGTTGATGCTTCTTTGTCTAACCGTGGTCTATGATCGCTACTTGAAGACACTTCCCATGAGACCACTGATCCATGTCGTCCAGCTCTTGTACGCTGTATCGATTCTCCTCGACTATATCTTGGTGAAGCAAATAAACCTCGGAGCTGGAATCTCCAACGAGGTCTTCGTGCTCTGTTTCTCCAGCTTAGCAGAGATCCTTGCACAGTTTAAGATCCTTCCATTCGCAGTCCGACTAGCCAACATGTGTCCGCGAGGCTGTGAAGGATCGGTCACGTCTTTTCTTGCTTCCGCTCTGTGTCTATCACAAATAGTAAGCGCTTTCTTAGGCGTGGGATTGGCTAATCTGATCGGTGTAACATCGAGTAACTACTCAAATCTTCCTTCAGGGCTTCTCATACAGTCTCTAGCAGCTTTAGTACCTCTGTGCTTCATGCACTTTGTCCCAATGTCAGAACCTGCGATTGGGGAAGAAGTAACAAGGGCTACAAGTAAGAGAAGCAGGAGAAATAGACGAGTCGGAACAGTAGTACGCCAGGAAAATATTGCTTATCGAAGAGGAAGAGAGTCAGAAGAAGCACAAAGATAGTGTAAGCTACACGTAAATAACAGGTTTAGAATAATTAGTTCCTTACGGTGAATAACACAATTATAATGCCAATTTCAAAGCTTACTTTGTTTTGGCCATGTATACTTCGTTTATACTGAGATATTTTTGGTTTTCTTGCGGCTATCCCATGAATCTAAGTTTTCTCCTAGGCATTTCATCGAACACTTCCTGCGCTTCACAGAACTTTCCACATTTACATCTACATGGTGAAATCAGTCACAGCAATATGTACGAAACAAAACCAAAATACGTACTTTTAACTATGAATCAACCGCAGCCGCAAGCTTTTTGATAACGTCGTCATCACCATCTGGCGAAAGGATCATGGTTCATGCATTAACGCATTTTTCCATAGAAGAAGAATTATTCACGTACGCACGCGATTATCAACGAGACGCCCATGATTGTTACTCTTGCACCGATTCGACCAAGACTCGAAGATCACAAATTCACAATCTCTCGAGGAGCAGCATTACGTTTTCAGGTTTAAAGATAAAGTCCACGGAACGTGGTTTACTTTTTGATTCACGATTGGACTTTAACCAAACCGAACGCAACCCTAAACCGAAATCGAACCAAACGAGAAAATTGAACTGTGTTCACACATCTTTCCGGATTTTACTTAATTTCCTCAGTAATTTAAGGTTCATTTTAAAAATTAGACCGTTCGATTTGGGTTCAACTCGACTCGAAAGTATACAACGAAGATGTAAGAAAACACAAATCCATTAACAAAAGAACACAAACAGGTTCGTTCGTTCGTCAGATCCGATGGAATTACATTATTACATAAAACTTAGGGAAAAGAAGAGCAACGTCTACTATATTATTATCCAAATTGACATATCAGTATAAACACACACAACGACTCTAAACGGCCATGGTGGTGCCAACACCAGCCTTGTGCTCGCCGGCATGAGTGCCTGGTACGTGATGGCCTTGACCTGTAGCGTAGTCAGGGTCTCTGTATCCAGGACCGTACTTGCTGCTGAACGCACCAGCATGGATCAGCAAGAGGTAGAGAAACTGCGTGAAAGTCAGGATTATAATGAAGGCTTCAATCATCTTCAATCTCCATCCTCTCCATCCTCCTATGTGTATTTGCTTGCATGCCAAGCTTCGTCAAAAAAAATCAAATATTAAGACAATGATCAACATGTAAATAGGTCGAAAAATATCAACAACACAAAATGTGTATTTATTAAAACCAGCACTCGTATACGAACTGATTACCCCATGGCAAGAGCGGTGACAGCCCATGCAACGATAGAGGAAGATCCAGCGGCGGCGAGGCTATCGTTCCTCCAAAACCTAATATGATTAGCTCCGGCCAACTTCGACGCTATCCCTATAACGGCTGCTAAAATCGAAAACGTCAAGAAGAAGGGCGTTGCTCCGTTGCCTCCGAAACCTAAACCAATTTTGTCAGAAAAAGAGTATTAGTAACAGCCTCGATTAAACTAAACTTAAATGAGTACATATATAGAAACAGAGAGATTTGAAGAATGGTTTACTTGGGTGGTTAGTTTGGCCGTTGATGTATTTATTGAGACACCAACTCGCGAAACCAAGTACGATAAGGTACATAACCAGATTCAAGAACAGCAATGGTGCTGCTATGTTTCTTCCGACCGTTGTCGCCATTTTCAATTTTCCTCTTTTACCCTTCTCGTCAACCTCTGTTTTACTGCTTTGCCACACTTATCCAAATACAACAAAAGCTTCGCTTGTTTCGGTGATGGTCGATTGAAAGGATATGTGACATAGTTTTATATACACGAAGCTAGTGTGGTTTCTGACGAGGGACACGTGTCATACACAGAGGATCTTCAGTGTTTAGCTGGTTACAGGTGGTGGGACACGCGTCGAAAGGCTGTTCAAAAGTGTTGGATATAGCCAGTGTTGTCACTGAGCTCGAATCTCCAAGTGCTTTCTTTTATATTATCTCCTTATGCTATATATCATATTGAATGTTCGAGGCTACCATATTTTGGGGTCGATTTTACTATGTCAGCAATGATTTATAATAAATAATTCGCTTGGAGTTAATTATCATGCATGCCATATATATATTGGGAGAGATAAATTATCTACTGGTTAACTAAAGTGATCTTGAGAAATTTGTATATTTATGTAACTTTTGATATATTTTCATAAGATTGTTTCATGATACTTGAAGTCATAAACAAGATTACAATTTAAACAAAACGAATAATTAGACAGTATTGGAGCAATACGAGTTATCATTTGAACACCAAACTTTTTTTCTGTTTGAAAGAAAATGCATGTTTGTTTTCTAGCTAGAAGCCTCGAACGTGTTCCCTTTTTTGTTTTCTTTTTCAAAATTTATCTGAAGAAGGTTTGAGAGAAAAAGGAAAAGTTACAACCGACTATCTAGAACTTGTCTTCTTGTTTAAATCAGAACAGAATCGTTTGAAATGCCGTTTAACATAATCATGCGAACTTTAAACTCGAAGACGTGTATATGGATTTTTCGGATAAGTTCTTCTTATAGAACGAAATTAATTTCAAAGATTATCAGCAATGGCTACATCTAAGCTGGAGCTGCATAGGCAAGGCAATACTGAGACAATATATAAACAAGGTTACTGGAACAATTGTACCAAGATACAGGTATGTTCACAAATCTTACCGATATATCGTTTGGCGTAAACACTACAAACATTTTAGATCCTTTCCTTTCTACTTTGGCTTTTCCTTTCAAGCAACTTGTCTGTGTATTACACTGGATGAATATTTTCAGAGACTTTATATATAATGTTCAGTAATTATATATAGCAGCAGGCATGATATAATCTGATTCTTTTGAGAATTAATTAAAGTCTTAAGATGTTTTGGATGAAACTCCTCCGGTTTTCTCAAGATCCCGTTGTCTTGCTCGTTCCATTTTCCGCTTTCGCCATTCTTCCAATGCTGAGGAACATTTGTAACATGTCAAAACCAAACTCCATAGCATAAAAACAGAACAAAAGCCTCCCTATTGTGGGAGTTACAATCTTTACCTTTCACGCTCGATGCATCGTTTAGCGCGCGGAAATCCTTGAGCCGCTTAGAGAGATCAACAGCTGTGTTCTGCTTCACATCTTTCTGCTGCTCGATTTCTTGCCCCGCGGATACCTCCTCTTCTATTTCCCGTACCTACCATTCCAAAATTACCATAGGGCCAAATCTTCTCATATGTGAGTCACATTTGTGAATTTTTGCAATGCTAGAGATGAGAAGAAGCGGCTGCAAAATGTGTATTGCTTACTCTTTTGATGAGCTCTAAAGGTTGCATCGCGAGCCTAATCTCTCTGGCTTCCTTCATATACCGAAGCTGAGCTGCATTTATCAAAGGGGTATGTATGATGAAAGAATGTTGCAAGAAAGCCATAAAGAACAAACTTTCTTTAAAAACCCCAAAAGATAAGAGAAAGTCACAAGCTGAGGAATGTAGAAATACATCAACAGTCTCCCAGATAAATGACAGTCATTTTTCATGTATAGAGGTTTAAAAATGTGACCTTTAACAGCTTTAACGTCAAATCCAGACAAAAGTTCCATGGGAAGAACTTCAGGATGCTCAGATAGGCAAAATCTAATCGGAACCGATTCTTAGCATTGTAAAATCCCTAATTCCAGGAACAAGTGATATTGAATTCGAGAAATTGAAGTGATGATACAGAAGCGTTTACACTTAATCTGTGAAAGGGATCCAGAAATTTGAAACAAGTCTCAGTTTTTTTTGTTATGAGCAGATCCGTGAAATACTCATCACAAGACGATCCCTCAAGCACCAAACTTTGATTCGAAATCCGATGGAATCCAGACAAAGTACGAAAAAAAAACAGGCTATACCCAGACGGATTTACGAAAAGGGTAGAGAGAGAAATCACAACAAACCTGAAATAAGTCGGCGAGAGGAAGAAGAAGATGAAGAGGAGGAAGTGAAAAACCCCTGAAGTAGGAAGAGGAAGATGAGAACGTTGACGATAGTCAGAGCAATTGTGGCGTTCTTGAAGGAAAATCTCATACGCCATTGATGATTATGGTCCATTTTTTTTTTAAATTCCAAACCCAAATCGAATTGTGGTCTTTAGGATTTCACAAAAACCATGAATTTATGAAGAAGAAGAACCATGAATCTTCTCCTACAGACTAACAGGTGTGTGTTTTGACTTTAGTTTTTTTCTTTTTCTTTTTGGATTTGGACTCATTTCTTACCTTTCCGTCTTTCTTGTTAAGTCTCTCTTTTTTAGGTAACGAATTTAACTATTTTACATGCGCATCGCATAGCATTTAAATAATTTGGTTTGGTGACAATGAATCCAAACATTTCTTACCTTCTTTCCCTTTAATTAAAAAATTGAAGTAGATTGTCTTTTGGATTATTTTATTATTTTTATATCAAAGTTTGTTTGTTTGCTATGTTTAAATTTCAAATAAATATTGATGAAATTTTAAATCAAACTATTTCTTAGGTGCGGTTCTTTTGTTTTGGTGATTGATCTTAAAAACATCTTTAACATTTGTAACAGTCTTCTCTGTTTCTGCAAAACGTTTTCACTTAAGTCGATGGAAACCACAAGAGACAGTAAACAACATCAAGAGAATCAAGAACAGCCAAAATAAGAATAGCACGAGAAACAGAACTCTGATCACATTAGATAGCTTCAACTATTTACAATATGAGAGAAGAAATAAATAAAAAGACCATTCTCTCTGAGAACAGAGACAATTGCTACACCGCGAAAGAAGAAACAAGTGGAAGTAAAAGACCAAGAAAAGTAAGTACGAAATTAAATGACCTAAAGAAAACACACATATTCAAAACAGGATTATAATCAAAAATGTATCTGAGTAACTTGCCAAACTCAAAAAACCATAACAATGCCCAGCTTTGCAAGAGAAGCTAAACAGTAGGGTTGTTTCTTTGTCTCTCCTTCTTTTCTCCATGTCTTGGAGCTGCATTAACAACAATGTTTCAATCGTTTTTTCTATAGTTATTATAGTCGAGACGAGAAATCGAGAAACCAGAAGATGATCATTAAAACATACCAAGTCCATTAGCTTCCGAGGTTCTCATGATCCGAAGCCTTTTCACCGAAGTGCTAAACATTCTATTAAAAAACAAGGCGAAATGATGATTTAGATATTCATATTAGAGACTAATAGGTTCAAATACTAAGCCAAATTTTTCGATTCTTACCTCCACGGAACATCGCCCACGAGCATCCAATCTCCTTCCTTATCTTCATAAGTGAGTACAAACTCTGATGATCCATCTAAAAGTCTTAAAGGTTTCACCTTTTCACTAGAAGTAGCACCTGATCATGATTGTAAATATAAAATGTCAGTCAAACTCCAACAATGGAAAAGAATCCGTCTGAAGTATAAGCCCTACTGACCTGTCATTCCGAAGAACATTTCCTCAAGCGTCTGAGCCAAGGTTTCATATGATGAATGAGCTCTCATATCCACTTTTCTGCCTATGCCAACTCCATCCATGTTCACTTTGACAAACCCTAATCCCTGAACTTTCCCATTCGCCTTCATTGAGACATCTTTAGGCTCATCATTCTTCATAACTTTCTTCTTCCCCTCTCCTTCTTCTTCTTCTTCTTCGGCTTTCGCCGCCTTCATAGCTTGGTTGTTGACCAAACTGTTCATCCTGTGTGACCCAATTGGTGGCCATCCCACCACCTGACTGCTACAACAAACAAACAATTTTTACTCACTCACTCTCGAAATTCAGATGCAATCATCAAAGCAAACATCTTACTACGACCAAATCTTAGCATAAGCATGAATGACTCCATAGCAGGAAAAGACGAAAAGCTCTTCAATTTTGTAAGACTTGGAGATACTACCAAAGACTGATTCAGGGTATACTTGAACATAAGCCAACTCAAACTCTGTTCTGATATGGTAACGCTTTCACATCATGCAACAACGAAACAAAACCAAAAGTTTCGAGCTTTCTTAATTTAAAAAGAACAAAGACGAACCTTGAGCGAGGAGGAGAAGCTCCTTGGTGAGATGAAGAGTCGGCAGCGCGTTTAGACCCAACAGAAGGAAAATCCTTAGCCGTTAGAATCCTCCCACGCTCTCTCCACGCGCCACCGCCGAGGCTGAGCCCTAGTCCCAACTCCAGCTCACTCTCAGCCGGGAGATTACTCTTCCCCGCCTTCAGTTCTGACCCATCACGCATGTTAATTACGAATCCAAAGATATCAAAGAGAGAGAGAGAGAGAGAGAGAGAGTCTTTCGAGGAACCACCCAAGAGAAGAGGGTCGAGGAAACAGATTGCTGAAAATCGAATGGAGACAAAAGAAAGAGAGCGTGGGTATTTAGGGTTTCTTCAATCTTATTTGAGAGAGACGAGAGATGATGAAATCAGAGTAAGAGAGAGGAGATTTGGTGGTGGAGAGAGTGATGAGAATTGGGACCCATCTGTCTTGTAATGGCCATACCACAATGCCATTTTTTCTAACCAAAGTCTCCTCATTTGCTTTTAATATTAATTTTCTTTTGCTTTACCTCCCGACATTATCAAACCTGTCGTGCCTCTCGTTGCGTTATTGTTGGTTCAAGCAGCAAGAGAGAAAGAGAGTCCCAAGAAACTTGTTTACAGTTGTGTGTGTGTGTTTGCATAACAAATTGTTATAATATTGGCCAAGTTCTTGCTTTTGCTTTCCCACTTGTATATATCGTAATGCTTTCGGATGAGAAGTCATTGTTTTAGATATCAATTTATGGGATTGAGAATCTTTAGAAACTTATAGATTATATAATACTTAGTTAGAGGCATCAATCAATGGTGCAGTTCGTTTTAAAAAGTTTAGACAAATTTGTATTTTATATAACCACAAAAATATAATACATTTTAAACGTGTAATTTAAAGGGCTAGTTATAACATTTTCCCTCATATCATGATTGTTGTCGAATAAACTGAAATAAGAAACCCAAAAATGAGAAAAAAAGGATTGATGTGATTCTTTTTCTTTTTCTGAGAATGAAATTAAATAATAACAAAATAAAACGCAGAAAAATAGAGAAAAAGAAAATTGATGGAAAAAATATGCATTATTATAAAATCGTGTTGATGAGAAGATATTCATCATGATGTTTGATGATCGATTGAAAACTTTTGCAGGCGCAAATGGTTTGTGGAAATTACACTTTTTGATCAAAATCATCATCAAGGAGTACACTAATCTCACGCTCTAATGGATGGATCTGATAGTAACAAAAAAACTACCAAGCTCGATGAAAAAAAAAAAATCTGTTGTATTATGTATGAACCATTTGTATACATTGACGTAGATTTTGATATGCACAGACTGAGTTATTATTTACTCGGCAAAGCTTTTCTTCCGGTAACACACAGAAGTTTTTCTTTTGTCAACTTCGGCTAATAAAAAGAAAACAGAACAAATCAAACAATTTAAGCTTGGTTTAATCAATGATGGTGGACATTGACACACAAATGTGTATCATTTTCAGCTTGGTTCAAGACACAGATAATTTGTTCACTCGTGCTGCAAAATTAGAATTAGTTGTTTTGTTGTAGATTGGCACTGATCAGTATAAACAAATCTATTCACTATATGAACAACTGTAATAGTGATAGTATATGAAAAGTTTGATGTTGTATTGACTCGTATAATCTCTCTCTCTTTTTAATCAGAAATCATAGTCTACAGTACACCACTAAAATTCTCACTCACTCTTTCACGCAAATGTTTAACTCCTTTCATTTTTTTCTAATTTTGCGGTATGAGCATTTCATCTCAAAATTTATTAGCAACATTTTCATAAAATAAATATTATTTACTAGAGTCACTCTTTCACTTCCCATTCCAAAAAAAAAACATTATTATGTTATTGGATCCAAAAAATATGAAAATAATAAAATTTGTAAAAATCACACAAAGTTTAAATCATCGGCAGAATATGTGCGTTTGATGTGCCCGGTCCCATCTTTTTTATTCGAGTTGTTTGGACTTATCGAACCATTACCACCACCACATACGAAACTGCATTCCACACCACATATTTTACTGAAACACGAGAAAAGACCGTTTCCTCCATCTGTATGACGGCGGTTATGCTTCTTCGTTGCTGGAGTTTTTCGTCTTGAACTTCTACCTCCTGTAGCTGCAGCGGGAACAACCGATCCATCGAATTCACTATTACTTACTTGGCTCGATCCTATATCATATAACGGTGGTAGTTCCGTCCGCCATCTATCGAGCTTTGACCGCAATCCTTCCATGCTAGATTCGTCGATGCTCCACTCGCTGAGTATCGAGCTTTCTGTTTCATTAGCCTGAGATCCATATTTCACTATTTTGTCAGCCACTTCTGATGGCGACGGACCTAACTCTGATTCAGTTAAGATTTGTTTTCCGACTAAATTTGACTTCATCGGTGTACCATAATCGTGATGGGTTTTCATCGGTGTACCCATGTAGTTCGATCGCATTGGAGTGGATCCAACGATGTTGGACCTCATCGGAGTGGATCCAAACATGTTGGACCGCAATGGAGTCTGCATGGGAGTCAATTCAACCATGTTGGGACGTATTGGTGACATTGCGATGATGTTGGATCTCATCGGAGTCGATCTAATCCCGTTAGATTGCATCGGTGTAGATGCAACAATGTTAGATCTCAATGGCGTTCCATGCCTTGATAAGTACGGGGAAGCTCGGCCTTGGTTATAATCTTTCACCGGTTTCTGTTTCTCGTTCATCGTCGTCCTTCTTGGTGTTTTGTGTGATTGATGGTACGAATTATATGGTGGAATACCGTGACTCTCCTTTTTGTGCACTGCTACATTTGGTCTCACTTTTGGCAGCGGATCTATGAGATCCGATTCGATTGAATCGTATCTTTGCCTCATAACTTTAGGGGTTTTGTTAGGAGGCGTGTGATCATCTCTCTCTATCGCATCAGAATCTGTTGTAGTTGGTACAGATTCAGATTCGATGCTTCCCACTGCACTTGTCGGTTGTCTGTTAGCCAAACGGCTCCGTTCAGCTCTGCTCAGAAGATCAGAAACCACCATAGAGCTGGAATCGCTCCTCGTACGACGGAGCTCTGGCCTTGAGACTACAGACTGGAACTGTCTCGAAGATGGAGATTGTGGATTCTTTGAGCTTCCTTTGTTGCTGTTTAGATGCAAATGCTGTAAATGACGATCCTCTTCTCCTAGCAAATCTCTATATCCCACAGCAGACGAATCCATATGTGTATAAAGCGGCATACTTCTCATAGAACCATCAAGCAATCCAACACCGATATTTAATATCCCTTGAGGCCGTCCTGAGGTACGACGAACCTGAAGAGCCACAAATCTCATTTCCGGAAGTGGCGTGCGACGATACTCATTGTTGTGAGTTCGGTATCCTGGTCGACGATTAGGAGGAATGAGATTGCTTATGAGGACACGAACTGTGCCTACATGGACATCTCTGAACCAATGCAATGCATATATTTCAATGACGACGGCGGAAGTATCAGCATAAAGAAACTCTTCGTTGACTCGGAATACAAATTTATCGTTCCAAGTTGGGTTTGCTCCGCCGTTGTAGTCAACACGTGTGGTGAGTTTACGCTCAGGATGAACCCAAGCCACCGCATAAGTCTTCATCTTTCGGGAGACAGGAGCCAAGTCTTGAGATGAAATTATGTTCAGTTCTAACAACTGAAACGATGGGAACAACATCGACATTGTGATCAATAAATTGATTTTCACATTAAAATCTTTTTGGATGAAGTTTTATGTTTTTCTTTCTTTTGGAATAGATGTGAGAGAGGAGTAGAATTGCAAGAGAGACAATTAGATGTCTCTCTCCTAATTCTCGATTCAAAATTATGAAGAATTAGATGATGAATGAAGAAGAGATAGATTGTTTGAATGATGGTAGCAAATTTTGAAAGCTAATAATAACTAGTACTTTTTTTGCCATTTTTATAAATTCTAATTTTGTGTTTTTTTTGAGAAAAAATAGTGAATCTATTATGAGCAATGTGGTGTTTTTCAGCAAAAAGTTGCTAAATTAAGAAATATTCATAGGTATCAAGTTGGCATTGTGATGAACTCAATTTTTTTTGTAGCAATGTATGTGTTTTGATTTTAATTGTGAAATGGTGGTGTTGTTATGTTTTAGGGCTTAAACAAAAATGAAATGAATAGTATGAAAATTAGTAATGACTGACTTCTATAGTAAAAACTTTTCAGTAAGGTTTTCTTTTACATGTTAGATTAATAACATGTAACCAACCCATAGTCCAAAATGAGCCGTTTGAAACACGTTATACAGTAATTACAGTTTACTTACTAGTAATGGGCTTTTTCTTTCGTGGACCAAACGAATTTGACAATTTGCCTTTTTACGATTGACTTATGGGGTCAAGACTCAAAAATAGCCAACTTCATGTGAGGAGCTAATTGTCCGCCCAAAAGAAAGGACAAACTCATGTGGATATCCCCATCCTTTCTTTGTTTTTCAATTACGAGGCTCACAACTTTTATACATCTGAAATCAAAACCCAAACTTTATTCTACAATAACCAAAGAAAAAAAATACTTCTAAAATAAATCGATCCATAGCCATTATAGGTACTTTGCTTAAACAATTCATTATTTAAGTTATAATTGGACGATCACGATCATGTATTATCTCGAGTTAAGACTGATCAATTAAACTGATGTAGCAAATGGCTAGGAAAAAAAAGAGATTAGCTATGAGTGATGTGGGTCAAATAGAAAGAAAGTAAACCCAAGAGAGAAATTTGTAAAAAGGAAAATATAGTAAGGGTCCTTTGCGGAGGTTCGACGTTTCCCAGGAAATCAAAGCAAAACCCCACTTATCCTCTTTCCCTGTCTGAGAGACTCGCCTAATAACCTCAAAATTATTTCCGTTCAATCGTTGTCTCCGGGTCCTCCGAATCAATGTCCACAAATAACATTTGAGGAATTACAAGATTCGTTCGAAATCGACGACCCACCAATTGTTCACAAAGATTGAATTGAAGACCAAAGTTGAAGACTTTGAACGGATTCGAGAGAGCGAGTGAGAGAAAGTTCCAAAACATGCTGAAGACCGAGCCATCTCTCTCGAGTTACTGCGAATCTGGAGATGGGTTCACAGCCGATGAACCGGTTACTGGAATCGAGGAGAGTTTGGAGAGAACGGTTTCGATTGGCGACTCGGTCGACGCCGACTTCACCTTTGCGAAGCACAACATCGGTAGCTTATCGGTCAAGAAAGAAGACGGTGAAGAGATGGAGAAAGGGGTTTTTGATAGAGATGAAGAGGTTATCAAGAAGAGAGTTGATGAACAAAGTTTTGAGATTGAAAGACCACCAAGCCCTCCTATGCATTTAGCTGCAGGGCTAGGTGTTGATAAGTTCGATTTGTACGGTAGTGAGATCAGATTCGATCTACCGAGTTTCGACGATGAGAATTGTGATGATTACTACAAAAGAATGATCGAGGAGTATCCGTTGCATCCTCTGCTTCTCAAAAACTATGCCAAGTTCTTGGAGGTATTTTGATTGGCTCAAATCATTATCTTTGTGTAATGATGACTCTGTTTTGAAGAAGTTTCTTTTAATGTCAAGTTTTTTGTTATTGTAAAAAACAGTACAAAGGAGATCTTAATGGAGCAGAAGAGTATTATCACAAGTGTACTGTAGTTGAGCCTAGTGATGGAATGGCCTTAGCTAACTATGGTAGATTAGTGATGAAGCTTCATCAGGATGAAGCTAAAGCGTCAAGCTACTTTGAACTCGCTGTTCGAGCATCTCCTGAGGATAGGTCTGTTGGAACATTGATCTTGCTAAAAACCATTGGTCATTATATGATATAATAACTAACCTTGGTTGTTGTTTTTTATCAGCAATGTTCTTGCAGCATATGCTAGTTTCCTCTGGGAGGTGAACACTGAGGATGATGATGAGGATGATGACCTAACCCGGCAAGGAAAAGAAGACTTTGAGGTTTGGTTTTTCATTCTCCGGATCGCGTTGATTCTTACAGACATTTAGTTCAAAAGTAGAAAGTTTACTTGCAGATGGATTCGAGTGTGTGTCACTGATAAAGGCTTTCAATTTAAGTCTCTCTAATGTCGGGTTTTGTTTTTGTCCCGGAAAATAAGCCCGAGGAAGCGGAAAAACGCAGCTCGAGGTTGTCCGAAACAGAAGATGGAGAAACGCTGTGTAGATATGCGAAAGCGTTTTGGAATATTAACGGTGACCGTGAGAAGGCCCTCTTCTACTTCGAGAAGGCCGTTGAAGCCTCTCCAAATGACAGGTACAAATGTGAAATGTCCCTTACACAAAACTTATTTGTTTTCCCGCCTTTGAAAGCTGAAGTTTGACTGCATCATCTTTTGTAAATGGCCAGCATTATACTTGGAGAGTACGCTCGGTTCCTATGGGAAATAGAAGAATGATCATCATCAAGAAGAAGAAGAAGAAGAGGAAAAAATCTCGGCTTCATAAGATCTCTCCTTCTTGAAGAAAAAGCTTTTCTTATATTAGCTGTATGCAATTTCTCTCATTTCCGTTCTGATCTTGTATTCTCAGAAATGACAAGACTCTGTTTCAAAAAACCCTTTTTATCTCTCTCTCTCTCTCTCGCAGATTCGAATGTTTTTTTGCAGAATAAAGCTAATATAAGATTGTTGTAGGAATTTTCTTACTTCCTTCCTTCTTAGTGGCATTTAAGATGAGTATAAAAAGCAGGGAAACTCTATTTATGGTAATGTAACTGGTCAATTGAAATAGAAATAGTAAGTGTAATTGATTGAGAAAAACAAAATCCTTTCTTTTCCACATCTTTTTTTTTGAACATTCTAATGGTCCTTAACATCCACCACAAATCCCTTCCTCCCAAGAATTCTGAACTAACAAAAACAAAACAAAATATAATTAACAATTTGATGAAATAAAAAAGCTTGGACTAGGGGAATCTAAACTCCTGCCTCTCTTTTGAGGGATTAGACTCCTTTTGTTCTCTTCCTCCCCCATCTTTCAATAGTCTGCCAAAGAAAAATATCATTGTAATGATAAATTTCAATTATCTTCCCTTTATTATATATATTCTTCATCACATCACATGTGCATGTGTTTGTAGTTTGTATGTATATTATTTATACAAGTAAGTGTGTAAGTAGAGAAATGGGGGTACCGTCATGTTTCTTTTTCATCAAGTTTTTGGCAAAAAGCAAGCAAATGACAAGAAAGCCAACACCAGCAGCTCCTCCTACTATTATTGCCACCGTCTTCCCTGTTGCTCCTGTCATTTTTTTTTTTTTTTTTTTTGGTGCTTATCATATTAATATCAAATGCACCCATTAAAAAAGAGCTATAAGAATAATCTAACTTTAACTATATTTCATTGGTGGAGGAGATCATATACCAAAAGTACTTTTGAAGAAAAAAATTAGTGGTAGATTTCTAAGGAATGATATCTAATTAATAATTTACTGTTCCTTATGGGTAAAAGATTATTTAATGAAAGCATCATAAGATAAAGTATTATTAATTGAACTGCATACCTAGATGGCTAGAATCATACTACTACTGAATTAATTGAAAAAAGGAATAACTGTTACCAATAATTATTAGAAAAAAGCACACATTTCTTTCCTTTTCGTTAAAAAAAATAGTAAGAGACTGAACGGAAAAGAAGTCCCACACTGAAGCCTTCGAATTAAAGTGAAGATTAACCAAAATCTGAAAATTTTCAAAATTGATGCAAAAAAATACTAAAAGATTTAAACCTCAATTTGTAAACCCAGATTCGGATGAACCCACGAAATCTCAAGAGAGAGAGAATCAAAATGTCACCTGTGGAAGACGAAGGATCTGAATTCGAAGAGCCAGAGCTTGACGAGGAAGACGAAGAAGAAGATCTTCTAGGGACACCATTTGGGTAATAACTATACGCGATGAAACACTTGTGGAGGTAAATCTGACCGGAGATTGAGCTCCCACACTCGACCTGAGCTTTCTCGAGTGCGTTCTTAATGCAGCCGCTGCAATCGGAGTCTCCGACATCGCCTTCGCATTGTCCTAAAACGTAGACAGACTCGTAAGTAGTTGCGTAGAACCCGTGGCCTGACACGACGCCGTTTTGCATCACCCCAAACGCCGTGTCTCTCCTCTCTTCGAACCCTGTTCCGGCGATGTTGTTCTTCCCACATGTCTTGAAAAGCATCTCCATCCCTGCAAAAAAAAAATTAAACCGGAAATCTATGTTAAAGAGAAACCAAACCGGTAGACGACTGGTATAATCGAACCGGTAATCTAATTCTGCTTTTGGTTTAGCTGAACCGTCAACAAAGCAACGTAATTGAAACTTCCAAGATAAAGTTTTTTCTCTGGTTTTATCGAACCGATAATCCAATCGAAGAAATATTATTAAGGATAAACCGACGGGGCTGAGTAATTCGATTCCCGGTTCGACTGAACCCAAGGAAAAAGAAGAAGTAGAAGAAAGGGTTACCTGAAATTTGAGAAAAGCCAGCGACTTCATAGAGAAGATAACAGCCGGAAAGCTGAACCCTAGAGGCAATGGTTTTGCCACAGAGCTTGTCTGAGAGAACAGGCAGACGACTGACACAGTTGTAGCAGTCGTGGTTGCTCAAATCTCCTCTACACTGAAAGAGGCCAGTGATAGTGGTCTGACTTGTTCCTGTTGTGGTCTTGTAGAATCTAGTTTTAGTAGATTGAGACACCAATGAGCCGAACATAGCAGAGAGCGCTTGTGAGTATAAACCAGATGGATCTGAGAATTGCTGTTTCGCGCATCCTTTGTAGATTAAGGTTGTGTATTCGGTTGTTGCAGATTCTACGACATTGAGATCTGAAAACAGTAGACTCATCGAGATGATGGTTATTATAGTGCTGAGGAATGAGTTTGGAAGACCCATTTTTGTGTTGATTCTTGTGGTCCGTTCTTCTTTGGAGGGTTTTTGGAAGAAAAGGTTGGGAACAATCAAATCATTGGCTTTCTCATTGAAGATATTGAAAGATGGAATCTTTGTGGGATTTTGAGTTTATGTAATTGGTTGCTTGGTGGCTCAGTAAAGCTTTGATTTTTTTTTTTGTTCTTCTGTCTGTTTTCTAGGTTTCTGGGTTCTTGTTTTTGGCTTTGGGTGGCTACTCTTTCTCTCTCTTAAGACATGTGAGGAGAGAAGAGAGATTAGGGGAGGAGAGAGAGACGCCTTTTTCTCTTTTAACGCTTCTGAGCCATTTAGTTCTGAGACTGTACAATGTTTGATTTACTGCAGCAAAAACAATAAATAATTGTTGATTGAATAAAGCTTTTATAACAGTTTATTTATTGCTTAGCCTCCTTATTACCACCTATTAGTGGCCTTTGAATCTAATTCAAAGTTAAAGTCATTTCAGGGACTTACTTTGTAACAATCTGGTTTGAAAGGTTGGTTATTTTGGGAATTGGATAGAGAAAGATACGAACTTTCTTGCACTTGATAGCTTGATACTTGATGCCAAGATATATGTTAATGAAAATTAAACTAATAACGGAATTACAAAAGGTGGGCCATAAATGGAAATTTAAAAAGGCAAGAGAGAGAGAGTTGGAGCAAGAGAAAGAATCTACTGAGATTGGTGGGGGAATGGGAAGATTGTGAAGTGTGTTTTTTGACCAGAGTACAGTCAAAATCTCTGCCTGTCTCGGGGTTTTCTAATTTCTATGAGCACCACCACCTTTTCTGTTTGTCTTCATTTCATTGTCTTAAGACTCGTAATTCGTAACCACCCTTGCTGCTCCCTACAAATAGTGTTCAATTGTTACTGTTATTTTTTCAGATATTATAAATTCCTTCTATCTAAAGCCCCTGATTTCATATGTTTCCTAGTCCCACAGATTTGCTGAGGATAAAGACTAATTTTCTTTATTTTTTAGTGGCTGAGGATAAACAGACAAAAAAAAACTTAATACGGGTTCTTGGAGGTCAAAATAACAAAGTAAGATGAATTGCAGATTCTTCCGTTACGATGATGTTGTAGGATCTTTTGGACTCGTAATTGTAGATGGAGAAAGGGAAGGAGGGAGCTCAGGTGTGAATGTGATTGTGAAAGGGCCTTAAAAGATACAAAACACGAACTGTAAAGATACAACAGAAATCGAGAGAATGGAGGATTTAGCTACTTTTGATAATGAGAGTTAGACATTTCTTTTCATGAATCTTCTTCGGTAGCGTCATCTCCAGGTAACCCAAATATCCTGAGATTACGGTCCATTGAGCCAACTGCTACGTATTTGGCGTCGGGGCCAAACTTAACACAGGTGGCTTTACCTGCAATGATTTATTCACAATTTTTTGCATGATGAGACTCGAAAAGAGAGAGGAGGGAATAACAGTGGCTTCAAAAGCTTAATCATATGGCATTTACCTGTACCGGATAGATCCGGAAGAGTCTTGATTGGGTTCCACTCTGCTTTTACACTGGCCGTTTGGAATACCCTAAAACATTGAAACACACAAGTTTTTATTAGTACAATCTGCAAGAGAAACATGTACATACACCCAAAGTATATTTCTGGTGATAACAGATTCTCGAAATTCCAAAACTCGCAGAATAATATTTCGTTATCAAAGTGAGCTCCTAGATCGAATGATTCCTTATGTGTATCAATGTAAACCTCACCTTATATCTGAAGCAGCAATACCAAGATAAGATCCGCTATGATCAAACTCCACTGCACAAAACATTTCGCTCTTGTCTTAGAAATGAAAACCACAATAAATAAAAAAAGGGGGGCTAGCACGAGGTCCACAGGTGGTTTTAAATACCTGAGTTTGCATCAGGAAATTCAAATGTTCGGAAGTTCTTTAACTTGCGCAGGTCCCACAACCTAACACCATCCAAAGCAGCAGTCTGAACAATTTTCATGAACAGAAAAAATATAATAATTTGGTCAGTAAAAGTGGAAGCTGGTGATTTCGTCTTTCTATTTAGTTGGTTCCAAGTACCCACCGCGAGGAAATAACCGTTCTCAGAAAATGATACAGATTTAATTTCTCCAGTGTGTCCACCAAATTTCGCCACATTTGCCTATTAGCCAATAGAGATAGATAAAAAATGAGAGGCTAAGTGAGAACAAGTGGAGAATACTGAAAACGCATGATGATCTAAAGATTTGATGGACAAGGAAGGTCAAAGGGGACTTTACCTGACTCTTTACATCCCAAATCTTGACAATAGACTGAGCGGTACCAGTTCCAAGAATAAGACCATCCGGGTGGAAAGCAGCAGCCGTGTAATCCACCTTTTCGGAATCATCCGTTACCTGAATAATAACAAGCATGAGGAATGACATGTTGAAGAAAAAGGTTCATTCTAATGACAACTATTTCATATTAACAATGTTCAACTAATGTTTCTCATGTTTTCTATAAACATTGTTATGTCAGCATACGAAAATAAAATCGGAAACTGGAAAATCAAGTATCAGTTGCTTGTCGATAAGAAGTTTGGGGGGGGGGGGGGGGGGGGGGGGGGGGGGGAACCTGGGCAAGGCATAAACCGGACGACAGATCATAGAAGCACCACGTACTGTCAAGCGATGCTGACACAAAGTATTTATTCGTTGAATGGACAGTTACAGCTCGCACCTGAAAAGTACATACATTGCTTTTACGTTATAACAGCACATATATATGTATTACAGATAAAATTGTATGTGACTGTAGCCTAAGTTCTCCAATTTCATCCTTACCTCTGCAGAGTGATCTTTCAATGTATGTCTACAGGCATAGTTCCCATCCTCGGAACTCCCCCAGATACGGACTGTCTGCATAGTGTTATAACACCAAACTAATACCCATCAGACGAATTGTGATGCATATCATTATGATAAGGTATGTCAACGTTTTAAGGTGACGTGTATAACCAGGAACACAATAGCTAGGCTCATTAGTTTTTCAAAGATGACACGATGACTTTTACAAGAACTAGATTTCGCAGCAGCAACTAAATTATTTTTCTTGACTTTAAATATACAAGTTCATCTCCTCTATACTACTCGTTAAAATCATGCAATACTTCACAAAGGACAAGAGAAGCTCCTAGACATATGTTATACAAGCACTACACAGAAATTTTTTAAGACCATCGCATTTAGGCCTGTATATAATCTTGACATACCTTGTCCGATGAAGCAGTCAAAACAAGATCAGTGTCACCTACAAACTTAATACTAGTAACCTGTAAAGGGAACAATGCATGTCAAGCATGAAACTGGAGTGGCAATTTAGAAGAAAAAAAATAAGAAAACCACGGCAAAACACAGACCTTCTTTGAATGACCGGTCAACGTTGACAAGATTTGTCCTGAAGAACGATCAAAGAGAACGGCAGTTGTATCAATTCCTCCAGTAGCAATGACATCCTGATCATTAATACAATGCAGTGACTTCCCAGAACAAAGAAAAACAACATCTAGTGATGAATGGAAAATAGAGAAGGTACAGGTGTCAAACCTTGGAATGTAGGATGTCCATTGAATATATACCAGGTTTGTTGGTCTTGTGAAGTGGGTGGCTTGAGAGTTGGGTGAACTTCTCCAGAGCATCAATTGAAGCCAGTGTTGGAGGGATCTAGAGAACCAATGATGAAAAAGTATTAAGACAGGCAGGCCACACCCAAAATCTAATAAAACACAAATTACAAACTCCAAATAGATATATCCGTTGAATGGAATGAATAATAAAATACAGAGTTAGCCTGTAGTTCTCTCATGACTTCTACTTTCCAACCAATATACTAATAGATGTGAATCTATATGATTACCTGTCTCTTTTTACGCTGCTGGGAAAGAGAAGCATTACAATCTGTCAATTCTGTTATAACTTCAGCCGAAATTCCAAGGCGCATTTTCTTTGCATCGGGCCCCTGTTCACCATGATCGGCAGCTATTTTGCAACAATAAAACATAAGCAACTTGTTACAAGAGAAATAACTATTGACTACATAGCCAACATATTTTGAGAATAAATTGTATAGACATACCTCGTTTACCATTACTAAGACCAGCATTCGCTGTGGCAGCTTCGGAGGCTGCAGGTAACTGCCTTTCAGCCTCTGCAAGCAATTGTCGCGCTTCGTCTCTTTCTTTTTTAAGCCTAGCAATCACACGACAAGCAGCATCATGCTGCAAACAGAACGAAAAGTGTACCACCAAAAAATTCCATCAATCACCTTTATCGCTAATAATTAATGTAAAAGTCCAGGAAAAGAAAACTGGACTACATAATAAATAGGCGTAAATCAAATACAGGTGATGGCACAGGCACGTAATCATAATTACCTGATACAAAGCATGACTTAGCTCTTGCCTCGCAGTATGCAGTTGCTGTTCCAGTGCAAAATTTGATAGCATCAAACTGTCCCATTCCTGCAGGCAAACAAATTGATAAAACTTTTAAGCATTTTTTTTGCCTAATTCAACAGAACTGTTGAACAATCCTGTCTTGGTAGCAGTAAAAAGTTAACAAATAATTCAACCACCAGCAGTTAGACTGCAAATCTGATATGTTAAATAACTCAAACAGTCACGCGGACCTATAATCTATCAAGTTCTTATATCCAGATAACTCTATATGATCCTTAATAGACAGAGAAGGACATGATCAAAATGAACCTTCCAAGAAGAAAAGCAAGCATAAATCAGCAAAAAGTTGTGGAAAAATGAATTAATAGCAAACAATATAAAAGCTTACAGTTTGAAAAGTTCCGAGCAATCCAGGGATGCTAGCTGTGTGTAATGGTTTTGGTTTTACGATCTGCAAAATGGAGCCAGAGAGCAAATCAGGCTACAATAAGTTTCCGCAAACACTGCTCTGTGACAAATCATTCCACAAAGCATTACCTTTCCAGTTTTGATGGGAACAATGTCATCAATGGTATGTGGTTCACCAGTAACCGGGCATTTCCCATAATCCTACACGAGTACCAAAAGCATTTAATATATTTCAACTAGGCACATCGTTGACGCATACATAACCAAGTTTTCATATTGGAAATCGGATGTAGTATCAATGTCTGACTATTAAGCTAATCAGGATCTTAATAATTCCCCTAAGAGTATAAAACAAGATGCATTGACAAATCAAAAATCTAAACAGGAAAATTTTCGAAAAATGTGCAAATCATCGAGACAATAAGGACCGCACTAGATCCAACAAGTGTACATCACTCCAAATTTTGAAATTTTACACTAGTGCTAAGAAATTATCTAAAGAAGATACAGAGATAAGCGTAGGTGAACAGCTGAAAAACCCTGGTACGAGTCGAACCACGGAGAAAATTTGAAGAGCTTACCGATATATGCCTCTCGATTAGACGCTTCTCGTATAACAAACCCGACTTTGTCGAAACCACGGGCTCCTCCGGAACTTCGCCGGAAACTGTAACAAAAAAAAAACCACTGTGTCGCCATACAGAAACCAACCAAAATAAAACCCTAAATCCGCAAATAGAGAAGAAAGAGAAGAGCGAACAGAATCCTTACTTGCACAGTTCATCTTAATTTGAACGAAGAAGAATAAAATACGCAGCAGCAGAAGATTGACCGGTGAAGCTAGAGCAACCCCTTAGTGGCTGAGCTAGGGTTTATCTACTCCGGTCCGGCACGCTTCTAAACAAAATCGCGGAAGCCGGGAGGAGGCTGGAGACGGAGAGAGAAAGAGGCTGCAAATGTTATTATGCTCACGGCAAATTATTTCTTGCTATCAAAATTGGGCCTATAACATAATATATGCTAATTTAGGCTTTTTATCAAGCCCATTAGTAAACGATGTAGCTCCTTTTTTGTCATCCACTGAAACGACGTAGTTCCATACTTCTTTTTTGACAAAACTCAAAAATGGAAAAACAGAAGATTGTGACCATTTCTTAACCATTTTGTAACCCCAATCCATCCATTTTAACAATTTTTAAAACGGTTAGAGGTACCTAAAACAGTTGAAGGTGCTTTACTATTTTATTAGATTTTCCTTTGTTATAAATAAATTAAATGTTGAAAACATCATTTAATTCATCTCTCTTGATAAATAAAACATTATATGAAATTATCCTAACCATAAATAAAAGCATCACTTATTAAATAGTACAACTGTACAAGCCATTAAAGCCAAAAAAAATAAAAAAGGATTCCCTTCATATAAAATATCTGATTGTTTGTAAGAACAAGTAGACACGAGTTTGATGATATACAAAAACAAGTAAACATGAGTAGTTAATACGGAAATGTTTTGAAAGTACAAAATGAAGCACAAAGGGAAGCTCTATAAACTAATGCGATGCTTTATGTTTATTGTCCTCCTAGCTAGGTTTTAGATTCTAATTACGGAACATACAGAATCTTATCATGATTAGTCCCGTAATATATATACTCTTTCTCTTTTTAAAAGTATATATGATGTTTTAATTTTTTTCACATATATTAAAACACACTTTTATAATTGTTTCTTTATAAATATTTAACTACTTTTTATTTTCTATTATTATATTAACAATTTAACATTATTTTCCTCTTTCTAGTTGGTATAAAGTTTCTTATAAAACTAAATATATTAATTAAAACCTACAACATGAATCTTTTAAAAACAAAAAAAAAAAAATCCCAAAACATATTAATTTAAAAAACAGAGGGAGTAGAACGTAACATGCTAGTTATTAACCAATAGAAGTATCTACTACATTACTACCTTGCCAAATAAGAAATCAGTTATCGTATACGTACGTATACTGTATATATAATATCGTAGCATATTCCTTGTGTGTATATATATATCTGAACTCTGTAATTAACAACTGTGTCGTGTGTCTATCTTTTTAGTTCGCCGTAATATCCAATTAATTGGTCAAGGAATAAGCAATTATTCAGAGCTCGTATTTACAAAATATCCACATCGTTTAGTACCAGAATAATATGCGTAAACAATATTTATCGTAAAGTTAAAGTAGTTGTTATTCTCCCAAAACAATAATGTTTACAAATTCTCTTAAAGTATAAGGTACAAGGCCCGTCCCTTTGCACGTACGACAGATGTGTTTTTTCCCCTTCTCTTTGCATATAAATTGTATTCTCAGAATCCAAAATAAAGATAAAAACTGCATTAATACAACAAAAAAAAAAAAACAAGAACGTTTTATGGATATTATCATTGTTCGTATTAAACTACGAAGTAGAATTTAGTCAACACAATCTACTTAATTATACTACAGTGATATTTTTCTTCACATGTATAAACCTTCTTCAAAATAACAAATTTAACGTTTTCAATCATTTTAGATTATTTTTGTTTATAAAAAATTTCACTTTGAATCTATAATCTAAGTAATCTTGTCTGAGAGTGGTTGTTAGTCATAAATTTGCGTGTGCAATCTTGCCGTCAAAGCTTTTGTTGAAGATGCTCATACATATCTAAACAACAAATCAGCTTGGATCTCAAGCTGTTACTTTTTCTTTTTGCCAAGCTCTTTATATTTCTCTTATGAAATAATCCATGCAACTCCATTAACCCCCGATTTCTGAATCTTATAAGTAAAAAAAAAAGAAAACAAATTCGTGAGCGGTGATATGTATTGTATTAAGTTTAACAATTATTGTGGAATCGAAACTTGGATGCATTCTAGGGGAGAAATTACTTAGATGCTCATGATGCCATTGCCAGTGATTTTCAATGTTTCGCAATTCACAGAGCTAGAGACCTAATTAAAAAGATATTCAATGCTCCAACCAAGACCAAAACAAATCAATTAAGAACACTATGTTTTTCTGTTACGAAGGTGTATTTTGGAACGCTTATAAAAACCAGAAAATATAATATTTAAGCTGTACTACTACTTTGTATTTATGTTGTTGTTGTTGTTAATATTCATATTCAAGATTGCTAGAAGTCTAGAAGACGTTATAGATAACAAAACAAAAAACTTGGTATTTCACGTTTATGCGTCTGATTAACAAGAAATGTACCGTTGTTTTCAAAATTATTATCTATTAACCTTAATTAGCTTGATGATATGCGCTTTCTTAAAATACGCTACCTCAATAAATATTCCGATCTATTAACTTATCTATGCACATGTTATGATCGATTCATCAATCTTTTGGTTTAGTTATATGGTTGTGAGAAAAACAACAACATAAGAATATGACAACTCAAAGCATGGTATGCTATAACTATCACTATCACAGAATTTTTATCCAGAGGAAACCATTTTCATATGAACTTTTCAGTTTTCGAACTTAACAGCATCACGTAACTTTTTCATAATATAATATTTTTTTAAAAAAATAAATATAATATTTGATATTGTACGTTCTAATTTCTTTATTTTTTTTCAATATCTTACTAACTTGTTCTCTTTTTTCCACTTCTTATCAGCATGAAAAAAGCAGCCAGGTAAATAGAAAAGGAAAAATAAAATATAGAAAACAAAATTTTACTAAAAATAAAATAGAAAAGCCAATTCTATAAATAGAAGGCTTAATTTAGTACTTTCAGTCAAGAAGTCAAAATCATCGGAAACAAATAAATTGGGTCAAACTCCATTACCGGTCAACCAAGTCACCACTTAGGTGGGACCAATTTCTCCACGTCAACGCAAAATACACACGTTTCTCCAATAAGATCCCGCCATGTCACGCGAATAAGAAACTCTAGGACCAGCGCGTTTAACGTTAATTTCCACGTGGCATTTCTCAAGGCCTTAATACATTTTCACACACCAGTTTACATGCATGCAGATACATACACATATACATATCACATTTAACCAAAAGTATATATAAATGGTTACGTTAACTTCCATAACCTTCAATTAGTTTCTCCAGAAAGCTGTAAGAAATTTTTTTTTTCCCTCTGTCTTAAACAGAATTGTTTTTTGTTCTGTTGTTATCCGTTTTGCCCAGTATTTTAATTCTATGGGATTTCCTTTTCAGACATCACTCCTCCCACATTCGACAAAGCATTCAAGAAGCCTCGTTCACTAATTTTCCCATTTCCTGGGAAATTTTCTTTCTCGAAATTTTCTTTCTCGAAATTTTCCCAGAAATTTTTGGCATCACGTTGGAGTCCAGAAAGAACACACAAACATGTCGCAGGACGTTATTTCATCTCATGAGCAGCTCTCAATGGTAAATTTGTTTTTCTTTTTTTTCGTCTTAATATTCCTTAATTTCTTTATAATATGAAAAAATCAAATTGGTTAAATGTTGATTGTCTGTCTTGAATTTGTTTTAAGCCCTTGAATGCATGGTTTCTCTTCTTTGTGATTTTCATAACAATTCCTTCTCGTCTATATTGGTATGAAGATACTTTTAATGTGTTAATCAAGTAATAATTGTATTTAAATGATTAAACATTATTATACTCTGAAAATTTTGTGTGATAGAGTTATTAGTTTTGTTTCTCGCTGTTCCGGCGTTTTCCTTCTAACAAGGAAACCGTCAAACCATCAACGGCAAATTGTTGCATGCATGTATCAAACCACTCCGAAAATATCTATTGTTTAGAAATCAATTTTAGTCTAGATATGAATGGAATAAGTATTGTATTCTAAAATCCAAGTTTCTTGTAGGTAACATCGTTTTCTTAATTTTCTCAGTTATTCCATATTTTCTTTTTTTTTTCTTTCCGAATTGCTTCGTTGCTTTTACATTCTTTTTTGTTTGTGGTTATCTCTACATAGTTTTCTTTTTATACGACAATTATGAGAATATAAGTTTACATGGCCAACTCTTTTGTACAGTGTTTTACGTACTTTCTAGCTAACCACAAATCGTCACAAGACATATATAGAATAGAACAGTTAATCAAAATTCAAAAGTTGTTTTAACCCAAAGATTCAAAAGATGCCACACCTATTCAACATGAGCTGTTCTTGTTTTAAATATATATTTGATTACATAATCCTTTCGTATATGTTAAATATTAGCTTCAAGTTTGCTAAAATACAAACTATAATTAAAGAAAAAACAACCCACGCCCTTAGTTGCTACCTCCGGGTTGTATACATGCTTAATATATAATCACGTATGATAAAAATGATTCTTGTTCTTATTTATGCCTTTATTTTTTATAAAAAGTTTCAGATGTTGGTTCTTACCTGGCAATGTTTTTGATTTCTCGACTAAAAGAAACACCAGAATCCAGAAACTTTCCATTTATGGAAACTCTCCCTCCTTATCGTTAATTAATTTCTCTGGATTCCCTCTTGATAAGAAAATCACAAAGAACGAACGGCATTTGATCGTATAAATGCCCACTTCTCTCCGATCGACTGCATTAAGATAAAACTTAGAACCAATCTTTGGTTATTCTGTATTATTTGTTTCTTGTTTCACAAGAAAACCTCAGCAAGTAGCTAGCTTTTGATGCAAGCGTTCAACGTATGTCTTCTAAACAAGTACATGTATACATATTTTACTATTTTATTTAGCTAATTCGATTTTATCTTGCTTTTATTTTGTAGGATGAGATCACAAGCCCTCTCACCGCACAAATCTTCGATTTCTGCGATCCGCAATTATTTCAAGAAACCTTTAATCAAGCTTCTGAAGTGACCTCTGCTTCAAACTGTTGTGGCTATGTCGAAAACAACAATAATAACTTTCCTGACAAATCCAACAGCGGTTCGAATCAAGATCATGAAGAAATCAACAAGAATAATGACAACGGGGACTTATCGATCATATTCGACTCACAAGACGATTTCGACAACGATATCACAGCTTCCATTGATTTCTCTTCATCTGTTCAGTTCCCAATCTCTGATAATCAAATCCAAGATCAGTTTGATTTCACCGGAATTCAACTTCACCAGCCTCCGAACATTCTCTACTCTGCCTCTTCCGGTGATCCTCTGCCTCCACCTTTATCTGTTTTCGAAGAGGATTGTCTTTCTTCTGTTCCAAGTTACAATCTTGGCTCCCTAAACCCTACTTCCCCTTCTTGCTCTTTCTTGGGTAATCCCGGTTTACCAGCTTACATGGCCGTAACCGGGAATATGATGAACACCGGTTTAGCAATTGAAAGATCTGGTTTTTTCTCCGGGAGTATCCATTTTGGTTCTGATTTTAAACCATCACATGATCAACTGATGGAAATCCAGGCTGATAATGGTGGATTGTTCTGCCCAGATTCGGTTAAACCTATCTTCAATCCAGGAGAGCATCATCTCCAGGTATTAATTCCAACACGTTTTTTGCAATTCCCAAAACTTATTCCAGGTTTCCAGAACCACCTAGTGGCAACACCAATTCTTCCGCAGCTAGGAACAGAGATAACCGGTTTGGTAAACCGGCTTACTGACCAGTTTTCGGTTTTTGTATCGAAACAGGCTCTTGACGGTGGCGAGAACCAGAACCACCTAGTGGCAACACCAGTTCTTCCGCAGTTAGGAACAGATCAGATAACCGGTTTAGATGACGCGAATTTCAACAAAGTTGGTAAACTCTCCGCTGAGCAGAGGAAAGAGAAGATTCATAGGTACATGAAAAAGAGAAACGAGAGGAACTTCAGCAAGAAAATCAAGGTCTCTATGCTTAACCATCATTACCAGACTAAACCATTGGTTATTAGCATACCGATTTGTTAAAAAAATAGTTTTGTTTGAATAGTATGCATGTAGGAAGACTTTGGCAGATAGTCGTCCAAGAGTTAGAGGAAGATTTGCGAAGAACGATGAATTTTGTGAACCCAATAGACAAGCTTCTTCAAGCCATCATGAGGAAGATGATGATGATGTAAGATTAATCCGGTTCGATTGCAATTAAAACCATATGAACTTTAGGTTTGGTTTGATATGATGACCGTTTTAACCCGGGGTTCTGTTTGCAGGTAGGGGTAAAGGAAGAAGAACAATTGGTTGATTCTTCGGACATCTTTTCACACATAAGTGGTGTGAACTCTTTCAAGTGCAATTATCCAATTCAATCTTGGATTTGAGTTGATTAATTACATGGTCTTAAAATAAAATAAAAATAGTATTTTTATAGAGGTCTATTTGTATATTTATTAGTGCATTTTTTTTTGGCAATGACTCATATATTCTCGGAAATATTTTAGAACATAAGAATAGAGAGAGATGAATAATGAGTTTAGGCAGGTCATGATGAATAAAACTGTAGTGAGGAGAGAGGGTTTGTTTATGTTACATAGAACATTACAAAGTTTTGTAGATATAAGTTATATAACATGGTATAGTATGATACTATGATATGTCTATTGTATTTGATGGGTTGTATAATAATAGTCATTTGAATATTATTTATAAACTTTGGATTTTTCTTGATCATTTATTATAAATAATAGCAATTTTGCGAATAGGTGATTACTCAGAAAAATATAAAATTTTAGACCGATGCATTGACTAGTTTTTGAAAAAATGAGTTCTTCACATTTAAAATAATGCCTGTATCTGACTGTTTCCTTACTCTAATTAGGTACGCCGTGTTAGATGATCTTATTTTGTGTGTGTTTTAAAGAATATATATGTTGTTTTCCAAAAGACAATGTAGATTATTATATATATAAATCCCTTATGACAATAAACTCGTAACAGAAAAAGATGTTAATAATATGAATTCATGTAGATATAATTTAGATGATCGATGCACAATGAGTAGCTCTTAAGTTTTCCACATTTGAAGTCTTTTCCCCCGGGATTTAAATATTTCGACGATTAATACTTTGTACCTACTTATTACTTTTATTGTTACTTTTATACGACTAGTGCTTGTGGGTTGATAACATAATACAAAAACAACAAAGGTTACAAATTAAACAAGACGATGAATCGATCATCGATCATGATGACACGTAAAGACTACAAAGTGCAGCGGATCGATGTCATTTCGAAGGCCTTGATCGTATTTTATCATCATTTAAGGAATTTTTACTGTGTGTGAATAAAAGTGGACAAGTTATCTTAGATATACCTACCTCCCTAATCTTTATAACTCAAATAGACATGTTTTACGTGTTCTTCGTAAATAATTCGTTCTCGTAAATGTTGACCGCACCTATATAGACGATTAGTCAGTTACACGGTCACACCTTGACTTTCATATAATGCAAAAGTGAGGTCAGTCAAAAAGAAAATTATAAGTTAATAGATAGTGACATAAGTGTGTTGTTTGATCCACCGAATACACACGTATCTCCCACTAAAAGCCAATTAACCAAAAGTTGAGCATACGAGTGGAAAAAAATGAAAAATGAAAAATCAAATCAAATTATATAGAAGTGGATGCAACACGTAATGTTTGTACTAACAATACCCATTTCTTTGAGTCTCATATATCTTGCTTCCAAGCTTTGCCCACGTTCTTCTTACTCAATGATTCGTTAGGAGAAGACAAGCGGAAATTGCGTTTGGTGAGACAGAGGAAAGAAAGAGCAATTATCTAGAGGTATATATTTTCATCTTAGTTGAAAATATAATCCAGTTTAAATTCAGGTAAGCATTGCAATTTTATAAGGTTAATTTGTCTTTTTTGAGCTTGAAGAACTATCAAATTCTGTCATTTTTGTAGAGTTTCTCGTTTTCGATTACAGAGTTTAGAAGCCACCATTTTTCAGCTTTTTATATTGCTTCTAGTTTAACATATACACTATAATTGTTTTAAATATGGGTTTTAGTGAAAGATGAAGGGTGATGATACTCAAAAGAATGAAAATCAGTTGACGAATGTGTACTGTGACGTGAGTCCATCAAGCGAGAATGGCTTATCCAAGTCGAGAAACTTGTTTCGACAGAAAGATCGACAAAACTTGGCGGTTTTTAGCATCGGAAAGTGGTTACAGATATTCAAAAACAGTCCCAAAGTGTCATGTGAGTTCTCTACATCTTCTTCTCCTTCTCCAAGTCATGTCTTGAGCAAACTAGGAGCAAACCATAAGGCGGAATTTCGGATTCGATGTCATCAATCTGAAAAGATGCATGAAAAGACATTATCTTTACCGAGCAAAACCTTCTCGTCTCCATCTATAGACATTTCTCAGGGAACCCTTCAATTCACTATGAGAGCCAATGAAATGCCTCGTTTCGTTTTCAAACTGGAGAATCAAAAAGATGTTTATGTGGCGACCTTGAGCAGGAACGTTAAAGACCAGACTATTTTAGACTATTCGTATATGATCCATCTGCAAAGAGGAGTATCATCATCATCATCATCATCATCATCATCATCACATCTAGTTGGTAGAATAAAGGTATCGACTTTGTTCTCGCGGTTGAATGAGAGAATCACAGAGAGAGAGTTTGTTTTGTTCAGTAGCAATGGCGAGTATTCGCAGATATTGCCGTGTGGGAAGAAAAACAGAGGATTGTCTGCAAGAGTAAATGATGTACTCGAGAACAATCAAAGTGCCTCAAGATTGAGATGTTCTTGGGATCAGCAATTCCAAGAACCAAGCTATCAACAAAACAACCTTCCACCAAATCTTGAAACGTTAGCTATTGTTGTGAAAGAGGAGGATCTTGAAAAAGAAACTGGAGGTTGGGGATTAAAGTTCTTGAAGAAATCGTCGTTGGTCCATACTAAGAGTGAAAGTTTAGGATCCTTGATAAGTATGGATGTCGTGGTTCCTTCAGGGATTCATGGAGGACCTGAAGGTGGACCTTTGAGTTTGATAGAGAGATGGAAATCTCAAGGAAACTGTGACTGCGGAGGGTGGGACTTGGGTTGTTCCTTTACCCTTCTTAAAGGCCAACGAAGAAAAGACCATTGCAATCTCTTCGAGCTATTCAAAGAGGTAATATGACATTTGTTGATTTTAATAGATCAAATCAAACTAGAGATTGATGATGTTGATAACAGTTTGCTTTCGTCTTTCGAGTTGTTTCAGGGATCAAATCATGAGACGCCGGTATTAAGGATTGTGAATGTTCGAGGAGGACTCTACTCTGTTCAATTCCAGACAAACTTGTCTTCTTTGCAAACTTTTACAGTTGCATTAGCATTTATACATAGCCAGAGCAGCTACGTCCGTTGTATCCGTAATAAAATTATCAGATATTGACAATAAATTTTCAACAAAGATCATATATACCTTTTTCAATTAATAAAATTACGTAGTCTTGATCTTTTCCATAACTCGATTTACGATATAAAAGCAGATATGGCGAGACTCAGAAAAATGTCTAAAATAATAACCAAATATTAGAATGTCATACATATTATCAGAAAATAAAAATCCTTGCTACCAAAATTCTCACACTCTGTATTGAAATGTTTAGAGCTCCGATAAGATTCAGAAAGATACTCAAATGCCGGAAGATACCGACCAGTGACTCCTTAGACAATGGCATTGGCAGCACTAGCAATCCTTGGCCACAGATCTGCGCATTCTTTCCCAATAGGACCCGTGATTGCAGAACCTAAACACACACACACAAGACCACAATTTCTAGTTAGAGACTGAAGTCAAGAATCATACTACACTGATCGATTATAAGAAGATATGAAACAGTACCTTTCATTTCTCCCTTGGGGTTGACGATGACTCCAGCATTATCTGTGCAATGGGGAAACAGATCACTGAATTAGTATATGTTTTACAACAAATATCATGACGAATACAGACAATCAAACAGCTGAGAAGAAACAATGGTCGAGTTGGGGAATATTTAGAGTCCATATGGAGCAGATGAAAGCGTTCAAGCAATAACGCATCTGTAACGAAGGACACAATTAAATTTCCCAGTCTTGTAACCGTATCAACACCCTCTAAACGTGTCGGTGGATACTTGACTTAAGCCTGGTGAATATCAAAATCACATGAAGCCGAAAATATGACTAAACCTAAGGGATACCAATGAATGAATAATGCAACCCATGGATACGAATTTAGAGTTCAAATGGAGCAGATGCAAGCGTCTAAGCATTAGAGAATCTGTAACGATAGAACACATTTAGATTTACCAGAATTGTTTTGTATTAAATCACCCTCTGAATATGTCGGTGGATACATGACACAAATCTGGAAACTGTATGAATCTTACAACTACATGAATCTATATCTAACCTAAACTCTGATCATAAACAACATGACTTAGGAATGGCAAAACAAACGAAGGTATAATCAAGAAAGACGAACAAGTTTCGAGTATATGGAGTTCAAATGGAGCAGATTCAAGCGTTTAAGCATTAAAGTATCTGTAACGATGAACACACAACTAACTTTCCCAAAGACTTGTAACTGTATCAACACCCTCTAAATGTGTCGGTGAATACATGACTTAAGCCTGGTGAAATCACGAAACTTAATACAAACTAAAAAAACATTTTGAAAGGAGAAAGTGAAGATACCTTCGAAGTACATGAAGACACCATCCTTTCGGCGCCATGGCTTCCTCTGCCTAACGATGACGGCAGGGAGAACCTTTTTCCGGAGATCAGGCTTACCCTTCTTGACGGTGGCCATCACCATGTCGCCGACACAGGCAGAAGGTAATCGATTGAGACGACCTTTGATACCTTTCACCGAAATGATGTAAAGGTTCTTAGCACCGGTGTTGTCGGCACAGTTCACCGTCGCCGCCACGGGAAGACCCAGCGACATCCTGAACTTGTTACCAGACGTACCTCCACGCCCTAATCAAAATATAAAAATCCCGACATCCATTAAAAGAAATGCACAAGTAAGATCTTAATAAACAGATGTAATATTAGTAGACTTTACGATGGATGAAAAGAACAAACCTCGCTTCGACATTTTTAGACGGCTTGATCAGAACTATGGTGGGAAGCTATTAGGGTTTCCGGCTTTATTTATAGTGATGCTAACTTTTAGGGCTTTCACTCGGCCTAAAAGGAAGAAGAAGACAATGTTTGTTTAAAGCCCTAATATATTTCAAGCCCATGAAAGCCCAGGAAAAGGTTTTAAAATCAACAGCGTCTTTTGGTTTTACGTTTGGTTGTCCCACATCGGAAAGCTGAAAGATATTAGGAGCGGAAGTTGCACTATAAATAAGTATCGCCTTCCACTCTCCCAAATCACGCAGCCATGTGGTGAGCACAAAGCGAACTATTCTTTCGCCTTTTACTAAAGAATACCGTGTGCTCTCCACGCTAAGTGGCATACGCCTATTTTTGGAGGGTCCTGCTTTCGAGTGGGCCCAACAACACTTAGTTGAATTTTTCTTAATTTTCAGATACCGTATCATCTAGATTCATTCAGCTTTTATTTGATTGGTATGATTTCGATTTGTATTTTGTTTTGATTCCAATTTTCAAATTTAATGGTTATTCATTGTTTAGCGGGATCCTTTTTCTCTTCCGATAATACGACGAGCCCTTCCCGGTAGATTAGATTAATATCTATGTTCCATGGGTACGGCTCTTGCTAATTGACCTGGTTCTGCTCGGCGATATGTGGAATCGATATCGGAGGCTGTAGGATAATCTGAGATATGAATCGGTTTTCCTGAAATCATTATTTGGATCTGGGTCTCAGAAATGCATTTCAAGCTAATTCTTAGTAACTGTGTTTTTTGCTTTTGTTCAGAAAATTTCTTGTGGTGGCATAACTGTTTCTTAAGAATCTGAATTTGTCTGATACTACACTTTTGTCTTCTTACCCATTTTACATCTAAAAGCTAGTAAGGCTTATTTTAGTGACTCCGCACTCTGTTAGGAAACTTGCACCTTTAGTTATTGGGTCCTGAGGTTTTTTATATGTTTTCTTTGAGCAATTGAACACATTAGTATTTCTTGTATCTGCCTTCGTTTGATGTCTGCAGTGAAGCGAGCTAGAGAGAGAGGAAGATGAAATAGATTCTTGCATCTGCACAATGATGTAGTTCTGAAAACTGCTATCAACCACCTGTGACAATCAATTCTGGTGACTGCAACTCTCAAGATCAGGCATTGCAAACACAAGTTTGTCAAGTTTTTGTGAATGGTCGAGATGAATTATTATAGGTTACAGTTGTGTTGTTAAATAGAGGCTTGAACTTTTACATTTATCAAAATTCAAATCCAAAATCTTCAGGTATTGTTTTGCTTTACAGGGTTTCGACTTATATATGTACTTTCTGCAACATCAAAACTTGTTTAATTGTAACAAGCCAACCTCTTCATCTTTCTTCCTTCTTCATGTTATTTTGTGGTGAACAATGATTTGTCAAAGTTATGAGGCCATTGAAGAATGATTATTGATTATGTTCTAAATATGATTAAATACAGTTGACCGTACTTGGAAATTGGAAGCAACTCCATCGGAAGGACAACATCTGAGTAACATGTTAAGTTTCATAATCGTCTTTCTGCAGTAACTTGCAATGTTCAGTAGGAAAGGTGCTTCAGAACAATTTTCTTCACCCTTATCTCTCCTTTCTCTGTTCAAAACTGGCAGACAAGGATACCAACGACCCAAATTTTATCCTTTTTTTCTCCGGACAGATCAACAACAGGAAGGTGTAAAGGTATGTTGACAAACAAGCATCTAAGTAAATAAATTAAAATTGATGTTTTTATGCTGGATTCTGTTGTTAACAAAATCAGGTTGGATATTGTTTTTTTTTTTCTCTCTGTAAGGGTGGGTGTGTTTATGTGTATATGGAAGATAATACAAATGGAGTTTAAGAAGAAGGAGAAAATAGTTTTGGGTTTGGAAGAAGGGTTACTTGGAATAGGAGTTTTGCTAATTCAGGTTAATTTCATGAGTCGTCCTCATTTTTCTCACATCCCCTCTCCTTCCATAGCACAGAGAATTTTGCTGTCGTTTAGCATCTTCCAAGTTGTCTCTCCACCTCCTCATTTCTCTCTGTTATCTTTCTTTCCGTCTCTCATTTTTTTCCCCTTATTAACTCCAAGATCTTCCTCTCTCTCCTCAATTTTTCCTCTCATTTCACAAAACCCGAACACCCTCTGGTCTTTCTTTTTCCTTCCTGCCTCCCCTCCGCGATGGCTCGTCATTCTCGGAGGGAGTCCTCTTCCGATTCTGTGGTTTGTCCTGATACTGATCTTCTCTGGCCATTCGGGAAGCTTGACGGGCTTGATCGGGATGAAATCCGCGAGACCGCGTATGAGATCTTTTTCGCAGCGTGTCGGTCATCACCTGGATTTGGAGGCAGAACTGCTCTCACGTTTTACTCCAAGCACAATGGTGGTGACCATCAAGGAGATGGAGTAGGAGGAGGAGGAGGTGGAGGATCCGGGTCGTCTAACGGGTCTGCATTCGGGTCTTTAGGGAGGAAAGAAGTGGTGACAACCCCAACAAGCCGTGTGAAAAGAGCGTTAGGGTTGAAGATGCTAAAAAGATCTCCGTCGAGGCGAATGTCGACGGTAGGGACAGCTGCGGGAGCCGTTTCTGCTCCTACGTCGCCTGGTAATGGAAGCACAGGAGGTGGTTCGTTGGGACACATTAGCCCCGGAGCTGTGTTCTTGACGGTCCCGCCTTCTCGTCCTAGACGACCGTTAACCTCTGCGGAAATCATGAGGCAACAAATGAGGGTGACGGAACAGAGTGACACTCGGCTTCGGAAAACCCTAACGAGGACGCTTGTTGGCCAAGTAAGTTCCTCTGTTTTTGTTTTTGTCCATTATGAAATAAGCTCTGTTTCTAGATTAATTGAAGAAAATAAATGTTTCCAGACGGGTAGGCGAGCAGAGACGATCATCCTTCCGTTAGAGCTTCTCCGGCACGTGAAAATGTCGGAGTTTGGTGACGTACATGAGTATCAGATTTGGCAAAGACGACAGCTCAAAGTCCTTGAAGCCGGTCTTCTCCTTCACCCATCAATCCCTCTTGACAAAACCAACAACTTTGCAATGCGTCTCCGAGAAATCATCCGCCAGAGCGAGACGAAGCCCATCGACACCGGAAAAACCTCAGAAACAATGCCGACGCTCTGTAACGTTGTGGTCTCCTTGTCCTGTCGAAACGCCTCCAACCAGACCACCGACGTATGCCATTGGGCTGATGGGTACCCTCTTAACATGCATCTTTATGTGGCGCTCTTGCAATCGATTTTCGACATTCGTGATGAGACATTGGTTCTTGATGAGATCGATGAGCTCCTGGAACTGATGAAGAAGACATGGTCGATGCTGGGGATAACGCGGCCTATGCATAACTTGTGTTTTACTTGGGTTCTGTTCCATCAATACATTGTCACCTCTCAGATGGAGCCAGACTTGCTTGGTGCCTCTCATGCCATGTTGGCTGAAGTTTCCAATGACGCCAAGAAGTCTGACCGCGAGGCTCTTTACGTCAAGCTTTTAACCTCCACACTGGCTTCTATGCAAGGATGGACTGAGAAAAGGTATATTTCCTTTGGCCTTATAGTGGACTTGACCAATGTACAAGGTTTAATCTGATTTACGGAATGTGTGATTTATATAGGTTGTTGAGCTATCATGACTATTTCCAAATAGGGAACGTGGGATTGATCGAGAGTCTTCTGCCATTGGCGTTGTCGTCATCTAAGATTTTGGGGGAAGACGTGACCATCTCTCAAGGGAATAGTCAAGAGAGAGGCGATGTGAAATTGGTCGATTCCTCAGGGGATCGCGTCGATTACTATATCAGAGCCTCCATCAAAGACGCCTTCTCAAAGATAATTGAGAGCGCGAAGTCCAAAATCTCAGCAACAGAGGAAGGAGAAGAAGCGGCGAAGATGCTACTTCAGCTAGCTAAGGAGACAGAGGAGCTAGCTTTGCACGAGCGCGAGTGTTTTAGCCCGATACTCAAAAGATGGCACTCGGTTGCAGCTGGTGTTGCCTCGGTTTCGCTTCATCAATGCTATGGTTCCATCTTGATGCAGTACTTAGCCGGCCGGTCTACTATCACTAAGGAGACTGTGGAAGTCCTGCTAATGTCGGGGAAACTCGAGAAGGTTCTTGTGCAGATGGTGGCTGAAGAGTCAGAGGAATGTGAAGATGGAGGCAAAGCTCTTGTCAGAGAAATGGTCCCATATGAAGTCGAGGCGATCATACTGCGACTTTTAAGGCAGTGGATGGAAGAGAAATTGAAGACAGTTCAAGAATGCTTGAGTAGGGCAAAGGAAGCTGAAGTAGGTTTTATCGAATCTCGAGACTTGCATTTCAAGTATACAAATTGAATCATCTGTTTAAATCTTTATTTGTCTTCTGTAGACTTGGAACCCGAAATCAAAATCACAACCCTATGCACAATCTGCTGGAGAGCTGATGAAGCTAGCTAATGATGCGATCGACGAGTTCTTCGAGATCCCGATGGGGATCACAGAAGATCTGGTTCAAGATCTCGCTGAAGGATTAGAACAACTCTTCCAAGAGTACACCACGTTCGTTGCATCTTGTGGTGAGTGAGCAACGACAGAGTCAAAGGGTAAAAATCCGTCATTACATAGTAACTTGTAACTGATTGGTGGTTTCTGTGGTTTGATCAGGATCAAAACAGAGTTACATCCCTACGCTTCCTCCTCTTACAAGATGTAACAGAGACTCCAAGTTCGTGAAGCTTTGGAAGAAAGCCACGCCGTGTACTGCCTCAGGCGAAGGTCTTAACAGCCTCGGTGCATCCCCGGGTATCCCCGACGGCCACCACCCGCGTCCCTCCACGAGCCGTGGGACCCAACGCCTCTACATTCGCCTCAACACATTACATTTCCTAAGCTCTCAGCTTCACTCCATCAACAAAGCCCTCTCGCTCAACCCGAAGGTCCTCCCTGCGACCCGAAAACGCCACCGCGAACGGACCAGCTCATCCTCCTACTTCGAGTTCACGCAAGGGGGGATCGAATCCGCGTGCCAGCACGTCTCTGAGGTCGCGGCTTACCGTTTAATCTTCCTAGACTCATACTCGGTCTTGTACGAGAGCCTCTACATCGGAGATGTCGCTAACGCGAGGATCAAACCCGCGTTGCGGATCTTGAAACAGAACCTAACGCTAATGACAGCTATTCTTGCGGATCGAGCGCAAGCGCTAGCGATGAGAGAGGTCATGAAGGCTTCGTTCGAAGTGTTTCTAACGGTTCTGCTAGCGGGAGGATATTCCCGGGTTTTCTACCGAACGGATCACGACCTAATCGAAGAAGATTTCGAGAGTTTAAAGAAGGTTTACTGCACTTGCGGCGAAGGGTTGATACCGGAAGAGGTGGTGGATCTGGAGGCGGAGACGGTGGAAGGAGTTATACAATTGATGAATCAGCCAACGGAGCAGCTTATGGAAGATTTTAGCATCGTGACGTGCGAATCAAGCGGGATGGGATTGGTCGGGACGGGACAAAAGCTTCCTATGCCTCCAACGACTGGACGATGGAACAGGTCGGATCCGAACACGATCTTACGAGTTCTTTGCTACAGAAACGATCGTGTTGCTAATCAGTTTTTGAAGAAATCGTTCCAACTGGGTAAACGAAGATGACACAAGAAGACGACAAAAAAGAAATTGCGCTTTAAAAGAAAGATTGTCGTCTCACGTGTGGTCGATATGTAAAGAGTTTCGTGATAAAGAGTTCAAAAAAATACTCGTTGTATACTAGATTTCCTCAGATACATAGAAAACCGTTTGTTTCAAAGGTTTACAATTATCGATCCATATTTATACGGGCCATAAGCCCAATATTTTATAAACCCATAGAGATACACATTTCAGTGTTAAACGGCGCCGTGCTGGTCCATTCTCTATCTCTTCCCTTCACATCCTTTGTGTGAACTCTTGAGAAAAATGGCGACAATGGCGACGCAAGGGCCATGGCTGCGGATTGCTTCCGTTACTCGGCCGAAATCAGTGGCGACATCAACGGAACTCGGTTTTCTGACCTCCCAACTCAGTGGCGTGAGAATATCACATGGTTGCAGTGACGTCATCAATCGTATTGCTTTACCTTCCGCTCCCTCCCTCCAACCTATCGTCGCTCGTACGCTTCTATGAACTCATGTTTTCGCCTTCGTCTTGTAAAGTTTTAATTTTTTTTTGGGGTAGTCTGAAAATGGACTAGAATTCAGCTCAGCAATGCTTCAAGTCCTGTAACGAAACTTCCGGTACTAAATTGTGATTAATACATCGCAAGAGTGAACAATCTTGGATGAATGTGATTGCTGCAGAAGGAGATTATGAAATTTATCAGTTTCTGATATGGTTTGATCTTACCTTGTCTTTTGTCGAATATGGGATTCAGCTCTTCTTTGCAGTTTTTATAGTTCTAGACATTGCCAATGTTTCTTGTTTTAATATGTGCCTCGCTCTCTCTTTCACTGTGCCTAAAACTGTTTTGTATATTTCGTCACAGGTAGGATCTGCCCTTTTACTGGGAAGAAGGCAAACAGAGCGAACAAAGTATCCTTCTCTAACCACAAGACCAAGAAGTTGCAATTCGTAAACTTGCAATACAAAAAAGTTTGGTGGGAAGCTGGGAAACGTTTTGTGAAACTACGGCTATCGACCAAGGCCTTGAAGACCATTGAGAAAAACGGTCTCGACGCTGTTGCCAAGAAAGCTGGCATTGATCTTCGTAAGAAGTAGAATATTGTTGATTAGTCTTTTTGAGGTATGTACATTTCTGTTCATCGTTTTTGGTACTCATGATATCACCAATACATTATCCTACTCAATTCGCTAGTCTTTATGGAATTTCTTATCACAATATTGTCTTCCTCGCGCAATAGTTGAATATGCTACAACTCTTGCCATTGTCGCCAATACCTAGTTTAGTCCATCTCTAACATCGCCAAACTATTAAGAAAATTCAAAAGTGCGTTTTTTTTTTAATCCCTAGCTTTAATCTTCTTCAGTAGAATCATCCAATGATCACTGTTTCGACCAGAACTGCAACAACTAGAACCTCTCCTATGATTTCATCACCCCACTGGTGGTTAATCATCGTATGTGTGAAACAAATATGTTTTTCTCTATGGGACAGTCAAGAATCACGATACACACTCAGAGGGTGACCAAGACCATTCTATGTTCTTAGTCTTTGTCGCTGGTATTATCGTTACATACATCGACTGGTTGAACAATAGGATTCTCGGGTTTTGCTTTCGTCTTCTTCAGGGATAGCTCTCCTCCTCCTGATCCTTTCACCTTCCTGTGACGTGATGTGGACCTTCTATGATGAGTAGAGCTGTCTGAAAGAGGGTAAGAACCTTCCATGTCGTTAACCGTAACCGAGGCAGCACGCCTCCTACTGACTGATGGATCATTCGATGAATCTATCGACCCGTGCCTACTCCTGTGGTGACGTCTCGAGTGTTTCGGTAGCATATCCGATGAAGACACGTTGCTGCTTCGCCTAGGCGGAGAACCGTTTTGCGAGGCCGTCTCAGATTTACGCCTCGTCTTCTTGTGCTTCGGTTTCTCGGGAGGAGGCAACAACTCTTGTAATCCAACTCCTTCTCCTACTGGATTGTTATTGGCATCTCCTCGGGAAACCACTTGGCCGTTCTCGTTTTCTTGTGGTTTGAAGTCAGTCATCTACAGTTTTTTTGTTTCACCAATGATGATGAGTATACACTTATTTACGTATATGCGGCGGAAATACGTAGAAATGTACAAACCGTACCCAGCTTGGCGTATTTGCTGCGGGACCGTCGGATCCTATGTGGGCGACATGCTTTACATCGGTGGGAAAACCGATCTGCATACCCTGGTCCTTCTCTTCGTCTGCAATTAGATTTTGATCATACAGAGCTCTGACTTGTGTTACAAGAAACGTCAAAAAGGTTGGTTGTGAATTGATGAGATGAGGATCGAGGAAACTCACCGAAAATCTGAGTAATGTAGCGAAGGCCCTTGAGAAGGCCTTTCACGGTTGTCGTCATGTCTCGGGAGGAATGCTTTCTGGTTATAACTTTAGATTCTGCAACTCTGTTAATGCGCCAGTGCCTAACTTGTAGAACAAATCAACATTTCTGTCATTCAAGGAATTTCAACAGATTAATTAAGAGTCTGTAAAAGCTTTTTAAAACGTTGATCACAGAATTTAAACCTTTATCGCATTGAGTTTTTCATTTTCTCTTAACAGAGAGAGAGAGAGAGAGAATCAGGGGAAAAAAAATTGAAAGAGGGAGAGAGAGATTCAGAGATTATTAGGTTTCAGACATATTCTTCTTGGTTGAGAAGAAGAGGGAGAGCACTAAATTTTATCTACCAAAAAAAAACAAAAAACTTTTTCAAGGTTCTTATTTTTACTGTTTATATATGTTTTTATAAATAGATTTCCTTTTATTTTAGTGGATGCAAAGAGTTTACTCAATCCTCCATGGGTAAACAAACAAATAAAAACTAGTCGACGAGAGGATTTTCCGGGGACTAGAGGAAGGAGACAAGACCCCTAAACACAAATGTTATTTTTTCCTAGAATGAAAATTTGCAACTGTAAAATGGTTTGGGATTTCATGGAGATCAGATGGAAATAAATGGTGAAGAGGAAAATGTAAATCAAAAGCGAAAGTATGGATGAAAGAAAAGAAGTCCTCTTTTCTTTTTTGTTTAAAGAAAAGAGTTTTAGAGTTTTTTTATTTTATTTTATAAAAAAGGGCTTTCAAAGTTTTACAGTTAATGACAGTACTCTTGACTCTTCGTAGCACTTGGCACACATCAACGCCACTATAGCAAAGTATAAGCTATACTATTACATGTCTTCCCTTGTCGCGTGTCAGGGGATCAGAACATTTGTTGTTCCGGCTCCTTGTAAATTTGATCAAGCCGTACCATTAGGTTCTCGTTTGATAATTAAAGTGATAATCATGAATTGAACAATAAGAAATACATAATAGATTAATCATTTCAAACAACAACAACAACAAATCAAGTACAACATAAATTAATAATACTTCTCAGGGACCCTAATTTCTCGAATGGATCAATATCATATTTTTCTTGTTTAATTATATCAAAGAGTCACAGCCTTAATGTCAAGTCGATGGGACTTGAGATGGCTCCGCCTTTCCCCGTCACAGTATCCTGTGGTCTCCGTTGCTCCAGCTGGCGAAGAAGCGGAGCCGTACGACCACCTTCCGATGGCATCGTCGGGAAAAGATTCATCAGCTTCGGCTTCTCCTGCTGCCCAAGCATAAAGTTCTGTTGTCTGGCTGGAATTGCCGCCGGATATCGTTTAAGAAACCTCCCTTGCTCATCTATATGACCATTACGGTAATAGTTCACGTCAAAACGATTCCTCCCCGCAAAAGCAGGATTAGGGTTCCGGTTTAGGTTCGGGTAGTAGCGGAAGGTGGTGGTGGGTGCGGCGGCGGCAGAGGGGGAGGAGAAGGTGGAAAAATGATGACTGGAGTGAAAAGTGGCGAAGTGTGAGAGTAGTTCTTGATGCGTTGGGAAGAGTCGGTTACAAAGAGAACATTCTTGGACTCTTGATGAAAATGGCACGAGATCCTTTTGCATGCCAAATCCACCAATCATTCTCTGCAAATCTTTATGTATATATTAATTAAGATGAAAGAGACTGAGATTTGATTTAGAAGAAGAGATGTCAATATGAGATGGAGATGCTATGATACATCTATCTTTATTTATATACAAGTTTTATGCATGTAAAAGAGAGGCGATGATGCCAATTCCATTTGCGGAAATATATTTCCATGTTTGTTAGTATTGTCTTGATTTGATATGATAATGATGACTATGATGACTCTTAATTACATGTCAACATGCATGAATTCATTTCAGAATTTTTAGAAAAATTGTTTTTCTATTAAAGAAATTAATATATATTTAGATATGAATAATCATATAAAGAAGTCAAACATTGCAAGGAAAAAAAAATAAAAGGTAGGATGATTTATGCTAACTAATTAAAGTTTATGAATAATGAATGTTTTCATTTTCAGAAGGATATTAATGGGCGGTTAATTATTTGTGGGCAATTAATCCAACACTTTTGGGAATTAATATTTTGTTTTGTTTCTTTTGTTTCTTTTAAGGGAATACATTTCTTGCTCCACTGTATTGTAATTTTCTTTTGGTACAGTCGTAATTGTTATTTTGGTAAATAATAACAAAAAATGAATTCTTCGTTCCTGGTCCTCCATGTGGATTATTCCATTTCAGATGTTAATTAACCATTCTAAACTTTTTGTAATAAAGATGAATCTTTATACGGAATACTTCGCTTATGGGAAACGTCTAAATGGGTAAAAAAGTTCATGAAATTAGTTATAGAAAACAAATCCAAATACAATTAGTTATAAATCATGAAAATGTGATTTAACAGGTAAAATCTGATTCATAACTTAGTACATAAGTCAGTAAAACACACACACAAATTGATATTCAACTGGCAAGATGTACATGTGATTCTATTCCATACACAAAGATTTATTTCTATGATTTATATACCACCAAAACATAAATTATAAGAAATTCTTAAGAGTGGATAACATAAAATGTTAAAAATGCGATCCAATCACATGTTTTTGCATTATTTTGTTAGAATTTTTAATTTTTTTCCATTAAGAATTAAATTGGGTAAATTTTATAACAAAAATGACAGTTAATCTTTAAAAATTAACTAAATAATAAAAAGATTTATAAGATAAAGGTTTAGCTGTTAGAACTGGGCGTCAATTTTATCTTTATGTTTTTAAAATAAACAATTTAGAGTTCAGAGTACTCAATTCAGACTATTTTGTTAATATGCATCGAATAAAATGGAATGTAGCTAAAATAAAGCAAAATCAACTGAAATTGATACAATATTGAAAAAGTCGGCAGATAATTATAATATATAATTTTATCAGCGATGCAATTATATTCTAACCAATATATCAATTTATGTATTCTATAAAAAAATCTCAATTTATTTGACCACAGTCCAAAATTGTTTGAAGAATCTTATTGTAAAGAATACTGTGACTTGGTTAAAACTTTCAAATAGCTCAGACTTGAGACACACGCACGATACGTTGGCAAACCATTTAATAACATGATGAACAACGCTGGTATTACGAAGTTAGAAAAGGCATATAGTGTATACTTATCACATATATTTAAAACAAATCATGTTTGCTTCTTTCTTAACGAACAAACAAGTATATCATATCAATACAGATCAACCAACCGGGCCCCAAATCTAGACAGTCACTTCCTCTTGCCGTTCCCAAGAGTGAGGAACTCGAGCGTAACATCAGGAGGAATTCTCGATGGTGCAGCCTTTGTGGCTAAAGAGGAGGACGAAGGAGCAAACTGGGTCCTCTGAGTTGTAGAGGACCGACCGTTGCTTGGGATGAGCCTGCTCGATCGATTCTCTGTGAAATCAGCCGAGGCAGTGGCTCGAACACTTGACCCAGTAACTGCTTTTCTCGAAGAACTCTGGTTCCAAGATGAAGTGATTGGTCTCTCCTGGTTTACCTGATTCAACAGAAAAACAAAAGAAAGGCTTCTTTTTGTTTGAGTCCCATACTTCTCAAATCCTAGGATATTATACATCAGAAGATAAAAAAGATTGGATTTTTAATGAGGTACATAGTTGATGACTAACCGCGTCTCTGGAAGCAAAAACGTTCTCTGAGGTTCTTGGCCTACTAGATCGATCAGCTTGAACGCCGGTTCCTGAGCCATTTCTTCTGGTGTATGCCTCGAAAACACCAGAGAATCTATCGCGAGTGTCTTGCCCAACTGCAGATCATTCATCCAACACGTTGTTATCATCTGAGTTTCTTCAACAACTAGCTCTAAAAAGTTTTGGGTATGGCATAACGATCTCTCTTTAAAATCTCACAGATAAGTCAGGTTAACTTTGCTCATGCTTACTTGAAAGTTTTTCCGCTTTCTCGGCAGATGGTACTGGAATATTCAGAGCTGGTCTTAAGCTTGGCTATTGGAAACAGAGGAGAAGCGTGAGAAGGATGAAACTCCTTTTTAAAAAAAATACAAAACGATTCCACACATATAGTTTCAGAGAAGTGGACTTACTCTTGGTTTGGAATTGGAACTAGAGCTGGAGCCAAACTGTGGATACCTCAATATTGTCCAATCGAATACATAGTCAAACTGATAACCTGCAGAAAGAAGAATCAAAGCAGTTTCTTGAGTGTTTTTGTTAAAAGTCTTCAAACTTAAAGTACATGAGAGTAAGTGAATTCGAACCTTCTCGGATAAATAGTTCTCTGAAAAGCCTCTTTAGGTATGAATAATCTGGTTTGTCTTCAAACCGTAATGAACGCACGTAGAGGAAATACGATGTGAACTCAGGTGGAAAGTTTTTACAGAGGACCTGCCAAAGACAATATACTTCACTATTTCAGAGCGTTGAACTCAAATTACTGCAGAACCACGCAAGTCAATATACCACCGAAGTTTCCTTGTGGTGGAAAGGGAACCAATACCTCTACTGGGGTAAGTCTCTTCTTTTCACTGATCTTGTCATACTTCTGCTTTTTGGTTCCTGCTCGAAGGCCTTGCCAAGGAAGGCTGGAACAGAAATGTGGGATCAGGGACAACTATAATACCAGGAAGAAAAGTAAAAAGCAAAATTATCAAATCAATGTACCTTCCTCGAAGAAAATACATAAGCATATAACCAAGAGATTCCAGATCATCCCTCCTACTTTGCTCTGTGTACAGAATGTTGTATCAGAAGATTAATTAAGAAACTGGTAAGATGTCAAGTCTCTCAAGTGCATGCATCTTGATGGTAAAAGCACAGAAGACAGTCTCCTCATGCAGATATGAGAAGCAAGAAAAAAAAAACTCACCAATTCCAAGATGGGTGTTAACACTTGCATATCGAGCTGTTCCTGTAAGATTCTTGTTTTCTCTGAGAAGCAACACTCCAGATTAGCAAAGTAGAAGCCATCTTAAGATAACAAATTCTTTCTACATGACGAGACAAAGAATGTACCTGTAGGGAATATGCTTGTGTGTTTGAAGATCTCTATACTTTTTCGCAAGCCCGTAGTCAATGATGTAAACCTGCAAAGGAATCAACGAACATGTGTAAAAGAGAAGATAAACAAATGTATCTTACTTGCCGAAGCTCTCAAAACAGTAGTCTTTTTGAAAACTGACCTGGTTTGCTTTACGTCCAAGACCCATCAAAAAGTTATCTGGCTTAATATCACGATGAAGGAAGCCTCGAACATGCATGTACTCGACTCTATTTATCTGGAGAATTCAAAACAGAAACCAAAGCGTAAGTACATAGGCATTAGGCAAACAAACATTATAGGAAAAGAAAAGAAACAATAGTTACCATCTGATCTGCGAGCATTAGAACCGTCTTTAGAGTGAAAGATCGACTGCAATAGTTGAAGAACTCCTCCATACTGGGACCCAGGAGGTCGATCACCATACAGTTGTATTCACCTTCGACCCCAAACCATTTGAGGTGAGGGATACCAGCTTCAAGAAAACAAGGACATGTAATATGAATAACAGGAAAGAAGATTGTGGGTTCATGATTTGAATATGAGAGTGAAGAGTAAATGCAAAACCTACTTCCTCCTTGGAGGAGCATATAGAGCTTTGACTCGTAATGAAGCTGAGGATGCCTAGCTCGAAGAGGTTCCTGCGTGAAGAATCATATATCAACGGACAAGGGTGAGATATATTTATCGAGTTGGCTAGCAAAGTGATCATTTTGCAATGACCAAGAAGAAATAAGCAAACACTAATATAACCACTCATCACTGAGACAATAACATTTCTGATGAAGGTGGAAATGGTTGACATTGCAACTTACCAGCTTAACAGCCACTTCTTCTCCGGTTTGTACATTCACTCCTGAAACAAAAACAAATTCCGAAAATAAAAAGTTAGACAAAGTAACCGACACAAACAAGAAAATACAAAAAAAAAAAGAAATCAGGAAAATTTTCAAAAATAAATACCTAGAAAGATTTCACCAAATGATCCACTTCCAAGCTTTCGTCCCAGCTTGAACTTACCACCAATTACACGATCCATTTTTTTTTCAATCTCTAATTAAAAAAAGTAGCCTTTTCTTCTTTTGTGTGTATATAAACCCAACTCAATTCAATTCAATGTTTATTGGTTATAAGAACTCGTTCTCTAGTAACATCGATCACCAATCGAGTCGCTAAAATCCGATCGAATGGATATACCTAGATCGATTTCTCAAAGACCTATGTACAAACTATTCTATCAAATAAAAGCTAGAAAAATTCTAGTAAAAACACCCAGAATTTCTTCTATAAGAAACGAATTCACACAAAAAAAAAATTAAAAATAGACGCTTTGATCGTTGGATGATGAATCCAAGAGTTTTTTTTTTGTTTTTGACCCAAATCGATTTGCGAAATGATAATCTAAAGTACTCTACTTAGCTTCTGCTACAACCAAACTGAAATCACCCATTTACAAACCATCATCATCATCATCATCATCGAGCTGTGACTGACATCTTTCGAAACGAAGCTTTCCAGACTTCAGATCAGAAAATCAGAAGTAATAAACATGAAATTGAAGGGACGAGAAAAAACGCGGAGAGAAAAAATTGCTTTGTCGGAAACTGATGGTGAAAATCTGATCTAGACTGCTGCGGATAGAGCTTAATTTTCTTGGAAAGAATTTGATTTTTCTAAAGAAAATCTCACAAATCAGAAGAAAGCCTCGAGATTTTTATTTATTTTTTTTGCCTTATCTTGATTCTTGAATAGACAAAATGGTCAATAACTCTGCTTTAGTTGCGTACTAATTTGTATAATCTCTCTCTCTCTCTCCAATCTTCTCTTCCCACATGCTCATGTAAATAAAAGGTTACCTAATTTTATTAGATAATTTAATTTCAATTTTGGCACTATTAGTAGAAATAATTTACTTTCTTTTTCTATCAATTGAACGGTAAATATAGAATAATTTCTTGAAGCCTTGACGCAGAAAAAAAGAACGTCTTTACTCTATAATTTTTTGATTCTTCTGCGTTTCTGCCGTTGGTTTTGTTGAAGTTGCTCAATGTCTTTTGGTTGTTGAGTTACTTCACTACAAGACCTCTCTATATCAGACGGAGGGACCAATGACTTGTTATGAGGAAGCAACAACTACATTGAAGAATATGTCAACAGTTTATCTTCATAAAAGTATGTTATCTTAATTTACCTTTTGTTTTACATTTTCTTCAATAAGCTGTCAAACACATTATGTCGACAGCAAAGATCTTAGTTAAACAAACATTCAAACTAGAAAAAAAATAGATATTCTAACGATTTGAGTTATATATATATTCCTAAGACTTGGACAATTTAATAGTTCATAAGAAAAGTTAAAGAATGTTTGAAGAAAGTTGAAAACAATGAATAATTTTGGTATTATATAATAATAACGCTTATGTTGTACAATCAACTAACAAAATCAAAATAAAACTATAAAAAACTTGTGGGATAAAACAATTTATTTCTTTTCTTTTTCTCCTTCTGCTTTTGACTTTGATTACTCATTGTCCCTAAGGCTTTCGCTGGTGAGCCACAGTTTCTTCTTGACAATGAAAACGACATTTTTCTCGCCATCTTCAGTGTCTTGGTCAAGTTCGGAACCTGAAGTTACCGTCTCCGATGCAACAGTCTCCCAGTGCAAAGCCTGCAAATACTTCTTGATTGATTCCACAACACTTTGCTTGTCTCTGATGATGATGAACCCCGTAGGTCTAAGAATCCGATCCATCTCCATTAATAGATCCTCCGCGCTGCATCCTTTGCTTTTAATGTCTGAAAAAACGGTCCACGCGTGCAAGAGATCGTATGTTCGCGGATATGTAGAGAAAGCCTCACACCTAAAATTCAATTCAATCGTCAACAAAAAAAGGACTGGTGAAAATGTGAAGTTCATAATTGAAGGAAAGTTTTAGGATTTTCATTCAAGGTTTGTGTTTTGTACCAGTTATGATTTGTGCCAATGAAACCGCGGTCGTAGATCAGTTTTAGAGTGTTGGGACCGTCGGGAGAGACAACGTTCATAACCCAGACATCTTTGTCTTTAAGAGCAGCTGCGAAAGAACCCATGTGAGCTTTCATGTCCATTACGTTCCTCACAGTGTTTGATTTGATTTTTGACGACATTAGGTTCCAGTAACTATCCACTTGTTGTCTCCAAAGTTCCTGCAAACAAAGAAGATAACTGTTTAATTCTTCTTCAATAAATCTGTGAAAGAACCGAGCGAGTAAGAGATCATTGGTTTAAGTACCGTGTCTTTCTCAAACATATCAGTTGAATAACCAAAATCTGCAAGACGGGGGGGTGGAGAAGTTACTCTAGCTGGCCAAGGAGCTAACCCACTTCCCTTGGTTTTATGGTCATCTGTTTAGGGCAAAATTGAAAAAAACAGAGCAAGACTGTGAATAACCTTAGAACCAGAAACCAACCAATTCTTGCAAAAACCAACAGTGCTGTTCAGGAAAATGCAGAGCATACTTACGCTTGGAGTAAGGAGTGATGCAAGCTTCCATGGACACACCCGAAACCGCATCAGGATCAGCGTCTGAGCGACAAAGAGGAGGCTGTGTCCCGGGAGCTCTCTCCAAGTAACAGTCATTGGTCAACGGTTTCTGCCAAACAACAGTTTGGTTTCTTTTAGCAGCTATTCTCCAACACATTCGTTCAACAAGAGCACTCATCTCCTTCCAGATCCTCAAATCCTCTTCGTCCTGCGCGTAAGCTTCAGGAGACGAGTAAGCGAAATAACCCCCCGGTCTTAGTACCCGGTCGAGCTCGAGAAGAAGGATCCCGTCTCTTTGAAGCCAATCGATCCTACACCGAGAGCAATGAGCCAGCTCGAATGATCTGCTCGGGTAAGGAAGTCTCTTGGTACCTAAAACACCGAGATAAGCGGGGATGCCTCTCTCCAACGCAAACTGGATTTGGTTCTGATGAACGTCATTAGGCGCTAACGACATTGCGATTATATCAGAGGAGAGAAGGTAAGCTCCAAAACTGGCAACTCCGCATCCAACATCGAGGACCGTTCTTAACCTCCCTTCGTCGTTCAATACATCGTTAGAAAAGTTAAGCATCTGCAAGTGAAGAAGTAATCCATTAGAAACAAAGCAAATCATTAGACAAAAGTTTAAAGTAAACAAAGCTAAAGAGGAGGCTTACATTTGCGATCGATGCAATGTACTTATCAGCTCCGTAATGGAAATGAGTACCACCACCTGGAAACACGATTTTCTCGCCTTTTACAACCATCCAATTCTGATCAGACTTCTCCTTCGCAAGGTGAGTGTGAGGTATGTTCGCTTGCCACACTTCATCTCTGCTCTTAGGCCACTTTATAGGAACCTAAAACAAAAAATCAATACAAGGAGCAAAAAACAATCAGGAAAATGCAACAGAAACTGATGAAATCAGAGCAAGAAGAAAGCAGATGTGGCACCTTGTAGCCAGATGGAGGAGGAATCAAACAGTTAAACTTTCTTTCGGGAGGAGGACAATGCCGTTCATAATGTTCCATCAGAGATAGATCCAGCTTCAACCTCATCTGGTAGATCAAATTCCTATCTAAGCAAGGGATGATTTCCGAGTGCCGGTCATCACAAACCTTTAACATATACCAAAAAAGTTAGCTTTTTTACATAAAACTCTGCAGCTACGAAACTTTGAGATTTCGATAAAGCGACTTACAGGGAAACTTTTGGCCACAACAAGACTGTCTTCTTCATTGGTCACAGAGTCATCCTGTTTGGTATCACCGTTGTCATCATCTCCAACCAAATAAGAGGATCCGAGTTTTCTCAAAGATCTTCCATACTCCAATGCGGATGCACCTTGGCTAGAGGAACCATAGTACATATACAAGAAGCAGACGAATAAAGCGACGATGCAGACCGAAGCAATGAGCCGCTTTTTTTGGCCTCCATCAGATCTCCCTCTCATCATGGAAACGTAATTTGCTCCCAAACCCAAGAAGCAAAAGAGCTTTCTATAGTCTCTAAGAGAAATGTAAACAAAGGGCTTTCCTCTCTGGCTCTCTCTATGTGAGTCTCTGCATAAATCAAGAACAGAACAATCATAAGACTTTGAACAGTCAAAAGTCTGTCTGAGAATAGTTTAGTATAAAGCTTGGTAGATAGTCACTGGCACTAAACACAAGATCACGTTTTTGAAAGTGAATCAATAAATGGAGGAATAAAAAAACAGACTTGGAAGATTCAGATCCGTGTTTATTGGGTCAGAGACCACACACAAGTATCTTGATTCAGAGCCTTATGTTAAGTGGAAACCAAGTAACAGTACAAATCTTTAAATTTTGGAAAGAAAAAAATAATGGGCACCGACAAACTTTTTTTTGTCCTCCCTCAGTCAAAAGATAGAATCTCCATTGAATAGAATTGGTAGATCTGGGAGTAGAGTCTCCTCTTCCATTTTCTCAGAAAAGCTTCTAATGAAAGAGTCTCAATTTCCCGGGAAAATTGAAAATTGAAACAAGCACTCGTTGATTGCAAAAAAACGGAAACAGAGAGAATGAGATCGAATCGAATGCGGAAAACAACAGATATTCAAAAATCGAATCTCCAAACTAAACCCAGAAGAGAAAAGAACGGAAAACTCACCGACCAGGAAGAGCCGACGTCCAGTGGTAACGAGAGATCCGAGAATGGGGGGGGGGGGGGGGGGGGTGAGTGAAGTTATTCAACTTATTCTACTCGCTTTAAATTAAATATAAAGACTGGCGATTTTGCATATGAATGGGGAAAATCATAAATAAAAGAAAAAAAACTTTATAGATTCAGATCTCAGGAATGATGCCTTTTCCACTGGCAAATGTTTTTTCCTAAATTTGGGAGATAAGTACAGTGTTTTCGTTGTAAAGATTAAAAGGTCTCTCTCTGTCCAGTGTCCACACTGTCGACTTGCTGTAAATCTTTTTTTTTTATTTATTTATTTATACTATAGATATTATTTGGAGTAGTCTGGACAATTTAATTCTTGTTACTAACTAATCAAGCTACTGTACAAGGGGGAAGAACAACTTTTACAATTTAATTATACTCATTCTCTCTCTACAAGTAGATTCGATATAATACTTCTTGCAATTTTCTTTGTTTCGTCGTAGTTTTGGACCCATAGTATGTAATTAATTTTGTTTTTTTTGCTTTATATGAAAATGTACCTTGACTAATAAGAAAGAAAACCAGTTGCCTATTGGAGAAGTCACTGTCGTAAAGTCATTGACACGGAATAAAAATCCGTGAACGCGTTTTTATTCATTGTGTCGGTGATTACTGATTACTAGTAATAAGTAATCACTCCAAAATGACGATTGGTGATTTTGTTTATTCCATCACCATTTAACTCATGTTATTCGACTTATTAATTAGCTTTAACCAATCAATTTTTTTTTTAAAAAAAAATCAATCAAAATTAGATCCGACTCTGTTCCTGCAAGTTGAGACTTCTTAGCACTATTTTTTTCTCAATAACATATTTAGTATATAATTTTTGAATTGCCATAAACAAATGAAGATACAACCCCAGAATAATATTATAGAGAATCGGGTGAGGTCACCAATTCGTAAGGGAAACCTTTTTTTCAAAAGAAAGAAGGATCTTTGTATCTTCTGAAAACGGCTTCAATATCCGCCATAACTTCCGGCGAAAACGGCCGCTCTGTCATCAGAAAAGCATCAATGTCTTCTTTAAGCTGTTCCAACGACGTGGAACCGATGATCGTGCTCGTCACAAAGGGCCGGTCACGTACAAACCCGAGAGCTAACTCTACCGGAGTTAAACCGTGCTTCTTCGCCACCTCAATGTATTGTATCGTTGCTTCCTACAGATTCAAAGAAAACAAATTTAGCTTCAAAAAACTTTCATGTCTTCACAACTATAACGTTTTTCTCTTACGCATAGTTGGATCAAGAACAAACCTTGGCTAGGGATCCCATGTATCGTTCCATGAAACCAGGGAAAAGATTCAGCCTTGCATTTTTTGTAGCTTCTGGGTCCGTAACCAAGTATTTTCCAGACAACGAGCCGCCTCCAAGAGGAGAATAAGCAAGCAAGCCAACATTGCAATTTTTTGGGTGGCATACTTCTACCAGATCAACTGTGATTTTTAATCCAAAAACAGCAGAATTTTAGGACATGCTCATAAGGTCTTGACTGCTTTCTATTCGTTTCTAAAGAGTCTACCTTCAAAACGGGATCGAGCTAGCAAGCTGTAACCATTCTGGATGCTCACAATCTTTGGTAGTCCTTCAAGTTTTGCTGTGTGAACAAACTCCATCACTCCATATGAAGTTTCATTTGAGACACCGATGTAGCGAACCTGTTACAGAGTTTTACGGAAAACTTCAAGATTCCGTTAACAACAGTAAAGGAGTTTCAAGGTTTTTATAATATCTGTAGCTTTATCGAAAAAAAGATTAGCTCAATACATGTGATTGATGGTTAAGGAATAGCAGCACTACCTTTCCTTCATCTATGAGATCCTGGAAGGCTCTTAGCTGCTCAACAAATGGCACACTAGTTCTCCATCTAGACGGATCATAGTAGGTATCACCAAAGAGTGGTACATACCGATCTGGCCTGGACTGAACAAAAACATCAGAATCATGATTTTGCTACATTCGACGATTAATATAGAAATAGTTTGCATAATGAAATGGAAAAATAAATTGCATAAGCATATGAATTAGAAGCATATGAATTAGGCTTAGCGCACAAAATAGGGCGATGTTACCAGTGTATTTGAAGCAAATCAATGTAGTCAGTGCCAAGGCGCTTGAGACTTTTTTCAACACTTTCTTTGATATTAGCTGCATCTACACGCGTGACCTCGGCATTGTCCCGCAAGTACGCTGTTCTTTCTGAGTACCCGCTTAGTTTAGTTGCCAAAACAATCTGTACAAAGACAATACTGAGTTCAAACACGAATGCTAAAGCTTGCTTAACAGTTATAGCATGTAAGTACTCAAAGTGTCAGAGTCAGCAACAATTAGTTCCTAATCTATCAATAGAACCCACAAACCGAAGCAACTAGCCAACAACAATACGCATCAAAAGCATGAAATTGGTGGTACCTTGTCACGGCTCTGAGATTTCAACCAGCTACTGATATAAAGATCAGTTTTACCTTGGGTCTCCTTCTTCATCGGGACGGGGTACTGGAAACAAAATAAGATCAATAAGCGAATTGATCCTGTAGTCAGAGAACCAAACAGTTGCATTCACCAAGCCTGGAGAGAAATATGAAAAGTTAAGAGATAAAACTCACGGCTTCAGCAGTGTCAATGCAGTTGATGCCATGTTCAATTGCATAACTCAGCATCTCATGAGATTCTTTCTCAGTATTTTGCTCCCCAAATGTCATCTGAAATGATTTCACAAGAAGAAGCAAGCATGATTACACGAAAATACGGCCACCTAATGCATTGAATCTGATCCCACCAAGTCCAGCAACACTAAAGCCAAAACTGTGGTTGAAAATCTCACTTTTTTTTATCAATTAATCGACCCAAAAACGAGTACTTGTCTCTCGATTTCACCAATGCTTCAAGGAAATAGCAACCCGAAGCAGCAACATAACGAAAATATGCAACTACAGTTCCAATAGGAATTAAAACGAATAACATAAATCAGGAGAAGGCAAAGGAGATGAGGAGATTCATCTTACAGTTCCCATAGTAATTTCGCTGATATTGAGGTCGGAGTCCCCTAATTTCCTGTACTCCATAGCATTCTTCGACGTCTTCTCCGTCGACATCTTCGCCACAACCGAAGCTGTCCGAGAATTCCGTGATGGAGTAACACGGCGGGGCGTGAAGGCTAACTTAGCGAATCCTCGGACGGTGGCAATACTGTTGCTGCCGCTGACCGCCGGAGTGGCCATTGAGAAGGTGACGTAAGATGACGCCATGCCGGAGAATGTCGTGGACGTGGTGGTTGTTGTCGCCTTATCGCCATATCTGCTGTTTAATCACGGTTTAAAAAGCCTGGGCTGAAATTATTTGGGCTTACTATCTCTCGAAAGGCCCATTGAATCATACAAATATGGGATAACTGCAAAAAAACCCTCAAACTAAATTAATTTTGCAAGATTAATCTTCAGATAAAAAAAAATGCAGGTCAATCTTCCAAAGTAACCCGCAATATAGGACATCTCTATATCGTCAACGTCATCATTAACTTTTTTATTAATTTTTTTGATACTATGTCGTTTTGATTAAAAAAAACAATTCCAAATTTACAAAAATTGAGATTCGAACTCATGATCTCTAAATAAACTGAATACATGATTCACCAATCGGTTGGGCTTACTATCTCTCGAAGGCCCATTGAATCATATCAATATTTAATATTGAAGTGAAAAATCGCAGATTATTTATTCCTTCGAGATATGATGATGACATGGCATGACACCTTCGATATCTCCTCCCACCACCAATAAATAAAGCAGAGTGAGCTTCACGGATACAAACAAGCAGCCTGACGCTACTACGCTCTCTCGACAGTACCAAAAGGCAAAAACCGATCCATTTTCCGGCGATAACCTACGACTTTAGATCCGATGGCGAAGGAACCAGTTCGTGTTCTCGTCACAGGGGCTGCAGGTAACTTTTACATACCTCGGATCTATAGTATCTTTTATCTCTGATTTTGGATCGCCTCTTAAGTGAATCGCAAAAACTCTTGCTTACTCTAGTCAGATCTCTGGTTAGTCTTGGTTATGCCGCCCAAATGTTTAATCGATCGATGAAATAGACGTTGATTCTAGTTTTCGTTGGATTGTTGAATGAGATCTGAGCATCTGAACTTTATTGGATCCTAACTTTGCTAGGCTGGTAACACGACGAAGAAACTAAGAGTCTTCTTATAGTCTGATGCTTCGTAATCTGGTTTCTCTCCGCTTATGTTAATCGGCTTGCTTCATGCAAGAACCATCTAGTATTTCCCCATTTCCCGATGAATCATGATGTCTGTCTGTAGAGGTTTGGTCTAGAAGTTGACGTTTTGCCGCAACGCTTAGGTCAACTTTGTTTTATATATATTCTCGTCGGTTTGATAACATTTTAACGTTGACTAACGATTCATTGAGTTGTTCTCATTTCTGATTTTTTTGAAAACGGTTTTGGTTGACTCTGATTTTTGGAGGGTATATTTAATAATTGGATGTAGTTTATATAGTTGGCTAATGAAGTAACAAACTGTTGTGATTGCGCAGGACAAATTGGATACGCACTTGTCCCTATGATTGCGAGGGGAATCATGCTTGGTGCTGACCAGCCCGTGATCCTCCACATGTTGGATATTCCTCCGGCTGCTGAAGCACTTAACGGTGTGAAGATGGAGTTGATCGATGCTGCTTTCCCTCTTCTCAAAGGTTAGTTACAGCTCGTGAAGTCGTGTCTTTCATGCTGCTTACTGTGAATATTTGCAATCCGTGCCAAAGTATGAAAGATGATGAACATTTTGACGTGTATTATCAGGCGTTGTTGCTACAACTGATGCTGTTGAAGGGTGTACTGGAGTCAACGTTGCTGTTATGGTTGGTGGTTTCCCGAGGAAAGAAGGAATGGAGAGGAAGGATGTCATGTCCAAGAATGTCTCCATTTACAAGTCCCAGGCTGCTGCTCTGGAGAAGCATGCTGCTCCAAACTGCAAGGTGATAGCTCCTCTTTGCCTCATTTTTCTTTTTTGTTGTTCATTGGAGGATAACAAACGCTTTCATATCCCTAGTTGGGTGACTCTCTCACTCAAGACATTCTCTCTCGTCTTGTTCAGGTTCTTGTCGTTGCAAACCCTGCAAACACCAACGCGTTGATCCTGAAGGAATTTGCACCATCCATCCCTGAAAAGAACATCACCTGTTTGACAAGGCTTGACCACAATAGGGCATTGGGTCAGATCTCTGAGAGGTTGAGCGTGCCCGTGTCTGATGTTAAGAACGTGATCATCTGGGGAAACCACTCATCCACACAGTACCCGGATGTGAACCATGCTAAGGTGCAGACTTCGTCTGGAGAAAAGCCTGTCCGTGAGCTCGTCAAGAACGATGAGTGGTTGAATGGAGAATTCATCACTACCGTTCAACAGCGCGGAGCTGCAATCATCAAGGCGAGGAAGTTGTCTAGTGCACTTTCTGCTGCTAGCTCTGCCTGTGACCACATCCGTGACTGGGTCCTTGGAACTCCAGAGGTTCATAATAAAACAGTCTTCCAATTATTCGCAGTGCAGTGTTTGATAGCAGTTTTAACATGACTTCTTACTCTGATTCAATTACTCAGGGTACATTTGTTTCCATGGGAGTATACTCCGATGGCTCCTACAACGTGCCAGCGGGACTTATCTACTCATTCCCTGTCACTTGTCGCAATGGAGAGTGGAGTATTGTCCAAGGTAAGAGAAGCTTTTACAACTCATCTACTCAATTCTGAATCCCTAATTTATCTATATTAATGTGTATTTGTTTGATTAGGGCTTCCGATCGATGAAGTATCGAGGAAGAAGATGGATTTGACGGCAGAGGAGTTGAAGGAAGAGAAGGACTTGGCGTACTCATGCCTCTCTTAAACCAATACCTTTCTTGTGAAGCCATCTTTCATCTACCAGGTGGTGAGATCATTAAAGCTTTTAGGGCTTTGTTGGAATAAAAAGTTTGTTATAAACCTCTTTGTGGGTTTGTCTCTTTAATGAGCATAGTACCTGGTCTGTTTCTAAACCAGGATATCGTTTATTCTGTTTTTTTTATGTGTCTGATTTGGTTTTACCACCCATAATAAGGAAAAAAAAAAAAAAATTGGCAACTTCATGGTTGGGTTACCTTTGTCATTAGTCCGAATGAAGTTACGCAAGTTATTTTTTCCTAGATGTTTTATAAAAGAATGCGAAACCAAATGTTTGTTGTTTTGTTGCCAAAAAAAAATGTCTAGTTTTGCAGCCAAACGACAGATTTTTCGGGTTGGTATATTTGGAATACCGAATGAAATGTTGTTCCCTGCATCGAATTTATACCAAACATCCAGTGACTAGAATGAGCCCAACTTCTAATTTGGACTGTTGAAGTAGAACCAAATTTGCTTTATAACCACTATCAAATTGAACTTAAAAATACATCCAACAAAGTGAATCCCTTTTAAAACTTCAAGATAAGAATTGTTTCGCATTCTGACCAAATTTCTTATATCTACCGAAAATATGTTTCTATTTTTCGATGACCCGATCATTCAGAAATCGAATCATAAACCATAGGCAATAGGCACTGGTCCACTAATTGGGGGTATACGAGGATTCGAGTTTTTTGAAGGGAACGAATACGAATATTCAAAGTTAATATTTACCTTTGCCTTTTGTAAAGTAAAAGCAGTTGATTTTGACTAGATTCTGCTCGTAAATCAGAACCTTTAAATTTATATCTTGATAAGCCTTATAGTAATGGGTTCTACAAAAAGTGGGCATGACCAGAATCGAGAATCGTGTTCATGAACCACCGTCCTTTTAGGCCCCAACGTTAGACCCTTTTCTCTAATACAAGGGGAAGAGGATACTAGTTCACTGCACTTTATCTTTATGCCCACTCAACATTATAAACATAAGTCCATCTCTTGTAAAATATCTTATACTGCTCTGTATCAAAAAAGCTTCTTTGATGATCCCGATAAATCTTAAATGAGCAAATGAAAAAATGAGATGTCGGTAAAAATAATACAATTAAATTCCAACGCCACTAGTTGTGGATAAAGTTGTCTTACTTTTGTCTTGTTCTGAATATTATATGCACATTATTGCAATCAACATACTCTCATTGGGTATGTTTTCGTCTTCCATTAGATCTCAAATCTTTCACTTGCATACCGGAAATAGGAAGGAGAGTTAGTCACCCAAAAATAACCTTCACAGTTCCTTCAAGATCTTTGTTCCCAATATCCCAAGCTCCTCAAAGATCGTTGTCCCCTAAAGAGATATCCACTCTGCTTGCGTTCTGGTAAGAATTTCCAGATTTTGATTTGTTGAACATCTAATTCTTGAGTACATGCTTTCATGCGTTAGAAGCAAGACTTGGTTTTGATTTAGTAGATCTTTGATCTTTTGTTTTCTCTTTATCTCAGTTATCCATTGCTTCTCTGTTTTTGGGGATAAAGGTTAGGTTTAATCGATCCCTCCCTGATTGTTTATATTTTTAAAATAAAAGATCCAACTTTCTAAATAAATGATTCTCTTTAATTGATGTAGGACTATTCCCTGGAGGAGCTTGTGGTCTGAAATCATGGTAGAGTCTGGACAGAGAGTGGATTTTAGCTGATTTGGTCTTGATCTCTGATGATAACTATGGCGACGAACAACAAGACCATAGTTTGGTTCAGAAGAGACCTACGGATCGAAGATAATCCTGCATTAGCCGCTGCTGCTCACGAAGGATCCGTTTTTCCTGTTTTCATTTGGTGCCCTGAGGAAGAAGGACAGTTTTATCCAGGAAGGGCTTCAAGATGGTGGATGAAACAATCGCTGGCTCACTTATCTCAATCCTTGAAGTCTCTTGGATCCGAGCTCACTCTTATCAAAACACACAACACCGTCTCCGCCATCTTGGATTGTATCCGTGTAACCGGTGCCACAAAAGTCGTCTTTAATCACCTCTATGGTAATAATTCTATCTCTCTTCTCATGTTCGTTTGGTTAAGTTTCTCAAACATCATTTGGTGTACAGCTGAAGTTGCGTTTCCTTGTTGTAGATCCTGTTTCGCTAGTTCGGGACCATACCGTAAAGGAGAAACTGGTGGAACGTGGGATCTCTGTGCAAAGCTACAATGGAGATCTACTGTATGAGCCCTGGGAGATTTACTGCGAAAAAGGCAAACCTTTTACGAGTTTTAGTTCTTACTGGAAGAAATGCTTAGACTTGTCGATTGAAGCTGTTATGGTTCCTCCTCCTTGGCGGTTGATGCCTGTAACTGCAGGTAAAACCTTATTCCTATAACATTTTCGATATGTTTTGGGACATCACAGTTGATAAAAAGATTGTCTTTGCTTTGTTAGCTCCTGAAGCGGTTTGGGCATGTTCAATTGAAGAACTAGGGCTAGAGAACGAGGCCGAGAAGCCGAGCAATGCGTTGTTAACTAGAGCTTGGTCTCCAGGGTGGAGCAATGCTGATAAGATACTAACCGAGTTCATCGAGAAGCAGTTGATAGATTACGCAAAGAACAGCAAGAAAGTCGTCGGGAACTCAACCTCGCTGCTGTCTCCGTATCTCCATTTCGGGGAAATAAGTGTCAGGCGCGTTTTCCAATGTGCCCGGATGAAACAAATCATATGGGCGAGAGATAAGAACGGCGAAGGAGAAGAAAGCGCCGATCTTTTTCTCAGAGGGATTGGCCTGAGAGACTACTCTCGGTACATATGTTTCAATTTCCCCTTCACTCACGAGCAGTCGTTGTTGAGTCACCTTCGGTTCTTCCCTTGGGATGCTGATGTCGAGAAGTTCAAGGCCTGGAGACAAGGCAGGACTGGATATCCTTTGGTGGATGCCGGAATGAGAGAGCTTTGGGCTACCGGATGGATGCATAACAGAATAAGAGTGATTGTTTCGAGCTTCGCTGTGAAGTTTCTTCTTCTTCCATGGAAATGGGGAATGAAGTATTTCTGGGATACCCTCTTGGATGCTGATTTGGAATGTGACATCATCGGATGGCAGTATATCTCCGGGAGCTTACCCGATGGCCACGAGCTTGATCGCTTGGACAATCCTGCGGTAAACTTAAAAAACTTTTGGTTTGTTCAGTTCGTAACTTGTGATTGTTCTGCTTTGGTTTTAGTTCTGTTTCTCATTGAGACGACTCGGTGAATCTCTGTTTTGATTTCAGATACAAGGCGCGAAATATGACCCGGAAGGCGAGTACATAAGGCAATGGCTTCCTGAGCTAGCGAGGTTGCCAACGGAATGGATCCATCATCCATGGGATGCTCCTGTAACTGTACTCAAAGCCTCTGGTGTGGAACTCGGAACAAACTATGCGAAGCCCATTGTAGACATCGACACAGCTCGTGAGCTACTTGCTAAAGCCATATCAAGAACTCGTGAAGCACAGATCATGATCGGAGCAGAGCCTGATGAGATTGTGGTGGATAGCTTCGAGGCCTTGGAGGCTAATCTCGTTAAAGAACCCGGTCTTTGCCCTTCTACGTCTTCTAATGACCAACAAGTACCTTCGGCTGTTCGTTACAATGGGTCAAAGAGAGTGAAACCTGTGGAGGGAGAAGGGAGAGACATGAAGAAACCTAGAGGAGTTGATGAAGATGATAGAGAAGAAAGGGACTTGTTCTCGACTGCTGAATCTTCTTCTTCTTCGACGGTTAGGAGCGTGTTCCTGGTTTCGCATTCGTGTTCGTTGGTATCGGAAGGGAAGAATTTGGAAGGTATTCAAGATTCTTCTGATCAGATTACTACTACAAGCTTGGGGAAAACTGGTTGAAGATGATCAAAATAAGGTTTATGTTGTTATAATCTATAAAGCCTAACATGTAGAAGTGTGAATGTGCCTTTTGACTCTTTGTCTCTTTTGATGATGCTCAGAATAAACGATTGAATAAACATACAGTATATATAATGCTGATGGTTACGGTTTCTGTATGGATGAACATGAACATGTTATATTTCTGATATTTGTATATGTTTGAAACAAATATCTATTGGGATGTTGTGAATATTGAAAGTATACTTGTATTAAAAATTAGTTTAGAACGAGAAAGAAAAATGATTAAGCGAACAAGTCTGAGATGAGAAAGCCTTATTTACAGGCCCATTATGAAAAATCAAACGACGGTCTCTGTGTGGTCCATAAGCCAACTCTCGATCTTTCTCCGTTGATATCATCAATCCGCCGGTGAATTTCAGTCGAACGGGAAGCAACTCCGGCGACTCATATGGCGTCGTCGAAGGGAGGAAACACCATCGCCCACATCAATACTCTTCACAACCGTCTTTATCACGCTCTTAATCTCGGCTTCAGGTCTTCTCTCTCTCTATCTCTTCGTCTTTGGCAGCACCTGTCGGTTCACCTGATTCTCTTCCTTTTTTCTTCTGTGTTTATCTACTCCCGATCTATTTTTTGCTGTACGGTTGATTTTGCTCCTTTGTTTTTCCTTTTGAGTTTGTATCCTGAGTAATTTCGGTTTTTGATTGGTAGGAGGGTGTGTGATGAGAAGGAGAAGAAGTGGGAGTGTACTGATGTCGAGATACAGAGGCATGTCGTGAGGTCGATTTCAGCTTTTCTTGATTGTTTTTCTCGAGGAACAGCAAACAATCGCCTTATCAAGGTATAGACGAGTTTGATCCATCTGTGTTTGCTTGAAATTTCGTAACTTTTAGTGAAATTTGTCTGCTTGATTCGAACTTCCTTTCGTTTTTTTGTTTGTTTGTGCTGCTTAGGATTCTGTTTCTGACATAGCCGAGGCCTTGGTGTTTATTCTAGGATATAAAAACAGAGCAGTGGTGGGTTCAGCAGCCAATGTAGTCATTAGGCTGATCCGTATTGTTCCTCCTTCTATCCTGCAATCGCATTCTTTGGATCTTGTGGATTCTTTATCACCACTGTTAAGCTGTCAACAATTGGACGTCTCCCTTCCCTGTGCTGTTGCTTTGAACGCAATTCTCTTAAACGTAAGAGAAACGAAGGAGAAACAAGTGTGGAAGATTTTAAAAGATTCAAAAACTGTGGCTTCCGTCACTGGTAATCTGCAGAGCTTCTCCGAGGGGAGTATGTCAGTGGAATGGTTTCAGGAGATGGCTTCGCTTTTGAGTACAATAATGTTGAAGTGGCCTCAGTCAAGGTTCGCTGTCTGGCACAACCCCGCCTTGATGGTTATGCTGGAGAGTGTTAGTCAGAAGCCTGATATGGGCTTGAAATTTGCAACTTTGAAGCTGTATTCTTCTGTAGGTACATATGGTTGTCGAGATATATATTTTGTTATCTAATGAGCTACAAACATCCGAGTATATTGGCCTAAACTTGTCCCTTGTGTGTTTCTCTGTTTCAGCTCTTTGTGGTCATGGTGCCAATGAGCTTCTAGATAATGGGAAGCCTATGTTAGATATGATGATTTGCTGCATGGACGAATCAAGCCCCCAAAACGCTCGAATTGAGGGGTTAAAGCTAGCACAAAGGCTTGCGGTAATTAATAGTGCTTCATTCTGTTTACCTTTAGTCAATTATAATTTTGGATTTCTAAGCCGTGACCGTTGCTCAGACAGGTAACCAAGAGTGCTTGAAGATGATCAACATATGTTCTGAGCCTTTAGTAAAGGCTGCAGTTTGGACCATGGGTAAGTGGTTCGTAAGCTCCGGAAAGCTTGAACATGATCAGATGTCTTTGCTTGTGGAGGCTTGTAAAGTGGCTCTAATCACTCGCTGGGAAGGAAAGCATCACATATATTTCTGGAAGTACCGGATCTCAGAAGCGCTTCTTAGTCTTGTTGTGGAGAATTTTCATAGTCAGTCCTTGGATGGTTATGCGTCTCTGGAAGAAGAAATTTCAGTTGCTGAGAAGGTACTCAATGCGAATTTTCTACCTAGCCTGAGGTCATATGTTTGGGATATAATTGGATTCTTGGCAGCTCACTGTGAAGAAGAGTTCGATCCCATTTTGCATGGAGATGAACTCAGCCTCAACTTTCTTGTCACATGTGCATGGTAAGACGCTGGTTGTTTGTTTTTCCTCAACCGCTTCTTTTTGGGTATATAATCTTTATCTATTCTGATCATTCTTCTTCCGATTTTTTTCTTAAAGCTTGACCTTTTCAAGGTCGGTTCAGAAAGGCTATCAAATATGTCAAAACGATATTATCAGCGCCTCACAAAGCGAGTCAGCGTCAAGAGCAGTGCTAATGATGATATATTCTCCCTCCAGATACATATCATCGAGGGCCAGAGTTACCCTCTCGTTCATCATAGGAGAAGATGGTGAGCAAAACTTGAATTCCCTTATGAATTTCCTAAGTTTTATTCCATCTTCTGGAGGTTATGTACTGCCAAATATACTGCAAACTACAGTCTGCTTGGTGGGCTTGGCATGCTATTCATCGATTCCTCAGTATGCGAGTTTTATTTTAAGAAACCAGGGTTTGGAGATGCTGTTATCTTTCTGTAGTTGGTATCAAAGGAATCGGGACAATATTGGAGCATCAAGTTTTGCTCCTTATCCCCAGAGCATCGCTGAGAAGAGGGTATGTTGCTGGGTGTGTACGGAAGACTGGGACAACAAAGATGCTTTTCTTCTGTATGCTCTCTTGGCTTTGGCCGAATTAGTAAATCATTCTTTCACGGAACAGAATCATGCCGAAGAGCTTTCGTTGAAAAGAGAAAATGTGAAAGATCGGCTATGCAACACACTTCAGGAGATACGTGATGGAACTTATGGCTCTGGTCCAAGGTGGTATGCTGGACATATCCTGAGCTATCTCGGATACTATGGTTTCCAACATAAGTTGGGGAAAAGGCTCATGGGAGCTTATGAAGATGAGGAATGTAGTGACATGCGACTTCTTTTTGCTAATGGGAATAGTGCGAGTGTAAACAAAGTTATTCTCGCTGTCAGGTGTCCAATGTTGCTGCCTCCGGAAGAGGGAGCTCACAGTGGAACGACTATATCAACTGAAAAGTCTCAGGGAACTGTTCAAGAAATCCGCATGTCTGCAAATGTGGATACTCTGGCGCTTGTGAAGTTACTGGAGTTTGCCTACTCTGGGTATGTGGAAGTAGAAAGCACCGTGAGGAAAAAGCTAAAGACTTTAGCGAGACATTGTAAGTCAAAGGTTCTGCTGCAGATGCTCTGCAGAAGAAGACCCAAGTGGGGATCTTCAATACCCAGAATTGATATACCCCTTGCCCTCACTCCAAAACACATCCATTTCTCGTAAGTTTTATCAATCTCATCATTGTTTTCGAAATGAACAGTTTGATTGATAAACTGCTATCCTGTAATTTCAGGGATGTTATGTTAGTACCTAAAGAAACGAATATGGCTGGCTTCAACTGCCGTTCGTGTTCCATTACATCTCCTCATGCTCACACTCACCGAGTTGTACTGTCTTCAGGCTGTGAATACCTACGTGCCTTGTTCCGGTCCGGGATGCAAGAGAGGTATGTAATTGTTAGTTGTTACTCACAGCAATTGTTTGGTATTTTTGCTGTCCATGTTGCTGTAGTGCCGGCAGAGACGAATGCACTTAGAAGCTGTCTAGTGTTTTCATTAGGGAATAATATAGTTGCAACTATTCCTTGTCTGCAGCCATTTAGACAGAATAAACGTTCCGGTGAGTTGGCTGGGGTTAGCTAAGCTTGTGAATTGGTTCTACTGTGATGAATTGCCAAAACCTCCATCGGGTTGCATATGGAACAACATGGACACCGAGGCAAAACTACATGAGCTTCAAGCTTACGTGGAGATATACTCGCTCACCGAGTGGTGGATGATGGAAGATCTTCAAGACGATTGTGCTAAAGTGATTCTCTCTTGCTTGGAATCCGCTAGAGAGTTGTCGATCAAAGCAATCGAATTGGCTGCAAGTTTCTCCATGTGGAAGCTGGTGGAAGCGGCGGCTGATCATGCAGCTCCTATCTACCACCAGCTTCGTGACTCAGGTGAGCTCGATGAACTAGATGATGAGCTGGTTAACTTGATCCGCACCGCTGCTGTTCAGTTTTCTCAACAGGGTGGTTAAATTAACCGGGTTTTGATCGTTTTGAACAAAATCTGAGAAACACATTCTGTTGTGAGCTTCTGTCTCGGAGTTGTTGATTCAATAGAAGAGAAAAAAGACATAAATTTTTTGTAAGCTAAACAAACGGTAATGTACAAAGTAAATTTTGTGACCTGTATACACAAGTTCCAAGTTGATGATAAGAAGTTCTTCAGAATTGTTTTTGAATTATAAACCTCCCCTAAAAAGTCATAGCATTTTCAGTCTTCAAAAATGAGAATACCAAAAAGAAGTCGAGTGGTCTGTAACAAGAAAATGAGGAGATATCTAATTTAACTGTCACTTTAGCTTTAGCAGAGTGGGTAATAAGATCAAATGATAACAATTTTGGAGACAAAAAAAATTATATCTTTGATATCACGACATCAAATGGAAAAATGAAGTATTCCCAACTAATTGGACCTTAAACGCAATGCGAGTCCTCAGAAGATGTGAGTTCGCAAAACAGATCCAGAATTATACTAGCCCAACCCACTGGACGCTTGGACCAACAGAGCAAAAGGGTTTCGGACTCTAGTTTTTAGTTTTGATGTATTAAATATTTCATTTAAACAAGAAAATTTCATTTTTATACTAGAGTAAAATTTATGGAATGCAAATTTTTTCACATATAGTCGAAATCGAATTGATAAAGATCCATACATACACTTTATAGAGGACAAAAAGGAGTGTGTGAGGCAAAAAAAGACGCTGCTTCAGTGAGCACCAAATCGCAACGTCCCCTTCTTCAGTTTTTATGACACTTTCTAATTTACTTCTCCTTCTTTTTTAGCTGTAAAAAAAAATCAAAAGTTTATGCTCACACGTTCGATGATTGTTTTAATTTCTGCATTGTAAAAAGAAAAAAAAAAAAACTAGTTCGTAATCATCTAAGAAAAATGTTAAAGATTAAGTTCCATATATTTAAGAAACATATGTTTTTTTTTTAACAACTTTTTTTATATGGTAAAGAACAATTTCAATTGTATTTAAGAAGAGTTTTAGAACGAATCTCACTCTCAGATCTACAAAATCTGCAATCTATCTCACAAATTAGTTACAACAGACTATTCTAAAATCAATAGAGAGAGAGTTTGTTACAACAAAACTCATCGAGTGGCCTAAGACCAATGAAAAGAGAATCGTAATAGAGATGAAGTGTGGAAACCATCTTCTCCAGATGGAGTAACTGGTAGAGACGGAGTCGAAATAACTTCTGGAGATGAAGTTGAAGTAACTTCAGGAAATAGACTATATCCAACAAGAAATGGAGTCTGAAATAACCGGTGTGAAGTAATAACTAGAGATGGAATTTGGAAACTGCCTTGAGTAGATGGACTAGATGGAAACAGGAAGTGGAACTCTTGTGAAGTGTAGAAACTGCCTTGTGAAAAAAGGGATGAGTATCAGCTCTTCTAGAAAGTCTTTTGAGAAAGACAAAGAGACAACAGAAGAGGACTGCCGCCATAAAGGTTAGCAGAATAACTATAGCAATCTCAAAAAATTCAGCCATTTCAAACCCATGGCCTAAAAGCTCGAAAAGCAATTAGAAAAATGTAGGCTATGATATGAACCACAAGTAGAGATAACAAAAGAGAAATGGAAAGATTAGAGCTTAGAGTAAGAAACATATGTTAAATGATGAAAAGAGATGCACCCAACATACTAAAGTCACTATCCATATGAAGAAGAGTAATAAAATGTGTAATGGATCCTTGTCATTTATCATTAACTTATAATTCTACTTGTGTGCGAAATTTGTGCAATTTGACCAAACTTAAAAAGGCTTTCACTCTGCTCGCTCTCTCACTCTTACTCGTTCTCACTCATCAATCTATAAAAGACCAAAAAATGTCAACCAAACTTGAAATTGTTGAGAAAAAAACTAAATCATTATGATAGTAACATATTCAAATAACTTGTTCAAAAAACATATTGAAAAGAAAAGGTTTCTCTTTTAAAACTAGAAGATCTTTAACAGAAAAAAAAGAAGAAAGAATTAATCACAAGGATGCATGAAGGCTCATAGAAGAGGCTAGATGTTTGTGCTGTAATTGTTATTTCCATCCTTCATAATAGATGTTTAATATCTTCATATTACCATAAATCATAACATCTATTACTTTCTTTCTTTTATTATTGTTAGATATAAATAATTATAAGTAATTAATACAACTGGATGATGTAATTTGAAATGTTTTAAAATATAAATGAGTAATAAAATAATTTAAAAGGGAAATGTAATATAAGATTATTAAATAAAATTAAACTTAAAATATTATATTAAACTATATTTATTAATATTATATTGATAAGATACTTAATGCATGATATTTCACCAATGAAAATAACAATTGTGATGAATTTCTCAAAATAAAATACATTACAAAAATTAATTTAATATTAATGAGAGATTTAGTAGGTATCTAAGCAATAAAAATGCTCTGATTTATGGCCTAATCAACTAATAAAAGCTGAAAAGTAACGGACATTTTAAGCTTCACGAAACGGTCGAATATCGGTCCCACACATAACCAAAAACCAAACTCTGAGTCTTGTCTTTTAGGACTCTCCACGTTTATTCTTCTTCTTCTTATGGTGTCTGCTATTTAAGCAAGCATCCTCAGTGACAAATCTAAAAAGTTGTAGCAAATACAAAAATGGTGGCCAAAAACTCAATTGAGTTTGAGTGCAAGTCTCTGGATGAAACGAAAGCTGCAGCGAGTGGCCTCAATGAAGCTAAAATCACTGAGGTTCCTCCTATCTTTGGCCTTCCTCCAGTTGCCTTAGATGACAAGAAACCCACTATCAACTCAGAATTCTCAATCCCAATCATCGACTTTGCAGGCGTCCACGTGGACGCTGTGTCACGTGAAGGTATTGTGGAGAAGATCAAAGACGCCGCAGAGAAATGGGGAATCTTCCAACTGGTCAATCATGGTGTTCCTTTGAGCGTTCTGGAAGAGATTCAAGATGGAGTGGTTAGGTTTCATGGGGAAGATCCTGAGATTAAGAAATCCTACTTCTCGAGCGACTTCGCCAAGACATTTATCTACCACAATAACTTCGAACTCTACAGTTCGTCTACTGGTAATTGGAGAGACAGCTTCGCTTGTTGCATGGCTCCTGATCCTCCAAACCCTGAAGAGATCCCAATGGCTTGCAGGTGATTTCATCTTTCATTGGGGAAATCTTGGGAAATTTTGAAGATATATATACTGATTCTAACATCATTTGTTCAGGGATGCTATGATCGGATACTCGAACCATGTGATGAGTTTAGGTGGTTTGCTCTTTGAACTTCTCTCAGAAGCTCTGGGCTTGAGCTCGGAGACCCTTAAGAGCAAGGGTTGCATGAAGGGTTTGCATATGATCTGCCATTATTACCCTCCGTGTCCACAACCTGACCTAACTTTAGGCACAAGTAAGCATTCCGACAACACCTTTATCACCATTCTTCTTCAGGACCAAATCGGTGGTCTTCAAGTCCTTCATCAAGACTGCTGGGTCGATGTCTCCCCTCTTCCTGGGGCTCTTGTCATCAACATCGGAGATTTCCTACAGGTAAGCTGATGGATCCATACTTTTAACTGACAAGTATAAGAGACACAGTAACATAGAACAGAGGTTTTCGTGAGAGATACATTGAATTGCTTTCTCACCATTATGTTTGTGTAGTTGATGACGAACGACAAGTTCACAAGCGTGGAGCATAGGGTGCTTGCAAATAGAGCTGGACCGAGGATTTCAGTCGCGTGCTTTTTCAGTTCGAGTATGAATCCGAATCCCACAGTTTACGGACCAATCAAAGAGCTTCTGTCTGAAGAAAACCCTCCGAAATACAGAGAATTCACTGTACCTGAGTACACAAAGGGATATATTGAGAAAGGTCTCGATGGAACATCGCATCTATCGAATTTCAAGATATAGTTTGCTGTAATTGTGTATTTCGAGCATAACTGTTTGGGTCAGTCCTTGTCCTTGTTAATAATGTCAAGCTACTATGTTCTTGGCTCTGCAATAAGTACCTCATATGTATTCTTATCGTATAGAAATAACAGAATGGCTCAATGTCAAGGCTAAGCTCATTCTATTCAGCTCATTCAAGCTATCAAATACTCAGATTCAGATACATCGATCAGATGGGATTTTAATATCAGTGAAGAGAGAGCAGCGAATTCCATAAAATTGTATTTAGTTACATCCGATTTTGAAACTCTCTCTGTTTTCGCAAAGCGCTCGCCTTTAATATGGTGACTGATAACTGATCTCGCACGGGCCTTTTCGATGAAGTGGCCTGAAACTAAAATTGCGCTCAATATACACAGTAGTCATCAATGCGACAATACCTCTGGTTTGATGTAGCCTCATCGATGCCCTGTTTTTTTTCTTTCGGTCCACGTAATCAAGAGTCTACCAAAAGTCTACCAAAAGTTCATATATGATGCTTCGCCAGGTAACGGTTTTCCGATCTGACCTAACGGCGGCGGAAGATATGAGGTTTGACTGAAGCTGGCTCGCCAGCAACCGCCGGTAGGTCCAGAAGCGACGACGCCCTTAAAGCAATTAAATAAGAGATTGGTGGGAAACAAAGAAAGGCTTTTATTCTGTGCTACTTACAAGGCGAGCCCACAGTGTTTCGAATTAGATCAGTATTTCTTAAAGCAAATTTGGTTTATTTATTAAAAAAAAGAAAAAAAAATTAGTGACATTTTAGTTCGAGATATTTATACTTTGTGAGTATTGTTTTTTCTTTCACTGGCTTGGTTTTACCAACCATAGTTTTTTTTTTCTGTCGTCAAAAAGGTATGGTTGCCCAAACAAAATTCAGAAATTTACAAACCAAAATATTAAAACCAGTTCTTCGCGTAAACACTCCTGACTCCTCCCATATATGCATAATTGAGTGATTTGAGATAAACTTATTACAACCATCCTCCATGCACTAAAATAATAATCAAAATTTTCACCACGAGTTTCTGATAAAAAATAATGATTTTCAAAATGTATATGCAGGGATATAAAGACGCTGAACTAAAGATATGACCTAAACAATTCTATGTATATGACAACGATGTAATTAATTGATTATAATGACATCAATATTTAGCTTTTAATTTTCTCTTTCAGTAGTGGATACATTCAAAACTTTTTCAACTCGTTTATATTAAAGACGCGTGAGGTGGTACAAACATATAAAATCACATTGCTTAATTACAAGGTAGTATAAAACATAAAAAGATTTTTCATATAATCATATGATTTTTCAAATGGAAATTATTACATTCTCAAAACTAATTACACAAGGACCCGTTTGAACTTTGAAGTTCTATAAATTAAGCTGACCCGCTTAAAGAATCTTATTCGGTATAGAAATCGATTGACAATTACAATTTATTTGCCACTTATAATACAGCTTCGCACGTAACGTTTGGGATTTTTATCTTTTTTGTTATAAATGGGAATGTGTCAAGTAACTTTCAATCGATAACGATTGTATTCCCCATTATTGCCTCTTACCCATGTTAATGTTATTATGCTTGTTGTAGTTCTCTCCATATTCAAGAAGTTCCTCCAAAACACTATCGTCCAAGTACTCAAACTCAAAAACTTGCCTCGAGGAGGAAGAGTTTGCCGCGGCGCCTGCAGAGTTGGAGGAAGATGCGCTTCCCATATTATACTCATGAGGGAAGTTGAGAATGGCGGCTTGGCCTCTCATTGAATAGGCGGCTCGGTCATAGGCTCGAGCCGCGTCTTCCGCGGTGTCAAACGTCCCCAGCCACACACGCTCCCCGTGCTTTCTCGAATCTCTTATTTCCGCTGCATATTTTCCCCAAGGCCGCCTCCTTACTCCCCGGAACTTCCCTTGCTCGGCTCCTCCTCCTCCGCCACTGCTACGTCCTCCTTGATCCATATATATGTGTGTGAGAAGAGAGACAGTGGCAAAGTGAGTAAGAATAAGAAATGGATGTTTGGGAGTTGATTCGGATACAAGTTTGAGCGTATGTTCTTGTTTTTGTGTGTGTTATACTTAAAACTGCATGGGTTAAATGAGATCTCATTTGGGGAATTTATAGGCAAGGAAACAAGTGGGTCCATTAACCTAACATTCGAATTTCGAAGCCTACACTTATCAAATCTTATATAGATTCTTTATACCTTTTATTTCTTTCAAAATCTATGTTCCTTATATAATAGATTTTCTTAAGAGTTATTTGGTTTTATGAATTCAAGATATTTGGCATCTACATTATGTTATTTATTTAGAAAACTATTTATAAAAAAAAACAACCACTGTATTTACAAGTCTGAAAACAACTACTGACAATGTATATGGGGTTTCCAAATTGTACAGCATATCTATCAGTAATGATATGTTAAAAATCAGGTGTAACAAAATCAAAACAATTTTTTGTTATGTCTAATATTAAATTATTATACTTTGTTATATCCAAATATGAAAACCACTCTTTGTGATTAGGTGTGATTTTTATAGAGAAACAAATCTCTAAAAGAAATTATATCAGAGAAAATCATGTACTTGTATTTTAACATATCAACATTTTAACAATCTCGCATTTTCTAATAACCTGAAGGAATTTAAATAGTTTTACTTCAATCCTTAATTTATGTTTTTACTTACGGTTTTTCTATTGAAAAAAAAAACTAACTTTGGATTCAATGCTGCCACGAATATTCTATTTTAATAAAAAAATTAAAGATCTTTTAAGTTTTTAACCCAAACCAAAAGGTTAGAGATTTTATATATTAGATTAGACGGTACCTTAATATTATATTGAACTATATATAATGGAAGATTATCAAATCGTATTTTTGGCAACAGTAATGGAATTTTTGTTACCAAAATATGATGTGCAACTGAATAAAGAGAGAACGAACCACACAGTTGATGGGAGGGCCCATCGGAATATGTTTGACTTGGGTAGTGCCCACGTGGGTTGACTCTCAAAACCGACTCAGAAGTTTTCGTTGGACCAAAACTATATACTCTTTTAACATTTAATACGCGTAGGGGGTGACTAGTGTCTAAATTCTTGACACGACTTTACACATTTTGGAGAATGTTTTTTCTTCTAGCGTTATATTTTTTCACATCAATTTTCTTTTTTTTATATCAAGTTCGCGTACATACATAAACCAAGCCAAAAAAAAAACGTTCACGAATATCGTGGAGTATCATTCATAAAAACTTATTTTTCAATTAGTTGAAATTAATAACAATGATTTCTTGAAAATTGAGCTAGATATCGTGGAGTAGTATTATTCATAAAAACTTATTCATAATTTTTAGATTTTTTCCTTCTTTTTAAAATAGTAAACTTTGCCGCCAAATACTAGACATGTGTCGTATAGAAAATTGAGGTGAATATGAATTGAGAAAGCCAATGTCTTAAGAAATTTGATGCCAGCGTGTATACCCCCACCCAATATCGTAAATGATATTGCTAATATTGGGGTCTAATGTGTCTGCTCGGTCTTAGGATTAAAAAACCTCAATTCCATATAGGGAAATTGGTTGATATTAAAGGCTATAATTCAGAAAATAACCATATTAAAGTAAGTGTTATTATATTTTATAATATATATTAAAAACTCTTTTGTTTAAAATAAAGTAAAAATAATTACTGACGTTATTAGTAAAAAAGGAGAATAAATTTTAACATATCAATTGATACATATATAGAAAGAATCCGTCATTATAATTGACAATCTTAATTTTGCAGTCGCTTATACACGACTGATAAATAGATTATCACTCTCATATGATACATCATCTAGGGCAGATTCCACGCTTGTAGGTACTATACAAGTTAATAGGTCATTGTGTTTCAAATGAATACAATACTATACTATATGCTTCACATAGTCGTATAAATAAGCGGGAACTCTCTTGCTTCTTTTAGTACTGTGTTCCAGGATTCGACAATGTTGGAGTCTATTATGTTGAATCGATTTCCCTTGAAGTGGACACGCGTCCAATGTGCAAATCTTAAAAACAATAAAAGACGACTATGTTATGTGTACTATTCTATAAGGTCATATACTATAACATCTGACATATAGTATAGTATTTGTTACCTATGTCAACAAAATAAGCCGCACATCCAAGGTTCATGCGTTTGATCTCTACAAACAGGTGATTGAAGTCCCTCACAGTGTATGCTCTTGCCGCTGCAGAGACCATATGAGCTAGGCGTTTTGGTTTGTAGAGGGCCTTGACATTGCAGCAAAGATGGACAGTGCAAGCACCAAACACCTATACAGCAATGACGTCACAAACAAATTTCACAGTATCTACTCCCACTTAAAATTGAAGGATTGTATTGTAATTTCTCTAAAAGTCATGGTTATTTATCAAATTTTTGAATAAGATAACTATATTCTTTGATTGTTTTTCCAATATGGTTATTAGGCTAAAAAGCCCTTCCATATAAACAAAATAAAAATAGCTGGTTGGTTTATAACTTTGAAATATTATGTTCACATTCAATAAAACAACTAATTTTATTTTATAATAGATCATTTGCATTTGTGCGAAAGCAAATGCAAAAGGTATTCGCAATTTGGTTTTATACTATAAGCATATCACGCTTGCGTACAGTTTACAAACGAAATTTAATCATGTAAATAAAAAAAAATATAAAGAAGAAAAATACATATGGTCAGAGTCAAAACTTATAATCAAAATATTTGTAAGTCGATTACAAATACTCTAGAGTCTCGAATCTGAATCATATAATTACGTACATATACTGATCGCCAACAACTATATAGTTTCTATATAGTTAGCTAGGTCCACAAAGCTCATCGTTAAAGTTCCATCAGAAAAACACCACGTATCACTATCATTAAGAAACTTCTATGAGAGGACATCGTATAAGTGAACATTCCATATATAGTATCTTTCATGATCCGTAAACTCAATAGTTTACTACTGACACTATTATCCAAATTGAAATTTATAAACCTATTAACCTATTTGTCACGTGGGCTTTTGTACTGATTCATGCATCCCTGTGACTAAGGATCAAAATATCTATATTAATTAACGTTAAGTCAGTTGAAAAAAAGTAACAATAAAACGATATGTCCAATGTATCTAGCTGATGGTGAATTCATGATCATGGTCACAAAGAAGATATATACTTCTTCTAGTTTTCTTTTTGATTTTGTCTTTAAAATATGCTTAAAAAACGTTAATTAGTTAGCCCTTTTTGGCTGCTCGTAGTCGTGGATTCGATCTTCTATGTGTCCGTACATACTAAAGAAAAAGTTTAGTCTCCAAAGCAGATTTGTGGAGTTCCCTCTCTCTCTCTTTTCTGTTATATCTGGGTTCCTTTCCCTTTCATCACATTATAAAATAATGATTACGATTTTATTATTAAGTCGTTTAAATCTGACTTGTCTTTGACTTTGAATCCGGACAAATAATAATATGTTAGATGTTAAATATATAGATTTGAATAGAGTAATAATAGCACTAACTGATTGTATGTTGGTTATTTATTTGTAAAAATGCTTTATATTTAGAAACAAGAAAATAGTTGTAAAACAGCTTATATTATTAAACGTAGAAAGTATATTTATACCATAATTCAACTATTTTGTTCCCAAAACCATACAACAATCTATAAATTTACATTAAAATCGAGATGGATCCTCTATCGTAATTCAACAGTAAACGAATAATAATAAAAATGAAAACAGACGTTCATTCTTTTTGTAGATTAATAATCCTGAAGAAAAAGAAGAAAATTGTGTGGTTAAGATTGAAGCAGAATCAGAATCTCTTTTGTTGTCGCCATTACGACTTGCGTAAGGGGTCTCACGAGGTTGGGGACAACATATAGCTAGACTCAAAGTCCTTTTTTATGTCTTCGTGCATGCACCAACTAATTAAATATCATATATTATTATTCATTTCAAAGAGAATCTAACGTATAATCGGCAACGTTCATGACGGATTCATACACCTAAGCAAAAGTAAATTTAACCAATGAACATGAACCCTACAAAAATAGATGAAGTTTCTAAAGTTCAAAATAACAATTTTTTTTTGATAAAGGATTTTCATCAAAATAACAATTGCAAATTCTGCTTAAGTGTTATGGATTTAATTATGAGTTTATTTATATCTGTTTATGAATTAGTTAGTTAATTAATTAACAGTATTTAAAATTTCGATGGAGAAATTAAGTTAAATTATTAACAAAATCACAATATTAACTAATAGCATGATAAATAAGATTAATTAATCTATGAATTTTATACCTTTCCGTGCATGTTTTTAAATAACATAACTTAATACTAATTGATAAATGCCGTTGTACTCAAAGATCAATATTCTGTATAACTTAATTATTTTATACTTTTAATTTAATTGAATATCACCACAATAAATTGATTAAAAAAATCACTTAAGATATTTGAAATAAATTATCGATATGGTTCATAATTGATTGAATATATAACTTATAGTTTGGTTAATATGATTAGTAAAAATACATAGTACATGTTCTTAAATTTTCTCAGCTAGTGAATTTTGGTCTCATTCAACTGAAATGAGTTTAGATAATACTAATCTTTAAGGGAGTAATTAGGGACATGGACTCACATAACAGTTTATGATTCTTGTGGAAAAAATTAAAGATTTAATGGCCCAGCCCAAAGTTTACCCGTGATCTACATAATTCATGCAGCTTGACCCAAGATTTCTCAGTTTTTTTTAAAGAAATGGTCGAGTAAAAAGTCAACCTTTTATTTAACGACAACTACAATTTTTTTTTTTTTTCAAAGGATTTCTACAACTACAAATTGATGGAAATATATCATATTCCATCACAATAGGAGGAGTTAAACCTGTTTTTTTTTTCACTTTCTTAAATATGGATTCTACATTATTTCATTATAGTCAGCTCAAAAATAGCAAAAATAATTCTATTTTATCATTTGAAATATGGATGTTAATTTATTATATGCAATTTTTTAAAAAAAATATTGGGAATCTTTAAATACACAAATCAACTTAGTCTTGAATTTATAGTATGTAATTTACCTTTAATATGTTTAAATTTTTATATTATATAAGAGACTCCCCTGATAAGGGATTCGAATACGATCCTGAATGCAACTAACAAAATCTTTTTTAAAAAAATTAATAGTCTTAAATGTTAAAAGACAAATCACAGCCAAAACAAAGGAAGATATAGATAGACGTCTAGTGCGAGTTCTTCTCGGAGCCACGTCTATCGATGGTCTGACGCATTCACGTGACCGACCAAGCCTCACGTGCTGCTGATCCATCTCACCATTGCTGTCTGACCTCAGTGGTGGTCGACGTGGCGCGTGATGAGGAATTCTCAAGACCTCAGAATAGTCCATTGTCAAAGTCAATTGTTAGTGTTGTGTTTTTCCAGTCAATTGTTAGTGTTACAGTCAAACAATTTCAGTTTGAAATGTTGAACCCTTTTTATTAGGGTTCCCAACCAAATAAGTTCTAATTTTGTTGCTCAAACCTAATTTTACTATATCAGTGGGATGCCCAGATTTCTTATTATATAAAAGTGAATATGTCTTAATTTCGTTATAATTGTTTTTAATGTTGCTCTCAGAAACTTCATATAGTCATTTTGTTTTTTTGTAAGTTTGTAACCATGGATCTGAATCTAATTTTGTCGATTTGTGATTTCATATTCCCTATATTTCTTTTTAGTTTTGACAGATCTATTCAAGGTACATCAATCAGAATTTGTTAAAATTACTTTCCAGTAGGGGTTGGTCGCCGTCGTGGGCACGTTTTTCCTCTTTTATAATATTAGAACAAATTTAGAAATATAATAAATCCATGTCCATGCAAAAAACTCGACTATAATTATATTTTAGCAACAAACAAAAAAGATTAATATGTTATTTGAAATATAAAGTTGCGAGGGTATGTAATCTTGTTAAAGAAAATAATTATATATAAATATATTGACGAAGCCGTATGTATATATCTCACCGATCTTGTTCTGTTCTGTCTTGTCGTTGTGAGCCAAACTCGTCAAACATACATCCACGACGATGGAGTATGGAAACATTATCTTTTTTATTATGTTTGTCAGTGTCATTTTGTTTCCCATTTCCGATAAGTTTAATGAAAACCCAAAACGAAAACTTTGAGCTCTTCTTGCGGTGGATTTGACTTTTCTTCACGGTATTAGACAGATAAACGATAAGTCTTACTAACCTTGTGTCTTTGTTTTCTTTAAATAAATAAAAAGTAAGTTGTCCTTTTGTACCGTTTTGGACACATACATAACTTTTTTTTTTTTTTCAAATATTGCATTATCTATTCTTAACCACAATTTACAAAAAGAAAAACCATGTTGATGGCAAAAAAAAAAAAACCAAAATAATCTAATAATGTCTTTTCTACATCATAATTTTAAAGTTAACTAGTTTCAAAAAGAACATCAATCTAAATTAGCAACTGACAATTATGGTTAGCTGGAGTTCACAGATTCTAATATTTGAATAATATGGTACCACCAGATTAGTGAATCCAAGTTTGTCATCATTACATATGAATTGAATATAAACGTAATCTACATGGAAAAATTAAACTTTCACTATCAGAAGATCCAAATAATATATAATCATAATGCCGATTAAGTTAGTCCACTTGTATAGTAAGTATTTTTTCTTATTGTTTTCCACACTTGAAAGTACAAAAAATGTTTAAATAAAAGAACTCTTACAGCAAACGAGTCACATAGATCGAGAAAATCAAATTTAATAAAAGTTTCAGAAAGATAAGTTAAATAATTATATGAATCATATAAGAGCCTCTGAAATCTCACCAACTCTCTCTCTCTCTCTCTCTCTCTCTCTGTTTTTCTCCTCTACCACTCTCGTCTGCTCTTTCATTTACTCCATCTCTGGTCTTTCTCTTACACACGCATATACGTATATATTACACACAACACATACTCTCAGGTTTCTTGACTAGAGAAATAGAAAGATTCAGAAGAAACAAAATTTACTTGATTCTTGATTTTTTGTTTTTTCCGAATCTTTCTCTTTCCAATTAGATTTTCGCAGCCAATGGATCTAACAGACCGTCGCAACCCTTTCAACAATCTGGCTTTTCCTCCGCCGCCGCCGTCGAGGACCTTTACAAGCCCTATTTTTCCACGATCAAGCTCTTCCGGCACGAGTTTTCCGATTCTTGCCATCGCAGTGATCGGAATCATAGCCACTGCGTTCTTGCTTGTAAGCTATTACGTCTTCGTCATCAAATGCTGCCTTAATTGGCACCAAATCGACATTTTCCGCCGCCGCAGACGGAGCAGTGACCAAAACCCTCTAATGATTTATTCTCCTCATGAGCCAAACAGAGGTCTCGATGAATCCGCCATTAGAGCAATCCCAATCTTCAAATTCAGGAAGAGAGACGTGGTTGCAGGAGGAGAAGAAGATCAGAATAAGAACTCTCAAGAATGCTCTGTTTGCTTGAACGAGTTTCAAGAAGACGAGAAGCTGAGGATTATTCCCAATTGCTGCCACGTATTCCACATCGACTGCATCGATATTTGGCTTCAGGGCAACGCGAATTGTCCCTTGTGCAGAACCAGCGTTTCTTGCGACGCAAGTTTCCCTCTTGACCTAATATCTGCTCCGAGCTCTTCCCCGGAGATTGATCATCCTCCTCGGAACCAGATTCTTGATCAACCCGACGCAGTTTTAGGGGACGACAGTGACTTCGTCGTGATCGAGCTTGGGATTAGTAATGGTGGTAATAACAGACAAAGCGTGAGAAACAGAGACTTCCTTGCGGAAAAAGAAAGGGCTGCCTTGGCCGAGGTATTGGCCGGAAACATCCCGAAATCGATCAGTCCTTCGCCTAGAAAGTTCGATCATCGTGCAATGCATAAGAAAGAGGGAATATTTCATCAAGTGACGAGTATGGGAGACGAATGTATCAATACTCGAGGCAAGGATGATCAATTCGGTGCAATTCAACCCATAAGAAGATCGATCTCAATGGATTCATCAGCTGATCGCCAGCTGTACCATGCGGTTCAAGAGGTGATTAGCCGGAAAACTGGGAAGATCCCGGTGGTGGCCGGAGACGTTGGAGAGTTTAAGGAAGATTGTAGCAGTAGTGGTGGTGGTGGTAATAACAAAGTGATGAAGAGATGTTTCTTCTCTTTTGGAAGTAATAGATGTTCTAGAAGTTCTTCAATATTGCCTGTCTATTTGGAACCCTAATTGTCTTTCCTCTTCTTCATTTTTTTTTAAAAAAAATTAATGATGTGTTTTGCATTTTTTTAATTGTTATATTTGAGGTGAATTTATTAAAATTATCTTGGAGGTTGAGGTAGGAAAGAAATATATGTGCACTGTTTCTATAAGTCAAAGTAAGGTTGATGAGTACTTGAATAGTATCATATAAGTAACTGAATAGTGTGAATAGTAATTTTCTTAACATTAAATGTTACAAGGTAACAAAAAAGTCATACCAACTGTTGGTAGATTTTTCAAATTTTAAATTTTCAAGACTTAAAAAAAAAGAATGTTACAATAATTCAGAAATGTTTCAGTTTATTGAGAATAAAAACATAGCGTAATGACGAAATTGGATCCTGAATTTTGAACACTTTTTTTTGTAATCGAATATCTGGTACCATCTCCACAAACGAAGTATCAAATTGTACAAATTCCACAAATAGAGAAAAAACCTACAATTTATCACTTACACTGAAAAGGAAATTATCTTTTTATGCCGATAGATAAACACACAATTCTTTTTAAAAAATAATATTTAGATCAAAGACAAAGATTTCACCATACTTTGGGGGTGGACACACACAGACAATTCTTTATTTCGTTTTGGTACACTAATTTATTTGTGGGAGAGAGCTAAGAGGAAAAAAGCTAAATCTGGAAAACAAAGACAAGGACTGACCCAACAGAAGCAAATAACATTCAAATGACATATATATATTAAGTCGAACAAGAGACTTAGAGCTTTTCATATCTTGAAATGGGACAGGTGCGATTCGTCATTGATGTCTTGTTTTAAGTATCCGGCTGAATACTCAGGTATGGTGAAGTCTCTGTATTTTGCAGGGTTCTCTTCAGACAAAATCTCTTTCATCGGTCCGTAAACTGTGGGATTTGGATGCATACTCGTGCTGAAAAAGCTCGCGACTGAAATCCTCGGTCCAGCTTTGTTTGCAAGCACCCTATGCTGCACGCTTATGAACTTGTCGTTCGTTACCAGCTGCGGAAACACCCAAGAAGAAGAAAAAAAGTCATTCAAGTTATCTCAAAGTCTCACTCAAAGCTATGCTGTACGTTTAGTGTTTTATATATTTTGAGCTTGCCTGCAAGAAATCTCCGATGTTGATGACGAGTGCCCCAGGAGTAGGCGTGACATCAACCCAACAGTCCTCATGAAGAACTTGAAGACCACCAATCTGGTCCTGAAGAAGAACAGTGACGAAGGAGTTGTCGGAATGCTTACTTGTTCCCAACGTTAGTTTAGGTTGTGGACAGGGAGGGTAGTAATGGCTGAGCATAAGCACACCCTTCATGACACCCTTGCTCTTAAGGGTATCAGGGCTCAAACCAAGCGCTTCTGAGAACAGTTCAAAGAGTAATCCACCTAAGCTCATCACATGCTTCGAGTATTCAAGCACACTATCCCTGTAAATCATTTTATACACATGATGTTAAAATCAGTCAATCCCAGAATGAGTCTTTCAACCAGTGAACCACGATGAATTGTTTCTTTAAAAGTTCAATGTTTCATAAGATTTGTTCATGGAAAAACGAAATTACCTGCAGGCCTCTGGGATCTCTTCAGGCTTTGGAGGACTTGGGTCCATGTAAATACCAAAGGTGTCTCTCCAGTTGATAGTCGACGAACTATACAGATTGAAATTGCTGTGGTAGACAAATTTCTTGCTGAAGTCGCGGGAGAAGTAAGCTTTCTTGACCTCGATATCTTCCTCATGGAACTTACGAACTCCATCTTTGATCTCGTCAAGAACTCTTAAAGGAACACCATGGTTGATCACCTGGAAAAATCCCCAATTCTCCGCAGCGTCTTTGACCTTCTTCACGACGGCTTCACGCGACGCAGCGTCCCCGTGAACGCCTGTAAAGTCGATGACAGGGATTGCGAAATCCGGGGAAGAAACAGGGGCTTTCTTGTCGTTCAAGGTACCCAACGGGTCGTGGAAGATGCGAGGAATTTCAGTGATTTGAGCATCGACGAGGCCTTTCACGCCTGCCTTTGTCTCATCGAAAGCCTTTCGCTCACTGTAAGAGTCAAACTCTGTAGCCATTACCTTCTAAGCTTTTTGAAGGGGTTTTTTTTTTTTTGGTCTATAGAGAACCTTTTTCAAGATGCAAGATACAAAATGTTTCATAGAAGAAACAGATATAAATAGGCAAAGCGAGTGATAAAGTGTCGGCTGGAGGTTGTGAGAACTAAGAACTTACCCATTTGTGGAGTAAATTCGTTTTTGGACTCTTCGCATGACTGCAACTTGTCTGAAATCAGGGACCGATCCAAAAATAATTTTCACTGGAGGTAAAAATATAAATTATAGTATAACAATTGAAAACATTAACATAAATACGAATCTCGTATTTTACATCTGTTTTTTTCTCTGGGGTCATTATCTTCTTCTTTTTCTTGTCAGCTATGAACTTTGATTTTTTTTTAATCTTTAAATGAACTAAAAATCAAAACGTTAATTAAAGTAATCAAAGATTATCTCTAAAAGCAACAAAACAATACAACTTTTTTTTTCTTTCTAAAGTGAAATTATTACTGTCTTGATATTTTGCATAGAAGAAACCTGCCAATTAAGTGACTAAAATTGGCCAAACATATATGGAAAAAGAGAGTTTTTAAATGAAAAACATGTTTCACTGAGAAGTTATTTAAATAAAAAGAAAAAAAATAGGGTTTATGAGCTTCTGTATAAACATGTTTTTTAGCATGGTTAATTTGAAAATTTATTTTCCTTATGTTCTTTAGGTAGCTGGGGTAATAATTGCGAATATTGGTGGGGACATCATGTAGAGACACAGACCTTGGTGTCACAACATGGACTGTGGAATTCTTTGAAGACGTGTATAACTAAGAAACATATTTTTGACGTATGGTCGAGAAAACAAGTAACGGGGTTAGGTTTCTGGAACACAATAAAACAGATGTTAGATATTACGGGGTTAGGTTTCTGAAATGTGAAAAACCGCTACCTACCTCCGTCTCGTGACCGGATTTTAAAAATTGAATAGATTCTCTAGATGATTAATAATTACAGCGAAAGGGAGGCCCACTGCTGCTGCTGACGTGTTACATCATACATAGAGAAATGGAAACCCGTGAGGCCCAAAAGCCCTGATGGCTTACAAGGCCCAAAAACGCTTCTTTACGTCAATAATATATTTACATAAATAAATAACCCATCCGGCTTTTACCAAACCGTGGGTGATGATGATGAAGCGAGAAGAAGAAACTGTATTAAGAGATTCTCAATCTCTATGTAGTTACAGCTATCTTAGGTTTTAAAGCATAACAAAGGGGGAAAAAGGGCAAAATGATATCTAACTTCCTGCAGCGTTTATGAAGTTAGATATCAAAAAAGAAAAAAAAAACTTTCTGTGGTAAACTTTCGATGCTGATGAAATACTGTTTCTCATATCTTGAAACTCGACAGATGCGATGCTCCATCGAGGCCTTTGTTAACGTATCCCTTTGTGTATTCTTCTAAAGTGAAGTCTCTGTATTTTGGAGGGTTTTCTTCAGAGAGAAGCTCTTTAATTGGTCCGTAAACAGTTGAATTCGGAAGCATGTTCGTGCTGAAAAAGCTCGCGACTGAGATCCTTGTCTCATTTCTGTTGGAGAGAACCCTATGCTCCGCGCTTATGAATCTGTCATTCGTTATTAGCTGCATATACATCAAATTCAAAGGTACATATCAACAAAACTAGACATTGTTTTTGTTATAATTTTTTTAAAAGAATGGATCAGTATGAGCTTTGCCTGCAAGAAATCTCCGATGTTGATAACGAGAGCTCCTGGAATAGGCTTGACATCGATATAACAGTCGTGGTGAAGAATTTGAAGGCCACCGACTTGGTCTTGGAGAAGAATCGTGAGGAAGGAGTTGTCGGAATGATTATTTGTGCCGATGGTTAACTCAGGTTGCGGACAGGGAGGGTAATAATGGTATATCATAAACAAACCCTTCATACAATCCATGCTCTTAAGCTTCTCAGAGCTCAAACCAAGAGCTTCTGACAAGAGCTCAAAGAGCAAAGCACCTAAGCTCATCATATGCTTCGCGTGTTCGATCATAGCATCCCTGAATCAAAATACATAGTGATGTTATTACAACCAATCAACGTTTTATAAGATTCTTGAAAGAATAAAGAAAAAACACACACAAAATTGCATATATATATGTACCTGCAGGCCACTGGGAGCTCTTCAGGGTTTGGAGGATCAGGAGCCATGTAACAAGCGAAGCTGTCTCTCCAGTTAACACATGAAGAAGAACTATAGAGATCAAAATTACTATTGTAGACAAATTTCTTGGCGGCGTCGCGTGTGAAGTAGGATTTCTTAACTTCGGGATCTTGCTCGAAAAACCTACGAACTCCATCTTGAATCTCTTGAAGAACGCTTATAGGAACACCATGATTGATCACCTGGAAAAATCCCCAATTCTCTGCAGCCTCTTTGATCTTCTCAACGACAAGTTCACGCGACGCGTGGACGCCTGCAAAGTCGATTATAGGGATTGCGAAATCCGAGGCAGAAACAGAGTGTTTCTTATCGGATAAGGTACCTTGAGGGAGACGGAAGATACGAGGAATCTCAGTGACGCGAGCATCAACGAGGCCTTTCACACCTGCTTTGGCTTCGTCGAATGCTTTGCGCTCACTGTAAGAGTCGAATTCTTTGGTCACCATTTTTGTTATGTGACCTATTTGAAGATTTCTCACAAAGGCAAGACGAAGAAGAAGATCGTTATTGTGTTCTTGATTTTGATGTGACCAGAGTACCAAGAAAAAATGTTTTCTGTTTCTCGTTCTTGAGGTCAATAAGTGATTGAGTTATCTTTATATAAGACTTTTGTTATGAAGTGAAGAAGAACAGAATTTTTAGAAAAAAAAAAAGCAGAGCGACAGTCACCACGTAGACAGACGGTTGGGAATTTGATCTTTGGTATGTGGGACCGACAATGACCGTTGATGACGTTGACCGTTTTTGTTGAATATGACCGTGACTAATGTCAGTATGAAAAAAAAAAAAAATTAATTGTTCAAATCGGATGGAATGTTTGTTGTAATGGTACAAGATCTTCACCCTTGTGTTAAAAAAAATGGTAGAAGATCTTTTACTAGTTTTTTAAATCGGTGAAAAAAAAGCAATAGTGGTTAGTTGTGCTTGAAGCTTGATCGAAAGATTCTTTTACCCTTTCGACAAAAAAAAACAATCTTACCCTATAATTTGTGTAGACTAATCAATGGAGAGAAATTGAATCTTTTTGGTTCAGAACTTAAACCTGACCATACCGAGAATTGGAAGATGTATTTTTTTTTTCCTCCTGAAGCTAGAAAAATAATAGCCCGTTAAGATACATGAAGCCCATTTGTGAGCCCATAAAATGGTGTACCCCTATAATTAAGTTATGTTAGATAGAGGATAATCCAGCTTAATTTCGTTTTGCAATTTTGTTGAAAGAAATATTTGGTTTCGATTTTAAAAAGATAACCAGTTTACAAATAAGATTTGGTTTGGTATTGGTTTGACTAGTTCGGTTTGGTTTTGTCTTTTCTGATAGAGGAACTGAACTTTAGCTTCCACCGAGAAAGATTCCTTCTCTCCGACGACAAACCAGGCCTGCGACCTTGAGACAGAGCGAGAGAGAAAATGGGTTTCTTCTCTTTTCTTGGAAGAGTTCTCTTCGCTTCTCTGTTCATCCTCTCCGCTTGGCAAATGTGAGTTTTTGCTTCTCCTCCCTCTCCATCTCTTCTCTCGTTTCTCCGGTTCCACGGACTGGGGTTTCGTTCGAGGGAGATTTCTCAGGCTAGATCCGATTTGATTGAGAATGTTCGCGTTAGAACTGTTTGATTTGTTCTGAGCACACCTAGGGTAAATCTAGGGCTTGTCCAATACTGCTTAGCTGATGAATCTAGCTTGACTTTAGGTATCTTTTCCCTTTTGCTTCATTAATTTACGATCCGGATTTCTTTCTCGATGAAAAAAATTGATTCAACTTTTGGATTCCTTAACCGATGTTGCAAAATTTAACTCACACGCGTGAGATTGTAGTATGGGTCCAGCAGTTTACGGACACGTTGCTTTGATATCTTATCTATCAATGTAAAGTTTCATACTTTGATCTGATTTGCTCATTGCTGATATGTCTTTTAATGTATCCCTCGCCACTTTAGAGAGAGCACAGAAGTTTTCCTCTCTAATTATAAAATATCAATTGGATTCATCATCCTATGAGAAATTAGCCCTTTCTTTAAGGATTTTTTTAGTAGAGTTAGCTCCCAAGAGAATGTGAATCTTTGATACCTCTGTGTCTGCTATTCCAATACCAATTCCATCACAAAAGGACGCCTTTTAGCTCTATGTTGGAGACACATCTGTTTGCTTGAAAGCTGACTAGTTTATATATGCTTAAAAAGCGTCTTAACTATTCTCTTGTCGATCATATTACTAAATCCGAAGTATTCTTCTTGGGATTTCTTATTAGGTTCAATGACTTTGGAGCTGACGGTGGTCCAGCAGCTAAAGAGTTGGCTCCAAAGCTTGACCTGACCAAAGCACATCTCTCTTCCAGATTAGGAGTAGCATTGCCCGACATAGAGGTATGGCCTGGCTGGTTTGGTTCCTTGTCTTCATTTCTGTTATGCTGTCTAGATTTATGTTTCGTTCTGACTTGGAGAGCGAATTTTTAAAAGGTGAAACAAGTCGTATGGGCAATTGTTGCTCTGAAAGGACTCGGGGGCTTACTCTTCGTCATTGGCAACATCTTTGGTGCCTATCTTCTGGTTAGGACTCCTTTCATTTTTGTTTATAAATACTCAAAAGCGTAGTTGTTGTAGTGACTTTGGATTTTTTCAATTCTTTGTTACATAGGCTTTCTACTTGATGGTCGTTAGTCCCATTTTGTATGATTTCTACAACTATGGACCCAAGGACCGCCAATTCTCTCTTCTATTGACTGAATTCTTACAGGTTTGTCTAAACACCTCTCTTAATTTACGCATTATGGGTTCTTGTTCTTTAAGCTGAACTTACTCTGAATAAAGAATGTTCCTTTGGTGAGTCTCATTCTTTTGCATTATATTATGTTTATCGCAGAGCGTTGCACTTCTTGGGGCATTGCTATTTTTTATCGGAATGAAGAACTCCACGACCACCTCCAAGAGGATTCAAAAGAAGAGGACTCCCAAGCCTAAAGCTGCGTAGAGCTCTTCGGTTCTATTCCACACACAAGTGTCAGGCTTTTGAACAGCTTCTGTTATCTTCAAGCATTACCTTCATTTTTCTTCCTTACAACTTTTGGTTCTTTATCTATTATTGTAGGATTCTAGACTTACCCACATTTTGTATCTCATATTATTCCTTTCGAATTAACTTTGAGAGCTATGAGTTTTCTTTTGTTTGGATCATACCATTCTTTCCAGTGATTTTAAGATTGGGTCGAGAAGATACGTTTTTTGGGGTCATCGGTTAGAACTTAAAATTGGGTCGAGGAGATAAAAAAATTATGTTTTTATCATTCAGCCTAATCTGTTTGCAAATTTCTGTTATTTGTATTACTGTGAAATGTGAACCAAAATTAGTGAAGTGATGGTTGTAGCCTTGTAGGTTGTCACGTATATACATACTCCTATTTTATTATATGTTTGAAATCCAATGGACAAGCTTAATATCCGTAAATAATATAAGATATCAGCTGCCAAAAATAAAATAAAATATAATATGATATCACATCAATAAATTTGTCATATCTGATTTGGGTTTTGATAAAGGTTATCTCTAAAAAAAATCTAAACCGCTAATTATTTGTGTGATAATTATAATAAAAAGCTTAATTAATTATTCAAAGACATATGACCTTTTGTTTTAAACTAGAATATGATTCTTTCCATTATATGTGGCACACAAAATATCTCATAAAATTAAATAGGTAAAGGGATTGGTTAGTCTAAAGTTGGTATAGGGAAGAAAAAAAAGTTATATTATCTCCTTGGTCTAAAGTTCATATGGCCTTTATCATTCTTTTGCTTTTAATAACCATACATAAATTTATTTGATATTAACAATAGTTATGAACTTAGCTAGCAATGGTTTAAAAACAGAAACCCAAATCTCAAAATTTCATAATTACCACTATTTTGTATAGTTTTAAGTTCTTACTAGACATATGCTATGTGGTATTTTTATTCTGTTGATATTTGTAGAGAACAAAACTCAACAAATATTTTTAGAATGTCTCAAAAATATTATAAATGAATTATTTAGAATAAAATTTTACTAATTCTGTTTTTAAAAACATAAAGTTAAATTGGTAATTTGGTTTGTTCCTTTGTAATATTGCTTATTACGATTTTATTAATTTGAAACATAATATATTTTTTATCAACAGTTCAAACATAAGTTAAAAATTATGCATCGTAGATTTACAAAATGTATTGTCAGAACTCTAACTAGAAAATAAGGTTCGAAACCTATCAATTGTTGGTTTTGAAGACTAGTGAGCTTTTATTTCTTGGTAAGAAATTTCAACAATAAAAGAAAAATATTTTCAGAAACCAAAAATGAAAAAGAGTAACAATAGTCCTGATAAAACAGAATATAGTCAAACACATAAATTTATTAGTTTAATATATTAGTCAAAAGGAAATATACTTTAAATATTTGAAAAGAAAAGGAAAAATAATCATACAAGATTCGACCGTTTTAACCAAAATACAAGCCAGGCACACTTGAACACGCCCCTCTATATATACACACACGCACACATACTCACACTCATTGACATAAAAACAAAGACAACAAGAAACTCCGGCGATGTCTTCCACAGCGAGAAATATTTCTGGTGGAAACCGAAAGTCGAGTAGGCTGCAGCGGCGGGCTCCACCGCCTCTAAAGATAAACCCTTCCGAAGCAAATTGGAAAGTAGCTATTCCTCTTCTATCACCTACGGAGTCGCCGCCGCAGAAGCCACCAACGGTAATGAAGAGGGAGGAGCAACGGTGGGGAAAAGAGGTGGAGAAGGCGCCGGTTTTCAAGAAGTGGCAGCACCCGGCGGCTCCGTTTTACTACCAGCCAGCACCGTCGTCGAATCAGCCGTTTGCATGGCCAAATTAACGGTCTCTTAATACTAGGGCTTCCGCATACATATCTATATATGCTTTACCGTATGGGTCTAAAACATATAAAATTATTATTGGCTATATAGCATATATAACATTTATGTTGGGTTTGATGTTGTTTTCTTTCGGGTAATTAAGAATTGTAGAGTATAGGATTTCGTGATAATCGTTGTAATTTTCGTTTTATATATTCGATCAATCTTTGCAACCAGTAATAGAAAAATGTTATATTAATGAATAGAATTAGATGTGATATCCATTTTTCAGTTGCGTAATAAAATGTTCAAAAGTGATACAAATAAAAACTGAAGTAAATTGACACTGGCATGCATAGCTGTGTTACAAATTCGAATTTGAGAATGAGTTGTAGATGATTAAGAGATTAATAGAAAGATAGTTGGTATGATCATTTCAAAACTGTCACTTACCTTTCAATTTTGTAAAACTTCCACATCAAATGTTCTACAAGAGGTGTATACGTTATAGATATTAGATAGTATACAGATGTTGACACACACACAAAAAAAAAAGATAGTATACAGATATGGATCTGTGTTTTGAAAAAAAAAATATCCATAAATCTGTGTTTTTTCTCGATCAGAATGATGATATCAATTTCCAAATAAGATTCAAACTAGGATGCAAAGTGTATGACTTCCTCTTGAATACATTCACAATACTTACCACTTGATTAACTAGCTACTATGCCTTATACCGACTTTACCCCCTTATACAGTATAATGACAGATGTTGCCCTCAGACACAAAAGCTTTGTGTGGTGTCACAGAATTTTACTTTCTTAAGAGATTTTGTGGTCTCATAGAAAAAAGTAAAAATGATCATATGTACATTTACCGTAAGTGTCGAAGATGCATTGCATCCTTACCTGGCCTTTATGAAAAACAAGACATTTGTTTTGCCTTAACGAGGAGAAAATGGACAGAGAAGGGAGAGAATCAGCACGTGTTCGTCACCCGACACGTTGTAGTAGCATTATTAATTGTTGCCCTTCCATTAAAAATGAAAATTTAAAAACTGCACCAGCCGGGAATCGAACCCGGGTCTGTACCGTGGCAGGGTACTATTCTACCACTAGACCACTGGTGCTTTTACTACTTCATTTCATTTGTAGACTCTTGGATTGTGTAGTATTAGATTCCGAGGATGAAAAGTCAATAAGATTCCGTTTAAGCACTTCCACTAACCGTTTGTTCGTTATTGTTAAGTTATGTAAGTCATATGTTGCTTGTACTAATTATCAGAGAAATAAAAATGTATATACGGAGGCATGTGTTTGTAATGAAAATCTTTTCCTTAATTTATTTGAGGACAAACCTTAGAATTTGGTGTGATTGATCATATCGTTCGTTATTTGATCTCTCAGAGAGAAAAAAAAACCATTATAAAATGAAAAAAATTGCCAAGAAAATTTAATACTATGATATTTTAGGGATTTTGGGTTAAGTAAGATGCTCTTGCACTCAAGATCCCTTTTGTGATAAGAGTTTGAGTTAGGCCCACACACAAACTTGATTCGGTATGTTATGAATAGAAAAACATAGATGGAGTGTTTAACTAAATCATGTCTACGAAAAGGAAAAAAGGAACGAATTCATGTCTAAGTAGCAAGTAGGTCAAGATATCGGGCAAGCATAACGTGTTAGAAACGAAATTATAGAATTTATCATGTATTTTTTTTTTTGTTATCTATGAAGTATCTTAAATCAGTCCAATAGTACAGCTTATGATATCATGCCAGCCACAAATTGTGCCATGTAGTTAATTTAATGAGTAGTAGAAGACTAGAAGTAGACTTCATACCTCATAGTCCTTTTCTTATTTCTTTGTCTGCTATGGTTCACCATCTACTACTAATCATTGGTGAATGCATTTTTGTTTCAAGGTAAACTTTTCCTCAGTCATGTAAACTACATGATGTCATGTAATCATTGAAAAAGAACAGTTAATAAATGTTAAATATAATAATAACTTAACATCAAACACTCTCTATTACAAATTCGATGTGATCATATATCTATAAAATACTCAATATTAAAAAAAAAATCCAGTGAAACTCCAAAAACTAGAGATTTAAAAATATAATATTTAAGTACCATAAAATGTCCAAAAAGTTCAAATTATTTAAATAATTGAATTATGGTAAAACACATTCAATGTATTTAATAAAAATTAGTTTGTCATCTTTTTATCTGTTACAAGAAAGTACAGATGTTGATTTTTTAAAAATTTCTCATAATTTATATATAGGAAAACAATACAAATTTGTTTGCTTGAAGACAATTAATTTCCGATATGTTTACAGTCAGCTTTCTTTATCGTACACAGTCATTAAAAAAAAAAATAGATAAAAAGGAATCCGATAATTGATTTTGGTAAGAGTCCACGTAGGTCAAGATGTCGTGCTCGTGTTGTGTTCCAAACGAAAAGCGTCTATGTTCTCTTCATGTACCGTTTATGGGCCCCACCAATTTCCTTCTTCAGTCTCCCCCCCAATTCCTCTCTCTCACCAAATTACTCGCAGAGTCTCTCTCTCTCTCCCCCCATTCCGATGAGTTTCGTGAGATAGAGGGAGAGAGAATCAAAGAAACTCACGAGAGTTCTTCGACAATTTGCATTCTCCGGAAAAGGAGATTTTGGCTGACCGTTGTCTAATACTACTTTCAGGTGAGTAAATTGTCTTATATTTCTGAAATGCGAGGTGGAATATTGTTCACTATCGCTATTTCTCATCTGGTTTTGCTTTTTATCGTTTACAAATGTTTGTGATTTCTGAGGATTTTATGGGGAACCACTGGATTTTTTGCGTGTGTTGTTGCTGTTGTTCGTAACTTCATATACTCGGGAAAATATAATAATTGGTTACTGAAAGAAAAAAAAAAAAAAAATATGGTCGGTGTTGTGAGAAAGATTAGAATATCTAGTGACAGAACGTTTCAATTAACTTTACTCTCTTCAAAGACCTTTTGAATTTTGAATTTTTGTGATGTTGATTTGATCACAATCTTTGAAAGCCCTGGCTAAAAAATGGGGAAAATATCCAACCTTTGACGCATATTGAATTGAAAATCTGGAATTCGAATTCTGGGTACCAATCAAAAGCTCACCTTTTTTTGGGTACATTTGTCTCAGGAAGAGTGAATCGATGTTAAAGACATTGTTAGTTCACGGGCTCTTGTTCTTGTTCTTAGTCGTCTCCGTCGCCGGCGACGACAACGACGGTGGCTTGTCGATATGCAACTGCGACGACGACGACAGTTTCTTCAGCTACGAGGTAATCCTCGAATCGCAGAAAGTCGGCGACTTTCTAATCGCGATCGCTTATTTCTCGATACCAATCGAGCTGGTCTACTTCGTTAGCCGCACCAATGTGCCATCACCTTACAACTGGGTCGTCTGCGAGTTCATAGCCTTCATTGTTCTCTGTGGCATGACCCATTTGCTCGCTGGTTTCACCTACGGGCCCCACTGGGCTTGGGTCATGACAGCTGTCACTGTCTTCAAGATGCTGACTGGGATCGTCTCCTTCCTCACGGCGATCTCGCTCGTCACTCTCTTACCCTTGCTTCTTAAGGCCAAGGTTCGAGAGTTTATGTTGAGTAAGAAGGCGAGAGAGCTTGATCGTGAGGTTGGGATCATAATGAAGCAGACCGAGACGAGTTTGCACGTCCGTATGCTCACCAGTAAGATAAGGACGTCTCTGGATCGTCACACGATTCTCTACACGACGCTTGTGGAGTTATCCAAGACTCTGGGGCTCAAGAACTGTGCGGTCTGGATCCCGAATGAGATCAAGACGGAGATGAATCTTACGCACGAGCTGAGACCGAGGACTGATGGCGAGAACGAGAATGTTGGTGGGTTTTCGATACCGATCACCGAGTCTGATGTCGTGAGGATTAAGAGAAGCGAAGAGGTGAACATGTTGAACCCTGGCTCTGCGCTTGCCTCCGTGACTAGCCGAGGGAAATCAGGTCCTACGGTTGGGATTAGAGTCCCGATGCTCCGGGTTTGTAACTTTAAAGGCGGGACACCGGAGGCGATTCACATGTGCTACGCGATCTTGGTCTGTGTGCTTCCTTTGGGGCAGTCACGGAACTGGACTTACCAAGAGCTTGAGATCGTTAAGGTTGTGGCTGATCAAGTCGCTGTTGCGATCTCTCACGCCGTGATTCTGGAAGAGTCTCAGCTCATGAGAGAGAAGCTCGCGGAACAGAACCGAGCACTTCAGGTGGCGAGGGAGAACGCGCTGAGAGCTAAACAAGCCAAGGCTGCTTTCGAGCAGATGATGAGCGATGCGATGAGGCGTCCCGTGCGGTCCATTCTCGGGTTGCTTCCTTTGATAACGCAGGACGGGAAACTACCCGAGACGCAAAAGGTTATCGTCGATGCGATGGGGAGAACAGGGGAGCTACTGTTGCAGCTTGTGAACAACGCCGGAGATATAAACGCCGGGACGATCCGCGCCGGAGATACGCATTGCTTCAGTTTGCGTTCGGTCGTGAAGGAAACGGCTTGCTTGGCGAGGTGTTTGTGCGTTGGGGACGGGTTTAGTTTCTCGACGGAAGTTGATAGAGCATTGCCCGATTACGTCGTAGGCGATGCGAGAAAGGTGTTTCAAGTGGTTTTGCATATGCTCGGGGGTTTAATCCACCGGAAGATCAAAGGGAATGTGACTTTCCGGGTTTTACCTGAAAGCGGAAACTCAGAAGTCGCAGGGAGAAAAGATACACAAGAAGCTGTTTGGCGACAATGCTATTCCAAAGAATACATTGAAGTTAGATTCGGATTCGAGGTAGCCGCAAGAGGCCAAGAGAGTAGTAGTAGTAGTAGTAGCATTAAACCGGAGGAGGAGGAGATTCCGAGTTTCGACATCTGCGAAGATATAGTAAAGGTTTGGACTTTATTTTTTGTTTTGTCTTGTTTTCTTGCTATTGCACATAACTAAAATGTGTTAATGACGACTCTTGTTGTTTCGTGACAGTTAATGCAAGGGAATATATGGGTCGTGGAGGACGGTTTAGGTTTGGTGAAAAGCCTGTCGGTTGTTTTCCGGTTCCAACTCCGGCGGTCTATACTGTCACGAGGCGGTGGATATTCTGGAGAAACTTTCAAAACATCAACTCCTCCGTCTACTAATAATAACGGTCATTGGCGTCAGGAGGGAGGGAATGTAGAGCAGAACAGAGATAAGGGTGTAATATGAAAATACGTAAAAATGCTAGGGGCTAAGAATTTCAAATATCAGAGGGACCTAAACGGTGTCGTTCGGCTGTATAAACCTGAAAATTAACTAGATTTAACTATAGTCTATCATGTGCATGTAGGGCAAAAAGGTATAAGGTTCGGACTTGTAACCTGTTTAATAAAATTACCTCTATTTGAGTACTAAACTTCTCAATTTATCAAAAAATAAAAACCATGGTATAAAAATTCGATAAACGTGAGCCTTTAATTATCTTGTCTTAATATAATGTGTGTTTGTAATCTTGACTAACAACAGTGAGTAAAACTCGATAAACGTGAGCCCATAAAAATCTGATCAAAACAAAAACTGTGATTCAGAAGTCACATCGTTATCCTTTGAATCCACAAAAAAAAAGAAGAAGAAGTATGAACCTTGAATCGGTAAAGCAGTATCTTGAAGGAGAACGAGTTGAGAATGATGATGAAGCCGGCAAGGAAAAGGAATCAAAAATCGCGAATTTGCCACCCAGATTCATCGAGCGATTCGTAACGAAAGGTATCAAAGTCGATCTCATCGAACCTGCTCGAATCGTCTGCTCCATGAAAGTCCCTCCTCATCTCCTGGTAAAATCCCTAATTTTTTTTATTTGGGTATCGAAATTCGAAAATCCCTAATCTCGAGAAAAAATAAATTAAATTTGGGCGTTTTGGTTGAGGAAAAAGAACGCAGGCAATTTCTTGCACGGCGGAGCGACGGCGACTCTGGTGGATTTGATTGGATCAGCTGTAATTTACACAACCGGAATTTCACACACAGGAGTTTCAGTGGAGATCAATGTTTCATACCTTGATGCTGCTTTCCTTGACGTAACCTCTTCCTGTTTTGTTTTTGAGATGGATTTTTGGTAAGGAAGAAACCAAAATCATATAGTTTTGGTGTGTGATTCTTACAGGAGGAGATAGAGATTGAAGCAAAGGCTCTGCGTGTTGGTAAAGCTGTTGCAGTTGCGAGTATTGAATTGAGGAAGAAGACGAACGGTAAGATCATAGCTCAAGGACGCCATACTAAGTACCTTGCTCCCCGTAGTAAGCTCTGAAGATTCTTTAGGACTTCTCCTCCAAAAATAAGGATTATTCGCCCAATTTTTTTTATAATCTTCGGTTTGTTTTACCTGATCATGAGTTTGCGTGAATCACATTCTCAGTGCCAATAAAACTACAATAACTATGTTTTATTGTTCTCTTTCTAATACAAAAGTATCTGAATAAGTTTACAAGATTAGATGAGTTCTTTGACTATGTTTTAGTTTCGCATTATATGATAACAAAGACAGTTGATAACTTAGATATTAGTACTAAGCTATCAACTGTTTTGAGTTGAGTTTTGTCTGCAAAATAGGTTTTAGTCGTGCTTCACTGGCATTGGCTTATAGGCATTGTCCTCGGTTGCTTGTTTACGTCTGCAACTGATTCTTATCACTCTGAGTCTGAATTGGTTTTACCGTCTAAATAGTGTGCGTTTGTGAGGATCATTTCACAGATCTAATGCCTTTTTATAATATAGTAGTAATAGTTTAAATTAATAACTGAGCTTGCGAAAACACCCATGATGACTCGCATCGTTACTTGAATCGTTCCTTTTTGAATTTATCATCTCTTGATTTACAAACTTTCGGAAAATATATCAATGGCTTACCTGTAAAGAGATACCTCTAATATTAATTGTATCAGGTATTTCTCAATTATTTTATGGTTTGTTGAACACGTGTTACACGAGTTCATGAGTGACATAATACAACAAAATCATGAAAATGAAAAAGATTCGGTGGCGGGATCAGTTTTGTCGACGAGTATTAGTTTTTTTGTAGACAAGAATATTAGTTGAGATATGTTTTTTTTTTCTTAAAAAAAAAAATTAGTTGAGATGTGTTGGTTGGTAAATTTATATTTTTTTTTTGTCAGTTTATGTTACTATCTATAGCGGTAAAATATGGTAACGATGAATTATAAATTACATTATGCATAGATATAACAATGAAATCAAAATAATATGTCTAGACGTTTAAAGGTTTGATTAGCTATTTCTGTAACTGTGTCTGTCTACCAGAGTAAATACCAGGTTTCCGGGTAGTTGCGCTTGCAAAGGTTTGATCTCTCAATTATAAAATTAACCCGTTATCTGTTATTTCACAATGTAACAAAAAACCGTTACTTTTTTTCTTTCTTTCGTATTTTGCTGTCTTATAATGCTTTTTAACAAACAATCTTCTCTATGCCGTATGCCTCCTCCTAACACTTTGAGGAATTTGAGAGAAACCATAATTACTTATTTAAGCACTGTAACTTCGGTTTAGATTTCAGACCATTATAAATAATTAACTGAAAGTTGTTGACCAAAAAAAAAGTCAGAGTTTGATTGAAGATTTCTAAACAGTTGATCACTGGAGTTATTAGATCAATTATTAGCTAAAACCAATCCCATATATATTAAAAGAGAAGCATTTTTAAATAATAACCTTAATTTTGTAAAATATTACACTGGTGCTATTTTGCTGATGTGTCATCACCAAAATCATTTTCAGCAAAATTATAAAAATAGAGTTATGTTACTAGATTAATTACATGTTATGCCACTTATATTAATTTTGTTATACATTAGTTTATATCAATTATATTGATGATGATTCATCAAGATATTCTTTTTTTCTATTTCTTACCAAAAATATATCATATTAATTATTTTCTTAAATACTATATGTTATCTCTTATCTTTATAGAAAAATAAATCATCACATCACTCATATAGTAAAATATATATACATATATATGTATATTTCTGTGTTATAATTTGAATTTCATAAAACAAATATAAATTACTCAAATAATTAATAAACAAAAGTATGTTTTAAAAGACTAAAATTGAAAATAAGGATGTGTAGATAGATGATTCAAAAATTAATATAAAAATACATAAATGATAAAAAAAAATAGGAAGATTAATTTAATAGATATTAGTATTTTTAATTTATACAACAAAATTACTTGGTGAAAAATTAAAATATTTTTGTAAGGATATTATATAATAATTTATTAAACTTTTTGATATTAATTTTTTTTTTATTGAATCAAAAAGTTAAGAATGTATAAGTATTGACTCAGTTATATACAATTTTAGATAATTTATTACAAATAATAAAAAAATATAATCTATTTTTATATAATTCTTATGTATATTTAGTATTTAAAATAAATTTTACATTAATTTTCTTTTCTTAAAAGTTAATATTCTTATGACTATAATTTTTACGAGTTAATCTAAATATGCATTTATATTCGTATAAGAAATATTAAAATCGATTATAAAATCTTATAATTAAATTTTATTTTTTAAAATTTTAATACTCTCTATTTCAAAATATAAGTTGTTTTGCATTAAAGCACAAAGATTAAAAAGTAAATTTTCTTTTAAAAAAGATAATCATTTATTATATAAATTAAATATAATTTAACAAATTATGAAAAACTAAAAAATATAATCGGTCACATAGTAGTCATAGGAAGTAGTAAGAAATATAAAAACAACTATATTGTGAAACAAAACGAAACCTTAAAAAAAATTAATATTATGAAACAAAGGAAGTAGTAAATTTTTATTATTATTATCATAACGCATTAGATACTTAATAATTTAATCAAAATATACTTTCTCTATTTTTTTTTTAATTTTAAGATCATGTTATTAATCATGGGTTATAGAAAATATAAAGAGGGACTTCGTATTTCTATCCAGATGACACATATATATTTAATTTTTAAACTAATTTATATTATAATTAAATTACCCTAAAATTCATAAAATAAACAAAAAAAAATATTTTGTCAATATTACATCATAGTATTATAAACAACTCTTATAAAATCAATTATATTTTGTTATATGATTTTAAAATTATATTATATTAAATAAATAATTATTATTTTACTCCGCACAGGATACTAGTTATTACCTAATTAATATAGTATTAGGCTAAACCGTTGACGAACCAACGATAAAGTTTAGACCCAACAAAAATAATTAATTATTAATATCAAAAACGTAAGAAATAATTCTGACTGAAAAATAATATTTATAACAATTATAGCAGCATTGTTATTTTTAAGCATATACTATGTGAAAGATGACATGATCAGTCATACAAAACCACAGTTTTTGATATCTCATTTCTTTAATTGTAACTCAAAACCAATTGAAATGGATCAATTAACTGACGTTCTTTTATACCATGTTCAATGCAAGAAACGTTCTTAAATAATGATAAAAATAAATTTTAAATATAAAAGAAAGCAAAACCAATTATATAATGACACATGTCTAAAAAAAATCTAGATCCAGCTTTTAAATGAGAGTTGCAAGATCCAATTCTTTTCAAATTTCTTAACTGTTCAATTTTTTAATATTTTTTAAAGCTAAAATACTCAGTAAGAAACTACCATTAAATATGCTCTTACGATATCTAACAAAATCACAGTATTAATATCTAAGTCTTGGTGATGTTATAAGAAAAATGCACTACATCACGCATGATATAAATTTCATATAATAATAATATACTACTATAACTACCCACTATATAATAAAATATTGAACCTCACAGTTATTAAGAGTAATCCTCAAATGAAAAGGTCAGACTCATAAATGTGAAGAGAAAAATCAAAAAGTGTGTTGAGTTAGTGCTTCCCCTCATAGTCTCGATCTTCTTCCCAAATACACACACTCTTAGACTTTTCAAATCCAAGAATGATTAAAACTTCAGGTAATGCTCGTCCCGTCTCTCTCCCCGTTTACCACTTGACAAATACAAACACTTGAATAATCCGGATAATAAATAATTCTATCGTTCTTTAGATTAATTTCTCTCTCTTGCTGGTTCGTTGATTTGTTTGCTATAGAAGGAACAAGAGATGTCTCTAGTGGTGGATGTAAATCAGTTAATCTCACCCATCTCCTCCTTGCTTCTCTTGGCGGTCTTGCTGCCGCTGCTGCTTTCGCCGGAGAATCATTCATTCGCCGCCGGAAAGCTCATCAGGGTCATTCCATGAAGAATAAAGATCAGAAAATAGCCCCTTTGATTGAGAGGAAAGATTCAGGTCGACGATCAAACCTCGAGAAATTCTCCTACTATGTTGGTACGTATACTTGCATCTTTGATACATTTCAAGAGATTAAACTTTGCTAGTATCTAATCCAAAATCAAAGATTGCTTAAAAGTTCAAGTAAGAGGAAAGAAAAAGAATCAATATTGACCAAAAGATTATAATAATGGATGCGACTAGTTCTTGGGCTCTCCCAAATTCTCATTTCCATGTAGTATATTGAAGGATATGTACAAATACCGAATTTATGAGGGCTTATAAAAGTTATCGATATTACCAAAGCTTGTAATATCAACATGATCTCATTTATTGGGTTTTATCCAAATTCAGTACAGTGTATATATTGTAATAGTGGAAACTTTAAAGACACACCTGTCATCATGGCTTATATGCATACAAGTGACAAGTCTATATTTTGGTGGTAAGCGAGTGTACTTAATATTTCATTTTTATGCATTCTTGTTTTTTTCTTTTTTAGTAGCAATAATATTTGCACAACATGCCTATACATATTTGATTAGTATTAACATATATGTAAAATTGCAGCCAGGCAGCTAGGATTTGAGGATCCAAATGAGTGCCCACAACTATGCAAATTGGCAAATGCATATTTGACGAAAACAAAGGGATATGATGAGAATTTGTACGAGTATTTGGTGAATGAAGCTGAGGCTGATTCTCTCTATGTTCATCTCCTTGAAGAATTTGAAAGGTGCATTCTCACTTATTTTGCTTTCAATTGGACTCAATCTTCCAACCTCATCTCTCAGGTACTTAATTTCATTTTATAAAAAAACTAGTATGCTTTGCGTGATTTCTTCTATATCTAGTATACTTAATTGTATTAGCTAGTATACTTAATTGTATTAGCTAATTTACCTATATCGGAGCCTCCGAGACATGCTAACTTTTTAACAGAATTTATAGTGATTTTTTTTAATTATAACATCACTCAAAAGTTGAACTTGATTTGTCTGTTTAATTGTTGCTTACCTGTAAGTTTGGCCTTGTTTAATTCTTACTTTCTTAGGTAGTTAGGTTAGATATAATCCAAGGGATACAATATCGCATATGGGTTATTTCATTTATTTATTAGATGTTGACAAGTGAAAACTAATTGAAGTGTATACAGTATGGTTGTATTTTGAATATTTCAATTCGTTATATAATTAGTTTTTGTTTTTCAAACGAAACTAATTTGATACAAAAAGTAGTATAAGCCACTGGGTGGAGTAGGTTAGATATTATTACCATTACCAATCTCTAATGATGTTATCCTACAATTCTCGTTTGTCTTGTATCTAATTTTTGTTTTCCATAACAATGATAGGTTTTAAGCGATGAGTCGGATCAGAAAGTACCAAAACTTAAGGACTTCGTGATGGCAGCGACAAGGTGATTGATTGTTCCATATTCTAAAATTTTATATGGTCACAACTATCAATTAAATATTTACATATACATGCATATACATCAATTGATAAATGCTTTAAATACATGATTAATTGCATTATCATCGTTGCTTCTAGACTTGTAGTTTTTAGGTACCATACAATTTCATTGCTGTGCTAATGATTCCAACTTATTTATTTTAAAATATATCATTAACAATTAACAAACATCGTAGAACTAAGTTGACCATTTCAACACCATCGTAAATCCAACTGATTTTTGATTTTAAAATGAAATAAGTGGTTTGTTTAATAATGTAGGAAACAAAGGTTCGAGAGGGTGACAAAAGACCTAAAGGTGACAAGGGTATTTTCGACATTAGTAGAAGAGATGAAAGCCATCAACGTCGGAAGCAGCGTCGGAAGCGGCGAGTTGCACTGTACAGAAGTAATGTCTCCGGTGGCTCACAACAAACGTAGTCCCGTCCTCCTCCTCATGGGCGGCGGAATGGGGGCCGGAAAGAGCACTGTCCTCAAGGATATCCTCCAAGAGTAAACTTTTAAATTAATATATATACTATTCTTAAGTATTTCGTTAAAAGGCCAATTTAAATTAAAAAAAGGTATATATTGTAGGTCGTTTTGGTCGGAGGCAGGGGTCGACGCGGTGGTGATAGAAGCGGATGCGTTTAAGGAGACGGATGTTATTTATAGAGCTCTTAGTTCTAGAGGCCACCATGACGATATGCTTCAAACTGCTGAACTGGTACGTTCATATTTTTATTAAAGCTCTTAGTTATAGAGGTCCTCCATTGTTTGTAATTGCGTTTGCGTTTAGTAGTGTATAATTTTGTGTGTGTGTCAAATCTTGTTTTCTGACAAACGGACTATATATATATGGAATACACGAATGCAATTATAATCTTCATTTAACATGTTTGTTTTGTGGTTGTTGATGAACATAAAATAGGTTCATCAATCATCTACCGATGCTGCGTCGTCATTACTAGTAACAGCACTAAACGAAGGACGTGATGTGATAATGGATGGAACCTTATCATGGGAGCCATTCGTGGAACAAATGATCACAATGGCGAGGAACGTCCACAAACAGAGATATCGAATGGGCACAGGCTACAAGGTGTCCGAAGACGGGACAACAACCGAAGAATACTGGCGGAAAGAAGAAACGGAACAAAATGCGAAACAACAAAACTTGAAACCTTATAGGATCGAGCTGGTCGGTGTGGTTTGTGACGCCTATCTCGCGGTAGCAAGAGGCATACGGTAACTTGTTTTTTGGGTTTTTTTTAAACGAATATCAGAATCCAAAATAAGATATATCCCATGTAGTGATTCTAACCATTGTTAATTGTTATCATGTTAATTTTAGGTTTTTTTTTAATGTCACAGGAGAGCTCTAATGGTGAAGAGAGCAGTGAGAGTGAAATCTCAGCTAAAATCACACAAGAGTTTCGCTATTGCATTCCCAAAGTATTGTGAGCTTGTTGATAACGCTAGGCTTTATTGCACTAACGCTGTTGCTGGTCCTCCAAGGGTAAACAAGTCAAACTCAAAGTCAATAGCAATATTAACGACGTCGTTTTGCTTTAGGGATACTGACACGTGTTTTTTTATTGCTTCGCTGGGGGCAGCTAATAGCATGGAAAGCCGGTAATAGTAGGCTTCTGGTGGACCCAGAGGATATCGAGTGTCTAAAACGGGTCAGCAATCTTAACCCGGATGCAGAATCCATTAACGAGCTTTACTCGGATCCAAGCCTGTTATGCAAGCCTGGTTCAGTTTGGAACGATGTCGTTTTGGTACCCTCGAGGCCCAAGATCCAGAAGCAACTTAGCGATGCCATCAAGAAAATTGAAAAGGCCCAAGTGAAAAATTGATGTATTGTATGAACTAGCCCCATAGAAGTTGTTCTCTCTTGGTATTTGGACATTATTTGTTTCTCTATCTGCTCTTTTGTTGTGTTTTTGTACTAGTCTAAATAAGTTAGTATAAGAAAATATAAAATGGTTTCGAAGATATACTTTTCCTTAACTACTAATTCACCAGAAATCAAAACTAAAATTTCATGGAAATCTTTATAGAACTAGTAAGTCACATGGTATCCAATTTTCCAATCAATTTTCCGGTTTTTTAGTGGTTCATATATATTTCGGTTGTATAACAGAAGGTTATACATACATCGACAAAATGAAGGTATTGGCTGAAATAAAAATAAAGAGAATAAGAGAGGGACTAAATAACAAATAAGAATTCTTATACTAGGGTTCCCAGGTGTTCCCCATATATATTTTGTGTTGCCGAACTAATCGTTCTCCTCTTTTATCGCTTGCAAAGACCTCGCGCAGACAGTAACAGTTTTAGCCGTTCAGGGTTTTATCCTTTGCTGAGATCTAAACATGGTGAGTTCTCCATTCTCAATATCTGAATCTTCTTCTCTAGTTACATTTTCCGATTCAACATGATTTGCTAAAACTGTCGATGGGGAATCTGTAGGCGGATGTCGAACCAGAGGTTGCTGCGGCTGGAGTCCCGAAGAAGAGGACGTTCAAGAAGTTCGCCTTCAGAGGAGTGGATCTCGATGCTCTTCTTGATATGTCTACCGATGACCTGGTCAAGCTCTTCTCTTCTCGTATTCGCAGAAGGTAAACCAAAAGTCTTCGAACCCTACGACTAGATTCTCCGATGGATGTTTTTGTCTGTTTGTTCTGACATTTATCTGTTTGAAACTGGTCTAGGTTCTCTAGAGGTTTGACGAGGAAGCCAATGGCTCTGATTAAGAAGCTGCGTAAAGCGGTAATCACTTCATTTCGCTATTAACCCATCTTTTGTTACTGACCCTAGTGAACTTGAATCTTAGATTATATTTCAGCTATTTATTTCTGTTAGCATGGTTAAATGATTAGTGATGGTATGTGCAACCTATTCAGTATGCGTCTTCTAGCTTCTTAAGTCGTAGATTTTGATGAGTCAGACCTGGATTGTTAAGTGATTGTTGGACATATGTATCTTTGTTTAATCATTTGTGCTTTTAAGTTCGTAGTGTCAAATGCTAGATTCTGTCTTTTTCTGATTTGTTGCAATCTTTTGATCTTTACTCTACCTTGGATTGCTTGTCTAGCTTAATGTTTCCTTTATATTGACTAGTGTAAGAACAGCTTCTGCATTGGACAAGACTTTGCTTTGACTTGGGAGACTTTGTTTTGACTTGGATAATAGCATAGTCTCTACGTGTAATTGTTACATTGTACATATCCCTGGGCATTATCAGCCATTACCGATATTTCTTTAGATAGCCACTTGAACACTTTTCATGTGTACTCTAGAGGGTTTAATTTTCCTTAGATGTGCAACTATGTTTCTGATTTCAAGCTTGCTTTTGGTTGATAAACAGAAAAGGGAGGCACCACAAGGCGAGAAGCCAGAACCAGTGAGAACCCACTTGAGGAACATGGTCATTGTCCCTGAGATGATCGGAAGCATCATTGGTGTGTACAATGGCAAAACCTTCAACCAGGTCGAGATCAAGCCCGAGATGATTGGTCACTACCTGGCTGAGTTCTCTATCTCATACAAGCCGGTTAAGCACGGTAGGCCTGGTGTTGGTGCTACCCACTCCTCCAGATTCATTCCTCTCAAGTGAAGAGCTTTTACTTTGGGAATGTATTCCATCTTTGTATGGTCTTTGCTTTGATTTGTCAGAGAATGTGGATCTCTTTTTGTTGTTGTTGCTTTATGATGAAACTCTTTTAGATACTTTCTCAACTCCAGCTTGTGCGTTTACATTGTTATGTGACTTGAGGTTCTTAAATCAAATCTTTTTGGAGTTTTATATTTGTTCTCTTGAATTTAATTTTGCTTTGAAATCGATTAGTTTTGGACTAATTTTACACTTATTACGCTAGCTAATAGTCGTGATAACGATTATGATTTTCTATTTTCGAAGATCGGAATTTTGTTTTGTTAATTAAAAGAGTAATTCGAGGAATACTTTATAGTTTCACATTTTTCTTGCTCTTCAATTTAATAACATAATAAAATATTCTAGTTTTCTTAATATTTGAAGTGCAAGAAAATGAGAATCTATGAAGTATGTACTATGTAGTGTGTAGATGTTTTTAACTCTCACTATTTTGCATTATACATTAATAACATTAGACAGTATAAGCTAATCCAGCAAAACAAATGTTAATTGGTAATGAAACGACGCCGTTAAGCAAGCGAAGATAAGTATTTGGAAACGACACAGTTTTAAAGATTAAAGAAGAGGAATATTGGCTGGAAAAATATAGCCGTTAGAGATAAGAGACGATAGATGCAGGAAAAAAAAAAAGGGAAAAGAAAGCCAACGGCTCCGGCGGAGGAACCAATTGATAGAGCTATGACGGCGATGATTGACCAGACGTATGTGTTCTTGGTGCTGCGATGGTTCGATTTCATTAAAGGACCCTGAAACCTTCTCTCTTCCGGCTCCTATTCCCCAATGGCCTCCCGGTAACTCAGATTACAATGGTTGTTTGTTAATCTCCTGACTTCTCTTGTTAGCGATTTCGAATATCAATTTTTCAATTTTAGGTTTATGATTCTCGATCTTACACCCACTGTATTTCCTAAATTCGACCGGGTTTTCATATCAGATCTCTATATAATAGTAGCTCTCAAGTTCTTAAAACCTGTTTCATATTCCACGAGATCCAGTATCGAAGTCTTGTTTTTTTTTCGTTTGAAAGATTGCGCTGTAGCCATTTATCAGATTTTGTGTTTCTTTGTCCTGTGAAACTCATCAGGTCAAGGCTTTGGCTCCGGAACGATCAATCTCGGCCAATTACAAGTCATCAAAATCACGGATTTGGAATTCATATGGCGATACAGATCCACAGAGAAGAAGAACACGTGCATTTCGTTCTACAAACCAAAGGGACTGTTACCTAAAGATTTCCATTGCTTAGGTCACTACTGTCAATCTGATTCTCTTCCCTTAAGAGGTTATGTTCTCGCGGCAAGAGATTTAGTAGCTTCACTAGAACAGGAAAGAAAACCTGCATTAGTGGAACCTGTTGCTTTCACACCGGTCTGGAGCTCGAATGGTTCACAAGAAAAATGCAGTCAAAGAGAAGGCGGTTACTTCTGGTTACCCCAGCCTCCTCAAGGCTATAGATCAATCGGTCTTGTCGTTACAAAGAGTCCCGCGAAACCCGAGTTGAATGAAGTTAGATGCGTCCGAGCTGATCTAACTGAAAGATCATTGTCACTGCTGTATCAGAAACTTCAGATGTTCCATTGTTCATATGGAGAACTCGGAATGTGGGGCATAGGTGTCTCTGCAGGTACTTTCTTCTGCAGAACTCGGCTCGTTGGTAGAGAAGACGTCAGTATTGCTTGTCTCAAAAACCGGAGCCTAAAATCTCCGAGGCCAAGAAAGAAGAAGTTAGTGCAACTGAAGCAAGCACAATTAAACCATCTCACAACAAATCCAAGGACGCAGATGCAAGGTTCTTTATAGTTCTTGGGAGATAATGTAATGATGTTAAGTGAGATGAGAGGCTGTTCTAATACTTTTTCTTCGTGTTCATTCAACAGTAATCTCAGGACTGAGAAGATAGAAAACAAGGAGAAGATTCCTCCTGCCAACACAAAAGCTTGCACACCCAAATCGGCAATGCAGTTATCTCAAACTGCCTGAAAGATAGCTAGTCTGCTGAGGAATCCATCTGCACTTATGCCAAAAAACCAGTCACAGTCATCTCAACCGAAAGGAAGTCATCAGAAAAGTGCGAAAAGGTAGGTGACACTCTTAATAACCATTCTGATACCCGAATCTGGTTTCAAGTTCCTCTGGTAATCGTTTTGTTATGTGTTGTTGATGCCTCACTGCAGGGAAACGACTGTTAAAAACATAACTGCCACGGCCAATCTGATTCAGGAGAACCAAGCCATCAAAAGGCAAAAGCTAGATGATGGAAAATCAAGACAGGTGAGCCAAAAGATTTCCAAATATCTGCTAGCTTAACTCCATTTCTCACTGCGTGACTGAAACTGTTTGCTCCTCATCATTGATTTATCTAGTTTCTCAATCCAAAACCAACAACTCTGCTCCACAAAACAAGATAAGGTCTTCTTAACATTGGTTTCAGCGTATGCACTTCAGTCACTAAGCAATCTCAGAAGGAGAACAGAAAGGTGCGTCTGCTTCATAGATGCTTATAAATTTTCTGTCAGACCCTTTGTTTTGAGTTTTAAGGTTTATGTCCGGTTAGCAATCTCAGAAGGGGATGAACAAAAAGGTGATCTCAACTCTTTGTTTTCATCTTTAAGGTTTATGTCCGTGAGCAAACTACACCTTTCATTTCAACTGCTGAACTAATGAAGAAATTTCAAACAAGCACCCGAGACTTGTCTTTGCCTCATGCCAACACTTCTCTTCCACAGGTAAAATATAAACTATTGATAGTTCCTCTGATCCTTTTTAGTTTTCTTGGTGTCTCTTCGATTAACTTCCAGGATGGTCCTTGTCCAGAACCGAACTAAACTGACACTGACACGACCGAAGGAGCTTGAATTTGTGACATGAGAGTGAAGAGCAGTGCAGAACTAGAGATGTTGGCAAAAGAATCCCAAGTTTAAAGCTCGACCTGTGAACAAGAAGGTAATGCATATGGTTTCACTGTGGTGTATATATTTATATATTTCAGAAACACAAAAACAACATGTTCTCTTATTTGATGCAGATTTTGGCAGCTCCAACTTTACCTGCGCGACAAAGAACAAACCACATCTGCCAGAATATCATGTAGTAACATCATGTTAGAAACGAGCCTGTAATTTGATATACAAGGGGGCTCATATATATTATCGTTGCAGGAATTTCATCTTGAAACAATGGCTAGGGCTAGCCAACATGCGGTGACATCTTCAATAGCTTCGACAGAAGTGTCTAAGCAGGTATTGGAGCCTCCTACTTCTTTACCCACAGAAATGTTGTATGTATGCATAAAACACTTGGTTAGTTGGTTTCATGCCATCTGATATTCATCTGTTTTCACCGCACGCTGCATAATGATATTCATCTTACTGCGCCAAAGAGCCATGTGCTCCAAACAATGCCAAGAGCTCTCTGCTGAGATACGGAAGCTCTTCATGGAGAGCAATCGCTTCGAGCTCTCGTCCAAGCTCCACTCGGGAAACTCAGATATGTTTTCTGTTCTTTTATTTTTTAATTTTTTTATACACATTAAAACTTAGATTAGTTTAAAATGGATTAAATTTATATTAGTTATGAAACTAACCGGACATGATATCCAGCCATTTGAATTCATTTGGTTGTTAGAGATTATCTATGTTTAATTTATTTTTCTAACTAATGTAGATGAATCGGTTTTATATTAGAATAGAAAATGATAATAATAATAATAATAACTATATTAAATGTAATCTCAAACTTGGAATCTTATATTGATTTTTGTATTATTTCAGGTTAAAATTTCCTCTACAAAATGAAACTTAAGAAACAAGATATATCAAGAGAAGAAAATTCATAAAAGAAAGATATGTTTTCTATTCTCTTTTTTTTTTTGAGTATTCATTCGTATTAAGGTCTGAATTAGAAGAAATCGATTGATTTGTATTAGTTGTAAAACTAACCGGACATAGCATCATGCCATTTGAATTTATTTGGTCGTTAGAGATTGTTTATATTCAATTTGTTTTCACAACTAATTCAAATCAATCGATTTCTAATTAGGGGGAAAATAATAATAATAATAATAATAATAATAATAATAATAATAATAATAATAATAATAATAATAATAATAATAATAATAATAATAATAATAACATTACTAAATATAAAATTTGATGTTGTTTTTCTAATTGTTTCAGGTTAAAGCTTTTTCAATAAGCACATCACGCAAAAATAACTTACCATATAAATTTAGGATTTTGTAATTATATATTTTTTTTATAATGTTTTATTTGATTGATTTCTTTTTAAGTTGTAATCTCTATATTTGAATTCAAAATTTTAATATAATAATCTCATGTTAATTTAACAAATATATCAGAATATATATATCCTATGATTTTATTGCGAGTAGAATTATCCCTCTTTCTCTCTATTTTTTTTTTTCTAAATATACAAGTTTCTTCTTTATTAGTTACTTTTGTATGTGTAAATAGTGATAATATTATCGCATAAATGGATTTTCGTGTTTTAAAAAAGAAAAATATGTTATACTCCAACCTTGTGATTAAGATTAACACAGCTTTTTTTTGCAACACGATAAAGTTGATCTCAAACTAGATGAACTCTTACAAAAAAAAAAGGCTTATCCATTTGTAATAATCACTTGCACATAAAACTGAAAAATAGTTTATCTGTTGTGAAAAGCCAACGCTGATGAAGGAAAGCTTGCCAAAGACAATATGGGATGAGTTATGATGTAGGTTTTGTTTTCACGGCTGACGATTCCTTCTCTCTTAAACATTTGTGTGAACCAGTCTTGATGTGGAGATGAAGATTCAAAAAGTTTATGAGCTAATGAGGTTGAGCCTTACGAAAATTTGAAAAGAACTTGTACGAGAAATAGGCTTTCGATAAATGGGTTTTACAAATATGGGCTTGGGCCTTTTCAGTTGACATCAACAACTTTTTGACTACTTGTGGCCTCTTCCTGTTAACAAAGGTCGTCTTGTTGTTCCTGAGGATTTCTAGGGTTTCTGGAATCCAGGAGATAACAAACGACAATGGCGAACCAAGTGATCTCCGGAATCAAGGAAACAGCTCAATCGATTACCGGCGCGGCTCGTCCGTGGGGCGATTTTCTCGATCTTTCCGCTTTCAGCTTCCCTTCATCCGTCGCCGATGCCACGACTCGCCTGACTCAGAACCTTACTCATTTCCGCATCAACTACAGTATCATCCTCTCAGTGCTCCTAGCTCTAACCTTAATTACACGCCCGATCGCCATCCTCGCGTTTGTCGCCGTGGGTCTAGCTTGGTTCTTCCTTTATTTCGCTCGCGAGGAGACGCTTACGATCTTCGGCTTCACCATCGACGACGGCGTCGTGGCGGTGCTTCTCATCGGTCTTACCATCGCGTCGCTAGTTAGCACCGGAGTTTGGCTCAGAGCACTCACCACCGTTGGATTCGGAGTACTGATCTTGGTCATACACGCCGCGCTAAGAGGAACGGAGGATCTAGTGACGGACGATCTGGAATCGCCTTATGGACCAATGCTCTCTACCGCCGGCGGTGATAACGACGGAGCGCGTGGAGATTACAGTGGACTTTGATCATTCGTTACTTTGTGATTGACACCAATTTGGGGATTTAGGGTTTTGTTGTTTATAAATTCTGATTGTTTTCTTTGTGTTCACTAAACATCGTTGTTCAAGAAAAACTTCAAGGAAATATGTTAAGAAAAAGAAAGATTTCAAGCAATCTGTTTTTGCAAAGTTAGTCAATGATTGTGTTGTATTGCATCTGCTTTTAAAGATTGATCACAACATCGCACAAACCACTTTACAGAAAAGATCAACTGAATCATCTAATTTCATTGAATGAAGCATTCCATTTCTCAATTTTGCTCGGAAATCACTATCTCCAGAGTAAGCTCGTCCCGAGAAACAGAAACTGTAATGGCGGATAAGATAAACGAATGAGCAATTCCACAATCACCGGAGATTTCGATTGAAAAAAAAAAACCATTCGCCGTCATCGACGCAATCGAAATCCTCACATCAGTCGAAACAGCTCGAGGCTAATTTTACCGTCCCGCCGATGGATTTCACCCGACTTTCTACGGCCGGCGACAATTCAGGAATGGATCGTAAGCTTCAAGTCCATGACAAATATTGGTCCTAAACACCCAAATCTTTAAGGCCCAATAACTAAAAAAAATACTATGTGACTTTAATTTTTTTTAAAAAGCTGATTCAGATATTATTGGTGAATTCTTAATTTAATAATTAAGGAGGTACAGCAACATTTTGATGATGAAAATACTAAATATAAGTTTAGTATTTGCGGTAAAACACTGTGATTGTAAGTAACTACTTGTAAATAACTGCTTATAATCTTTTTAATCAAATATTTTAAAAGTATTATGATTTCTTCAGTAAGTAATGATTATTGTGAGAAAATATAAGTTATGATTTTCATACATCATCATAAACTTAATATTTTTTCAACTGCTATTTTTCTTCATTAAATTCAAAATTTTAAATCATTATCTTGGGTAAAGATTGTATGAAAATATAACTATTGTTTTGAACAAGGGGCACGAAATGACTTATGAGCTTATTTGAATTGAATAATCTGGATAGATATTTGTTAGTATTATAAAAATATAGTACTTGTTACTACATTCTAATGACAGTTATAAAAGTATTTACTTTCGACAAAAAGTAAATAATCTAGTACTAGAAATTTGTTTTAAAAATTGCATTTCGAAGTAATTATAAAAAAATCATAGAATTTTTGTTATTGTTGTTTTTTTTTTTTTGTTCAAGTTGTTATTGTTGTTAAAGATACTTTTTTGTTGTTGCTAAAGTTTCTCTCCAGAATGATACTTCTAAAAAATGTTTTATTTTTGTTCATATATGTAGCTAGTTTCTGTCTAAATCTCACTTCTCAAAAGATCTATCATGCGATAATTTAATTAGTTTTGTGAAGAACCATCTCGAGCGTCAACTTGTCAAATTAATTATTGACCCCATGAAACATCGAACATGCTTCTGCCTGATCCAAGAAATTGATATAAGTTTTTAAATACTTGAACTCAAAACATTTCAACGTAACTTATTGTACAAATGTTTGTGTTTACACATACATTTTTAGACATATTTTCTATATATATATATATGCTTGCATGAACGTTGAAGCGATACATTCATGAAAGTTTGATTTGTTCGTTTGGGATTCAACATCTTCTCCATGTGCCTCCCCATTTATTAATAATTACATTATCAAGTGATGTATATATATATATATATATATCCATTATACTATTTACGAAAATAGCATTCCCAATATTTTTGACGTTGGACATCAAATTGATTAAGCTAATCTAAGTGTTAAGAGACGTTTGATCATTATAATAGCAAAACCGCCATCAATCCAAAAGGCCTCGCTATATAAAAATGTCGGCGATGCATATCTAAAATTTTGTATTTGCATATTTTTGAAATCGAAATCGAATATAGTCTACGTTAGTAATTTTTTTTCCTCTAAACTTGAATTTTTGAGATTTAGATTGCGAGGCCAAAAACTAGAGACTATGTTTCTTCTCTAGAGTTATATAGTTCGCAATTTTGAAATTTTTTCTCTTTTTAAGTGTTCATCATTCATAGCTTGTAATTTGTATACACATCAAATTGCATTTTTTACTATTTAATTGCAGAATGGTAAGGATGTTCATATTTGTGATTAATAGCTTGTACTCTAATGGTTTGTCATAGTGTTAGTTACTGTACCATCATCATTCGGGCTTAAATCCGTTTAATGTATATTATCGAAATAAATAGAGAAAAGACTGGTTATGTGTGTATATATTATATAATAATTGTGATGAATAATCATATTAATTTTAGCTGGTACAAAAGTTATTCCTAGCTAATACCCATTAATTTAATGTGAAATGAAATTATATACAATGGTAGTGAAATGAAGAGACCCATGAAGATGCACATGGCATTGCTCCCTCTCTTCCCTATGGGTCCTATTTCTCTATTTTATTTCCTCCACTTTAAGTACCAACAAATCAAATATACCAACAAAGTGAATCGTTTCCGTTTTCATAATTATATTATGTTTATTGTCATTCTTGTTTTGGTCGGCTATGTTATGTATATAGTCATTCTTATTAATTCGATTTCGAAACTAAGTTCGAGGAAACTTTTTTTATGAAAAAAATGTCGTTATATATACGATCTCTTCAGTTTCAAGACATGCATCATGCATGTATGAACTAAACATATAACTCTATCAATGAAAGAAAATCACTGTTTTGTATTCATAAGATATTAGGAACATTACTAGTTTGTAACCAAAGAGAAATAATGGGGATAAAGTTATAACTTATAACGGAATGAATATTACATTTCTAGCGTAAAAAAGGAAAGAAAGAAAGACGAGCACATGTACACACAGACACAAACAACAAAGGTGTTCAGATTATTACATATTTTCCATTACAAAATGCCTCGCATATTTAACTTAATTTCATTACACATAATAGCATATAAAGTGTATCTACATACCAAATTCAGATCAAAACATAGACATTAAAAGACAAAAGTAGATATTGAACAATGTTTTCGCAGGAAAAAAAAACAATTAACACCCATTAATGTGTTAATCAAATATATAATCATTACCACTTATGTTTTAACTTCAATCTCTGTTCTTGCACTTCTCCATTGCTCTCGGAGCTGAAACGTTTTACAATTACTAAGCAAACAATATGGACAACCAACAATAAAAAATTAAAACGATAAATCAATGATGCGGTTTAATTAGATGCACATAATACTATTTTTGCAATTTATAGCTAGATGATTAGATGTACAGTACTAAGCTTTTAAGTTTTAACCAATGTGAATATAAAATGCATTGGTAGAAAATACATACCGAGACCAATGGCGTCAGATCCTTTCATGAGACGTAAACGCTTGCATGTATCAACGAACATTCTAATAAATAAAAAAATTAAACCAAGATGTTATTAAAATAGACAAATAAGCTTTAACTAAATCGTTATTAGTAAGGATCAGAAGAAGAAGACGTACGGCCAAGGGACGTCGCCGACGAGCATCCAGTCACCGTCTTTGTCTTCATAAGAGGGAACATAGTCCCAACTATTCACTAAATCCATCAATTTCCTCTCATTCATGAAGTCTATCATTCCTTCTTCTCCTCCATATTTTCCTGATTTTTTTTCTAAAAAATATTATTATGTTTTTTTTAACCGAACAATATTATTATGCTACCTTCACATTAAGTCTAATCGCATAATAAACATTTTCAAAACTTAAAATTATATAATGCATAAAAATTAAATTACATATAAGTCTATCTTCGGCTAAGTTTTGTGGATCCTAGATAAAAAAAAAGAACTATAATAAAAAAACATGAGCTTCATTTACGGCAGATAATTTTTGCATTTTCGAAACTATTAACATATGAAATATTTGTCTACTCGATTTAGTATATCGTGAAAATTATATTTAAGTAATCATATTTTTCTGTAATATAGTAACAATTAACAAGTATCAAAATTGAGACTAATAGATAAGATGCATGGAATCATTTATCTAGTCAAAAAATAAATAAATATAAAACGTACCCATGGTAAAAGAGCTGAACATGTTTGACAAAGCATTAGATAGTTCGTCGTAGCCTTTATACATCTTCAAGTCGACTTTCCTCAAGTACGGTGCTCCGTCCATTGACACCTTCACAAACGCCGCGGCCTCAGTGCCGCCGCTTGATTTTTGGCACGAAACGAGCACGTTCTTCCGATATGATCTCACCGGTGGCCATCCCACAACTTGTGCCCTACAAAATTATATATAATGAAAAATGGAACATGCTTATGTAAACCTTTTTTAAAAAACCACTTTTGTTATACAAATTATTGTATGTGAATATATGTTATGTAAATTCTGGTTATCTATATATTTACGTGATGTTTCAAATATGTTCCATTTGCATGAGACTATGGTTTAAACTGGTCATGAGAGAACTTGGGTTTCTATTTTCTTTGCTGATTTTAAACGATTTAAGATGGGTTGGGCTTACAAAACATATTTTTGATGGAATCTTTTAGAAGAAAGTAAAGTAATATTATTCTATCAACCAAAGGAAAATAAAATGTTTGATTTTTCATGTGAAAACCTTGACAGATATCGCTAGAAAGAATATATTGGAGAATAAAGCAAAAAAGTAAAAATAAATCGAGAAAGGAAAAATGGTAAATTACTTGGCAGGTGGCTTGGCTGGATCTTTGGGACATGAACTCTTTTCCTTGGAAACAGAAGTCACGACGTCGTGACTCGTACATCCTTCTTTGCTTTCAGGCTCATTGTTCAGATTCAGCTTCAGATCAACCGTCTCCGAGAATCCCCTCTTGTTCCCGGTCACCGGAGCCGCCGTATCTCCACCGGGAAGACCAAGGCACAGCTCAGTCTCCCTCAGGTTCAGCTCGACACTGCTCATCATTATTAACCTCTGTTCTTCTTCTTCTTCCTCAACGTTGTTCTTCTTGGGAAGGTGATGAGGAAGATGGAAAAAT